CTTTCACTTACCATCCCCTTCTTACCAGAAATAAATATTTTGAGTCAAAGGGAAAATGAAAGTAAAAATTATAGACACTATATTTGTTTATATTTCATTGTGGGTATTTTTATTTGTATAAATACCCTTATATATATACAAATTTTAATATTTATGGTGCTGTAATCTATTCAATTAAATATTAAATAACATTAATGTACATAATGTTGTCGGAGTTCGTATTATATTAAGTGCATGGAAGCCTGTTGTAATCTTTCTGGCAAGCACGTATTCCTTTAGTTCCTCCATTACAACTATTTTCCGTTACGATTTCTTATTTCTCCTTTAGTTAATTATCATATTCTTTCATATTTAACTATTTTTTATATCAAAGATTATTGTGAAATGGTTAATTATTTCAAATAAAAAAAAATTAAATGAATTATTGAAGGTAGTTAGTCAACTATTCTACATATCATGGGTTATAAATATCGGCACCAATAAAATCTTTATAGAAAATTAAACGTACTTTAGAGGAAGCTAATATTGAATATCTAAGCCCTGTTAGAGAACATCAATGAGAATAAAACCTACATTATATTAAAAAATGCTTAATTATACACTGACCTAGTGAGTTTAATAAAAATCGTTAGAGCTGTTTTTGAGAAAATTGTAAAAATGTGTTAAATCGATGATATAAAGTACCACTTCCGGTTTGCCGATTTTGACGAAAAAGTTCCTGTAAATCCCAAGCACATAAAAACTTTCAATACTCAATTTCAGTTTCGTATAACTTTTCGTTTTTGAGCTAGAATGTTTACACACACACACACACCAATTTGCGGGACTTGGTTATTTGCACTCAGGGGACCTCAAAACATGTATTTCCATTGAAAACTGAGATTCAAAATTTTCACGATTGCGATACTTTCCTTTACTATATATTTCATATCTATATATGAAATATATTGTAAAAATACCTACCTTTATAGAAATATATAGTGAAAGTTACCTATGTAAGCGAAAGTAAAAATAATGGCAGTTTTATATTGCGTATTTATAAGATCTTATAAATATGCAGATCAGTTTTTTTTGTTCTGAAAAGTTATGTTTTCATTATTAGTTTCCTAGACTATTCGATGTTTGAATATATTATCATTAATTAGTAAAAACTGCTTCAAGGATATAAATATTTTATTGAATCGTGGAATTTCAGTTAGAAAGATCACCCTTCACCTACTTTTTATTTATTTAAATGGAAGACATTTTGAGCTTAAGCTGCTCCATTTTCAAGATTATTGATTTGAAAATGGACCAGATTAAGTTTAAAGTTTTGCCAAATTATATAAATAAAAGATGTGAAGTATCAAGAGTGATGTTTCTCCTTTAAGTTTCATGATTTAATATTTATATTGGTACCTTTAAAAAAAAATAAGATATCGTCAGTTAATTGTAAATCTTTCATTAAGTGACATCTCATAACCTTAAATCAGTAAGAACTTTGCATTTTCCTTTTCTAAAATCAAAAAATTGTACACTTCTTGTATATATGGTGGATATAAACGGATTTGTGTCATTTTTGTAAACTTACTGTGTTTTTTTATTAAAATATATAGTCAAAAGTCACAAAAATATTCTTATAAGTCCAGTTCAGTCAAAAATGTACTTAGTGACTTTTTACAATAAACCGACAATGTAATATAAACTGGAAATAAATATTTTAAAAATGTTGCTTAGCTCTATCTTGGTTATTATTAGTTATTTAAGAGGTTTATTACTAAGTAAATATTAAATTATGATTGTTTATAAAACTTAAAAGTCTGAAAGAGATATAAAACAGTATCAGATACGGTTTATCATACAACAATGTTCAATTGTCCTTATCAGTGCTTATACTCCCTCTAGTGGTAGTATTAGTAAATTTTACTGTTCTATAAGATAAGCCATTTTTCCTGCCCTAATTTGAGTCCTGATTACAGAGAAAATAAATCCTGTATGAAAAGATCTGTCATTTATGCCAGTGTTTATATAGTTTAATAGTTAAACCATAAAGTTTAGTTTAAATGGTGACAATTTCTGTTTTAATTAATTGAATGACAAAGTGACAGACAAATGTATATAGAACAGCTGATTTCAAGACAACAAAAAAAATTAATTAACTTATATGAACCTTTCAGTTGACAGAATTATTAACTCCAATTTCAACATTTTTGATTATTTATTTTAATGATGTTTCTAGTGGCTAAATTTAGACCTTTATTCACAGTTCTATATTTCAACTCAACAATTTTCCAACTAGAAATATCACTAAAATGACTTTAGTGATTGGAAATTGGAGTTTTCACATTATGTCAACTGAAAGACTCATATAATGTATTCTAAATTAATAAAAAATCTAAATACCAAAAATTAAGACATTTATTTTATTTTATACACAAAAAAAAAAAGTGATCCATATCTTTTATTAGATTGTTCATTATAATTGTTCATAGATTAAAAATGGGCCACTGAGAATACAAAAAAAAAAATGAAAACTTATGAAAATTTTTATGAAATTACATCATGAAATTCATGTAGTTAAGTTTCTGTCTTTCTAATCTGAATAATTAAAAAATTTATATATGTATATGTGTGTATACAACCAAATCAATTTCATATTCTGAAATAACTAAAACACATCAGTAAATAAATACTATGTTTTCTGCACAATCATCATTCCTGTTGATTAATTTAGATATATTATTTGGTTAGCATTGATAAGGAGCTGCAGTTCAATGGCTGTCGTTTACATGAGTAAATGTGACAGTAGCTATATGACAAATACTGTCAGTAATAGAAGTGGCTGAGACGATTGTTGCTATTATATTTTGATGATGTAGAGATGGTTGACCGTTGACATAATATGGTCAAATAAATACTAAATTAAACCTTGTTTTACATTTATACTTACATTCTAAAGTTCTCTTTTTAAAATTATTGTTTTCTTATAGAGTTATTTATGCTTAATAATCTATTCTAACGATATTACACTAATGTTACCCTGTTAATCTTTCAATTTCTTTGCTTCTTAACCTTTAGTCCCATTATCTGTTTACCTACAATCAAATGTAACCTCCACTAGCTTGTTATCCACTGATATCTTATTATTATGTTATCTTATTCTTATTTTAACTTTACTATAACAATACTTATTCAATTTTCAATTTATTTATTCGTTAACATTCATTTTCTTTATCTGTTAACCCACAGTCATCAAATGTAATCTCTATTAGTTTGTTATTCACTTATTCCTTATCTTTTATCGCAATCTGTTTACTCTCCTTTATTTTCTATTTTAATTCATGCTTATTTTCTATTTTTGTTATATCTTCTACCTATATAATACTTAATATTTTAACTACATTGTCACCCACTATATCTCTATCATCTTTTTATTTCTGTATCTGACAACTTCTTCTTATTTTATATCTACTTATATTCATTTATTTTATTTTCACCATGTTTTGTATCTTTTGTAGCCCTGAAGACGACCTGCAAAGTGGGTCGAAACGTCGGCAAAAATTAAATAATTACTATCTGTTTAATTTAGTATTTATTTGACCGCACCCTCCTCCCCCAATTAAATTCTTCTCATATTATATTTTGAGACTGTTTTCTATATCTTGTTTTTAAATTTCATTTCATTTGGTTTAATTCTAGCATCTTGGCCCGCTCAATGAAGCCTTCATAACTTAATGAAGGTGTATATTTCAAGTTCTCCATATGCGGCCCTTAATTCAGCATTATTCTTTCTTCTCCATGTGCCTTGTTCATAAACATTTTTCATCATTATCAAAAAAAACCGTACATCTTTCTTAACACCTTCCTCTTGAATCTGAGAAGGACCTGTTCTTGGAATTTAGTCACTGTCCAACGTTATGAGCCATATATAAATACCGGTCGGATAAATGATATATAAATTCTTGTTTTTGGATTCCTACATAATACATTACTTCTTAACTGGTTTTGGAGGGCAAAATATGTGCAGTTTGCTAGAAGTATTATTTTAGGATTCCATGCAAACTACACTGTTTAGTCTTAGTTGTCTTTAAGTTTCTGAGTTTAACTAGGATTAACGAGTAACCACATTAAGATTTAAGTTTTCAATCAATTTGAGTTTTATAGGTTTCAGTTAATAATGTTTGAATGTATTAATTTGGGACACTTAAACAGTGGGCTATGGTTCTCTATCCAAACTATTGTTTTCCAACTGGCATGAGTCAGTTGCTACTTTCCGATTGATCACAGGCACCACCATTTGAATGCTCATCTATACGAGATTCATAGGGACATGGATGTCCTTGTCTCGATTAAATAAGACAGAACTTTTCTGCTGACATATCTAATTGCATAAGTATACGAAACAGTTCGAAACAGTATTCATACAGTATAAGAAAAAAAATCCATTAATCCAAACAGCCATTTAATGATATGATACAAAAGCAATTAACTTTAATTAAAGAAGAATATTTTAATAAATGAAGAGGTCGAACTAAATTTTAAAAAATCCATTAATCCAGCCATTTAATGATATAAAAGCAATTAACTTTAATTAAGGCAGAATATTTAAATAAATGAAGAGGTCGAACTAGATAAAAAGAAATCCATTAATCCAAACAGCCATTTAATGATACAAAATAAATTTAATTTAATTAAGGAAGAATATTTTAATAATTGAAGAGGTCTTACTTAATACAGCTGGATTAGAAAAACAATTTTCATAACACTCTCCATCAAGATGGTGACTTAGCTTTCATGGAGCTTTTTGGGAAATGAGAATTCATATCACTATTAATTTTTCCTCCTCCCATTTTTCAAACCTGTATACCTACTCATTTTATTGTATTTAAATAATTAAATACGTACTTTGAAAAATGTTTGCAATTTAACAGACTAATTTTAATTTTAATACTGCCATTTATTAATTATATTTTTCAATTTGATCTTTAATGATTAGTTTGAACTTTTATTTAATTTTATAGAAAACAGTTTCCTGTAGTCGCTAATACAAGTGCTTCACTCTCTATACCAGCCTGGCAGATAGCTGGCACGACTGAAGAAAAAGATGAAGAAGGCGCTGCGACCAATGGCAGTGATTCAAGCTTGGAGATGATCAAAGAGTAATTAAAATTTAGGTGAGTTTTTCAAAATAATTTTTACTGAATTTTATATATTTTTTATTTTAACTCATCTTGACCACCTGACATTAAAAATTATTAAAGGATAGAGCTAGGTTAAGTGGGAATAAAGTAGTTTCCACCAGAATTTAAATTCTACCATGATCATCATAACCTTAAGCTATCATCTTTTTTTATAATGATGTAGAGATGGTTGACCGTTGATATGATATGAGAAGGAATTAGTCGAGGGTGCGGTCAAAAAGACACTGCCAGTGTTTCAACCGCCTCCCGCAGTGCCACATCCAACGGTATGTTTTGACTTTTATTGAGATTCCTTTCTTAACACACCTATCCTTCAACTATACACCTTATTATTATCTTCATACAGCCTACCATTCCATTACCGCTTTCAAAAAACTAAATGTCAATTGTCATCTATATATAGTACAACCTGTTTTTTTGTTTCTTTATCATCATAACCTTGTTTTTACATTTATTCTTACATTTTAAAGTATTCTTTTAAAATTATTGTTTTCTTATAGAGTTATTTATACTTAATAATCTATCCCAACAATATTACACTAATGTTACCCTATTAATCTTTCAATTTCTTCACTTCTTAACCTTTGGTCCCGTTATCTGTTTATTTACATTTAAAGGTAACCTCCACTTGCTTGTTATCCACTGATATCTTATTATTATGTTATCTTATCCATATTTTAACTTTACTGTAACAATAGTTATTCAATTTTCAATCTATTTATTCGTTAACATTCATTTATTCGTTAACATTCATGTATTTATTTTCTTTTATCTATTTTCTTATCATGTATTTATTTTCTTTATCTTTTATTTCTGTATCTGACAACTTCTTCGTAATTTATATATACTTATATTTATTTTTATTTTCAACATGTTTGTATCTTTTGTAGCCCTGAAGACGACCTGCAAAGTGGGTCGAAACGTCGGCAAAAATTAAAATTATTTATATATTTTAATTTTTTTTATTTTTTCACCGCACCCTCGACTAATTCCTTCTCACATCTTTTTTTATGTTACTTTTATTAATCTAACATAAATTTATATCTCTTCGATTGTCAGGGGCGTAGTAGATATATCTCTTTTTTTCTCCAGTTTCCAATTATCATATTCTTTCAAATTTCACATTTAGCAATTTTTTATAGTTACTGTCAATAAAATATAGTTAATTTTTTAAAATAAACCATGTTAAAGGTACTTTGGAGAAAGACGTATATGAACATTTGGCACAAGTCCTGTAAAGTGACATCAATGGGGATAAAACTTAAATGATATTAAAGACCACTTAATTATACAATGATATACCGAGTTTAATAAAAAATTGTTAGAGCCGTTTTTGAGGAAATTGTAAAAATGTGTTTCACTGTTGATATAAAGTGGCACTTCCTATTAGCCGATTTTAATGAAAAAGTTGCTATCGCATCTGAACCATATCCAAAACTTAAATGCGTAATTTCAATTCCGTACTACTTTTCGTTTTTGAGCTGCTTACACACACGCACCCGCACACACAAAATTTTAAGATATCTTATGTTTTTCACTTCTTTTATAAACTTGGTACAATATGTTATATTTAAATTAAAGATTTGTATTTGAGGTAGGTATGTAAAATTACTTTTTAAAAAGAACTTTTTATAATTTTAAAAATATTAATTAATAAATTAATTTTATTGTTTGTTTTCAGGTAAATTGGTGAATGGTGTCAGATAGGAATTCGTTTAGAGCTGGCTGTGTGTTCCTTCTTTGTGATGTGCTGTTTTGTCTATGGTTGATAATGTTTTAATATTTGCTCTTACGTGATAGATATTGGCTAGTTGGTATGCTCTCATGGTTTGAAAATCATTCATATATTAATCCCAATAAAAAATCTTCCCTAAGTGTATTAGAATATAAACGATGATTCCATCTTATTATTTTCATCCTTATTTAAAATTATTTCCCAATAATTATCAACTAGTTATTTTATAACTTAGTCTGAGATGGTTATTTTTTATTAATATTTAATGAATGATTTCTGTTGTAATGTTTTACTGTATAAAGATTTTTATTTTTGTTGTGAATTTTTTTTTTGTGAATAAACCTCTTAGAATAAGATAATTTCACAGATTAAAGGTACATTATTCTAGTGTTCCTCTTAATTGGGGAGGCCTACAGGTGTAATATTTGCAAAAACAGGCTATACAAAAAAAAAAGTGGTGTTCAGAGATGAAATAAATGCTGTCCAAAGAAAGCTCAGAAAAAGATTATTCCAGCTGTATAACAAAACTGGCTCTATCATGATGTTGTACGCCCTAAATTTGAGAGTTCTCGATTTCAGTACCCATGAGTTTTGCTATGCCAAGTTGAAGTAACTTTCCAGTTTTTTGATGGCAACATTTTCTAGGTATATACCTTTTCCAAATCTTTACAACAAAGAAACCTTACTTTCTCGATATCTTTACTCCTTGTGCCTCTGTTCATTCGTTGAACACGAGATCCTAACCTTCAAACCTGTTTATTCCTTCTCATAGAACTTACTTACTTACAGTACAGCTCTACAGTCCGGTGTGGGTCCTGGCTTCCTGGATTATAGCATGCCAATTATCTCTATTCTTCGCCCTTTCCTTCCAGTTTCTTACACCCACTGTTTTAATGTCGCTCTCAACATCTTGCAGCCATCTTTTCCTTGTTCTTCCTTTTCTTTTTGTGCCATACATTTTAGAGAACAATGCCCTATAAGGCATCCTGCTGTTGTCCATTCTAACAACGTGGCCTAACCATTCTATGCGCCTAGTTTTAACAAAATGAACTATGTTATTGCTATTATATAGTTCATATAGCTCCGAATTTTTACACATCCTCTTCAAAAACAGCTCTATAAATTCTTCTCAATATTTTTCTTTTAAAAATATTCACCATACTAATTGTGCTTGTACAACGGGTCCAGTTCTCCGCTGCACAAGTCTCAATAGGTCTTACTAAAGTCTAATATAATCTTATCTTTGTTTCTCGTGACAGGAGCGATGATCGAAAAAATTTTAGGTTGGCATAATACGCCCGGTTTCCAGCCATGATCCTCTTGTACACCTCAGCAGCAATTTTATTTTCAGAATTCACTTCCACCCCCCGGTATGTGAATTTTTTGGCACACTCGTAGGCGAGACCACATATTTCAATGTCCTCAGAGGACCAGCCTCATTGTCAGCCCCGATGTATTTTGTCTTATTTTTATAATTTATTAGATATCATTCCACTAACATTACATGATATCATCTCTTCAAATAATAGACCCAATTACCTCAGTAAATGAAAAGTTTTCGATTTATCAATAAACAAAATAAAAGAAATCGAACTTGGAAGGGAAAGAAAACGTACTAAATGTTTAAAATGATATATCTCTGTAACAAATAGTCCGATTTTGATGATTTTTTTTTTTCATTTTGTAGGGAATCAAGAAAGCTTTCGAATAAATATTGGTATTATCAACAAAAAAATGTCTACTTTTTGAGTTATTCGCAAATCAAATACTGAATTCATCAAATTAACAGATTTGTTTTATTGAGGTTCGTTCAATTGTAAAAAAATAATAAACAAAAATCTTTTTGTCTACATTTAAAATCTATCGAACCGCAACACGACAAAAATTTAATTTATAACCATTGGTTGAGAATCTCACAGTTTTAAGTGCTTTTAAAGATGTTAAAATTTCTTTGTTCTTTTACCGCTACCATCAGTTTATCTGGAGAGCCGGTTAAGTGAGAGTCTACTGTACTATAATTTTATATCACATACAGACTACCCAATGAACGTGAAATGGCTATTTGTTGACATGCTTCCTGAAGCGTGTGGGCGGGGTGGCCAAAAAAAAAAAAAAAAAAAAAGCTTCCTGAAGTTATATTGACAGGAAAATTTTGTTTTTGTGTAGCTAAGCTCCATCTACAAGGTCATTCTTTAATTTGTTTGCCTATACTTACTTTTATACATTTCTATTTGTTCAAAGCAGGTTTTAATTTGTCTGAAAGAACTTAAATATTTCTTTACATTACGGCATGGATTACCGCACAGATCAATTCTTCCATCTTTGCAGTACATACTTATATGTAATCTACTTATATTACATTCCAACTTACCCCAACATAATAATACCGAGGACTGAATCTTAAGCAGACCATACACGGTAATTCATGAATGAACGTCACAAGAAGTTCCAATATTGCCCGCGATCGTTTTGATCATGAAGACCCTTACATGTTCAATCATTACTGATCATTACTTATCGTTGCTGATACCAATTTAGCTCAGTTGTAAACAAAGAAACAGCATAGATATGCTTATTTGGACATTGTCATTTATAATATTGGGCATCAAGAGAAAAACGGAGATATAATAATTACTTCCTAGTGGCTGAAAATCGTTTAGATCAAAGTTAGTAAAATATAAGTCAACTACATACAAAAATTTAGGAAAAGTATTGCGAAAATAATCAATTTGTTAAGAAAAATGGAAAAATTAATGGCAAATAAACACAACAGTTAAAGATTTTTTTTCTATAAGTAAATTGTGAAGTTTCCACTTTTTCTCTTCAATTTATTGCCTACTTGACTACTTAAAAAAAAATAGTAGAAAATGGTTAATAATAATATAGATTGGGGATATAAACAACTATTTACTTAATAACGAGACCTAGGTAAACTAACCTATCTAGTAGTAGTCTCATAGAAAATCGTTTTGACAAAAGTTAGTAAAATATAAGTCTACTACTTACAAAAATTAAGGAAAGGTATTGCGAAAATAATAAATTTGTCGAGGAAAATGGGAAAAGAACTGATAAATATACACAACGATAAAGTTTTTTTTTTTCCTAAAGTAAATTGTGAAGTTTTCTCACTTTTTTTAAAATTTGTTGCCCACTTGACTATTTAAAAGAAATAGTTGAAGATGTTTTAAAATTATAAACAAGGGATATGAAAAATTATTTAACTATTTACATATAATGAAAATCAGAAATTTATAATGGTTGTGAGGCCTAGGTAACCTAACCTATCCAGCAGTATGGTTAGTCTCCCCACTACTTTTACCTCAGTCCCCCCTCCACTTCTCGTGAATGAACCTTTGATTTCCGAATGTTCGGAAATCCGCAGCGCACCACCATCAGTACTTCATTCACTACCTTAAACGACAATTCGGAACGTCATTAGTGCAATTCCGATTGACCGTGTAGGGTCCCCTTTAAAAACTAATCTAGAATATTGTTCAAAAATAGGTCAAGGTAGTACGAATAAAATCATAACGTGATCTTATTTCGTCTAAAATAAAAGGAATCTCAAGGAATATGAGTATAACAAAGTGAAAATAATTAAATTATATTTGGTTACGAAAAGCAGTCAGAGTAATTTACAATCATAGGAATAGATAATCTGTGATATTACATAGGGATAGAATAATATATTTTATTAAGAAATAATACCAATCATAATGATACAGATAGACCTAATGGCACCCTAATAAATAAGTATATTTTTTCAACATCAAACATATATAAAACAAATTTTCCCAGTGATTAGGTTTAGAAACATCTTTTCTAGTGCAAACTAAATACTTTTTCATGCCTATTTAATATAGTCTTCAGTAATTAAATCACACTTGAAACATCTGTTATAACTAATTAATTCTTAGAAAACCTTCGTGAGTGAAAATATTAAAAATAGAAAAAAAAAAAAAAAATGTAACTATTAAAGACAATAATACATCAGTGGGTGGCCATTTACAAGTAGGTATGAATATATTTCTAAATTCTAATTTTTTTTCTTATTTTCACATGTAATATAATTCAATTCACATAAATTATATAATTTGCTATAAATATTTTTGCCTATTGATTAATATTTGTCTTTCAAATTTGCGACAAAGTCCGAAATAATACCCACCGAGACGAAGAATCCTCATGATTCTTCGTACTCTCACAATAAAGTACAGATCTTGAAATATATACAGATATAACTTTTTCTTGTATATAATATAACAAATATAAAACATAAAATTTCCATGCATAAAGAAATAAATCATAATCGATAAATATTCAATTAAACAACAATTAACAATATTTAGAAGATAATAAGCATCGTCAATTCTTTCTACAATTTTTTTTTTTTTCTCGCTATATAGTTGATCTGCATCAATGAAAAAAAAAATCGATGATCATTTTCTTCCACATCACAAGCTTTACTAATTTATTACTAATATTTATTGTTTAATATTTTATGTCGAAATGGGAAAATACAAAATGCTATTTAATTTAATATAGAACAAAAAATGATCCATTTTTAAATATTTTGAACTAAGTAGTAATCAGTAACTTATAATTTATGCAAAGTTGATATAAATTAAATTATAATAAAGTAAGAGATTCAATTTCATTATTTTTACAACAGTAATGCGACAGAAATATTTTTTATTTTGTTCTCAACCTGCAAGAACACAATTAACAAAAAATAGATTATATAATCTAAAAAATTAAAAATAAAAATAAAATAATAATCTCAATACACTTGGTATACTGATAGTTCTTAAAAAATCGATATTTGGTCATGGGAGAGCTTCTCGCATTAATTTAACATTCTGGGCATGTTTCCCATTTTTTAAATGTTTTTCTTTTTGATTGAATAAAAATTATTTTTGTGTACAAATTGCAAATGCCAAAGCATTTTCACATAATACATTTGTATAAATAAATAAATTTGATCTTATTTCATCATTAAAAGCCAATAATTGAGTAACAGGTTACAATTATACATAAAAGCAATGATGTATTGCTTAAATAAAAATTAATAAAAAATAAAAGAAAAAATATATATCAACCTTTTGGAATAAATCTTTCCAATAGAAATAAATAAAGAAAATGGCATTTTATTTATTTTTTAAAATTTTAATAAAAGGAATGCCGAGAATCTCATTTACAGCTAATAGAAATAATTTTTAAAATGTAACTTTTGAGACCTTATAGGAATGGCATGGCAGTCTAGGAAACAGGTGAGTCGAATAAAATAGGAAACAAAAGAAAAGTCAAATTACTTTTTCAAATGTTTCTACTTTTATATTCTTTACTTATTTCCTGTCCCATAAAAATTAATATACAACAGTTATTGTCTCGGCAAAAATTTGTGCAATCAGAATTGCAAGATTTATTCCTCTCAACTATCATTCTTCAAATGTCCTTTAGGTAAGTTTAGTGTGTGTGGATTTCAAAAAATAAATATTATAGAGCCATTGTTAACCTAAACTAACAAACTTTACTTCAATATATGAAGTAATTATTGAATTTTCTCTTCTTTGTATCGGTGATAACATCTGTAAAACTGTTCTATATCCACTTGTAATAATATGTATAACAAAAGATACCTGAGTATAAAAACATAACAAGAAAGAAACTTAATAAAGAAGAAAGACAGAGAGAGGTATGCACAAATAGAACAATTTAGCATCGAGTTTCGTAAAGACCACTGCGTCCAATGTACCTCACCCACTTGATAACATCATGGTCAGAATAGTTCAGCTTGGGCTCGAAAACTTTCAAATAGCGCACTTTGAATCCTGAAGGAGCGAATGGTACCTACAAAAATAATAACAAACAATTAACATGCTTATAAAATTGATTGATAAAAACTTCTATAAATCATACAGGAGAATTAAAAACAAACAAATATTTGTTGAGGTACTATTTCGCTGGTACTGCCCACGCACGGTAGCGACTGCTGGTGGTTGAGCACTGCTTAAGTGGAATAGAAAGGAACCTATTTTGTTGGCGCTGCTCGGCAGTCTAGGTATGACGTCATATCTGACCGCTTCTGAAGCAGTGGAGCTGTTGGCAGTGCGGAAGTTATAGGTTATGTTATGATAACAGAGCATTGTTTTAATGATAACTTTCACCTTGATACATTTCATTTTCTTTTTTTTTTTCTTCAAGTCAGGCAAAATTAAATGAAATATTGTTAAAAATTTAAACAAAGCTATAATAAATCGTTTTGTACAGGTTGAAGTAAGAAGATCATTAATTTAGTTATTCCACCAAAAGTATTTTACAGAGAAATTCAAATATATCTCGATCCAAATGACATCATTAAATAATCAAAAAATTTTAACTCCAGGCAAATATTCAAATTCAGACATTGAAAAATCTATTTTTTTTTTTTTTTTTATACCCATTAGGGGTCGACGTGCTCATGGCCACCACGAAAAAAAAAAAAATTTGTATTTTTAATTAAAGTGCTGATTTACTGATTACCTCTTGATAAAACGGTAAAATATTTCCTGTTATCAAAATAATAATTACTAATAAATCTAAAATCGAAGATTAATCCTCAGTTCTTAAAATAATGCTTTATCATCTTATTAATATCATGAATACTTATATTTTATATTCAAAATATTACAAGAAACAATAATTTTGTAGAAGGTAGGAATTAATTAATATGTGGATAATTATTAACATTTCATAGTACAGACATAACCTAACTTTGTTATGCAACTTTAACTACCAGAAAAAATTGCATGTATTAATTAAATAAGATCAAAACTAAACCATCAAATCTATTGCTATTCTTCTGATACAAATAAACACCATTATATTTAAGGCTAACATTTTTATTTAAAATTATATCAAACTAGGATGCTAAATTGATAAGACAGTGAGCAGTTTCAGCGAAACAGTATCTTTACATATTTAAAAAAAGTTATCATTGATGTTTACAGTAAAACTTTTTTTTCTATAGTGGATATCTATGGGAGAATCAAATTCTGTTTGCTACAGACAGATGTCTGTCATAGAGAAAATGATAAAATAAAATATACACAAATAAAAATTAGTAGATTAAAATTGTATCTCTTGAATCATACTATGAATAGCAAGGGGCTAAGATTGTCAACTTATTTGAACCCGCTAGCTACGTTTAAGTACTCCTCACCATTTGATCTAACAATTCCTTTTAGGTCTTGCTATGTGGACTTAATAGTTTCTGCCTGGCTTCTTGGAATATCTTTAACTCTTAATAACTCCCATATCTCGTTCCATGGGAGCGAATGCTGCCCTAATATTAAGGAAGGCGAGGTACATATTTTTATCCCGATCTGAGAATTTATGAGTGAGTAAGTGGTTCTGTGTTTGTCCTCCTCCTCGGAAACCAGCTTGCTCCTCTCGTATTAGCGGCTCCACCAGAGGTCTTAAGCTACCTTCAAGGATGGAGGTATATAATTTGTACACCACTGAAGACAGGCATATGGGTTTATAGTTGGAGCATTCCTGCTTAAGCCCGGCAGCCTTTTTTTGTTAATGGGAATTATGACATTATATTACCGAACTGTAGGAATCCTTTTTTCGTCTGAGGCATTTCAGGCAAAAAGTATTTTGATATGTGTGTAAATAGAAGTAGATAAGTAGAAAGTAGAGGACTATTTAGTTACCACGAATCTGAAAATTTTGTGAAAATCGGAGCTGCTGCAGTAAGTGATATTTTCATCACATGTAAGAGATTATAAAAATACAGAAATAGAACCAAATTTGTTTCGTAATGTCAATAACATAGGACAGGAGCAGAAATTTTTGATTCTGAACACATGTTTTCTCACCTCAGGAATACATAGCTTATCCATCGTCAATAGTGAGAAAATAAATTACACAGAAACTTACAAAATACATTTATTTAATATAATAAATAAAAAAAAAATCACCTCAAAATTCATGGATATAGGAGGACGTGTCCATTTTTTCTTAGTATCAGTTTCTAACAATTCAATTTCGGCAGACAGTTGAGTTTCTTTCATACCTGCCATCCGTTTTATCCTATGTGCACATAATAAAACATTAATTAAAATTAAAACAATAACAATTCCTTAAGTAGTTTTATCATTAAAAAAATAAAATAAAATATAATAATTGCAAATAACTCACTTCCAGACAATAGCATTTTCTGAAGCCTTGTACTTCGCTTTTCCTTTCAAGCAGATGAGCTGAACGCCTGAGGTATTGAGAGGCGTAGGAATGCGCACTTCCATCTTCTGCCCCAAGAGGGAAGGCTTGAAGTTGGACTTGAGGACAACTTTCACTTCCATCCTAGTCCTCCCCACTTCTCTCACGAGAGGGATCACACGGAATGGCAAAGATATATCCTTTGTTGTTCTATACCTATAACCAAGGACAAGTAATAATGAAACATACATTACAGAAATTTATGGATATTTAAATATGAGATAAAACTTGGAAAAATCTGGTGCGCGCTTCACACGACTTACACTTACCACCCTCTTAGCAGAATCAAGTATTTTCAAATAAAGTGAAAGTTAAAATTATAGAAGCTATATTTATTTACATTTCATTGTGGGTATTCTTATTAAATAATAATACCAATGATAGCATTTGTGAAAACCGCATATGTATATGTACATAGAATTGTTGGAGTCTGTATTGTATTAAGCTCATGTTACATATGGAAGCCTATTGTAATCTTTCGGGCGAGCTCGGATGCGCTCGTATTTCTTTGATTCCTCTATTACAACTATTATCCGTTACGATCTCTTATTTCTCCTTTAGCTAATTATCAAATTCTTTCATATTTTATATTTAACTATTTTTTATATCAGAGATTAACGTGAAATAGTTAATTATTTCAAATAAAAACAATTAAAGGTATTTAGTATTTAGGAAACTAAGGTATTTAGGAAACTAGTATTGAAAATTACCCATTTAAGCCCTGTTAGAGAATATCAATGAGAATAAAACCTACATTATATTAAAAACTGATTAATAATACACTGATATGGAGAGCTGGATCAAAATTGTTTGAGCCATTTTTGAGAAAATCGTAATAATGTCGTAACAATTTCAATTTCTTACGGCTTTTTGCTTTTGAGCTAGGCTGGTTTACACACACACACAAGCACTTACCATTTTGTGGGATTTGGCCTCAGGGGATCTCAAAACGTGTATTTCCATTGAATACTTAGATTTGAAATTTTTCACAATCACAATACTTACCGTTATTATATATTACATATATAAGTAAGTGAAAGTAAAAAAATATTGAGAATTTTTTTTTGTGCATAGAAAAATAAAAAACATAATTTGATGATGAAATTTGGGTACCTGTGAACGGTCTGGTCTCTGGTAAACCTCCCTTCTTATCTTATCTTATGTTACGTCACATACCCTGCCTTTTTATCTAGTGTAAGCTGTTGTATGTACGTTATTAAAGTGGATGTTATTACACTGTGGGAATCGCCGCCTTCAGAAGAAGAGGCTATCAAATATTTTCAAGACGTCGGGATAATCGCAAAGGTGAAATGGGGATGCTTTTGTAACACTTGTAAGAAAAACGTATCTATAAGGAAAGGAACGTGGTTAGAGGGGTAGAAGATTACCTTTTCAACCGCTTTAAAATTAATTTATGGATGGTCTCATAATTTGACAACAATTCAGCGGGGCAAAGAGCAGCTGAAACTATCGAACAGGTGTATCATAATGAGAACAAATTTTTAAGAGAGGTTCGTGCTCATAACATGTTACGCAGGTCAATTAAAAAAATTGGAGGGCCTGGGAAAGTCGTTGAAGCAGACGAGAGTCTTTTTTCTAAAAGACAAAATCATGTAGAGAGAGTTCTTTCTGAACAATAGATGTTTGGTGGAGTTTGTCGAGAAACAGACCAGTGTTTCATCGAAAAAATAAAGGACAGAAAGGCAAAAAATTTATTAAATGTATGTATATGTATGTTGTAAAATAAAAGTGTTTCGTTATTTTATTATCAGTGCCTTATCACAATTATCAGTGTTCAGGTTATAAACATTGGCAGATAGCAGTCCATAGAGACCAGACCGTTCACAAGCACCGAAATTTGTTATCATCCTCTCTCCCTCCAAATAAATAATAAAGGGAAAAGTACAATAGGTACTTTTTTTTAGCGGGCCGGCACTGACTGCTATCTGCCGATGTTTATAACCTGAACACTGATAACTCCCATAACGCAGTGATAAGCCTTCTCCTACTTCAGATCTTTGTATTATTGTATTAAATTCGTATTATTGAAAGTGTAAACAGATACAAAAAGAAATGTAATAACAAAAAACATGTAGATATAAAAGATGAAAATGAAATAATAAAAAAACATTTAAAGAACATATTTACATAGAAAAGAAAAAATATCAACACTATAAACAACATATGTACAATTTATTTTCACTTTGTCTTATTTATTTTGGAAGGCAAAATTGTTTTATGCTATTTAAAATAGCGAGGAACGGCACAATTTCACGTCTGCAAGTATCTCTACATTTTGAAAATATTGAATTGCCTGTTCTTCTGAAGACGGCAAATCCCATATTCTAAGAAGATCCATAATATGATGAAAATAAACGAAAAAAAAAATGAAAAATAAACACAAATGGGCCAAAAACTAAAAATAATGAAAAATAAGCACAAACGGGTCAAAAGTAAAGAATTTAATAAGTGAACATAATAAGGGAATAACTGAAAACTAAACAATGCAATAACTCAAAGGTTTGGCGGGATAAGAAGAGGGAGGTCATGTGACGTGACGTTAGATAAGAAGTGAGGTTTCGTGCCGGCCCGCTAGACAAAAAGTACCGTACAATAAAACTGTACAGCTGTTCAACTATGTTGATTTGCTGACACTCAGCATACTCATCAGTCGCAATCGACAACGCTTCATGAAAGAGAAAAAAAGAGAGTTTTGAGGGACTATTATCTAAAGTACCAAATGTTATAATTTATTTTCTTGTTTTATATATATATATATATATTTTTTTTAATAAGGAAGAAGTAAGTTTTAGCTTCCTATTCATTAGTTAGGCAATGGGTCGCTGAGCTCTGGGTCCCAGGTTCGAACCCGGCTGCGGCTGAAGTAATTATTTATTCTGTTTCATCTGCCGTAGATAAGACTCTGAGGTCGAGAGACCCTCCTTTGGCACAACTAGCCTCTATAAAGTGGGTACTCTCAATTAAATAATTAATTAAGAGGAAAAACCGGGCAGTTGAGCGTAAACCTTTGGCCTTGAAACAGTACTTCTTAAAGTACAGAACCCAAGACCTTCAATGATTCGTAGCGGTTTCTTTCCTTTTTTATTCATTGATGTGGAATTGAAATAGGAAGAAATAATTAAGAACAATAGCAAGCATGAGCAAGACCATAATACCTCATGAGCTCAAATTCTCCATCAGGAGGAATGAAAGAGATGGAATGTTCAGTTTCAAATTTTGATAATTTGACGCACTGATGGAACTGACAATCGTCGATGACAACCACAGGCTTACCGGATCGTGCACCATCGTCACCACCAGCCACCGATATACCACTTCCGCTGCTTTTACCTAATAAAAGAAAGTTTAAATTATTTTAAAATTTTATTTTACAAAAACTCATATCTAAAACAAAATAAATTGAACAGAAAATAAAAAATATTTATTCTCACCTTTTGATTCCATTACGATCTTATCATTGATACCAAATTTGCATTCTGGCATGCCTGAAAGGTAAGACTTCATAACGACCTTACCAGCAACATGAGCCGACAGGACTTGTCCTGCAACGAAATAATAAATAAATCACTAAACAAATTATTTTCTAATGAACAAAGAAATATCAATACAAAGAGTTATCTGACAAAAAAAAAAAAAGGTGTTACATGTTAATATTTGTTTTTAATTTAACTTATTTATATTTACTTAAATGTTACAGCAATTTTTTTTCCAAAACCAACAAATTAAAAGTGACACTTTATTTCATTGATTTAACACATCTTTACAATTTTCTCAAAAACAGCTCTACCAATTTTGATTATACTCGTTACATAAATGCGAAACTAAATATTCTTTAATATTAAACACCATTAAAATAGTGTGACAGAGCTTAAATGCAGGGTTCTAAAAATGCCTTCCTCTAAAGTGCCTTTTATTTTGTTTATTTGAACTGATTAACTGTCTGTTGCGGTTAATAGTAATAAGATATAGCTAAATATAAACTTTGAAAAAATTGGTAATTAACTAAACAAAGAAATGTTTCCCAGGTTGTTTGCAAACAAATATTCAGAAACAAGGGTCAAAATATAAATATAAAATGTTTAGCTAAAATTTTAAGGAATTAATATATCAGTTGCCAATTAAGTATTGATATGAATGATAGTAAAAAGAGGTGATATAGTTTGAATCAGTGCAGACTCTGCTGTTCTTGACTAGCTGCAATATTAATTAAATCAGATCAGAATCATAATATAATAATAATATTTTATATTTAGGGATTTAGTCTGTGTTAGGCTTATTATCTTTATAAGAAAAATAATCAAATTATTAATAAGATGAAGACCAATATAAGAGTTTTTGTAAAATTTTCACAAATACTACTTTTAGACCTTTTACATTATTATAAATAAAAATATTTTTTTAATTTTTGATAAGGTTTTAATAAAATTAATTCATCAAAATTAACCTTGAGGGGACATGAGAAGATTAACGAATTCCAAGACATCCAAAAATAATTCATTCCTGCGATACTTGATCCCTTCCCTGCGCCATCCTATTTGTCCTGTTACTTGAGACGTGATTTGTGCCTGTTCTTCCTTTGACTGAGACTTCACACCTTGTTGTGTAATGAATGTCTTTAATACGCCAGTGTCAGAGTTTTGAGGATATCCAAAGTCCAAGATTTCTAAATAACATATACAAAAAAGTAATGTCTATCAGTAAAAGAAATATAGAAAATAACATTTAAACAAAATAGCATACTACAGAGCATTTAGAGAAAATTACTACTCATTATTAGTCTGTTTAACCTCCATTTTAAAAATAATACAACTGTTGTATTTAATTGTACTACTTGTTGCTCAAATAGTATAAATATAATTTACATATATTCTTTAGATCAGAAATTTTTTCAATTTTTTTAAAAACCTATATTATACATTGTGCCTTATTGCCAATTTATATTATTATATAATTATCATAATTCTTATCGTCAATTTGAAAATGTAATAAGGAAAAAATAATTTTGAGAATAAGAAGTGTGGTGTCTAGATTACAGTACGTCCCGCTTTGTATATGTAAAATAAAATATGACATAGCCACTAAAAACTTTTTTAAATAATAGAGAGAAATAAATCACTATCTCAAAGTTTAGTCACATCTTATGGATTTCTAAACTGTAAATATATCTTTCTTTAATGATGTACAGTTGACCATGATATAATATGAGGAGTTGGTTGGGGGGTGCGGTCAATAAATAAATACTAAATTTTTAAAATAGTATTTTAATTGTTACGCCAACGTTCCAACTACATTGTCATCCACTATATCTCAGATGTCATCTTATTATCTCCTTAACAGACTACTGTTTCTCATTAAATATTTATATTTTGAATCTTTTGTAGCCTTGATGAAGACCTACAAAGTGGGTCGAAATGTCGGCGGTACAATTAAAATACTATTTTTAAAAATTTAGTATTTATTTTATTTACTTGACCACACTCCCCGACCAACTTCTCATATATTTATCGTTGATCATAAGCCCATCCAATTTAGTCCTACCTTGTTATTTATAAATCTATAGGTTGTTAATTTGTCTTTCTTTCAATTGGTGTAATAAAAAGGTACTGCTAATATTATCTTGATTATTTTAAAGTTAGAAGGAGGAAGAGAAGTAATTTTTACATATAAAATAAATCTATCTAATTTTAAATACTTCATTAAAAAAAAAAATGTTATCAATCATTTATAAAAATATATATATATATATATATATATTAATATTCATGAAAACAATTATGATTAAAAATATATAAAGGCAAACTAATGGCTTAATTGCCATGGCAATAAAAATTTTAGATCTCTTTCACATTTTGTTTATATATTAAGCATTTCGATAAAAGTAAAATTCATTACAATTATGAGCAATTTAAGACTCAACACAGACAATAAAGATAAGAAATGGGTGTTTGACTAGCAAGATAAGCTTGTAACAGTTACAAAATTTAATATAACTTTTGTTTAAAATTCTGGTATGTTAAATTATACAAGGACAAAAAACTGAAAAACCAAAAGAAAATGGAATGACTTTTTGAGAGTCATAAGTTTCAAGTCAGAAAAGAAAAGCTTCCATTCTAAGATAATACATATGCGGCTTTAGAAATTAAAAAGTTAAAATTCAACACTGACAAGATAAATGAAAATTAGTTGCATTATTAATTTTTAATAAAAAAAATAAATACCTATTGATTTCATTTAGGAATATACAATGAAAAATTAATTAAAAAATAAAATATGCAATATTCTACAATTTATTTTAACGAATATGATTTCTTCTAATAGAACTTTTACCAAGAAACTTCTAGGGAGAGGAAGTAGCTTAAGATGTATTTATAATAATAAACCAAAATTTGAGATAATTAAGCAAATAAAAAAACTAAGATTGAAAGGAAGACAATCCGGAAAAATTATTGGAATTGTGCAACTTTGTATTATGACACAAAAGTAAATATTTTGGAGTGTTTACAGATAATAACTAATGAAATTAAGTTTTAAAATATTGAGCTGCAAAATGTTACTCATAATGATGACCTAATGACTAATTAAAAAGGAATGTAATAGTGAATTTACCATCAAGGAGTTCATAGATAAGAACGAAATTGTTTTTTATGTTTTCTTCTGATATTTTTCCAAAGTAAGACTGCATAACATCAATAACTTTGAGGAGGAATTCAAAAACCATTGCTGCATTGACATTTTGCTTAGTGACCGCTGCAAGCCATATATTAGCCCTCTGGAGAAAGAAACAAAAACAAATTACACACATACAGCTTCAAAAGATGTAATATACATTAAATTCAGACTTTCGCTGGTAAAGCTTACCTTTATATGGAAGAAAGATGTTCGAGCAATGTTTGTAACAGGAGATCTCACCTGTTGCCTTGCATGAATGACATTAACACGGAACGCATCAACTGCATTACGGCCAATATCATCCCTATACACCCGTGAGATGAGCACTTCTCCTTTATGATTATACACAAACAATCCTCCAATCATTTTGAAATGTACTTATGAGATCCCTAGTAAAACATCCAAATCTCTGTTAGTACAATGAGAAACCAAGGCAGAGAACACATATACATAAAAAATACCACAAATAATTACTTTATATCATTTTAAATGTCTCAAGAGTTAAAATAACGGCATTATTAGAGCTGATATGTAGCTAAACTACAGATGTATCGTTTATCAATTAATGCTGAATCCTGCATTGTTTATGTACCAAAGCCTTGAAAGAGATATGCAAATAGGCATTACCACTCCAAATCTGACAGTTCAGATACACAATAATATACGAATATAAAGATTTTATTTAAAATAGAAGCGAAAATGCGGTCCACATCTTAATCAATAAGGAACACCTACTGATTGTGGCATCATTATCTCGAATGAAACCAGCCCCCCATGAATCGCGATAATAGAAATAAGTTAAATAAATATTATAATTCAAACGCCAATAAATTTTTGAAAAATCTAAATTCTAAATCGCTTGTTATAATTTAATTTTAACTTTTAATACTAAATAAATGAAGTATTTTTATTGTATATTTATATTTTTTTCATTTGGACATTTGTATTTCAAATTATTAAGATCGATTCATTTATGTTAGAATAAAATTAGCCATTTAAATAGAAGATAGTGGGGTTAAGTAGTTTATGAAAACAAAAACCTTGATATTAAAATAAAAAATCATGATTGTTTGGGCTGGAGATAGGAGTTGTGAAGGAACCGTTGTGTTGGGTCGATTATGGCGACCAACCGTTGAAGATGTCTATGACGAACCTGTGTGTGAATCTAGTTTATTGTAAATAGCCAATGTTTCTCCCCCTTCGCCAACTCAATGAACAGTAATACTCAACCAAATGCTTAAGGAATTGCAAATGGGACTTCGGGCTTGTTACATGCTTGCCTCTCGTGTATGGACCTGTATATGTTTTCTTTTGAAGAGAAAGGTTAGAGCTGTAAGTAGTTAATGTAATCAATCGGAAGCATTTCTTAATTAGATGTCTATTATCATATCCTTACTCAATGTTTCTTTTTCTATGTTTTTCATTTGTGTGTTAATTTTTTTTAAAAAGGTGATGTTATTTTGATTTAACAGAGTTAACATCAACACTGCCCCTAACAGATAAGTGAATTATGTATCCCTGTTACAATGTTTGTGTTTGTTATTTTATTTTATATTATTTTTATTAGTCATTTTATGTGTGATTCAGGTGAAAAGTAGATTTGTTGGTCAGTTTATTTTCAATTTTTTCCAGGTATCACTTTTGTTTATGGCCTTTGACATTTTTCTACCAAAGTTGACCTATTTCGAAGTAAATACTTATTACATTATTAAGTACTGCGGCGTATTGGGAAATTTGGTTACACGATTATTTGAATACTTGTATAGTTATGTAGGCCGATATTATATAAAGGTACTTAAATTTGAAGTAATTTATAATTTTATGTAAATTAACTGATTTTTATTAAGCAGTATGATTGCAATGATATTGGAGAGTACGTTAAATACATTCAGTTTTGGTTGTGAATGAACTTGGATTTAACACATGACGTGGCTCAATTTTGTCTGTTTGAATTATGTTTTATCATTTATTAACTCTTCAATGAATGAAGTATTACATAATAAGTTAATGAACTAAAAGGAATCAGTTAACTCAGCGTTCACAGGGCGAACATTACTTGGTGAACTTCTTGCCAAGTTGAGTTGCCAACAAAATCAGTTGCCAAATTTAGTGACCTCTAATATTCTAGAATTTTGTCTCCTCACATTTCCTTTTTTCTTTTTACTTCATGAATTTACATGATAGCATATCATACTTGTTAATGGCTGAAAATCAAGCTGATAGTTTCATTTTTAAATTTTTAATCACTTGTATCTTCTTATCATTGATATGATTGTCTCATTTTATTATTTATTTTAATTTGGTTTATGAATGTTTCCTTGTTATTAAATATTACATTCTATATTTTATATATATATTGTTTTTGTCATTTTCTTTATAAACCAATATTTTGGTTTTACACAAAACAAACTTCTCAAAAAATTAATATGATATTGCTTTGGTTGGTAATGTTATTTTTATATATATTTATATTTAAAATATAATAGTAATTAAAATGTTTGTTTTAATGTTCTGATTATTATTGTCTTAATATGAATTTAAAAAAAAATAAATAATTCGGACTCATACAATTTTTTGTTGATTAGCATTTATTAAATTAATTAATTATTAAAGGCCTCAATTTCAAAAATTTTTATTCATACTTTTGTTTTAGGATTAAAGTTATACTTATTTTAGTCGTAGGAAATTAAAATTACAATGGTTGAGAATTTTAAAATATTTTGTTCACTATATTTTCATTTTGGTCTATATACATTTTTTTTCTTTTTCTATTTGATTCCTATTTCATCTGATTTGAAGGGCATAATATATACATATATATAATATATAAAAATATATCTTATTTTAAATATCATCTGTTCAAAGTACAAATTGCTTATCATCTAGTTGAAAATGTTTTTTTACCACTCAAGATTATTGTCTAATTGAATTGTATTTGTAATGTTTTAAAGCAATTTAAAGTTTTTTAAACATTTTATAACTTCATTTTTTTTAGATTAGATAAATACAAAGTTATAATATTTATTTTTTTAGCTGTGTTTGAAATATACGTGGTTGCCTATTTTTGAGTAAAATAGGTTTTCCTAACATTCGAGTGTGTTGACAGTTAAATAATTTACAATATTATTCTCTGTATTTAAAATGAATCTGAGGAAGCTTTTATCTATATTTATCACTATTTTTTTGCCAAATCATTACATTTAATGTTTTAGACTTTTTAAAATTCTTACCTGTTTTATTTGTTATCATTTTATCAACTGACTTATATAATCATTACACAAAATATATTATTTTGCTATATTAGTTTTTGTTTTCATTGAGTTATTTTGAATTTCGTTGAGTGTAATTTTGTTTATATTTTTGTTTATCCATTGCAGGAATAAATTTCAAGCTTCTTAACAACTTTAGATATTTAAATTTTTAAATGCAAAATAATTAATCTAAAAATAAAAATAATAATAATAATACAATTACTGAGATTTCAACTACCATTGTAGTACATACATTGCTTGATTAAATCAAAATTTTGTGCAGTTTTTTTTTCTCCTTCTGGAAATTATTTTTATTATGAAAGAATTGAAATAATTTCTTTTCTTACCACCTAGGTCTGGAAAGAATTTTAATCTGGTAAAATTTTTGATATCGGGTTTTCAACAAATCTTTATGTTATGGCTCCTTGAGTCCTCCTATCACATTATCACATGCTTTTTTTTTTTTTTTTTTTTTTTTTCCTTTTCCTTTTTTTTTGTGGGCTTTGTACCTAATCAGCTACCCATGTCCAATTGTGACTTCACACCAGAAAAAAACCAACCTTTTTTTTTATAAGCTGTTGTCCATAACATATTCAACAAATTTTAAGAAATTTCCTTTAAGGCTTCTTATTAGAGTACTTTTAGTTTTTATATTTAGTATGTTCTTGAGAAAATAAAAGAAAAATAGTTATTACAAAAAGTAAATTTTATTTGCTCATAACTAAAAAAGTTTACATTTTATGGTAAATGAAATATAAATCACTTGAATATATGATCACTTGAAAGATGATTAAATTAAAAAAAATTATAGATAAATTAATTTTAAAAAATTCATATAACTTGTATTTGTTATACTCATACTTCAAAATTATTCTTTGCATATTTCCATAGAACATATTCATTGTGTTTTATTTATTTTTGATAACTTGATAACTATACATCTTAGCAGGACATTCTAGATTTTTGTTTGAAAGATAAAAGGCTACATATACATTAAATATAAAAGCCTACATAGCTATACTTAAAAATATATTTCATACAGATATGCTTTGTAATATATAATTATCAGTATATATCAGTTACTAAGTATATAAGTTAACTGTCTTTAGCAACCGAGGAATGAGAAATCTGTATTATACAGGGTGTTTCAGGGTTAAGTGGTCAAACTGTAAAAATGAACTACGGACCTGAAAATAAGAAAAAAACATTCCTCTGGTATGTCTGCAAACACTTTCTTTTGGAGATATTCATGCCCAAAGATTTTCGTTGTTATGAATTATTTACGTTATATGAAATAAATAAAAGCTATTTATTTGTTCTAACTACTTTAATGTTTATATTAATTAAATGTTGTTCAAACTGATTTCCTTTAGCATTCATACAGTGGCAGAACGGCACTGGATATGTGTTATTGGGAATTAAGGTCATTGACCGGATTTGCATAGACTTTTTGTTTAATGTCACCCCTCCCTCCCCTCCACTCTCCCTCTCACAAAAAAAAAAAAAAAAAACACGCAAATATCACATGGCACTGGATTTTTTTTTTTTGTTTGGGGAGACATTAAATAATTCATAAGAAGGAAAATTATTAGATGTGAATATCTCCTAAACAAAAAGCGTTTCCGGCCATACCTTGAGAGGAAATTATTTTCTTGTTTTGAGGTCCTTAGTTCATTTTTGCAATTTGGCCACTTAACCCCAAAACATCCTGTATAATAAGTTAAAAATTGGTTTGAAACATTTTAGGATACACACCATCGAAAAACTTTTACTACTCTTGATTGATTGATGACTTCCCTCGATATATGATGAAGCGGAAACTCTAAAATATTACGACAATTTAATTCTTCTCAGATTACGGAAAACGATATTGAATATTGATATCTGGTTGGAGGACTCACTTAAAACTTGAAATTAGTCCTAGCATTGGACGAAACGTCAAGAATGATAATGTAAAAGAAATAAAATGTTGGTGGAATATAGCCTTTATTTAAAAAATTTTTCCACTGATCCATTGATGAAATCCATCAATCAATTGAATCCAACAGTTATTTATACTGAAATTAGAGACAAACTGTTGGATTGAAGTCATCTTTTATAAAATGTAACAAAACATCAAAAATATATTAGAAATAATTACTTACTCCAGTAAGAATCCATTCTTATATTTAATAAAAGAAATAAATTAACAGATAAATTATCATTAAATTAAATGTGTTGAGCGTACTGATGAACACCAACACCACCACCACTGGCATAATATCCTTCCTATCCATCGATGATTCGATTGATTGACACACTGATTTCCAGCGATGAGTTTAGAGATAGTCTAATGAATTCACAATACAATTGATGGTCTTAGTGCTGAGTTTAGAAGCTTTCTATGTTAATGATAATTGAAGAATCGTTCAAAACTTGGGTCTCTCTTATTCTGGGAATGACATAGCGTCGACAAAATTTCTTTGATATGGTTATCAAGAATCAGAACACTATCTATCACCGCCTTCGCTATTTAGTCAGGAAACCAATAGAATCTCTATGAGGGTTGTTTTATTAAATAAGTTTTATGTTATTAATATAATTTGTTGTTTTTCTGTTTACAAATTTTAACTTCTCATGTCTAATATCCTAATAATATATAAGAAATATTTTGTACTGATTTTTTAATTGAGGTTGTTATACTCAATTTTATAATAAAATTAATATATTGTTTTTAACCAAGTTTCTTAAACTTTGTACTATTAAATATCTAATTCTATCTAATGTTGCGTTTCTATGGATTTTAAGATGTTATGTAATGTTTAAAATAAATAATATTTATCACAGTTTTCAATTTAAAAAAAAAATTATATTAACCTAATTTGTTATGATTATTTATCCATCTTCTTTAACGTAAATATCTTGATTGGTATTACATAAATAATTAAAAATCATTTCACATTCTTATTGATGGCAAGGGCTTAACTGTTTTGGATACTTCGTCAGTAATAATTATGGTAAATTTGCTTATACATGTCTTATTTGGGACTAGAAAAGATTAAAAGCAGGAACAGTTTAACTGAATAGCTAAAAACTAATGTACGTAGTACATACATACAGACGTTCAATAAAACCATATTATCTACATTTTACATGCTGAGTCTTAAATAATCTAGTTAAAAATAGTAACTCCTTTTATTTAAAATAAAATTCAAGTTAAGTATGTAGTTAAAAAATTAGGTACTTCTTCACTAGCCGGACGGGACCGACTGCTATCTGCCAATGCTTATAACCTGAACACTGATAATTCCGATAAGGCAATGATAAGCCTTCTCGTAATTCCTATCTTCGTATAATGTATTATATTCGTATTATTGAAAGTGTTAACATAAACAAAAACAAATGTAATAAAAAAAAAAAACTTATTTTACAACACATATATTAATGTAATAATAAAAAAAATACTTAAAGAAGATATGTACATATAAAAGATAAAAATGAAATAAATAAAAAAAAAACACTTAAAGAACATATGTAGATATAAAAGATGAAAATGAAATAATAAAAAAACACTTAAAGAACATATGTACATATAAAAGAAAAAATATCAACACAATAAACGACATATGTACAATTTATTTTCAATTCGTCTTATTTATTTTGGTTCGCAAAATAGTTTTATGCTATTTAAAATAGCGAGGAACGGGTCCTCTTCTTTGTGAACCCGCCGCCACAAAAATTCGCATAAATATGAATTGAGGTGTTGTCTGGCAGTTTCTCTATGTATTTTATTTCTCCGCTTAGCTGAGCCCCATAATCGTTCTATATGTTGAGTATGAACCCCAGTTGATGGATCGATAAAATTATACCGATGATTTTTCCTGTTCGGTAATCAAATTCTTTGCTAATCCAAACACTCTTAGTTTGGATTAGTGAGAGTTCATTGTAATTTCTATATGAAGTATTACTTTTTTGTTTTTGTTTTTGTTCATAAAAATAAATTATTTTTCTCCTTGCAATCCCTAAATCAAAATTCTTAAAAATTTACTGGCCGATTGGATATTATCTAGAACAGGGCAGCCCAAATTTTTGGATTACGAGTTCCAACCAAAGATTCTTTATATTGAGGTTTGCTAAAACTGAACTCCTCTCCCTCTACTAAATGCTTTTAATATAATTTGTTTAAAGATTATATTTATGTTAAATCAGTCTCTTAAACAAATCCTGTTAATATAGGCACTATCAGGACTCATAACCATTTCATTTAGATAGAAATATGATCAGTTAAGTATAGATAACTTAGTTCGCGCCTCTTGTTCCGGAACTTAAAAATTAGAATCTATAAAACAATTATCTTGCTTACAGTTCTTTATGGATGCGAAACTTGGCCGCTTACATTAAGGGATGAGTAGCGTCTTAAGGTTTTTGAAAATAAAGTATTGCGTAGAATATTCGGACCGAAGAAGGATGAGTTAACCGGAGAGTTCAGACGCCGAATTGCATGAACTGTATCCGGGTAATATAATTGAGGTAATTTCATCACGGCTAATCAAATGGGCTTGTGAAGTTGTTGGGCTTAGTAACGAGAGAATTCCTAAAATGTTAATATTTGCTGTGCCGAATGGTAAGCGTCTGAGGGGTAGACCGAAGCGAAGGTGGGAAGATTGCATTAAAGCTGGTCTGAAGGGACTGGGTTTGGACGGTGAACGGTGGAAGGATGTGTGTTATAAGCGATTGGTGGTGTCAGCATCGAACCTTCGGGTTCGCTAAGCCTTTTATTATTATTATTATTTAAGTATAGATAAGCTTAAAGAGACATAAGAATTTAAATTTCATGTTCGGATATTAACATTAGTGCTGAATATTGAATCGTTATCGAATATAATAACTTATCGGTAAGGAATATTTTTAGAACCGTGATTCTCAAATCCTATATGACAGTAAAATCATGTTAGTTATAACTACTAAATATGCCTGATAACTTTAGAGGACAATATTCAGTTTATATAATATGTCTATATATGTATGTTCCTTTGCTTATTTAATTAATAATTTAGGTAATTATTCAAGTATGAATTGAGTAATTTACTGTTAAATTTGTTGCAGATTGTCCAACATCAGCCTGTCAAATATGAGCTTTATCCATTATCTCCACTCTCGAGGCATCGGCTGAGTAAGTTAATTCAATTAATAATGTATTGGAGTGCTATCACTCGGTAGTTTCTCTTCATTCATATTACCAATTCAATTAATAATGTATTGGATTGTTATCAATGGGTAGTTTCTCTTCATTCATATTACCAATTCAAATTTACTTGTATTTTTAAACTAATATAGTTATAAATTTAAATATATATATTTTTAAAAAATAATAATATAACAGTCTGTTCATTAATTATTAGTGTGCAGATATTTTTATGTTTATCAAAGGATTTTGACGAATAACGAACAAAAATTAATTTACAAGTTTTAATTATTTTTTAAAATACGATTCTTTTACAGCCTACCAATGGAGGCCTTGTTGTTTATACATATACAATGCAACTTTTTTTACTTCACAAAATACATAAAAAACAAATTCACAATATTAAAATACTTGTTTACAAAATTATTTTCAGACAATGTGACCTTTACTACGATTAATCTCTTCGTAAAGAATCTTCTTCAAACTCAACTGATTTTGAACTAACCAAGGAGCTAATTCTAAGGAGATCTATCTTCAAACTAACTTTCTATAAACAAACTTCTCTTAAAAAAACTAAAAAAAAAAAATGACAATTCTTTAAAGATACTAAATTGTTATTATTACATAAAATTAAATCATATGTTATAATAATTGAATTTTGGTAAAAGTAAGTTAAATCTTTACAATATATTTTCAATTTTTTTTTTCTCTCTATCCTTCCTCACCTTTTCAGGCTATACGATTTTTTTCCCGGGTCAGGAGGGAGGGCGAAGGAATTATGTCAGAGTTTAAAGTCTCCCCGGCACCTTGATTAACCATAAATCAGTGTATCAATTGTTACACGCCGTTAAATACACCATTGTTTCACCATTTTCCTGGGATTTTCCAACAAAGTCATTTTTTTTTTCTCCAAATATGACCTACATCGTCATTTCTGGCATACGGTGGTTGTCGTAAGAGGTACAACCATACCTATTCTAAAGCGGACCCTACACGGTAATCATGAACGAACGTCACAAGAATGGCAAAGATTGCTCGGGATCGCTTTGATCATGAAGACCCCTACACGTTCAATCATTACTTATCATTGCTGAAGCCAATTTAGCTCAGTTGTAAACAAAGTAATAGCATAGATATGCTTATTTGGACATTGTTGTTGGAAAATGGTTAATAAAAATATAAACTAGGGATATAAACAACTATTTACTTTTATGAAATTATTTAATTAAAAACGAGACCTAGGTAAACTAACCTATCTAGTAGTAAGGTTAGCCTCATAGAAAATCATTTTGACAAAAGTTAGTAAAATATAAGTCTTCTACTTACAAAAATTAAGGAAAGGTATTGCGAAAATAATAAATTTGCTGAAGAAAATGGGAAAAGAACTGACAAATATGCACAACAGTTAAAGATTTTTTTTTTTCTTAAAGTAAATTGTGAAGTTTCCACTTTTTTTTTTTAATTTGTTGCCCACTTGACTATTTAAAAGAAATAGTTAAAGATGGTTTAAAAATAAAAATAAGGGATATAAAAAATTATTTAACTATTTACTTATAATGAAAATCAGAAATTTATAATGCTTGTGAGGCCTAGGTAACCTAACCTATCCAGTAGTATGGTTAGTCTCCCCACTACTTTTACCTCAGTCCCCCTTCCACTTCTCGTGAATGAACCTTTGACTTCCGGATGTTCGGAAATCCGCCTCACACCACCATCAGTATCTTCATTCGCTACCTTACGCGATAATTCGGAACGTCATTAGTGCCTTGGAATGCAATTCCGAATGACCATGTAGGGTCCACTTAACCACTATAAGCAGGTCGAGGTTCATTCAGTGGATGACACAGCTCAGTCATGATCTTTTACACAGTCTTTCTCAAGAGACAAAGACAGTTTTTGTCCACAAAATCATAGGCTGCTTTGGAATAGACAAAAAAGGTGTGTACATCCTGAGCTACTTCCTATTGTTTTTGAATACTTCTTTTAGAATGAAATATCTCCTCTTCCTCTTTTGAATCCTGGTGGTTCCTCCTTTGATCGGTGTGGTCACCAGTTGTATTTACTTAGTGTGGATATATCTAGCATAGCAGGATATTGGTAATTATGTTATAGGCCATTGGAAGGATTGCTATGCTTTCGTAATTACTACATTCATGCATGGAAATCTACTTTAGGATAGGGCAGATTAGATTATGATTAAGGCTTAAATACTTGATCATATTTTATTTTTATATTGATCATATTGTTTCTTGTTTACAGATATGGTAAAGAGAAAAGTTCTGGTTCTAGACCTGGATGAAACTCTGATACATTCTCACCACGATACCAATACAAGACCAACGGTGAAGCCCGGGATGCCTCCTGATTTTATTCTGAAGGTTACTATCGAGAGGAACCCCGTCCGGTTTTTTGTCCATAAGAGGCCACATGTGGATTTCTTCTTAGATATTGTGAGTATTTAACTAAGTTTTTTAGCATTAATTTATTGATGCAATTGAAGTCTGTATTTTAATTCTAATTCGACTCTTACGTAAACAATGTATATATATCGTTTACTTCAATGGTATTCTAGATGCGCCAAGTATAAGCTTTTTGCCAAGTACAGGAAGTTTGGTTGCCCTTAGAAGAGAAATTATACTGAATTACTGAAGTCTGTCATCCGGGATCCGTTTGTTTTCAGTCTTGGATTATTGTCTGAAATAAGAGTTTCAAATACTATATTCAGCTACCATTGAAAAAAAACTTGATGTTTATATCTAGCTGTACAGGGTGTCCCGTAAGTAGAGAGAAATTGTGATAGCAGACCTTAAGTCAACTCAAAATGTACAAATCCTTGGTTCGATCAGTTGTGTGCTATGGAGCCGAAGCCTGGACGCTGAAAGTAGCTGACCAGAAGGCACTAAAAAATCATGAGATGAATTTTTGGCCCCCTATGCATACAAGGAGAGTGAAGGATAAGGACAAATCGGGAGCTGGATGAACTATTGAAGTACGAGGATATTGTATGCTTTATTAAAGCTAGAAGAATTAATTGGATTGGACACATGCAAAGACTACCAGATGACAAAGCAATGAAAAAGATACTTAGAGAGGAATTTTCCGGAAAAAGGAAAAGAGGACGACCGACAAAATTTTGGAAAAGTGATTTGGAAGAGGATTGGTAAATTGGAGGATAAGAATGAGAAAGAGAGGATTTTGGAGGGATCATGAAGGAGGCCAATGTCCACCTCGGACTGTAGAGCCCGTCAGTAAGTAAGTAGCAAACCTTAGGATTTACAAAAAGTTTATATAAATAATGGTCTAATCCCCAATAGAATAGAAATTTCATGAAATCTAAGATAATAACATAATTTCATTACCACCTTACATAGAAAATCATTATTTTGAATTTTTTTATATTTATAAATAAAAGAGAGTAAAAGGTTATGTTCGAACTACCGAGGGATAACAGTAAAAAGTAGCTTAAGTAAATTATATGGAAGAATAATAAATAAGAGGTTAACGGAAGAATATGATAATATGATACCTGAGGAACAGGCCAGATTCAGAAGCGGTAGGTCATGTATAGATCATATATTAACTCTTGGTCAACTTCTAGAAAAATTTAAAGCTCACAATAAGGAGATAATTTTAATATTTGTTGATCTACAAAAAGCATAAGATACAGTACCTCTTGGTAAACTATGGAGTGCTTTAGAAAGCACCGAGGTAAGCCAGTATATGATCCGAGCTACAAAAGAATTATATTCACATGCGACAGCAAGGGTCATGCTCAAAGCTCAAGGGTCAAGGCCTAACAATAGAATTTCCGGTACTTGTTAAATAGTGGGTAGCATCAAAACTTCTCTTGTTATCTAATCTTATTTCATATAACCTCCCTTCTTATCTCCTCTAACCTAAGTTATTCCATTGTTTATTTTTTGTTCCTTGTGTTAGCTGTGAGTTAGTCTTATTTAATTATGGATGTTGTTACATTGTGGGAATTGCCATCTTCAGAAGAAGAGGCTATCAAATATTTTTTACTCGCTATTTTGAAGAGCATAAAATTATTTTCCCTACCATAAATAAAATTGTTCATATTTTGTTTAGTGTTTTTTTTATATGTACATATGCTGTTTAAGTGATTTTTTATTGTTTCATTTATTTTTATAGATATGTTGTAATGTTTTTTAATTATATATGTGTAATTTTTTGGTATATTTAATACATATCTTGTAAAATAAAAGTATTTTTTTATTATTACTTTTGTTTTTGTTTATAATTTCAATAATATCAATACAATTCAATACAATAAATATCAATACGAAGATATTATCAGTGGCTTATCAGGGTTATCAATCTTAAGGTTATAAGCTTTGGCAGATAGCAGTCGGACGCTACCCGCTATTATACAAGTACCCAACATCCATAATTTTAAGAAAATAACACTAACTCACAGCTTATACAAGGAACAAAAAATAAACAATGGAATAACCTAGGTTAGAGGAGATAAGAAGGGAGGTTATGTGATATAAGATTAGATAACAAGGGAGGTTTCAACCCAACAGGCTATTTAACAAGTTCCCAATTCTGTAATTGATTAATAAGATCAATCTTGCTTGACATATGCCTGCACTGTATGGAGCTTCACTAATACAACTATCATGAAAAAAATATATTCAAATATAAAATATTCCAAAACAAATGCCTAAGAAGAACGAAGATCGGTCTTTTGGTATCGGTATTATACCAAAATATCTAAGAGAAGTCAGTTGGCGGGTGCGGTCAAATAAATACTAAATTGTTAGAATAGTATCGTTATGCCGATGTTTTGACCCACTTTGTAGGTCTTCATCAGGGCGTGGTATCGGCCACTGCAGGAAGCAGTTGGTAGACTGGCACAGATGATACTGTCTGAGAGATGATGCTCTTTTATTAAAAGATTAAGTTATTAGCTTAACGCTGTTAAAGCTGATACATTCATCATACTCAACTCACTCATCCCGCAGGAAGGAGAGACTGATGGGGAAAATAGAAATAAATAATGAAATCAAAGTATATTTATTTTAAATGTTGATCTCATGAAATGAAGTCAAGACTAATTAGAGTTACTTAATTGTTGATGTTAAAAATATTTTGTAGGTATCTCAGTGGTACGAGCTGGTGGTGTTCACAGCGTCTATGGAAATATATGGAGCTGGTGTTGCTGATAAGCTGGACGACAACAGAGGCATCCTGAAGCGGCGCTACTATCGACAGCATTGTACACCAGAATTAGGTACATATACTAAAGACCTGGCTGCTGTACAGTCGGACCTCGCGTCTATTTTCATTCTTGACAACTCTCCTGGTGCCTACAGGTCTTATCCTGGTCTGTATATAACTTACGACTTTTGAAATTTGTTATTTGATTTAAACAGCTTTATATAGTTATAATCAAGGCCTGGATTTTTATGCAGTAATAAAACAAAATATCAGGGTTGCGACCGACCTGTAAAAATGGGAAAAGTCAGAGAATTTTTTTTTTAGTACAAAAATATTTTTTTCAAATTGGATATCGTTCATAATGACCTTGTAGAGGTAAACTTCGTCGTTATAAACTACCAAGGTCACTATGTTGATCCACCTTTGACTGTCAATAACGACTCTCATCGTTATACTGAAATCAAACAAGGGTGGTTATGAATTAATTTAAAGCAAAATGGACTTACTGGAAAAAGAAAAATGTATCAGTACTATTTTCTATTAGTAATAAATCAGATCTGGGTCAAGATCTGGCTGGCAAGCAGTCATTCGTTCGTTCCTTGGTGCTCCTTAAAAGAACATTTATTAACCAGAAATGTCACAATTAGAGTCATATGGATAATTATTATGCTGTTTATAGTATGAAAGAAACTAAATTATTTATTAGAAACTACATTAATATTAGAATCCCCATAGCTCACTTTATTTTATAATAGAGAAAATCAGAGCTTTCTTTATCTGTCAAGTATCATCTTTTACCTCCTCCCAATTAATGAAAATATAATAAAAAAGGAATAAAAATAAATTACTAAAAGTTTAGTTTTCTAAAATAAAAATCCTAATGAAGCTTAACAAGTTAGCTGCGGTTACGGTCCCCAGGGGGGTCCGATATTTGTGTCAACTGCCAAGTGGAGGGAGATGTTTCAAATTTTGCCTATCTTGGCTAAGTCTCTAAAATGGTCATTTTAAAAAATATTTGAATGGGAGTTGGATAGGTGTAAAGATACAAACATAAATAATCATTATGTCTGATATAAAGCTGCAGGACACCGGGGACCGATACCTTACCAGACTAATAAAAAATGATTTCCCTACGGTATCAACCCCCGGCGAACATTACATATTTCTGCCATGACAGGACAGTGCACATGTATTGTGATTGTGTTTGGAACATTGTTGGTCAATTCTTGAATCATCTTTAACATGAAAAAAGAAAAACCCATATGAAATATAAAGTTCCGACGAATTCGCAACTCAGTGCCAACCACCGTCACCACATCCGATGCATCGTGTCCATTCTTTTATTAAGCCTTCATGTGAAGGAAGAAAACAGTGAAAGCAATACAGAGAACTGAGAAAGACTGGGAAGTGAGGAGGCAAATAAGAAAACACGGAAAGTCACTAGTTTCTGTGAGGACCATGATGGTTTGCCCGTATTCTGTTTGTCGCACTTCAACCAGTATCACAAGCAGTTAGCAACTTAATACTTCACTTTCATTTTTCCTTTTCTTAAAATAAATTCCAATTTAATAGTGAAAACTCAATTACCTATATTTTTCTTATATTGCCACAATATGTACTTATTATGTAACTTTGATTTTTTATATTTCATTTTTATCTTGACATTGAAACAGTATTACACCAAAAATTGTATAAATTATATCATGAAAATTAAAATTATATGTAATTAATAAACTTTTTCTCATTTCATTTTCAATATTTAAGATTTATATACCTAAACATAACACTTTTTTATTGAAATAAAGACAAATAATAACTCGTCATATAAACGGCATCGGACGTTGGAGTCCACTTCTACGATTGCTGGCCATTAATGAGGACATAATCAATAGACAGAGACACTGAATAGGGAATTTAGTTCACCTAAATTTGATGTTGTCAAAACATAGCGATATATCTCGAAACTGATGTATGTCTCCAACGTCTGATGCCGTTATGAACTCCATAACTACTGTCGGTTGCAGGGAACCGATATTATCGGAAAAGACATTTAAGAGATTTCATACTCAGCAGCTAATGTGTTAAAAAATGCTTCCTCTAAAACATTATATTTTATTTATTATTTTTTTTTTTTCCACACACTGGCCAGCTAAATTGGCTAAACTCTCCTCATTTGAAGCCCTTTAAATTTATCTATGTAACATAAGTTACCGGAAAATTGCTGGAAAAAAAGTTCCATTCCAGGGATGGTAAAATTAGATTTTCCAATAACTCAAAAAGTATACACATATTAAAGTATACTATATATAAAAGTATATATAATGAAGAGAAGAATAGTTGGGGTGTTCAGTCAAAAAGGAAGGCAAAATAAATGAAAATATTTATTTTATACTAAAATGAAAATATTTTATTTTATGTATAAAATAAATATTTTCATTTATTTTGCCTTCCTTTTTGACTGAACACCCCAACTATTCTTCTCTTCATTATCCACGACAGTCAACCAATTACCAATTATAAAAGTATATATAGATTTTCAATAACTCTAAATAGTATGTACTTTTTTATGATTGTTGTAATGATTATTTAAAATTTTACAAAAAGTTAAAAAGAGCAGTTGATTTGGACGATTTGGGGCAAAGATATCCTGTTCTAATTAATTTCCTTATGTTCTTCTGTAAAACTGAGATTCTGTTTTGTTTAATACATCACCTAAGTAATTGAGATTGTTTTCTCGTTTTCTTAACAAAATTGTAATGATGAAAAAAAAAAATTATTCAGGCCTACATTGGAATCACTTTTTAATTATTTTCCTGTGTGTCGCAAGGAAATTAATGTCACATATGATATATAACCATTCAGAAATAATAAACCATTATCTAATAATTTGCAGTGTTTTTATTTAAAATAATCAAAATATCAAATATACAATATAAAATTAGACTAATTGCATGTGGATACAATGATTAGTAAAGATATTTGACCACCAGTTTAAGAGCTGTATGAAAAAAAATATGAAATCACATAAATATCCGGGCCTTGGTCATTATTCTATTATAATTTTTCATAGTTTATAACAATATATTATTGTTATATAAGTAACTAATCAGTATTAGGATATGATTTTAAACATTGTTTGTTTTTATTTTACAGATAACGCTATTCCGATAAAATCATGGTTCTCTGATCCCATGGATACAGCATTACTGAACCTTCTGCCCGTCCTAGACGCACTAAGGTTCACTAATGATGTAAGATCTGTTCTTGGAAGAAATCTTCATCTTCATAGGATATGGTGAACTTCCTAAAAGTGAGTTACATTTGTTTTATGTAGCAAATTTAGGGTTAATTATGTAGCAGGGGTTAATAATCTGGGTTCTTGCATGAATTTTGAGTGTCGGCCTTACGGCCCAGAAGAACCGACCTTGAGTGCTGCCGATGTATTTAAACTAATAATACTTTATTTATTCTGGGACGAGTCCCTTTAGAATAATACAGCAAGACAGAAATGTGGGCTAAAGAGCCTCGGAGATATATATATATATATATATATACTTTCTAATTTTGATCAGTTAATAATAAAAAATAAAAATTAATAAAAAAACATGAAGTAAAATTAATGAAGAACGAACTACTAATTTATATACATATTTACAGTAGTATCTATTTACAATTAATGGGGACTGGATGGATAAGAAAAGATTGAACAGGCGGGATTTAAAGATAGGAAGGGTATTGGATTGATGGATGTGGGAAGGGATGAGGATCGGACAATGAACGATCCGTCGAAAGCAGCGGTTCGATGGGCTCTTATGTATAAATCAGAAGACTGTGAACGAACAGAGGATTTGAATTGAAGGAGCTCGGAGATGTATGAGGTGGCGGCGATGGGATTGGATGACTTGAAAGAGGAATAATGCCAGGAAATACTTATGACGGTAGGAAGGATAAAGCCACTTCAAAACTCTGCATATAACGGGAAACAGAGGCGTCCCTTAAAATCCCTTGAAAGATGAATCGTACAATTTATCAATTGTTTTAGTTTCGCCTCGAGATCCCCAGAGAGGCCCCCATATATTAAGGAATTAATATTAAGGAAGTACTAGAAGCCTACGGGTTTAAAAAGGAAATAGGTGATGGGAATAATTTAGACGTTTTAGGGTGGAAATGGCATTGCGGGAAACATTGGATATGTGTTTTTTCACGAAAGTGTTCGATCATTGGTTATTTCAAGGTTTTTGATTGTGGGTTAAAATTTGATGGGATTATTAAGTAAGAATATAATTGGAATATTAGGAACAGTTTTAAGGAGGTTATTTGATCCTATTAAGATTACTTTTCCACATTCAACTTCAACTCGTTTGCTCTCGCTCAGTCACAAATCCTATCCAAGTCTTCTTGAAGTTTTTCTATGGCTGATAATAGGTCGGAGGGTGGGAAGGATAAGTATATTTGGAAATCATCTGCATATATATGGTATTGGGAGTGATAGATCAGGAGGGGAAGGTCATTAATGTAAATAGCAAACAGAGTAAGAGATAGACAGGAAACCTTGTGGAACACCACAGGAGAGGGGAAGGGTCCTCGACGAAGGTTGGCCTGGGACTACTACATACTGGGACCGATTTGAAAGGAAGGATTTAAACCAGCGCAGGGCACTGTTGTATAGAGGAAGATTATACAATTTAGTAAGGAAGATGTTATGGTCAATTTTGTCAAACACTTTGGAAAAATCTAGAAGGATGAGGATAGTAAGGTTTTGGGGTACTTATTTAATAGCGAGTAGCGTCAAAACCTCCCTTCTTATCTAATCTCTTTTCACATAACCTCCCTTATCTCATCTAACCTAAGTTATTCCCTTGTTTATTTTTTTTTCTTGTGTTAGCTGTGAGTTAGTGTTATTTAATTATGGATGTTGTCACATTGTGCGAATTGCCGTCTTCAGAAGAAGAGGCTATAAAATATTTTCAAGACGCCGGGATATTTGCAAAGGTCAAATATTGTGACAAAGGCAATCAGATGAAGTTCGACGGAAAGATTAAATGGAGATGCTAATACCATAAACTATTTTCTCTACCAAAATGAATCAAGTTAAAATAAATTTTTTTATATTTTGTTTATACCGTTTCTTCATAGTGTTTCTTTAATATGTACATATGCTGTTTAAGTGGTTTTTTATTATTTCATCTATTTTTTGCCTATTTTTATTATTTCATTTGTTTTGATATATATGTTGCATTGTTTTTTAAATTATGTATTTATGTTTTGGTCTATTTTAATATATATGTTTTAAAATAAAAGTATTTTTTTTTTATTATAACTTTCGTTTTTGTTCACAATTTCAATAATATGAATACAATACACTAAATATGAATATGAATATCTTATCAGTGTTAAGGTTATAAACATTGGCAGATAGCCGTCGGACGCTACCGGCTTTGGTATTAAATAGAGTTTTGTAGGTCATGGGTTATTGGCATTTTTTAAATCTTATAATCTCCATATTAACCGGCGATGTCTTGCTTCCGACGAGAATGAATAAGAATGAGTCTACTGTATTACTAAATACAAAACAACTTAAGGAATAAATTAAATTCTTCGAGGGCTGCCAAATGTTTAAATCTGGCACTGCTTTTACATGTATCAAAATCTGTATTTTATTGTTTATATTTTTACATCAAATATTTAATGATGATGGTGAGTCAATTTTATCCATCAGCTAAATATTTCCTTAACAAATTTAATCAACAGTAGCCCTCTTATCCCTGTCGAACAAATACGATACCTAGGACTCCACCTGGACAAACGACTCACTTGGAACCCCCATACCAAACTGAAACGACTAGAAACCGCCCGACGTTTTCGACTACTGCAGCATTTACTAGACAAACGCTCTAAGCTTTCAATCAATTACAAACGACTCATATATATGACAATAATAAGACCTATTATTAAGCTTTGGGGCTCCACTAAACCATCAAATTCCTCTCTTATCCAATCCTTACAATCCAAATTCCTTCGTGAAATCCTCAACGCTCCTTACTTTTTCACAAATAAAATCATCCATAAAGACCTTAATGTTCCATATGTTTCCGATTTGGCCCAATCCAGATACCTATCCTTCCATAACAAACTACAGAACCATCCAAACCCTCTCGTTTCAAACCTTGCTTCCTCCTCGATCCCTGATAACCCTCCGAGGCGTCTGAAAAGAAGATGGCCTCGGAACCTTCTAATATAGAACTTTAATTTGAGTTCTACCAATGGGTAGTTTCTCTTCATGTTGTACATGTCATGTTACCAATGTCACATTTATTTGTTGTATTTTCTATGTAATACAGTTGTAAATTTCATTAAAATAAAAAAAATTTAATGATATTGAATCTATTTCCCAAGAAGTTATATTTGACCAAAGTATAAAAGTTAAGAGCTAATTTTTTTTTCTCAGTAAATTTTTTTTTTCTTTTTTAGGATTTGGCTGTGCTGAAATTGTGAAAAGAAGCAATTCAACGTGTACATATACAGTCCAATCCGACGAGACAGGCTCTATCTTATTAGCTACGTTGGCCCAATGGGAATATAAATGTATTGGTCTAATTGTGGACTCAGTTATTCTATTATCAGGACATAGAGTGTACTTGTTTAAATCTATCTATGTAGGTGTTTACGATTGTGAGGAAAGATCCAGGCACTGCCATCTTATAATAACTCGCTGAGGACTGTGTCGCTATTGATGTGGAGTGAAATTTTTTAAATAACATTTGTCGACAACTTCCATGTAAATAGTCTTCTTTATTAAAACATCATTTAAAATGAGAAAAATTGTAACTTGTTGCGGTCATATTTAATGACCGTGACTTTTGTAAAATAATAATTGTACATTGTATAATATTTATATAGGTTTTAAAATATGTAATATAAATAATAATTGTTAGTTAGGTAATTTGTTTTGTTATCGGCAAACTTATTTTATTTTGTTTGTCCGGTCCGATAAACTTTTTATGTGTTAGGCGACCCAATTGTCAGAACTGAAAACTTGTTGTTTATATATATATATATATATATATATATATATATATATATATAAAATCACTATTGGTTTATTTTATCTTGATCTGTTGTTTCTTTTCTATTTCATGCTGATTAATATTCGTTGATATTATTCTACTCAATTTGTTAAATCAGCACTTGTGACACTGTAATAGCTTCATCTAGACTACCCAATATGTATTAAAATGTTTGTTGTTAAGTATGAAATGTTTCTTTATTTTTTTTTATTATTATTTTGATTATAGCGTTGAAACTTCATTCATATTGTTAACCTGTGTGTAGTATATCATTTTTTTTTTTTATTCCTTTAATTAAGCATCATTTGTTATAAAAAAAAACAGTGAACTGTATAATTGTTGTGTCCTTTAAAATAATCAATTATTTACATTATCAATTCAGATTTTATAATCGGTGTTTCAGGTTTATATTTATTTTTCTTTTCTAAATCTTTTCATAATGACTTGCTAGTTATTTTTTAGCAGAATTTATTTATTTTTTCTGAACAAGATTTATATATTGTTGTTTGTGTAGTATATTCTTGTTAGTGATATTCTCCTTATCTTTTTGAACCGATAACAATCAGTAACTGTTTCGAAGTTTTGTTATTTTATATCATGGCTTTTAATCTCAATCATGTTTGGTTCGATTCAAATTGAAAAAAAAAAAAATTGTTTTTTTCTTTTAAGTTAATACTCTCTTAGATCTCATGACCAAATAATATGTATAAATAATAACTGTTTTTTTTTTTTTTTTTCAATTTTCCGTTTTGAAAATGTTATATAGAATGTGGATAATTTTCAAAGGTTTACAAAAAAAAAATTCATCTATAAAAACATTTCAAACTTGGCAACAGAACTTTGTCTAGGTTAAATGTTTGAATAAGTTTACAAAATAAACGACTGATTGTTATTTGCTATTTTTTTATTATTTTCTGTATTGGCCGGCGGGAAGAGTTGTGCTGAGGCCGGTTCAACCGATATTTAAAAACTCCTTTAGCCTTGCTTTCCTTATTTATTAAATCACATCAACATTTGCACGACGGTAAAATCTGGTTAGAAATAAAGGAGCTTTTTTATGAATGTTATTTCTAAAAGGATCAAGAGTTGCAAAATTGATAATAGTATCAGCTCTTCTACAAGACAGAGAGGAATATTTTAATTCTGACACTTTAAGGTAGAGAGAGCTACTTAATTATTTATTATCATACGGTTAATAGTTTCATAAAATGAAGCTGTGAAGTATGTTGTTACCAATAAATAATTTTTTTATTAGTTGTTTACTGGTTCTTCCTTTTAAGTAATCCTAGGTTAGTTAATTTATTTATTTTTTAAGGATCGAAGGATGTTTTTACCCAAACTTGTGTGGCGTCATAAAAGATAAAGATTGTAAATTACTTCAGAAAGATGATAATTATAAGAAAAGAAAAATATGGAATGTATAAATGACCTAATGGTAATAAAAACATTAAATTATTAAAAAAATTATAATATACTAAGAAAATGTTTTTCTGTTATAAATAAGTAAAGAAGATAAGTATATAAAAAGTAGAATTATGAGTGATAAATATTCAGGATGCAGTCATAAGGTTTTTATTAGTGCCGATGTTTCAACCCTAACATGTGAGTCATCAGGGCGTGTTTCAAGCACTGAAGGTATTCAAGTAGTCGGATCCTTATATCAGTACTTGAATACCTTCAGTGCTCAAAACACGCCCTGATGATGAAACATATGTTTGGGTTGAAATGTCACTGATAAGAACTTCATAATGACTGCATCCTAAATATTTATCACCCATGATATATAGAACAGTCGACTAACTTTCTCCAATAAAAAGCAGAATTAGGTATATACTACATTACGTTTCATTTAATACTAAGATTTTCTGTAAACACTCAGTTCTTGTCCAACCTTCTAAACATTGGTAATTGTTAAAAAATTACTTTCATTTGTTAATCTCAATTTTTATGTTTTTGCGTATCTGTTAGTTTTTATTTCTATACATTATTTTTGCATACTTCTTATTTATTGAATTGTTTTATTTAAACTAATTATTTGGTTTATTTATAACACAAAAATATTTTCTTAGCCTAATATAATGTTTTTATTATTGTCATGTTCATGTAACTGTTATCTCATTTTTACTTTCCACATTTTTCTTCTCTTATACTTTTATATTTATATTTAAGCGGTAGATCAGTTGTGAAGATGAACGGGCCTATTGTCGGAGGATTTCGAGGTGAAAGACTGGCTTAGGCTAGCAGATCCTTTATCCTCTCTTCCATTTAATTTTGCTTTGGAGTATGCAATAAGGATAATCCGAACATATATCCTGGTGCCATGATTTATAACAGAATGACAAGCATCTGGCTTATACTGATGATGTAAAAACCGTAACAAATGAAACAGCATTAGAAGAATTTGAAACTGCAACAAAAGAACTAGGGCTACAAATAAACAGAAGACTGTTTACATGTCAGCTAGTTTGTATATTAATCACCATTTCTGTTCCTGAATGAGCGATTTTAGAAAAAAGGGATACCAAGCAAAATACATTTAGGCATCCCTAAGAAAGTTTAAAGGATGGAAGGAAGGAATATGATATAATTGAAACTCGATACATTTTGTCTCTAATCCATTATTTTCTCTCAACTTTGGGGCTAATCGAAGGAGTCATTTTTCATATATAGATGCTTCATAATAGGTTAAGGCAACTGCAAGCAGAAATGGTAGATGAAATTGATATAAGACCTGTACCATTGATAAGACACCAATCTGTACAATTACTAAACTTTTATCAAAATTGGATTAATTGTTGTAGATGATGTCCCAAAGCATGGATTTGACTTTAGGCATGGAACCAAATTTGATCCTTGATGTGGAAAACGCAAGTGGAATTTTAGTTTACAAAGCTTTAGTTAGAGCCATTAGCCAGAATTTTCAATAATTATTATTCCAAATGATTATTTTGCTCGATCCTAATTAATTAACAAAAGTGGAAATTTTCGAGGTACTATTGTACAAGTATGACTTCACTTTGATGGTTTACATAAGATCTCATTATTACACAAAAAAAAATGAGTGGATTTAGGGAGGGAGATTTGGGGCTGAAGCTCCCCACAAAATGGTAAAATATAACCATGTTTTATGGAATAATTATCTCTTATAAGTATTATTGTTACCGTAATTACTTCAGGAAGCACTTAAAAATCATTTCATATAGGTAGTAAGTTTCTTTGTTTTTTTCCAAATTAATTATCGTTATTTTTATTTAAAAAAAACTTTCGGACTGAAGCTCCCCCCCCAAATTAAATCCTGGATCCGCTAGTACCAAAAATGGAATCTCAGTGTCTCTGAAGGTAGACAGAAGTGACTGAATCGTATCGTAAGGTCTCGAGTTCAACTGAAAAGTACCTGTTGTGGGTTCGTTTATCGCTTAAGACCGAAAGCAGCGATGTAATTAAAGCTCCGATTTCAACTGAAAGCGACCAGTTGGGAGTTTGCTTAAGCTGTAAATCACGATATAAATAAAGGGAGGTTATACTATGGATACGTTATCGCTCTTCCACTATTTTCGGAATCTCATTTATAGCATGATCGTAAGATCTTGGCCCACTATTCAAATTGAAATAACACTTGTTCAGTGACGCCTAAGCAAAAAAAAAAAAAAAAAAAACTACATATATCTTTAACAACGTTATGAAATCGTTTGAATCCTCCGAAGTTGCCAAATACTGCAATTAACAAAACATGCCCAATATTATGTTTTAGGATTGAATGCCTCAATTGAAAGCTTTTCTCTTACTATTATTTTTTTTCCAATATGATTTTAGACATATAAAATCTAAAGTAGTTGCATATCAATTCCATCCATTTTCCCCTACAGTCGAAAACCTAGGAGTAAGCTTTGACCAGAACCTCTCCTGAATTAACCATATCTCCCAGATTACCCGAAAATCCATAACTATCTTTAAACAACACCTAAGATTCCGTGATTATATTCCTCTAAAAACCAGACAGCTCCTTGTAACCTTCCTTATATTCTCCCACTTCGACTATGGCTGTTTGGTGCATGAAAGGCTATTTACAAGGCTAGAAATGAGACTGAAGAAACTCATGAACTATTTCATAAGATACATCTTCGACCCCCAAGCGTTCACATGTTTCATTCTGGTACACCGAGTTGAAGTGGCTTTATCCTACTTTCCGAGGACAATCCTTCCATGATGTTTTCCTTTTCCAAGTCCTCAGAACCAAAAATCCTCCCTACATCCTGGAAGTCCTTACTCTACTTTCCTATATTCACTCTCTTAATACCAGGTCTCAACCTATATATTTATATATACCCTCCCATAAAACTACTTCCTTCAGCAAATCCTTCGTCATTCGTGCTACCTCCTTTTGGAACTCTCTTCTTACCTCCATACCTCATACCTTATCCACAAATTTCTTCAAGCAACTTCTGTTCCACCATCTACTCCACATTCAAACTTACGCAGACATGTAAAATTGCTTGCATCTGTATACTGTTCACTTTCAATCTACTGCACAATTGCAGTAACAACCAACAGTTAATTAGTTGGTATTTTTTATTATTATAAGCCAGACTAAGACCCATAAATTTGCAACTCTGTAATTATTCTTAGGGAACAGTAATCCTAGAATAAAATTATTTCAAATAACACAATGCTTCTTCGTTTTGCTGTAGGGAGGTTGAAATATTAAATACACCCTATACAAATCTCCTGTTTCCTATTCCTTATTATTTACTATTATGTCCTTATTTAACTAAGAATTAGGTCATCTATTCCATCTTGGATTACTATCTGAGTTTATTGTATGTGGATTCCTATAGCTAACTCAGTATTTATGTTTATTTACTCTAAGCATTTTTACTTTCTACTGCTTTGGATTAAATTTTTTTTAATGAAATGATCTTATTAAAAAATCTAGATTGGTTCACAAGATATTTTTAAAATATAAATATTTAAATTTATTAGTTTACAAATAAGAAATAATTTGTATTAAAAGAAAAAAAAAATCATCTTTTATAATTTTCGAATTATTATGTCTTTGGTAATGAATGTAACATTATGTTGTCACGGTTACATAGACTGTTTGTTCAATAAGTATCGTGAAGCGTCGAAATGAATCGAAAGCCTAAAGATCCTCCCAAAGCAGTTTTTAAATATAGGCGGATATCAATTTGCGAGTTGGAAAAACCAAAAGCGGGAGTGTTGAAAGACTGGATCGAAGAGCTAGATGCAGTGGAAGAAAGGATAAAGCATGTAAGTATCTTAACGATTATTTTGAGTATCGTTAGTGATTGCCATTTATTAGATTTAACATCTTGTACACCTACCAAATCTGTTAGGCGGGTACTCATTCAAATTATCAACCTGAAGTAGGAGTGAGATGATCGTGATCACCCGAGGACTAAGGCGTATCTAGGGGGGCTTTCAGCCCTAAGCCCCCCCTCCTCCCCAAAAAAATGGTAAAATATTACCATGTCTTATTAAAAAAATATTTAAAAAGTATCTCTAAAATTATTTTTCGTGCAATTACATTTAATAAGATTTAAAAAATCACTTAAACACCATATAGTTGTTAGTTTCTTTCTTTTTCTTCCAAAGTAATTATCGTTATAAATTAAACAAAAAAATCTTTCGGGCTGAAGCCCTCCAAAATGAAATCCTGGATCCGCTAGTGCCTGAGGATAATCTTCCTAATCGACATTACCATCCGCCGTTTCATTTCGAAATACTGATACATAAAATCAAAATACATTTTGGAATAACCATTTATACATAATGTTGCTAAAAAAAAAAAAAAAAAAACCTGTACCACTACAACCCATGAAGGGTCTGGGGTTAAGTACTATTTAGGAAAAGCACCGTTTCTAGGTCAACGGTTGTGCAAGGAGGTGATGTGACCGAGATCACGCTCAACCGCCAGGTTTTTTCCCTTTATTAATTATTTAATTAAGAGTACTCACTTTATAGAGGCTGGGTGTGCCCCAGGAGGGTCTCCCGACCCAGGGTCGCCCCACGGCCAATGAAACAGATAAATACAATTTTCTGCCATGAGCCTTCGAACCTAGATCCGTTGCATTGGAAGCTCAGTGCCCTACCACTGCAACGAAAACGAATATTCTACGTCTCGAAATTTTTGTTCGTTTTATGAACAAAACTTCTTTTAATAGTTCATAAGAACTGTTTCTTGTTACTAGCAGAAAAGATAAAATACTGACCCCACTCCGCGCAGGTCAAGATAAGGCCTACTGGATTTGACTTTTATTTCTTGACGTAGCCACTTAAAATGTCTTCCATCAAACGCTGTCGAAATAAGGACAATGTATACTATCAAATAAAGAAGAAACAACAGTGTTTTCAAATTAACTAATACGTGATTTTATTTACAGTTCGTCAGTTTAGATATGGGCCGTATAAGGACTATCTGCGACGATGTAAACGAATATGAGCGGGTGTGTAATGCTTTAGAGTTGGAGATTCCGCGAGGGGAGCTCGGTCCAACCATGGACTATTCTCTTCATAATTGTAAGTACAATTGATTATATAACTCGACCACGATTTGATGGCATCCCCAGGGTGAACTCATGCGGAACTTTTTTGAACTAACAGAAGGGATTATGAATTTTTTGAGGTAATCTTATTTTTGTGAGGTTTCAGACCAATGAAAAAAAGAAAAGAATAAACACGTACCCTGGTAAATTCTTAAACTACTGTAAATTGGGCATTTAAATAATGTATGATGTTATAAGTGTTTCGTTTTCTCCAGTGTTGTACATTTTGCTCTCAAGTTGTGGAGTAATTTTCACAATTTTATTATTAACAGAAACCTTGATCATATATTTTCTCGAGAGATGGATCTGTATTAATAGTTTCATATATTTGAAATTAGTCTCAATTTTGAAGCAATTCTTTGATTGTCTGACACGGATTTGCTTCCACGCTCGCCTTTAACACGTCATTGTTTAACGTTGTTGTTTTTGCTGATCTAAGTGGATCGGAAAGATCAAAATCAAATTACCGGATTTGAACTTGGAAAACCACCTTTGGCATTTACGAACGTCTAATGCATTGCGATAAACATCGTAAATGTTTTTGATAGCTACTGTTCCGTTACTATCCTTGCGAAACTTAAAAGCGTGCAATGACGGATACGTACCTCTTCTGGTATTTGGCTGTCCATTTCACTCAAAATCGTAAAAAAAAAAATGTAATTTAATTATTTACAAAGGAAGGAGTTGTTCCAGGATGGCTGTAATAAATAGTGGCAAAACTATTTTTATTAAAAGCCAACGTTTCGACCCGACTTTGCAGGTCTTCTTCAGAGCTAGAACGGACAAGATACAAAAATATAGGGAGTTGTGGAAGTTACATAATATTTAGACAAAAAATCATAAACAATGTGAATAAGTTTATTAAAATTGTAAACAGTAAGTAAATTAAAATATGAACAGAGTAAGCTAAGTAACAAGATCCTAAACTGAATAGATGCTATATTACCTCATTTTTCCCCATTACCTAAACAAATCAGCTTCCCCTATACCTGCCCTTACTCTGGTTTTCCAGTTATAAGTGAAACTCCTAGCTGAACACACCTGTAAGTCTCTAATTGTATTCTTCTAATTTTATTTACTTATTTATTTAATTTTTTGGTTTTCTTTTCTTTCTCCACATTCCTTTATATCTATTATTTCATATTATATCCTTTTTCCTTTTCTTTCAATCTCTCCTGTAGATCTGTAGAAGTATATTCACATTTGCATTTATTATATATTACACTACAACAATTGTTAGCATCTATTTACTTCAGTTTAGGATCTTGTTACTTAGCTTATTCTATTCATATTTTAATGTACTTACTGTTTATAATTTTAATAAGCTTATTCACATTGTTTATAACTTTTATCTAAATAGAGAGAAACACTTTATTTTCATAAAAATATAAAAGATTGCTGCCCAATTACATTGGGTTGCTATATACTCTTCAATCCTTAGGACAATAGATGAACTTATATAGAAATATACAAAAGTATTAGTTTATATTAGTAAAATATATATATATATTTAACTTCCTTTCATTGTTCATGCTTTTTTTTTTTTTTTTTCAACATTTAACATTTCCTTTCTCTCACTTCTCTCTCTTTATCTCTAATGTTTTCAATTGTACATTAAATAAATAAATAACTTCCACAATTCTCTATGTTTTTGTATCTTGTCCGTTCTAGCCCTGAAGAAGACCTGCAAAGTCGGGTCGAAACGTTGGCTTTTAATAAAAATAGTTTCACCACTATTTAGCCTATTTATGACCGCCACCCCGGACCATCTCCTTCCTTTATAATGCAACGGTCAACTATTAAATATTCAACATTAATTATTTACAACTAAACAAGTCGCTATAACCTTTGAATGTCTTTGCCACGACTTTGATGTACATAAATGATGATTAAATAGTGACATAGGCAGAAACGATATTACTTCCCGGTACCCCACTAATATGAATTAGTAGATGGTTTATAAGTGAAATATTTGTTAACGAAGTTCAATTAAGGAGAGTATGTCTAAAGCTATGGATGGATTTATTTTTACTTTAATTTGAAATTAATCATCGAATGTATCAGGAAGAAGGATAGCTATCCAAGAGTGGGATATAATATTTAGTATTTATTTAATTAATTAACCAAATGATTTTGAACCCATCATCGTATGAAATTACTGATTGAGTTTTGTTATTATTAAGTTCCAATCATTGGAAAAAGAAAAACTGCTCATAAAAAACGCGCTGTACACGGAAAAAAACACATCGAGGAATCAGAAGAAGGATCTTCAAAGATAACAATTTCCAGCGAGATAGGAGATGCCGAGTTCAGGAAGACTCTCTTCGAATCCGCCATGGTCAGAGCATCCACAAAGAAATCACACGTCTCACCTTACAGGGTAAGAAATATTAATAAATAATACATTATCTTTTTTTTTTATTTCTTAATGATATTTAAAACTGTATAAAAGAAATACATTTAGTAAATTTGAATATATGGATATAATGATGGATATATATAATGTTGAGAAATTACCCAAGAGTAGCACTCTAATAATATGTCTACATTAGGAGGTCACGGGGTCATCTTTTTTTCAGACCCCTCGGAGGGTTATCAGGAATTGAATAGGAAGCAAGGTTAGAAACGAGAGGGTTCGAATGATTCTGAAGTTTATTATGGAAGGATATGCATCTGGATTGGGCCAGATCTGGAACATAAGAAACATTAAGGTCATTATGGATGGACATTAAGGGCATTGAGGATTTTACGAAGGATTGTAAGGATTGGATACAAGAGGAATTCGATGGTTTAGTGGAGCTCCATAGCTCACCTCTGTAAGTCCAAATAGGCCTTATTATTGTCATGTATATGAGTCTTTTGTAATTAATGGGAAGTTTAGAGCGTTTATCTAGTAAGTGCTGAAGTAATCGGAAATGTCGAGCGGTTTCTTGCCGTTTTAGTCTGGTATGTGGATTCCATGTTAGACGTTTATCCAGGTGGAGTCTTAGGTGGATAAGTGGAGTATTGTTAAAGGAAACTGTATGACAGGATGTCATAGATTTACGAAGAAGGGTAAAGGTCATTTTGTGGGATTTATTGGAATTTATTTTAATTCTCTAGTTTTGACACCATTTTTCAAGGTTTATGATGTGTGATTGAAGCATTGAGGATTGATGCAATTTATGGGCCATTATTTACTGACAGGATACATGTGTCATCGGCATACGTGGTGATGACAGTGTTGGGATAGGTTGGGATGTCAGCTGTATAAACTGTATAGATGATAGGACCTAGGATACTACTTTGAGGAACACCAGCGGACTGGGAAAAGAGGGATGAATAAGCGTTTTTGTAATTTACTTTAAAGTATCTATCAGTAAGGTAGGAACGGATAATGAGTAAGTATGTAGGTGGTAGGAATTTTCGGAGTTTGTACAGCAGTCCCGACATTATCTTTTAAAAAATCGAAAGATATACCTAAGATATTTCAATGCTGTCAAATAATAGTTTGCGAAATAGTCCATATTTATTAATATATATATGGTGTGCCGTAACTTGAGAGAAACATTAATAGGTAATATTAGACCTCTTATTTTCTTCGCACCCATTTTCCTTTCAGCATGGAAATGCTTCAAGCCATCTGTGCCATCCGTTTCTAGCAAGGTTTGTTAGGTTTCTCCTAAGGTCTTGGTTATGATTGGGTTTCGGTGATGATCCATACTACCTCAGTTGCCTCTTCTCCAGGATTTCTGTTACTAAACGTACATTTAGCTTCCCTGATCATCTCATACCGAACACTGTTTCCCCCACAATTCTACTAAATAACTTCATTTCCGAGGTAGTAATACGGCTTAGTAGCCTCTCATTCATAATACAGCTCCTCTCTCCATAGAGAAGTACTGGTAGGAGGAAGACAGACTCTTCCCCTCCTTTAGAAGACAATATTTCCTAGGTACGTTCCTCTATCAAATCATTAACAACCATCGTCCTTCTTACGCCTACAACCTTCTCCAATTCAAGTCCTCAGTCCATTCCCTTTCAACAAGATCTCGACCTTCTCTACATCTCTTCGAACAGATCTGCCTCATTTCAGAATTCCTTTATAGCTCGCGCTGTCAATTTCTGGAATTCTCTACCTATCAAAATTCGGCATTCCCCCTCCATATCCACATTCAAATCCCTCCTATTCCAATTCCTATCCCCAAAAACAGTCAGATACTTGCTAAATTTTCGATATTATACATTTCTAGTCATCATCAAACGACAGTGCTATTCTATACTGTGAACTTCACCAGGGATATTACAATATTTTCCGGCTCTTAATGCCACTGACCGCATCTATTGTTTGCTTTTTTTATTTTTTATTGGTATATAATTAAATCTGTACCTCTAGCATTTGACAATGTTGAGTCTACATATTAATCATTATTTAAAGACACTGATATTTTTTATTGTCAGCTTTGTTAGCAGAAACACACCTCATTTTAAAGAAGAACTCAATGTATTTTTTATTATTTTATTTTTTAAAAGAGTATAATTATAATTTTTCCTACTGTACATAGTCTCAAGTGTTTTATCATAGTTTTAAGTGTTTTGTATATAGATTTTTTTTTTGTATATAGCTTGTTTAACTAATATTTTCTTTGAAGAGAAGAATAGTTGGGGTGCTCAGTCAAAAAGGAAGGCAAAAAATAAATTATAATATTTATTTATTACTAACTTACGACTTGCATTCAAATCTCACAACACTCTCTCAAAACTATACACATCCCTAAAAGATCCAGTTCCTCTCTCACACCGCTCTCATATCGTTTACCGTATTCCATGTTCTACCCCCAATTGTTTTTCATCCTATATTGGTGAAACCAAAAATCTCCTAAAAGACCGCATAACCCAACATAAATATTCTGTATCCTCTCGTAATTTTACCGCTTCCAAATTATCCGAACATTCTCTCTCCCTCAATCATTCATTTGATTTCGACAAAACATCCATCCTTGCCACAGTTCTCAACCATGACAAACGACTCATTTCTGAAACCCTCCACATCCAGCTTCAACCAAAGACAGTGAATCTTACATCTGACAAACAGAACTTTTCTTTAGCATATTCCCAAATTCTGAATTTATTAAAACATCCATAGTTATATTCCTTTCCTTTTTACTGACAACTCCCTTATATATATATATATATATATATATATATATATATATATATATATATATATATATATATATATATAATATATATATATGTGTGTGTTATCCCCTTGAAACTTAAGGAGAAAGGTAGTACTTCTTTTATTTCTTTCTTATTTCAGCTTTCTCAATTTCTTCCCTCCTTCCTTTCATTCCTTTTCTCTGTTTTTAACTCTTTATTATATTATACATTGTCTGTACATCTTGATAGACTTTACAATATTTCAATTTTCTATCTAACTACTCCATTCACAATGTTTTAATTTTACTATTTATTTTCTTTTCATTTCTTATATAACTTTATATTTCTTTTTTATGTTTTTACATTTTATTCTAAGATTCCCAATGTAAACACTTTTGTCACCCCTTTTTGATTATGCCTACTTCATCATTCCACACTTTGTAACGGTTTTTATTATTTATCTCTTAGTTCTTAGTCATTATTCTAACAATGTCATTTTACTTTATATCTATCTATTTTATTTTTCTAATAATTTTTTTTTTTTTTTTTTTTTTTTTTTTTTTTTTTTACCATCATTACTTATGTTTCTCATACCTTGTTATCTGGTTATTTTCTTAGCCCTGAAGAAGGTCTGAACTTCAGGTCGAAACGTCGGCATATGTAATAAATAAATATTATAATTTATTTTTTGCCTTCCTTTTTGACTGAGCACCCCAACTATTCTTCTCTTCATTATCCACGACAGTCAACCAATTACCAGTTATAATATTTTCTTTACTTTCTCTTTTTAATTATTGTTTTATTTAGGCCAGATGTAGTATTTTAATTATGTTCTATTTTAATTATTCTAAAGGGACTTTGTCCCAGAATAAAGTTATCATAGTAAACGGAATTAGCCTTGGAGATTCTACTTGGGATTTCCGAATCTACTTTACCAGATCTACTGATCACCGTACTGAGATACCTGAGGTTTGTCACCATCTACATCAGCTCTCCACGACGGGAAATCTAGACATCCTCTTGAGTTCTACCAACTTAAAGAACTTTGATTTTTGTGGAATTAATAGTTTTATATTTAATGATTTAATATGTTCTTAATAAAGTTAGTTGGTGTTGGAGAAGTGAACTTCACCAGCATAGTGGAAGGGTTTTTATTACCATTCGCCATTTTGTAGCAAGATGGCGGCAGTAAAATCCGTATTTCTATAGACTCTAACACCAAAACAGCTGTAAGCATTTGTATGAAACTTCCCTAAATAAGGTATTTCCTCTTGAAACTTTATTTTTTATGGACATAACATTTAAAAAAAGACAAGCTTAGGGAACTAATATTCCCCTTACATGGGGAGGATATAGTCTGTAGATTACCGATTGTAAGGATTACGATAGACCAGATATTCATCCAAGTACTCGAAAAACGATGGGAAGTAGATCAAGACGTGCACGCCTTATTTGTCGACTTCAAATCAGCCTATCCGTGGACAGAAACTATCTTTGGAAGATTATGACTGAGCTAGGTGTTCTCGGAAAGTTAGTGAGGTTGACGAACGCGTGTAAAAATGATCCTGAATACAAGGTACTAATACAAGGTGAAGTATCTGAGGTCTTTGAAGTTCGATCAGGTTTGAGGTAGGCAGATGGACTCTCGCCGATGCTGTTCAACTTAGCCCTTGAGAAATAATTAAAAACAACATCACGCGAAGATTGAAGGATGCACGTTGGATGTTATAGCTGTCCTGGGAAGCAATCAAGAGAATACTGAGAGACTCGCTCGGACCCTGTTAAGAGAAGTAGATCAAATCGGGCTTCAAGTCAATGAAGGCAAAAAACAATATATGACAGTTTGCCGATATATCCACCCCAACAACATGATCTGCGTGGACTCTAAATTATTCCCGAAAGTAGATAGATTAAAATATTTCGGCTCCTCAATAAATGATCGATTAACAGAGATACACCAGCGAATAACAAGTGCAAACAGAGCTTTCTTCTATCTTTCGAGAGTACTGAAATCCAGAAAAATTTCCAGAAATCTCAAACTAATGATATAAAATGCCGTGATAAAGCCAGTTCTGCTGTACGGCTGTTAAATCTGGGCTCTAACCAGCACCCTAGAAGCAGAACTGAGAGATTCGAAAGGAAAGTCCTCCGAACGATATGAGGACCTATCTGAGATCAGAACCTTAACATATGGGTGGGGGGAAGAAGGAACAATGAAGAACTGCTAAAAGAAACTGGTCAGTCAATATCTCATGATATGAAGGCAAGGAAATAATTTAATCTCTTTTCATATGTTTTTAAATAAAAAATAAAAATAAAATAGGACCTCAGTGACGGCGCTCTGCTGCTATTTGAGAGGTACCTACTTCTTAAGTGTCGGCCAAGTCCAAAGACACATCTATTGGCAGCCGTGATCCTTCTTTGTATTTCTTGGGCCATGTCATTTTTGCTATTAATTTCAGACCCAAGGTATATAAAACTTTTCAATCTCTCACACTTAAAAGAACCTATCTCAAATGGAGAGTTCAGATCCACCTCACCACCAACTCTCATATACTTAGTTTTCCTCTCGTTGACTTCTAGACCAAGTGGTCTTGCAGCTGCTTCAAGGCCTATAAACGCTTCTCTGAGAGCCCGTTCAGACCTACCTATTATTTCAATATCATCAGCAAAACCAAGAAGCTGTGTCAGGCGATTGAAGATTATATCGTTGGTCTGAATACCGGAGTCTCTTACAGCTTTCTCCTCTGCCAAGTTGAACAATAGACAGGCGAGAGCATCCCCTTGCCTAACCCCACTGCTCACTTTAAATTCTTCGGAGTCGTCAGAACCGACGCGTATTCTACATCTCGAGCTGTCCATGGTCATCTTGATTAGGCGTACGAGCTTCTGAGGGATGCTTAGCTCCTCCAAGGCACAGTATAGTTGCGTTCTATCAACGCTGTCGTATGATGCTTTGAAGTCCAGGAATAAATGGTGGGTAACTACCTTACGCTCCATAGTCTTTTCTAGGATCATCCTCAGAGAGAACAGTTGATCAGTCGTTGAGCGTCCTCTTCGAAATCCAGCCTGATATTTCCCCAGTTCCTTTTCAGAATACGGGAGGATCCTCTCAAAAAGAATGTTAGAGAGCAGCTTATAAGCACACGAAAGCTTGGCGCTCTTCTTACACTTTTTAAAAGATACTTTCTCATTGAAAAAATAAAAATTAAACAACAATTTTTTTAAATAAATTATCTTTTCATAAGAAATGTTCCAAATTACAAAAATATAAATAGGTCCCTTAAAATAAAATTAAAAGAAATTTTATTTTTAAAACTTTTTCCGAAATATGTTTACAGTATTTCACAGAAAAGAATACGATTAAAATGTCTACCGAATACTAATAAATTAAAATTTCTAGGCATAAGTAATTAATTAATAAAATATTGCAGGCTAATTGGTCTGAAGAAAGCATTGATGAATGCGTTGAATATAAATCGGAACCCACGGAATCTTCTTCAGTTCAAAGCCTGGAGACTATTGGATATCTCAGCGAAGATCTTTTCGTCAATCCGGCAAAATCACAGAACACGTAAGTTAATTAGAACAATTATAATTGTAAAATAAGTACCTATATTATGTAAAGCCAACATAGTGTGATTTATTATGATTTTTGTTATTATTACATCCATCTCATGCATGTTAACAATATCCTTCATCTTATTCATCTTTCACTTCTGTATCTCTCTTTACCACGCCTGTTAATAATGTCTCCCAGGTTTGAAACCACTTTAAGAGCTTCCATGTCGCATATATGTCTTGATATTCACGCCTGAATACAGCAATCACTTTGCTTTTGGCGTCATTAATATCCATTTCTTATAGCTCTGGAGCCAGGGCTCAAAAATCGACCTCATTGCAGGCGAAGGTTTGATTGTAGATTACGAAAGTGTATGTTATTCTGAGTAAAAAAAACCTTGTCTTCCTTTCCAGAGCCGCTGCTACAAAAAACGGCGGCTGATTTTAAGAGTATTATCTAGTAAGTTGACGATCGAAACGGGAAATCGATTAATGAAAAATGTGAGAAAAGTTTTTATTTTTTTAACTTGTATATATGGGTTTATAAATGTAAAAAAAAAAATTGCCAAGCAGGCCACCAAGGGAAAACTTTTTATAGCAAAAAAAGTCCGATTTTTTTCGATATTTTTTTGTTTTTCACCTATAACTTCCTCACGATGCATCAAAGCGAGAAAAGTACTACTGAATTAACACTAATCATACCAAGACTTAATATATACCTATTTCTACCATAGCGGGTCAAACGACCCGACTTTATGTTTCATGCTTGAATGTATGAAATATGGATGTTAGGAAGGAAATAAAAATATAAATTAAATTTATTATGATTAAACAAAATAGTATGTTGAGCATTTCTATTACAAAAGCAAAAAATAAAAACTGTGTTCAAACGTTGGCTCCGCTGACTTTTTTTATCAAAACGAATAAATCTAAGAATTTTAGTAAAATCATTTCTGCTCGTAGTTTCAGAAAAAAAATTTAGGCCCCCATATGTTATTCCACAAAAAGGAAATATTCAAATTATTTGCTCCATATGCAGCTCGAGCATATAAAATTGCAATAAATGCATCTAATTTTTTTTTAGATAAACTCCAATCGGAACCTAACACACTCTTTGCTTCTTCTATTGTGCATGTTCTTATATGGTTCATAATACGGTTGTCAATTATCAATGAAAATGCAATACTAACTTTACCTTTCATTATATGGCGTTTTGCATATCCATCTGCAGGCCTAATTCTTGCCTGAAAATGTTATGAAGTGGTGCTCTTCCAGGTGTGCCACCTACTTGCATTTGTTGCCAAACAGATCCATCATTCGCAACATTTTCTTCATTTATTTCTACTTCACTTTCTTCCGAACTTGTGAGTAATCTTATTCTTTTTCGGCCACTAAATACATTCACAATATTTTCCTCTTCATCGTCAGTATCTGTAGAATCAAACTCATTTTTATTTGCAATCGATATATCTTCATTTTCAGAAAATTCATCTTCACTAATTTCTGAAAACTCTTCGCCAATATTATTTATATCTTCTAAGAACTTGTACTGTCTTGTTTGCTTCGACATTTTTCTGGGTAAAAAATGATCTGTATTACTATAGCTATCAAAATAAAATATAAGCTAGGTATTTTCAATTTTTGCCAATTTTTTTTACACTAAAAAGCTATTTTCAATCTAAAATTTGGTATTTTCTTGAAATTATTCTGAGCTATTTTCGTTGAACTACTTTACGCAACAGTCTTTGGAAGAATGTGCAACTTACTGACTACAAATATGACTAGATAATCTCATAAAACAAAAAAATTCTCTCCGGGTCAAATGATCTGTTGTGGTAGATATCGGTATACAACAAGGATTACTCAGAATAAACACAAAACAAAACAAAACAAAATATTTTTATAACTGTACATTACTTACTTAGAAAATGTCATGAAGTCAAATGTGCAAACGCAATAAAATTATACGTGCATTTTCAATGGAAAAGTTCAAAATGGGTCATTTGACCTGTTATGGTGAACGCTAAATAGTGTTAAAGAACGCTAAATTTTGCTTCGAAAGAGTGCATAAACTTTATACTTTGGTAACGTGGTAAGGTAAAAAATCACGGTCAACCAACGCTGATTTTTACCAAAAAACTGAGACATATTACTATAAATGGCTCTGAAGCTTGGAAATGAGTTCTTTAAGAAGAAAATCCCATAGAATCAAAGTTGTAGAGCATCAAATTTTGCGTGCACTGAGTACGAACTAAGTAAATGCATATTACTCCTAACAAAATCGGTAATCCCCCCGATGGTTAGAAATTGGTACTGAAGGTACGAGTAAATGTGATTTTCAATATTTCAATATTATGGATGTCTATTCTACTGTGTTATTTTATTTAGACTCTGTTACATGCAGTAGAAGCCTCTTTTCCACCTCTCAGTAGCGAAGGGTTTTGACAAACAATGTTTCGAAGATACCGAATTTCATAAAGGAATAACAAATCCCGATTCGAGATATATAATTGGTCTACAACACAAATATCAGTACTCATTGGAAAATTTGATTATCTACAATAATAGTAAGTTGACGATCAAAACGGTAAATTCATTACGAAAACTGTGAGAAAGTTTTTTAACTTGTATATATGGGGTTAGAAATATAAAAAACAAAATTGCTAACACGGGCCACCCAGGTAAAACTTTATACAGCCAAAAGTCAGATTTTTTTGTTTTTCACCTATAACTCCTAAACGATGCATGAAAGCGAAAAATGTACTATTTATTAATTTAAAGAACGTTAAATTGTGCGTTGAGCGAGTAAATAATTACGTATTCACTGGAAGTAAAAATTTGATTCTATTGTTTTTTCCTCTTAGGGAACTCATTTCCAAGCTACAGAGCTATTTATAGTAATTTGTTTCAGTTTTTGACAAATTTGGGAAAAAATAGCGTTGGTTGACCATGGTTTTATTCTTTACCACGTAACCAAATTATACAATTTATGTACTTGTTCAACGCAAAATTTAATTTATTAAAGATTACATTTTTCGCTTCGATGTATCGATTAAGAATTATAGGCGAAAAACCAAAATAATATCGAAAAAATCGGCCTTTTTTGCTGTAAAAAGTTTTTCCTTGGTGGCCCGCGTTAGCATATTTGTTTTTTACATGTTTAACCCTATATGTACAAGTTAAAAAAATAAAAACTTTTCTAACATTTTTCGCAATGGATTTCCCGTTTCGATCCTCAAATTATTGGCCTAATATCCTTTAATTCAGACGCCATTTTTGAAAGCAGCGGCTCTGGAACGGCAGAAAAGGTTCATTTTACTTAGAATAACATACACTTTCGTAATTCACGTCCAATATACTTTTGAATTCGCATATTGCGATTCTTATCTTATTTCTCTATTCCTTGTTTACTACTCTCATTAAAGGATTTTATTGTAATCTTCATTTTTCAGGTAAGAAAGGTTGGATAAATTAACGGCCATAGAAAAGACGGAAATTCCCAACCGTAGTGTCTTCTTGCTGGTTTGCTTGATTATAACATATCCAAGTCTAATTTAGACCTTTCCAAGCAAAATTTTGATTGTTTCAAATCAATTATAGCATTTTGCAAACCAAATTGGGATTTTTGGAAACTCTCGAATTACTTCGATCCTCAGATTACTGGCCTATTATTCATTAAATCAGCCGCCATTTTTTAAAGCAGTGGCTCTGGAATGGCAGACAAGACAATTTTTGGGCTCTCGCTCCAGGGCTATTACTGTTGGAGCTCCTCTTTCCACGTAACAAGGGCTGGCTGCAACTTCTCGCTTATAGAGTAGGAGCTACCGACAGTTTTATTTAACGGAAGAACATTTGGCTAGTGACCATTTTAAATTCTAGATAAACCTTTTCTGAACACACAACTTCGGTCAGTAGATTGAAATCCGCAGCTTTCTAGACGAAAATTTACGAGTAAATTAAAGACGCGAAATTAGACGGTTGATTTAACGAAAGGACTGACTGCTGAAATCTTAATATGATATAAAGAATATACCCATAAAAGAGAATTCACCTTGCCTGACGATATACTCAAAACTGACGACGTCAAAGTCGTAATTATTGAAATTACACTAATACACCATGACGAAATAATTTTTTTTATGCTCTCCTGTAAAACACTCGATTTTTACATACGACCTTTTGCACCAACAGAACGATATACATCTTCACTATGTACTGGGATTTTTTTTTTAATTCACGATTCATCAAATAAGTGATTTGCAAATGTTGAACTCTTCCGCATTTTAGTATTCGCTGATGAACTTGGTGGATATCAAATCGGCGAATGTTAACGAGTTACTATATTTCCAAAACGGCTTCTTCCGTAGATTTTATTCTTATACTAAAAATTATTGTCTTTGAAATATATATATATATATATATATTGTTTACCTAATGAAAATGGCGAGGAAGCTATACTGGCTTTACTTTTTTAAAATATATATTACATAACTTTATTATAAAAAGTTTTTACTTATTTTAAAACAGATACATATTTAAGAAGGTATAAGTAGTACAATTTGCGGATTGATAATTATTGGTTAGGTACTTGTAATAGGCATCCTCTTCCTCCAGGGAGCTTCTTGAGCCTCTGGAAGAAGCGAAGAGTCCTTATCAAAAGTTCTTCTCAAGGTCAGTGAAGGAGGTGCGCGAGCACGTCGATCGGTTAAGGAAGAAGAAGTTTCACACACTATCAGAAAAGGTACTGAAATTTTTCTTATACATTTTTAAAAGCTTCATAATCGTATTTTTCATGACTGTTAGCACCATTTTGAATATTTATTTATTTAAAACTCTTCCCTGCCTATGAAGCTTGTTTATCTGCGTTCGGCATCTATTCTCTAAGGCTTCTTCTGCGGAGTTTCTTCTCTTCTATTCAAGCAAAAGTGGGCTGGGCCAATTATGTCTTTTTCACCCGTACACAAAGGCCTTGTAGTGCTGGTAGTTCTTCTTGGTCATTAGCTGAGGGAGATGGCGCTCAAATAGAATGGAGGTCTGTCTCCCTCACCAACTTGGCCCTCAGTGCCTCATATGTGAAACTGGCAAACAAGATATGCTCGGCGATCTCCGGTACCGTACAATTTGAGCATAGGGAATCTATGTTCATTCCATATTTAACAAGTTTTTCTTGGAATTGTGAGATCCAATAGTCTGGGAGGATCCATATGGTTTTCATTTTCGGACTGTCGATGGAGAAGTATTTCCTTAAAGTAGATCATTTTGGCGTTATCATCGCCGGTTCAATTCTTCCAATGTGCACTCCCAGAGAATCCTCTTCCATCTGCTTGGGTCTTCAATGATCCTCACTCGGATATTCGCCGGTAGATCCACCAAGCCTTCCCTCTTCAATTACAAAAAAATTTTGAAATCCAAAATATGATCCCTAAAAAATTGTGATGGCGCATTTTGCGCCATGAAACCTTCTTAGTGGCACCTTTGTCTAAAGCTATGTTATTACATTTGGGTTGTGACATTACTAGATGATAAGAAAACAGAGTTTCATATTTTTTTCTGGCTTTTTATTTTTTATCATATGATTATAATTTTTACTAAACCTTGATTCATAAGTACGTTTTCAAAATAATAGAATATTTATCTGCTTTCAGTTTTGTATTGACCTAACTAATGTTCTGCGACATAAATTCGGTCGAAATTTTGAAATGACCCATTGATAGTACTTATTTGGGCTTAACAGCCCTCCTGGAGCCAGGGCCCAAAAATCAACCTGATCGCAGGCTAAGATTTGACTGTAAATTACGAAAGCGTATGTTATTCTGAGTAAAAATCCTAGTCTGCCTTTCCAGAGCCGTTGTTTTCAAAAATGGTGGCTTATTTAAAGAATACGAATATTAGGCCAGTAATTTGAGGATTGAAACGAGAAATCGATTGCTAAAAATGTGAGTAAAGCTTTTATTTTTTTAAACTTGTATATATGGGTTTAGATTAAACAAGAGTGCTTTAGCCACGTATACTCAGGCCGTAAGTGAAGAATCTGACGCACAATTTAACTGTCTTTAATTTACAAAGTAGTACATTTTTCGCGTGGATGCGTCGTTTAGGAGGACAAACAAAAAATATTGAAAAATATCCGATTTTTTAGGCTCTAAAAAGTTTTCCCTTGGTGGCCCGCGTTAGCAATTTTTTTTTTTTTACTTGTATATACAAGTTTAAAAAATAAAAATTTCTCGCAATGGATTTACCGTTTAAAACCTCAAATTACTGGCCTAATATTCCTTAAATCGGCTGCCAATTTTTAAAGCAGCGGCTCTGAAACGGCAGACAAGGTTCTGTTTACTCAGAATAACATACACTTTCGTAATTTACAATCAAACCTTCACCTGCGATCAGGTCGTTTTAGGGCCCTGGCTCCATGGCCATATATAAGAATACTTTATTCCTAATTGGTGACCATTAAGTTTTTTTGGTTTATATCTTACAGTGCATTGAAGATTTCGTTAAATATCTCGATGAAAACGACCTCCGTTCTCCTAAGATCACATCTGAAACACTCAACAAGTTATTCACTATAGATGTCGCTACTCCAGCTGAGAAAGCGTTCACCTTAGATCCGAAAGAACTACCTTCGGTGCCCAAAGAGATAGCAGAGTTGTATAACGAACCACATGTGAGTCATTTTTACTTTCACTTACTTATATATTACTAATAGTATTGGGTTGGAAAATAAGTCCTTTCGATTTTTATGTCACTGTGATACACTGCTTATCTGATGAATTAAACCCTAAGGTGGAATGTTTATCCTGTTTGTAATATGTCAACAACTATATCTGTTAACTCTAGTTGAAACTGGCTTAGTATTGTGTTTGCTTTTGCACTGTGAATATGGAAGAAAATGTCATTCATTATCGGCACATTTTGTTGTATTATTTTAAAAAAGGTAAGCGTGCTGCAGAAGCTCATAGAAAAAATTTCATGGTTTATGAGGATGATGCCTTGAACGCACCTGTCAAAATGGTTTGCCAAATTTCATTCAGGAAATTTTGACATCAATGATGCTCAACGGTCTGGTCGCCCACATGGAATTAAAACGAGCAATGTTCGGGCCGTTGTTGGTGAAAATCCCACCCAATCAGTGCGAGAGATTGCTATGGCCCTAAATGTGTCGCACAAAAGCGTAGAAAACCATTTGCACAAGCTCGGCTATATTTCCAGTCTTGATGTTCGGGTCCCTCACATGATTTTTTTTTTCGAAAATCACAAAAAATGTTATAACTTCAATACGACATTAGCTCTCTACAAGAAATTTAGCAGGAATTTAGGGCCACATAAACTACGCAAAATGATATCAACAGAACCTTCGTAAACAAATTACAAATGGAGATAACAAATAAAAACCTATAAGGAGTTAGTAACATCGAATATAGAGAACAACCTGAAGAATTATGAATGATTGGAAGGGTGTTGCGTTCCACCAAGACAACACTAGGCCCCACACCTCATTGGTCACTCGCAATAAATTATTCAACCTTGGATGGGACCTTTTGCCCCTACCTCCCTATTCACCATACCAAGTGATTAAAACTTATTCCGGTCTCTGTAGAACTCCTTGAATAGAAAGAAACTCCAAAAGAAAGAGGACATCAAGAAACACTTGGATCAGTTTTTTAACAATAAACTCCAGACATTCTATGAACATGGCATTATGCAGTTAGTGAAAAGATGGGGAAAAGTCGTATTAAATAAGGGTCGATATGTTGTAGATTAAAATGAATTTTATGTCTATAATACATTGAGTTTTATTTCACCTTGAAATACCAAAAGGACTTATTTGCGAACCCAATATATAACTCGAGACCGTACAATACAAGTCGACCATCCGTAGGTAGATTTGTGTGTATATGTGTGAAAGGCTTACTTAAAAAACATCCTGAAATTACGTTTTTAAGGTAAGTATAGGCCTGGGACTTAAATAATATTAACACAGTTTATAAAATATGTACTAAATTGTTGAAGTTCAGAACATAAATAAATATTTTCAGAAAATAAACTTACTATAAATATCAAAATTAGGCAGAGATATAACAATTCTGAGATTAAATTCATCGGATTCATCGAGACAAAAAGCCAATGAAACTAATAAGCCATCAGTGATTCAATCGTTGAATAAAGAAACGCACTGAGTTTCCTAAACTAATGAACAAAAATTGTGTATTTTTTGAGATTTTAGCGAATAAAATTTTAAATCCATCATAACTTTTTTCAGTCTTTTTTCGAGAAAATATATTGTATACATAAATTAAAAGGGCTTCAAGGAAAACTCCGTAGCCAATTCTCATTAAAATTGTTACAGCCGTTTAGGCGCTATAGTGCACAGCGACAAACGTTTTTCGGCCAACATTTCGAAACGAATGAAATTTATCGGATGGTACTGAAATGTATATAAAACATTCTTGATTGCTGTGTTGTAATATTTCAAAACCATCGATGAAAACAATTTAGAGATTAACTGTCTTTAACGAACACTAAAGCTCGTCAATAGCTACAAAAGAAAATCAATTGAGAGACATGTGAGAAAAAGGAACTAAATGTATTGTCTTTGCCTGTTTATATAATGATAATAATGGATTTTGAAACCACTGTTCATAAATAGTATAATTATTTTTTAAATATAATTAAATGAATTTTTTCTTGTCTTGATTTGTTATGATACGTTCTTTGGTTTTTATTATATTTGAAACTTAAAATAAATTTGTAAATTGGTGCAAAGCAATATATTGGCAAGTGACGTTGAGTTCACCAGTTCTTATCTAAAATTTACTCGTGGGGTGACTTTTCAGTTCTTATCCAAAACTTACCTAGTTAGTCAAAATCTTCTTTTTAGCAGAACATGAACGAAAGATGTGCTGTTATTTTCCACGTTTTTTTCAGTCTTCGAAGCGTGCAGCACTGCACCAGCAGATAATGTGGGACATCATATATGAAAAAGGGAAAGAACGGAAGTTGGCGTTCGGTTCTCTGCTGCCAAAGGTGAGGAAACCCTGGAACAAAAACACCAAAGAGCGATGGTTCCAACCTCCTGGCCTCGATTGGGATGCCATCACCGGCAAGGATCTTTGGAAGGATCTCCTTCACACTGAGTGAGTAGTTCTTTATCAATTTTTATTTTTAAAATTGATTTTTTAGAATTTATGTTAAACTGTCAAAGCAAAGATTTCATTTAAAAACATGTATTTTTCTAAGCGGAAAAAATCAATATGTAGAGTTATTGCATGTTATCAGGCAGCACTGTAACTTCTAAACAAAGGCAGTTTTGCTTGGGTAAGGTTACCCAGAGAGTAGCAGTCCTTTGTTCCTGATAAAAGCTTTCCAGGAACATCGCAAGAGATAGTATCAGATCTCTTATCAGCCAAAGGTCCCCTTCAGAACCAGATCTTAGTCAGAAAAGTACAAGGATAGGAGTACAACTGGTGGTATGAATAATTCTTCACTGTTCTCTAAAGAAGTTTTCCAAAACTAGAAAAGAAGAATAAAAAACAGCTAAGAAGAGAAGTGTATCTCGGAATGTTATTAGATAGGGATCTTATAGGACTAAAAAAGGAAGCAGAAAACATTTGTTAAAGTAGTTTATTAAGTGTTATTAAATTAATGATTTAACCTGTAAATTTTTGTATTGCATATTTTAATTTTTTTTTTTTTGTTATTTTAAATCAGTTTACAATTTAAAACATAAATTGTAAAGGTGGGAGTGTATAGGGTTAATGCATGTTATCAGGCAGCACTATATCTTGTAAACAAAGGCAATTTGGCTTAGGTGAGGTTACCCAGAGAGTATTAGTCCTTTGTTCCTGATAATGTGATGTTTATGTAGAGGAATAAATGTGTTTTGTATAGTTGTAGTGGTATAAAAGATTTCAACATAGCCTCGTTTGTTTCCTCAAGTGATTTTCTGACATCACACAATACCTACTTATATTGTGTCATCTCAAATATTGTCTTCAATTAATATTGAATTATAAAGAAATAATATGAAATAAAATATATATATATATATTGGGTTGAGGAAATATTAATTTCGTTTTATCCCAATTGATGGTTGCTGTTATATTTCCGAAAAATGCAGCGCAAGCTTATCTAAAATAGTGTGATGTTTATGATGATGGATGTTGGAGCGAATGCCAGTGTTAGAATTGGTTTTCTTCTTTCGGTTTTGGAAATTTTTTTGTTGAATCACGCCCTGGTTGTTCAGTTGTTGAAAAATTCGATGAAATTCTTTAAAAAATCGAGGTAGATCCACATATCGACAGACAGATCTCGCTGTATTGCTACGGAACTAAACATTGATTATAACATAGTTTTGAACTATCAAAATTAGGCTGGACACTTGGGTTCCACATGAATTAACATTGATAAATTTTGTGGATCACGTTTCCATTTGTGAATGGCTACTGAAATGAAACGAAATCGAGCCATTTTTTAAACAAATGATTATGAAAAGTGGATTCACGTACGACAATAATATGCGAAAAAAGATCGTGGTCAAAGTTCGTAGAAGCTTCACAAACAGTCGCTAAGTCCGGATTGACACCAAAGATGGTCATTCTGTGTGTTTAATTGGATTAGGAAGGAAAATTTCATTGAACTGTTCGAAACTGGCTAGACCAATAATTCAACTCTCCAAGATGAACAACTAGTGTGATTGAAGCTGGCGATTCAAGAACAGACAGGATTGAAGGAGTTGTCTTCCATCGCAATAACCGTAGACCACACACATCTTTAATGTCCTGGCAAATATTGAGAGAGCTTTGCTGGAAAGATTTGATGCATACACCGTTTAGCCCGCACCTATCCTCCTTTGACTATGATTTGTTTCTGTCTCTGCTTATTGGTGTAAAGCTGACATTAAAAGAGGGTTGTGATAATCACTTGATTCTATTTTTTGTATAGGCAAGATAGAAAGCTATGGATGAAGTCATGCCACCTGATTCTGACGACATCGAAAATATTTTTGAAAAGCTTAGGAATAAGTCAGCAGGATCAGACAGGATCCCTGGAGAATTTCTCAAACAAGGGGGGAGTCGCCTTTCAGAGGAAATTACCAAATTAGTAGAAAATATTTGGTAAATAGAAAAATTACCGGAAGAATGGAAAGAGTTCCTCATTGTCCCAATTTATAAGAGAAAAGGAGATATAAGTGACTGCAGAAATTACAGAGGTATCAGCTTATTTAATTCTGCTTATAAGGTATTCTTTATTGCTCTGTATAATCGCATTATGCCATACGTGGAGAGACAGCTTGTAGATTACCAGGCTGGCTTTAGGACAAATCGATCACTGATCGATCAAATTTTTGTCCTTAGACAGATCATGGAAAAAATGAAAGAGTATAATAACTCTATGTGGATGCTCTTCATTGATTTTAAGGCGGCGTACGACACGGTGATCAGAGAGGAGCTTTGTTATGCAATTTATGAATTGGGCATACCAATCCTACAGTGGCGGACTTATGGTTTTACCAGGAAATTGGTAAAAAGTCATCGATCAAAACTGCACATATATCATTATTTAGTGTTTAAAATTTATATAAATAAATTCACTTTGAAAAACAAGAAAAAAAAACCTAAGTTACTTTTTCCTCAATCCAATATTAGGGAATGTATTTTTTAATTAGGAAATGTTTTGACAGAGTAGTAACTAGTAAGGATGCAAAAGTAGTGATGATGATTTCCAACGATTAATATTTCTACTTTATTCAACTTTTCAGAATTTTGGAAGATTTCGGCAAATGGCTTTTGGAAAATCCGGAGTATCCTAAACCGGATTATCTAGTCGATATAGGATTTTTCGAACACCTCAAAGAAAAACAAATCAGTGATGCAGGTAATGAAATTAAAATTTTTATTATAATAAACAAAAAATACTTTGATATGGATATTTTGTTGACTTTTATTTTAAAATTATCAGGATCATAAATATTCAGGATTTTCATTCTATGTTATGGTTCATTAGGCTTGCCGACGTTTTGACACATCGATGTGGCCAACAATAACTATTTCGAGGGCCAAAAATCAAAACATTACACCAAAAATATAGGATTTAGAATAAGAAAATAAAATAAAAACTCTCTATTGAAAACATAGTAATGATCTACAAGACAATTCTGTAACATATCTGGACCTACGGACTGGAACTTTGAGAGACATCTAAATCAAAGTAGATTCTTCTTCTAAATCAAATTCTTGAGCTAAAGCGGATCCTACACGGTCATTCGGAATTGCATTCCGAGGCACTAATGACGTTCCGAATTATCGTGTAAGGTTGTGAATGAAGTACTGATGGTGGTGCGCTGCGGATTTCCGAACATCCCGAAATCAAAGGTTCATTCACGAGAAGTGGAGGGGGGGCTGAGGTAAAAGTAGTGGGGAGACTAACCATACTACTGGATAGGTTAGGTTACCTAGGCCTCACAACCATTATACATTTCTGATTTTCATTGTATGTAAATAGTTAAATAATTTTTCATATCCCTTGTTTATAATTTTAAACCATCTTCAACTATTTCTTTTAAATAGTCAAGTGGGCAACAAATTAAAAAAAAAAAAATGAGGAAACTTCACAATTTACTTCAGGAAAAAAAAACTTTAACGTTGTGTATATTTATCAGTTCTTTTCCCATTTTCCTCAACAAATTTATTATTTTCGCAACACCTTTCCTTAATTTTTGTAAGTAGTTGACTTATATTTTACTAACTTTTGTCAAAACGGTTTTCTATGAGACTAACCTTACTACTAGATAGGTTAGTTTACCTAGGTCTCGTTATTAAGTAAATAATTTCATAAAAGTAAATAGTTGTTTATATCCCTAGTCTATATTATTTTTAACCATTTTCAACTATTTTTTCTTTAAATAGTCAAGTAGGCAATAAATTGAAGAGAAAAAAAAGTGAAAACTTCACAATTTACTTATAGAAAAAAAATCTTGAACTGTTGTGTTTATTTGTCATTAATTTTTCCATTTTTCTTAACAAATTGATTATTTTCGCAATACTTTTCCTAGATTTTTGTATGTAGTTGACTTATATTTTTCTAACTTTGGTCTAAGTCAAAGGCATTCAATCCTTCCAGTCTACAGTCCTCGAAACAATAGCCGATGCTCACTTCTATGTGTCCAATAAAATCCTGCCTGATGATCTTAATATCCTATTTGTTCTTGACCTACCCCTAGAAAAAAATTCCTAAACCTTAACCATCATCCAAATCCAGTAGCAAAATCCCTATCTAGCACCATCCATTCCCCGAGATCTTTGCAAATATTGGAGTTCTGGCAGTGGCTAGATTCTCCACTCAAATCACTATTGTCTGTAGAGCCCTTGCTCAATTTCCGCTGGCTTTTGTTAACACCAGTGAAGTGGTTGAGTAAAAGCGCTGGGATCTCCTAGAGTTTCGCTTTCCTCTCCAAACGTGGGGAGGGGGACAAGACTGGTTCGAAATTTCTCTGGCTAAGTTAATATTCTTAATTCAGATAGATTGTAATATTTCTCATTAATCATTATATATATATATATATATATATATATATATATATATATATATATATATTTAAAATCAATGTCTACATTTTTTTTTTTTATATTATTGTTAACAGAAAGGGTTAGTATGCCGGTCCGTAACGAGGAGCATTTCCTGGCCATTATGCAGAAGATGAATCGCCCGCTGAGCCTCGACTTGGACGAAGAAAGGTTCAAGATGCTGCCGAGGTACGATGAGCTGAAAGAGCAGGCATTGGACCGGGTCATCACTCAAGAAGGCATTGAAGAATTCGATGGCAAAGCGTTCCTCGCCTCTTTGCAGCAATGATTCGACAGTTCGGAGACAAAAATAAATATAGAAGTTTTAAAGAGTAAATTAAAATTCAAACTGACAAACCTCAATACTCAAAATTTATTGTTGAAACTAAAAGATCGTTGTAGTAAAAATAATCTATAGATTTTTATAATAACCCACCATTTTACATTGTACTGATGTATATATTCTTCATCTATCACACACACACTCTCTCTCTAGCCTCTGTTTCCATCGATGATTTTATTATTTATATTTCCATATTTTGTCACAAATAAAACCATTCATAAAGACCTTAATGTTCCAAATGTCGCTGATTGAGCCCGAGCCAGATACCTATTAGTTATTAAACTGTTATTTTCCATTGTAAAGTTTATTAAAATTTTGAAATTAGTTTCTCCATCTGCTTTTATAAACTACACAACTTCAGTCTCTGATTCCTTCAGTTGAGAGAATGACAAACTCAAATTTCAACATTTTTGAGTAATCTCATTTTAGTGATATTTCTAGTTGGAAAAAATTATATCCATACAAACAGTGATTAAGATGATTCCAGAGTAGGTAATTGCAGTGTTGAAATATAAAACTGTGAATATAATATCCTTTCATGATAAACTCCAGTCCCATCCGAATCCATTTGTTTCCAGCCTTGCTTCTTCCTCGATTCCTGATAATCCTACTAGGTGTCTAAAAAGAAGATGGCCACGTGATCTTCTCACCTAGAATTAAATAAGGAGTGCTACCACTGAGTAGTAACTCTTCAACTTTGTTCATGTCATTATTTCCAATGTGTGCATTTTTACTAGTTGTATTGTTTATACAGTTGTAAATTTCATTAAATAAATAAAAATAAAAATAAAATATTTATATTTTATCATAAATAGTCAATAATTCATTGAGAGTAGTATTTTAATATTCAATAAAATGCTACTACTAATCGGTGAAATTTAGGAATTATGGAGAAATATCGATTTTTGAAAAATCGATATTTTTATTTTAGTATTAAATATTAAAATTTGACCATCAAATAGTAACCGATAATTTTTTCAATAAACAAATAAACATTAAAAAAAGAAAAGTAGAAGAAATCTGGCTCACTCCTGAGTATAAAAAAAGTGTATTACACTGGTTAATCTAGGGGGCTTTTAAGCTCTCCTACCCAAAATAATAAAATAATGTTTATTTTTCTTTGATCCATTTTTGTTTATGTGAGTGATCCAAGCTGAATACTAAACACTATCTAAATATATCCTCTTTGTAAATTATAATTCACATGCAACTACTAATGTAAGCAGGGCTCAAGAAATAATAAAAGGAAATTTATTTCGAAAATCAGTACCTTTTTTTATTTTTTATGATTTTTTTTTTTATTTTTACTACTGTTGTATTAGTATATATCAAAAATTTACGGCGCGGGCAAATGCCACATCTGCCTGTACCTAAATCTGGTACTGCCTTGTGAAAAATCGATTTTTGTAGATACATAAACGAGGTTAATTACTTTGTGCACAAGTGGATCTTCTTAGGGCTTTCGGGTTGAAGCTTAATGATTTTTACATTCATTTACCTATATAGTAAGGGAAAGTATTGCGATCGTGAAAATTTTCGAATCTGCGTTTTCAACGGAAATTCACGTTTTGAAGTTCTCTGAATACAAATAACTAAAATCCGCAAAAATGGTGTGTGAGCGTGTATGTTTACAGCCTAGCTCAAAAACAAAAAGTTGATCTTACTTATTTAAAATATGTATATGAATTATATGTGACAGCAACTTTTTACTTAAAATGGGCTAACCGGAAGTGGCACTTTATATCATCGCTGACACAGATTTTTACAATTTTCTCAAAAACGGCTCTAACGATTTTGATTAAATTCGGCGTATCATTGTATAATTAAGTGATATTTAATATCATTTAGGTCTTGTCACCATCGATGTTACTTTACACGTTTGTATGTCCAATGTTCTCTCTTTTATTGATGGTACCCATAATAAATGGCTAAATGTGAAGTTTGAAAGAATATGATAATCGGAAAATGAAGAGATAAAGAAAATTGCTTATCCAGTTTGGAAATGAATCTCAGGAAATAACAGTCAGAAGGTATATGTATATTATATCGTTGGAAAGTGTCGAATTTTAGAAAAAATAATATCAAATAAATAAAGTTATAGAGAGTAACGGATAGTGACGAAAAAAATATAAATAATAATTTCAGAAAACTAACATTATTTAACGTCAATCACATGTTTCCAATGAAATTTTCTTACTAAATGTAAACTTTTAAATTTTTTCCAAGTTTGAAAAAGTATTTAAAAACCACCAAATCAAGCCAATGCTATTGATCAATAGCTGTGTGAAAGAAGAAGCGAAATATAAAAATATTTCATAGATATGTTTATAACCTTAAATATATTTACTGTAGTTTAATAACTCAAGATATGATATGATATTTAAATAATTAGGTATCTTGCCTAATTGGCCGTTTATTCCAAAAAAATATCAAGTAACCTTTTAGATAATTAAATTAGTGAATAATTAGATAAATTTTGCCTTTATGAAATCTCAACATTATCCACTTATAATTAGTGTGACCTATCAATGACAGCCAATTAAAATCTCTTAATTTCGTTTTAGTAAATTTTACAATGAAAAATAATAGTTTAATAACTAATAGATCTACAATCCATAATCATTTAAAGGTTAAATATTCAGATATACTTTCAAATCTCTGTAGGCATTTATGATCCATATATGTAATTTTAATGGTCTTAATGATTTGTTATCTGTAAGCTTTAAGCTATAGCTCTGTTAAAAGCGAATTTCAAAAATTTTATAATAGCCCAACATTGCCAGAAAATAATTTCTAATCAAAGTAGAGCGGTAAGTAAAAGTTGTGTGTTGAGCTCACCAGATTTTTTTCTTTCGTCTACGTTAGCATTTGAAGTGTGTTTTAGATGAGTTATGTATGACGTTAATATAGATTACAGATGTTTGGTCAAGTTATAAAATAGATATTAATAGATTTTTAAAAACTCAATATAAAAGAAACTTAAATAAATGTTTTATTATAATATAAAAACAGAAATGTCACTTAAATACAGACTGTTCAATTTTCTTCTTACTAAAGTCCTACAATATAATTCATAATTCCATCAGATCTATTTTTTCTTTTTAAGAATAAAGTTGTACTATTTTATTTTTACATTAAAAATGATGCTCACTTGTTTTATAATTAAAACCAAAATCGTTAATTTATTATAGTTTATATTTTAATAAATACCAATACAATGAACTTACAATTTTAATCAGTCATATAACATTTTGTTTCATAAAGTTGTTATACAAATATATTTAAATTTTAGTTGGCGTTGTTTATTTTATATGTTTGTCTGATCATATTACAACATTTTTAATAAAACAAATCGCTATTTTATTAATTTTTTTTTTAAAGAATCACAGCCATTTTGTGACCTCCAGCATGGAAATGAAGAAACTGTAGGTCAGTGGCTTTTTCTTTCCCTTCATCCAAATAGGTTCTTCAAGTCATCAATTCTTCTTATCTTCGTTTTGTTTCGGGCCAAAGGCTACTGGGGCTTAACGAAGTGTTGGTTAAGAGGTCCTTCGTCGGTAAGTCCAGCAATCTCTTGTGGGATTACAGCACTCTCTTCAACGGATGTACAAGGTCTGCACATGCATTCCAATGGTGCTTTGGTCATAACCTGTAAACAATGATCAATTTAATATTATCAGAAATGTACCAATTAAAATTTCATAAAATAGCAATGGGAAACCTAGCATCAGAGCTGCATAAATATGAGAGAAAAGACTTAAGAGCCAAGATATCACAACTAATCCAAAAATATATTAGAAGTAAAACATATCAGAGGTTTGGAACAGCAGCCTAATCTGCCCGAAGAAGAGCTACATGTATAAGTTTAGCTATTACAGAGGCACAGTACTCTTCCCTGTTGTCTACAAGATAATGACCAATGATAAACTGAATACCTTCGTATTATAAAAATATAAAAAGTCCCCAACAAGCAGGATTCAGAAGAGGAAGATCCTAAAACAGGTGCTTAAAAAAGATGGGAACTAGCTAAGGAATAAGCAGATTTCCTAGGTTTTTGACTGTAGGGAAAAAATGGATGGGACGGTTATTGAGGTTAAGTAGAGGAAAGTAAGGAAGGGAGCCAATGAGATGCATCGCATTTGAAACATTAAGAGCGACTATGACAAGAGCCGCGGGAATCTATGTCCTCACTGAAAATGAGTTTCCTCAGTTAGTCAGCGAGGAAATTTTCCAACGGTTTAAGGATTTCATATATGGATGGAAGACGGTGGTGGGGCCGTATTGGTGCCCGCAGAAAAAGAAGACAAGTGCAAGGAAGACTTCCAGATTCTGGAAGCTAGGCCGAAACAAGAAGGAAGAAGATAGAACAAAAGAACTGCTAGCTGTGTGAAGTAGTAGTGTGTTATTAAATATTCATGCCTAAAACACAGTATCGCAAACACCCGTATTGCCATAGTGGCATGGGAGGGTGGAATAAATAAATAAATAAGATTCAACAGTAACTAAATAAATGAAAAACTATCTGAGATTAATATGAACATTAACAGTTTTTTTTTTTTTTAAATGCTTTTAAAAATAAATAAATGCGTACTTTTCTAAATTTCTTTTCTCCTGGTTTAGCCTTGGGGCAAAAAAGGGTGACGCTGGCCTCTCGCTCACCACTTTCTTGGCAGCACATGCAGGACCTTTCCATTTGCCAAATTTTCGATCCTGATACCTGAAAGAAAAAAGAGTTTTGTTTTTGAGTTAACGATATTTAACACAGCATTTAAATTCATTTTAACTCTTGAAAGCTTGAAACTAACCTGGATGTAACTAGAACAGCGGCCAGTGCAGGCGAAAGATGGAATAGGTTTGGGGACACATCCTGGGTACTGTAGAACATGGATCACTGGCGTAACCTGGCATTCGTCTGCTGGTCTTTTGGTGCCGTCGTTCTGGCAGTAGGCGATCACCACTGGAAATGGAACATCGCTTTTCAATAAACGTATTTGTGTTTAATTGTTTGTTTAACTTAACCTCTGTTAACTTAACTTAACCTCTGTAACAGAAATCCTTTATTAAGAAGAATAATACTTTACAATAACCGCTCACAGGTTTTCAAAATAAATCTATGGATTACAAAGTGTGATGGACTAAGTCAAAAAATTGGATGTTTTTGTGAAACGCCCTAAGGGTTTATAAGCCTTAACGTAACAGAAATGTTCAAAGATACAATTTTAAATATCTTCCAAACCAGGAATTTTGCTTTTTAAATAAAGTATTTACTTTAAAAGGAGAACGTTGATGGTTTTGTGTTTTTACATTATTAACATTTTTTTTTTATTTCTTTATGACATTTACAACTGTGTTACATAAATACATCAAGTAAATTTCGACATAATTGATATAATGACATGAATACACTTGCTGACTAACTACCCAATGGTAGCACTCTAATGATATGACTACATTAGGAGATCACGGGGCCATCTTCTTTTCAGATGCCTCGGAGGGTTATCAGGAATTGAAGAGGAAGCAAGGTTAGAAACGAGAGGGTTGGGATGATTCTGAAGTTTATTATGGAAGGATAGGTATCTGGATTGGGCCAGATCTGAAACATAAGGAACATTAAGATCTTTATGGATAATTTTATTAGTGACAAAGTAAGGAGCATTGAGGATTTTACGAAGGATTTTGGATTGTAAGGATTGGATGCGAGAGGAATTCGATGGTTTAGTGGAGCCCCATAGCTCAACTCCGTAAGTCCAAATAGGTCTTATTATAGTCAAGTATATGAGTCTTTTGTAATTAATGGGAAGTTTAGAGCGTTTGTCTAGTAAGTGCTGAAGTAATCGGAAACGTCGAGCGGTTGCTTGTCGTTTCAGTCTAGAATGAGGATTCCAAGTTAGTCGTTTGTCCAGGTGGAGTCCTAGGTATCGGATTTGCTCAACAGGGATAAGTGGAGTATTGTTAAAGGAAACTGTAGGACAGGAAGTCGTTGGTTTACGAATTAACATTTTTAAAATGCTGTTTTTAACTAAATACAAAATGAGAATATCACAATGTTATCCACTTGAATTTTGTCAATGAAGCCCATAAATGCGCTGATTTTCTACTATAGTAGCTTAATTTGTCTTGACCCAAAAATATCTTGATCGTTATGACAAAAAATAAACTTATACCACTGCTTATGAAATATTGGGTATTTGTTTATGGTGGTAAAACTGCTCAGGTGACTAGAATTAATGAGGATGTAATCAATACAAACAGTAAAAAACACTTAATTTTTATTGTAACTATATCAGAGCAGTACACTTTTGCTTTTATTTTTTTTTCCCTTCAGATATTTTTCTTAAGAAAGCAGAAAGAGAAAGACGTCCTTAATACTGACTTATGATCTTGAGAATATAAGGTAGGAGATTATGACTTCCTGTAGCCTTAACTGGAATAGTTATTATTGCCACGTCTAAGTAAAAAAAATATTTATAAAAAATATCTGGATTCTTTCAATAATACAGGAATAACAATGAAAAAAGTAGCATTTGTTTTTAAGATTAAAAAAAAAACTATTTTAATGAATCATGATATCATAGCTAAAAAAGAGGGAAAATATGGGATTATTTATTAATTTATATCACTTATGCCTTGATCTAATAATTTACACATTTATCTTTAATGTTACGTTATAATGCATCAGATAAAAATTAGCTCTTTGTATATATTTCTATGTACAATCGTAATGACATTGCTCTATGTTTTTATTACAGAGCATATGTTCAAGAAAGTAGTGCATTCGTTATGGAACCGTTCATTTGGTTATTAAATATCATTATTTTTAAAACTAAACATAGATTGAAATTAACATAACTTATGAGTGATTTCATAAACAAATAAAAATAACCTCTATGTATTTATTTCTTTATAGAATCCCAAAGGGATTGCATAGTGTTTTTAAAACAGGACACTTATTCAAGAAATTAATGCATTCGTTATGGAACTGTTCATTCAACTTGAAATTACATTTAAACATATACAAGTTATTTTAACATTTTAATTTTTTTTTTTAAGGGGAAATCACAAACAAAACGGAATAGAACCGAATAATAACTCACAACCATTTTTTTTATTATTAGAAATTTATGCCCATTTGATTTTAATTTAAGAATTAATTTCTTGTGAATGCTAGAAATTAAATTGTATCTATATTGAAACTTTAGTAATTTTATTCAACAAGATAAAAACAAGAAAAATTGAAATTATTTACTATTAAGCGAATTAAGTAATGTACCTTGTGATTATATAATATGAATTTTTGAAATTGGTAGTTCAATATAAAATTTAATAGGTTTGTAACATTAAATTGAAATTTAATATTTATGTTTAAAAAGTACAATCTGAAATATTTGATACATTGGTGTTTAAGAATGTAATCTCAATACTTTTCCTTACTATTCCATAAAAGTAAAAAGTCCTGAAAATGTAAAATAAATTTGAACAATGCTGATTGTTGTTTGACAATATGATATTATGTTGTTGATTTCGGGCTGAAGTTCCCTCAAAATAGAAAGTTCATTTTTTTTTCATTACTCCATGTTTCATTCTATGAGTGATTTGAATTTAAACAATCAGAATAACCATTATATTTAAATTATAACGCATCTACTAAATGTAAACAAATGATAAGAAAAAAATTCTCTCAACGAATTTCGTGTAATTACAATTTTTTAAAAATCATTTTGTAATTAACACTGTAAGAAAAAACGGATGGCGGACAGACAAAAAAATGTTTATTCGTTTTTCGAATTCTACGTATCCTGAAACGTAATACCTCAAATTTTGATAGAGGGTAAAATTTTTTAATTTTTTGTTAGATTACAATGGTTCCTAATTGAAAATAATAAACCAAAAATATTTAAAAATCGTGATATATTTAGTAATAGTGCTGTGATTGCGATGAAACTTTCTTCGTTTTTTAGGAAATTAAAATACCTTTGAAACATCTTATCACAATATCAACAAAAATGTGTATAATTTTTTATTATTTGGAATCTAATTTTACCAATCCTCGTAACTTATTTTCCAGCTTCTTTTCGTTGAAGTATGTTATATAGATAGATTTAAAGGGCATCGAGAAGAAGAATTTAGCCAAGTTTTTCGGCCACCATTCTAAAAGGAAAAGGCGGATTGTAATGTCGATGAAGGAGGATCATCCTTGAGTGACCTCTTACTTAAATCCAAATTTGAAAAAAAAAAGTAGGTTCAATAGTTTCGGAGGAAATGCGCGGACGGCTGACGGACAAACAATTTTTTATTTGTTTTTTCGAATTCTACGTATCCTGAAACGTAAAACCTCAAATTTTGTGAGGAGGTTAAATTTTTAAATTTTTTAACAACGGTTCATTATTGAAAATAATAAACCAAGAATTAAATCCGAATCCGCTCCTGTGATCTTGTATGTTGTTTTATTGCAAAAAATCATTAAGTGGCATTTCACAACCTTAATTCACTAATAACATTGATGATTATTCCGTTTATTTGTACATAAATAAGATCGAAATTTAAAAAAAAAAGTTCTAAAAAGTCCTACCATTATACATAATCCACTTAGTGGCTTTTTTTTGCAATAAAACAACAATATAATATTTGGAAATCTCGATATTATACTATACTGCATACTTTAACACTGCTTACATAATTTATTTAATATATTTAAATATATATAACTCACAGAGTTGAGCTAAGAAGGCGAAGATCCTCATTGTGAGCAGGCTTGGGGTGACTGAGATGGTTGAAGGCAATCGAAGGGCTTATATATCCCTGCCCACTCCCTAGGGGTCATTTTCTACTCTTCGATTCCAATATTATACGCATTACTGCAGAATACAAATATATTATATGAATATATACAGTGGTGTGAAAAAGTCTTCGAATAAACAATATTTTTATAAAAATCTGGTGCGCGCAACACAAAATTTTCACTTACCACTCTACTTTGAATAGAAATTATTTTCTGTAAATGTTGTGCTATCATAAAATTTTTGAAGTGTATTTTTAGACCGAAACTAAAGCTTACAGATAACAAATCATTAATACCATTAAAATAAAAAAATCCATTTTACTATATCAATGGTTGATTGTGATAAATTACCACCTGGCATGATCTCTTTAACTGCATCATGTAGCGCCAAGTTAAATAGAATTGCTTAGAGTGCGTCTCTCTGCCTTACTCCAGAATTAAATTGGAAGATTTTACTAACCTGATTTTGTAATTACCTTTTGATGGTTGTTGATTTTGTTTACATCTTTCCCTAGCACAATCCCTGTCTAGTTCCACTCATCCCTACAATCCTCCTCGAAGGTTGAAGCGGCAGAGTCTTGTTATAAGAATATATTGGAGTTCTGGCAATGGCCAGATTCTCCACTCAAGCCATGTATGTCTGGTTATAGTGTTCTCTGCTCAGCCTCCATTGGTAATACCAGTGATGCTACTGAGTGAAAGACGCTGGGATCTCCTAGAGTCCTGCGTTTCCCTCCACGAGTGTGGGAAAGGCTTGGCTCGGAGATCTTGAGTGACGGATATTGTAAATATTGTATAAATGGATGTGTGTATTTAAGTATTTATTTTGTTGGATTAGTTTATTTTTGTTTAGTTTATATTTTTATTTATTGTGCATAGTATGAATGAGCTACTCTATATCACTATTACTATTGTCCTTGAATGTGGCAGATTGTATATAAAGATCTCAATGGCAGATCTCAATAAAGTTGTTTACATCTTTGGGCATTATTTAGATAATCCTTACCTCTATCAGGTTATTTTCTTTACACGTCGGGATAATAATCCCAATTAGTTTTTATTTTTCTTGCGCTCAGTAAACATGGATTAGGGTGATAAAGAAAACCGAATCCCATTCGAATACAACAAAACATGAGTATGGAAATGGGAATCTTTGTCAGGTCGATGTCTCGCATAATGAATATTGAACTTAGGATGGGTGCATTTCGAAGAATGACAGGACAAAGGATAACCACTTCCCTAAAAAAAAAATTAGAGTGGAAAGATGCAAAGTGCTCCTTGGCCGTCACACCAATGGTCTTCATCGAAAGATTTTGTTTTTTGCTTTTTTTTAGTGAAAAAAATTTAGTTTAGTGGAAAGAGGTCATTACCCTTCCTCAGTGATGGTTTGGTGGGGAGTTTGCTTTGATGGCACCACAAAGCTCCATTTTTGTAAAAAGGAGTTGAAACAGCCGCTAAAAACTATCAGAACGATATTTTGGAACCTATTGTGAAGCTTCTAAATGATTTGGGGATATGATTCCACTCCAGCTCACAAGACAGTAACTCAGCAGTGCTGCAAAGAATTCCAAGTCATCTCAGTCGATTGGCCTCAGGAAGCTCTGATCTCAACACACTAGATTATTGGTTTTGGTCCAAACTGAAGAGGATGGCATGCCACGTAGCAAACCTTAACTTGGAAAGCCTCAAACAATCTCTGGTCCGAGCAGTGGAGCGCTTTCCTCAAGAAGTGCTGCGTGCTGCTATTGATGATTGGCCACGGAGATTAAATGCCTGTTTCAAGGAAAAAGGGGGACATTTTGAGTAATCTCTTTTTTGTTTTACTTTCTATTGATATAATTTTATCTTCTAATAAAGTTTTTGAATAAAAAATAATTTTTCTGTTGAAATCTGTATATATTTCCTTGTAACAATATTTATGAATCAACCAGTAAAAAATACGTGAAATGCTGATTTCTCAATCCCTAGTGCAGTCACAACTCAGAGATACTAAAATAGTAAGGTATACATTGTGAATTATTTTATGGAGCTGGGGAGGGGGGTGGGGGCTCTAAATATATTATAAATAATATTTTGTCTCTGATCAAGAGCAAACCATGGGACAAGACTTACTGTTGACTGTATCTGATAATAGTCTCTCCCTTTTGATTGTGACTCCTAGGCGTAACGATCTTGCCATTCTATCATAGCTTCTTTCTTTAGTAACCTTAAGAATTCTATCATGGATACCTTGGTGTTCTCTTCCATTTTGTTGTTGTTCTCTGCAGCTCTGTCAGCAGTCTCGTTTCCAAATCCAACATGGCTTGGTACCCACTAAAATATGTATTGGTTGTTGTTGTTAGTTGGAGTTTTAAGGCCTAAAACATCGATGTCATCAACACCTGTATTTAATTAAACTAGATTTGAATTTAAACTTTTAAATTTTGTTTAACAAGTCATTAGATTTTAGAAAATTTAACACGGACTGTTCTGTGTCTTAGTCATTTTAAGGATGTTTGATATTAGAGGAGTGAATCTGAAACAATTTAAATTCGAGATATAGAAAGAACATTCCTTAAAAATGTGGCTAACTGTAAGTGTACTATTACAGTATTGGCATTTTGGTGGTGGCTGTTTTCTAATGATATGTGAATGGGTTAGATTGTTATGGCCTATTCTTAGTCTGGTCAAGACAGCCTCTTCTCTGGGAATAGAAAGCTTAGAACTTGACCACGGCTTTACTGTTGTTTTAATTTGTTCGACGCGATCTCACTCCACATAGATTGCAATCTACAAAATATTTCTTATTTGAGGGAAAGACTTAAGTCATGTTGCGTTAGAATAGCGGCGCCCTTGCCTGGTAGAGTAAGTACTTGCTTGATGGCTATGTCTGTGAGCTCATTTCCAACTATGTTGTTGCATGATATTATGTTATTAATTATTTCAAATATTAAATATGATCTAATTTTTTTTATATACGGGATGTTTTCAGTAGTCTACAAGAAGAGTCGAGAATGTGAAAATAACTATGTTAGCTTTTGAATCTATATATCCTAACAATAATCAGAGGTTTTTAAGATTGCGAAAAGTTCAGCACTAAAAATGCGAAATTTGGTTGGTATGGTTATGTATGCTCATATTGCTAGCTTCCTAAAGCAACTATAAAGAAAGAAGTCGAAGATCATTCCTCTCTCAGATGTGACCGAAGTTTTTAAATCTGTTTATCGCTTTAAAACCTCCTTGAATACCTTATTGATTTTTCATCCTAATGTTGCAAAAGGTAAATTTGGAATAAAAATCTGGTGCGTTGCGCGCATCACACAATTTCAGTTACCACCATCTTAGCAGAAATAATCTATAATCGTTGTAATCTAAACAATTAAATATTAAATAATACAAACAATCACATTTATGAAAACCGCATATGTATATTTATATAATATTGTCTAAGTTCGTATTATATTAAGCTCATGTTACATTCGATGTCAGTTATATTCATTCGGATCAGCTCGAGTACTCACGTATCCTTTTGGTTCCTCCATTTCAATCATTATCCGTTACGATCTTTTATTTCTCCTTTAGTTGATTCTCAAATTCTTTCATATTTTATATTTGATAATCTTTTATATTAAAGATTAAAGTGAAATGGTCAATTATTTCAAATAAAAAAAAATTAAAGGCACTTTAGAGGGAGCTAATAGTAAAAATTAGCCATTTAAGCCCTTTTATAGAACATCAATGAGATAAAAAACTATATTTCATGTAAAACTGCTTAATCTCACGCTGATATAATGAAATTAATCAAAATTGTTTGAGCCTTTTCGAGAAAATCGTAAAAATGTATTCAGTCAATGATATTAAGTGCCACTTCCGGTTAACCGATTTTGACGAAAAAGTTTTTGTAACATCCCTAGCATATAAAAACCATAAATATGCAATTTCACTATCGTACTTCTTCACAAACAGGCCATTTTGCGGGACTTGGTTATTTGGACTCAGGGGTCCTCAAAACGTGTATTTCCTTTGAAAACTGAGATTCGAAAATTTTCACAGTCGCAATACTTTCCTTTACTATACATTTCATATTTGGTAAGTGAAAGTAAAAAGAAAAGTTTGAATATTTAATAATAAAATCGAAATATCTGGCATCAAAAATAGAATAAATATCGACATCCACATTTTGATCAACTTTATGAAGGTTACAATAATATCATATTTATGCATAGATGTTCCAAAAATTACCTAAAAAATATGTACAGTTAACATAGTCTATAATTCTTAGAGTGTGTAACATCATTTGTTTTATGAAGAGAAGAATAGTTGGGGTGATCAGTCAAATAAGAAGGCAAAAATAAATGATACTATTTATTTTGACATTAGCCGACGTTTCGACCTGAAGTTCAGGCCTTCATCAGGGCTAAGAAAAGAATCAGACAACAAGCTATGAGAAACATAAGTAGTGCAGGTAAAATAAAAAAATTCAGTTGTTAGAATAATGACAATAGTAAGAACAAAGAGATAAATGATAATAAGCGGCACAACGTGTAGAATGATGAAGTAAACAATCAAAAAAGGTGACATAAGTATTAAAATGGGAATCTTAGAATAAAATGTAAAAACAGAAAAATATGAAGTTAAAGATGAAAGAAATGGAAATAAACAGTAAAATTAAGATATTGTGAATAAAATAGATAGAAAATTGAGATGTTGTAAAGTCTATCAAGATGTACAGACAACGTATAATATAATACAGAGTTAAAACAGAGCAGAGGGATGAAAGGAAGGAGGGAAGAAACTGAGTCTATTCTATTCACAATATCATTTCACACTTTGTACCGCTTATTATCATTTATCTTTTTGTTCTTACTATTGTCATTATTCTAACTACTGAATTTTACTTTAATTTTTTTTTTTTTTACCTACACTACTTATGTTTCTCATACCTTGTTATCTGGTTCTTTTCTTAGCCCTGATGATGGCCTGAACTTCAGGCCGAAACGTCGGCAAATGTCAAAATAAATATTATCATTTATTTTTGCCTTCTTATTTGACTGATCACCCCAACTATTCTTCTCTTCGTTATTCACGACAGTCAACCATTTACTAATTATGAATCATTTGTTTTATAATTGATGAACTCAATGTTTCTTTACTATATTGTATAGCTGCCTAAAAATTTATTTGGGAATATAACGACATAAACAATCGAGAAAGAAAACAAAAGAGAGGGGAGAGGATCCCCGCTGCGACCATCTAACAGCTTAGTCGTGTCTTCTTTATCGACATTTCAGTTCCAACGCCATTTTGGCCTCAACGCATTTGACGTATTAGTTCTTCGTTTGGATTTAAATAATTCTATATATGACGATATTCAAGTAACTTTATAGCAGTGTGGAAATTTACTGATCGAGATTTATCACAGTTTCAAGTTTATTTATATTTTCCAACTGATAAGTTTTTACTTTCACTTACCTATATATGCAATATAGATAGATAGAAATTTTATTTGTTTTGGAGGAGGTTCCCCATACAAATAGAGCCTAGCTTGGCTATTGTAGAATAATATGGTTTTACAAGTTACATACATATCATTTAAATATAAATAAAATTTACAACATTTTACGTTTAGAATGGGTTTTATAAAACATGAATAACAATAAAAATTATTTATTTTATTTATTAGTTATACATATTCGTGGCTCACAATAAATTTGCCATCTACCTCGGTATTCAGCAAATATATCAAGGAAGAAATGATAGCATAAAAAAAAAAAAAGAATAGTAATAACAAGACAAAAAAAAAAAAAAAAAAAAACAGTAATAAAATAACATATATATAATAACATTATTATACAAAAAAAAAAAGATAATGCAGCAAGAAGCTCAATGCAATAAGTCTCTTGGCCAGCGCCTCAGCAGTCTTCTGGGCGGATTATATGGATTTGTGGCAGTAGATAGAGCTTGAGTAAGTGGGTTTGAATTTAGAGTCAGTCTGTCATGAAAATTATTAAAGCGGTCAGTGGCAGTTGCCGTGATGAAAGGAGTGTTAAGGTCAGTGTGTAACGTGAGATTTGAATCATAATAGGTTGCGTCTACAATTTTCCGAAGGACTTTTGACTGGATGATTTTCATATTTGATTTCTTTGCTGTTCCCCATAGTTCGATCCCATATATCCAAAGTGGTTTAATGAGGACTTTGTAAATAGTTAATTTATTAGTCACAGACAACTTAGAACGTCTGTCAAGTAGCCTAGAAAGAAGTCCGTATCGCTGATTAAGTTCTTTTCTTTTTTGTTATATGTGGTATGTCCATGTCAGTCGTTTGTCCAAGTGGAGATCCAAATATCGTACAGTTTTTGAAGGTGGTAGAGCGATATTATTAAAGAACACTGGAGGACAAGAGTCATGTTTAAGTGTAAATGAAACAAATTGGCTCTTAGACTCGTTCATTTTTATTCTCCACCTTTTAGCCCAACAAGCTATGTCGTCTAGGTGTTCTTGAAGTACCTGAGAGGCCTTAGCTGCATCCTAGTTAGATATTAATATTGCCGAGTCATTAGCAAATGTAGCCAACAGTGTTTCAGAATGTTGTGGGATGTCTGAACAGTAAATGTTGAAAAGTGTTGGACCCAAAACACTGCCTTGAGGTACTCCAGCTTTTATTTGTTTGATGGCAGAAAACTCAGTCCCTATTTTCACAATACAAAAATAGGCATTAAACAATAAAAATTAGAATCAAAAAACGGTTACTGCATAATAATAGTTATATGAACCTGTTACTATGATAGAAACAATAAAAATATTTATTTATACAAACAAAATATTACTTTTAAGATAAACTAAAACAGACACTTAATAGAACATGGGCTATGATCAACAATGTTGTGTATGCACTTTGTGTACTCCCATCATATAATAGTAAACATTATTTAACTTATCTATATAATCGATATTCAATATGGTTTCGATGATGCGGTTATCAGAAGATTCTGTGATGAAGTTTTGAAGGAATTTTTGTCTATAGTCATTGTATGGTGGGCAGTGAAGGAGAATATAATGTAGACTATTGTAAATAAATTGGCTGCATGATATACAGGTTTCTTGAGACTCGATCGAAAAAGTTCTGGTTTTTGCATAGATTCTGATATGTTCTGGGTTTGCAACTAACACATCTCAATTTCTTTATATGGACTTTGAATGTAAGGTACGTTTCGGGATCGGGAGCATTGTATTCTGTATAAAGGGTACTTAGTTGAGTTTAAAGTTCTTTGTATGTCGGCTGAGAAATAATGGTTGTGTGCTTTTTCCAGGATGTCGTATTTGTATCGAAGAATTCCGTTTGTGTGGTGAACAGAAAGCTCTTCTGCAAAGGCATTAAGCTCGGCTATTGCTCTAAATTGAGACACCCAATTGAAGTCTATGTCAGGCTTATCCTTGTCTAATGATTTAAGTCTATTAAAACAGAGTTTTGGGAGTCGCTCTTCTGGCATGAACTCCAGGTTGGTCCATAGACTTGTCATCTTTTTTATCACTTTCATTCTTAATGGTTCTCTTCCAGTTTCGAAACGGACTATGTAGTTTGGGGTTTTCCTGGGCCTACCAAACAGTTATATATGCAATATATAGTAAAGGTAAGTACTGCGATCGTAAAAATTTTTGAATCTGAGTTTTCAACGGAAATACACGGTTTGAGGTCCACTGAGTCCTAATAACCAAGTGCCGCAAAATGGTCTGAGTGTATTTCAACAGTCTAGTTCAATAACGAAAAGTCATATGAAAGTAAAATTTCATATTTAAGGTTTGTATCTACCTTGGATGTCAGAGCAACTTTTTCGTCAAAATCGACTAACCGAAAGTGGCATTTTACATAATCGATTTAACACATTTTTACGATTTCGTCAAAAACGGCTGTAACACGATTTTGATTAAACTCAGTAGATCAGTGTATTGTAAAGTAGTTTTTAAAATTATGTAGATTTTATTCTCATTGATGTTCTCTATCAGGGCTTAAATGGCTAATTTTAAATATTAGCTTCCTCTAGAGTACTTTAATTTTTGCTTTCTCACTAACGAAGGTAGGAAAGCATTGTATTCGTGCGAGAGGTTAAAAAAAAATTGTGTTCAGAATGGAAAGTTTCCACTCGCGTTTTACGTTTCAGTCATGAACACTATCGGATCCAGGATTTAATTGTGGGGAGGAGCTTCAGCCCGAAAGATTTTTTTTGATATATATAACGATAATTAATTTGAAAAAAAAAAAAAGAAGAAAGTAATGAACTACCTATATGAAATGGTGTTTAAGTGATTCTTGAAGTCCTATTAAATGTAATTACACGAACAATAATATTATAAGAGATATATTTTTTTATATAAAACGGTTATATTTTACCATTTTGGGGGGAGAGGAGGAGGGCTTCTTCCCGAAAGCCCCCCCCCCCCGTAAATCCGCCTGTGGTCATGAAGGATGAAATTTGGTTCAGTGTCTGTCTGTAGTCAAATCGATGCAAGGGGCATATCACCTATTACCGTTTACCCGAGGTTCATGAAATTTTTAGGAATTGTAGGGGTTGGTGTCTAGATGGTCCCATATCAATTTTATTAAATTCTAACCAGCACTTCCGCTTACGCACGCTCAAATACATTTTTGTAGATATGCCAATATTTCAGAAATGGCTCTAAATTGGATAAAAGGTAGGTATGTATTAGTGAAAAAATAATGTAGTGTTAATTTTATTTAATTCTGTCTGTTGCTTTTTCTTATATATGTGTAAACCTGTTTTCCTTGATAGTCTATATCTCTAAAACTGCAAGTTCGATTCGAATTTAGTAGAGGATCATGCCTTTTATTTATTAATTATTTAAAATATTAATGACTTCCACCAAAAATGGTCCACAAAGATAAAAAGGAAAAATAAAACTTAAAAATTGTTTTTAATAAATATAAATAACACGTATATTTTTCCTGATTGTTATCTTTAAATACATTATTTTGAGTAAAAGTACATTTATTCTATACATTATATCACTAACAGAATGGAAATGATTAGGAGATAATAAGCAAAGACAATAATATAACAAAAATAAACAATGTAAAAATATAAAACTATTTGAATTGATAAGAATTATATATTTATCAGGATTTCAAAGTAACTTTAAATCGAAACAAAATATTAATGGTTCCTTTAAAATTTGGTTGAAACCCTAATATAAATATAATTCTATTTGGATATTATCTGTTTAAAACAGTTTAACTTCTAATATAAGTCACACATAATACATTAACAAAAAATATATAAATAACAAATAACAAATTATGTAAGTTCATATTTGCAATAGCATTAAAAAAAAATTACTGACAAAAAATGAAAATACTTTAAACAGTTTTAGATTTATTTTAAATGTTCCCAAAGAATAGGAATAAAATATGATATTTATTTATGTTTAAGTACAAACATCATGTAAGAATTTGCTTATTAATACATTATTTGTACAATTAAAGTACCAAAACTGTAATTATTCTATAAATAATATTTTTTTCTTTTAGGAACTTTATGTTTAATTAAGGAATGAGTAGGAACTGCTTAGCAATACCTTTTTAAGATTTATTTTTATTTTTAAATAAACAAAAGATTCTTCAGACTTTTCCTACAAACTGAGTTTCAGTGCTGCATTACTATTGAAACAATACTTGAGAACATACTACCAAAAGTAAACAAATATATGTTTATATAGTGGTATATATTTACAATAATGTTAAAGGCACCTCACCTTGAGATTGGATTAGTCAGATGACAAAAGATCATATAATTTTTATATGAGAGTTTCGGGAAAACGATTTAGCGATGTAGACAAGGAAACCAATCATAAATATTGGTTCATTAAAAAAAAAAAAAGTAAATAAATAAATAAAAAAGATAAAACTAACATAACACAGGTTTCAATCTTCCATACAAGCTGTGGTAACACACTTTTTAAAAACTAAATACTTAAAAAAATATCACAGTTCATAATAAATGCAGCTGTGTTAAAAAGTTCATCAATCACTGTCATCTTCAACAAAATTGTCTGTTAATTTGATTTTTTTATGAGGCGACCTGGGAGCGATATCGTCTACAATTGATCTGGCGTAGCGCTGTAACAAATGATATAATAATAAAAATGCGAAATATAAAGCAATAAAACTTTCTTGAATTAAGAATCATTTTAGAATAATTTTAGGGAATGGGATAGCTCATTAGTAGGTCACTGATCTTCCAATGTTCTAAGTCCCCGGGTTCAAATCCTGGCTCATGGTAGAAAGATTATTTGTCTCATCAGCTGTGGATCAGGAAACCCTTATAGGGCACACCCAGCCTCTATAAAGCCTTTTAAATAAATAATTAATTAAGAGGAACAACCAGGCGGTTTGTTTGACACCAAGTCTCGAGTCAGGTGTGACGTCTGTAAAAATCTCATACTTGTACGTCTCACCATTTTGAAGGTATGAAGGTATGTGAGTAATTTAAAAACCAAAAACTCAAACATAACATAAAACCATATTTGCTATATCATAAAATTATATAGAAATTAAAATATACATATAATAGCTATTTTCACTATTGAAAAACTACATGCCCTGCATTACAGGACATAAGATGTTCCTTTAATGAAATGGACAGCTCTTATGATAGGAGAGCAAAATTACATTGGACTGCAAGAGCACGCATGGCTGATGAAGCAGGCGTTACTTAGGCGTAGGAAAAAAAAACAAAAAAAACTATTGAAAAACTTAATGATCGGTTGTAATATTGTGAAATTTGGTTAAGATGATAAAAACTCATAAATTGTTAAACAAATTCAAGTTGTATTGTTATTAATTAAAGTTAATTTTTCAATGAGACTGTCTAATGAGCCGACCAGTCTACTATGTTTGGACACGACTGGGATCGCAACATTGGACTTTGAAGAGCCACGTGCAGACACTACTGGTATTCATACATAACATTGCAAAAGCCATTACATAATTTCTTATCGAGTTTTTCACACTTTTTGGATTTCTTCGATATATGGGTCCACCAATACCTTATTAGGGGCATTTTTTTTTTTTTTTATGGAAATACTGTCAGATATAATACTGCACATCGAATATTTGTAACTTTAAGGATTTTGTTGACATAAGGATCCACTATTATGTTGCATTATGTATTTGTCAGATACAGATATTCGATGCGCTATTGCAAAATCTTAAATCTGACAGTATTTTCATAAAAAACACCCCAGAAAAACACATTAGTGGATCCATATATCAAAGAAATTTGAAAATTATCAAAAGCTTGATGCCCATTCTTAAATCCGACAGTATTTTAAAACATCTAAATTACCCCGCCACCTATTTCTGTTAAGTATTTGAATATTAAAACACAAAACTACAATATTAGTAATCACAACTCTTTTATTCATTATAAAAGATAACACTATTAGGTTAATACAACTGAATCACTGATTGGTATAATAGATATATCACAATTTCCATTTGAAATCCGTAAATTCTTGATCACTTCCTTAATATTTCCCCACTTTGACTATTGCTGTATGGTATATGGGGTGTCTCTGAAGATCTTGAGAATGCCAAGGGACACTTCTGTTTACCGTTGTTATCATGAGTTGAAGTGGCTCTATCCTTCCTACCGTTGCAAGTACTTCCTAGCTTCCAATCCGGCCGACCTTCATATATCTCTGAGCTCCTTCAACTCAAATCCTCTGTCTACTCCTGCAAAACCCGTTCCCGTTCTTCAGATTTATATACAAGGGCTCACTGAACTTCTGCTTTCGAAAAATCTTTTACTATCCAATCCTCATCCTGCGGAATTCTATCTCCCTGTATCCGTTTATCATGAGTTGAAGTGGCTCTATTATCCTTCCTACCGTTGCAAGTACTTCCTAGCTTCCAATCTGGCCGACCTTCATACATCTCTGTCTACATATACAAGGGCTCACCGAACTTCTGCTTTCGAAAAATCTTTTACTATCCAATCCTCATCCCTGCGGAATTCTATCCATCCCTGTATCCGTTTCTCCAATACTCTCCCAACCTTTAAATTACTCCTATTCAATCAGAAGAAATCTGAAGTATCAAAAGCTTGATGCGCAATCTTAAATCAGACAGTATTTTAATATAAAGCATTCCTGTCAACATAATAGCGGACCCTAATATTGGAAAAATCCTTAAAGTTACAATAAAATTATTTGAATCGTATTTTTATCTCAAAAATCGAATAATAGATATTACAGGTTATCTGTAAATAATGATAAAAAAATAAAAATGTATCTGTTATACGCTATCTGGATAAAAATTCGAATAACGCCCAACACTGTCACATAATGACAAAAATTGCACAAGACACAAGTTATTATGTTCTGAGATCCATACTGATGTGCAGGATCTGAAAGTGTTCAATAATATTGACCGGTTGTCCGACTTCTCTGAAGATTTGTGGGTCCTGTCGAACCTCATACAATTAATCTTTTTCAAATCAAAAATATATGGATGTTTCCATAGCTAAAAGACGTCTAGAATATTTTAAAATAAAAATATTTCCATCAGTTAATTTAAAATTATCAATGATTACATGAATGTACTTACTGATATATTCATGGACATGTTCGCAGTGGTATTTGCAGCGCTACCTCTTGCCCTGCCCCTGGCTCTCGTGGTCGTTGTTCCTCTAGCCCTTGAACCACGCCCTCCTCTCGAGCCCCGTCCCTTAGCTGGAGGAGAAGCTATCTGCGAAGATGAAGGCAACGGACCGAATGACGACTCATCATCTGAATCATCATTCATTCCGATCGTTCCTCGGATCGCAGTTTTCATATCCCTATCAGAGCGATGAGAACTTGACAGCCACTCCATAGCCTGAAAAACAATCAATTGAGTTGATTCATTATAAACAATAAACATAAATAAAGGGATCAAACACAGGTATCAAAAAGTTTTCGAACTTTATTTTAGAATCACTAATTAAACAAATTATAAATAGTATATAAATGCAATAAAGACAATAAGTTATATAATATTTTATTAAATTAAAAAATCTCACATCATCCTCAATTTTTTGTTTGCTTTGCATGGAAGTTTCCATCGTTGTTGAAATAGATTCTTTAATTTTGTCCTCGCTGACACACTCTTCTTTTAATTTTGCTTTGACAACTGAAATTCTATGACTAAAAATAAAAAATTATAAATAATTTATAATTTGATGTAACATATGATATATAATTTGGACGGACCATAGACTTACTGTACTAGATCTTCTAATGCTTGTTTATCTCCTTTTTCGATGAAATTTTTAACACCTATCGTCAACGTCCTAGTTAACAACATAGATAGAGACTTTTTGCTTCCGACCGATTCGTCTAACAATTTTTCTGTTATATCTTCTACATTGGTCTCTTGTAAGGTACTACTATTCATTTCCTTTAACAAAATAATATTAAATTATGGTAATGAAATAATCAAATGATGATGGTGTAAACTAGCCACTGTAACAGCTTGACTAGGCACATTTTCTGCACAAACTAAGGACCTAGATGCACGAAATTATTAACATTTTCAAATGTGTATCCTCTAAATATAAGTGTACATGGTAAGTTGGCAATCATATATTTGGTCTTAGCTTGGTTAATACTTAGACCCATTAGCTGTCCTGCTGCCTCTATACCTAAAGTCCTTTTTAAGTCGCTCTGTGATCTAGTTATGGTATCTATGTCATTTGCGTAGGCTGGAATCTGTACTGACTTGGTTAGAATTATCCCACTTCTTTGCACTTTGGAGTTTCTTATCACCTTTTCTAGTGCAAGATAAGCCATCTTCCTGTCTTAGGCCCCTTGTAGTCGTGAATGTCTCTGACAGGTCTCCCTGTATCCTGACTTGACACATTGATGCTATTATCAGCAGCTATGTCAAACGGATCAATTCAAGGGGAATGGAGCAGTTCTCCAATTATCAATAAAGACAACTAGTTGGCCTGTGCGAAAAATTTGCAGAAAATTTTGTTTAGTGAAGAAATAGCAAAACAAAATGGAAATAAGTAGTTCCTATGTATTATACAAGGAAGGAATTAATACTTTTTTCCTTGGTCGATTACAATATTCCATAAAATATAATAGAAATAATAGAAGATATTTTTAAACGCTGACTGTAATATAGACAAAATAATACCCCGATCATGGAATATTCTAAATTATTAAAAAGAAATAAAATGTACGGACAACCAAATGTAGTAGACTATTCTATTCCTAAATGTAATATATTTAAATCGGAAGACATTATTAACAATACCAAAACTAATGGACTATATCTTTGTTAATAACTATCTAATTTTTAAGATTTATTTTTTGTTTTGTAGGTAATTTAGTAATCTTTCAATTTAACATTGGTACAATCCAGAAAAAAATGCATACCTTTTGAGTTATTTGCACTAAAGTTTCTTTTTCCTTCATAACTTGAGTTCTAAATTATTTAGGAAGGTACAGTTTGTGTGATTTTCGTGTAGTTTATAAGGCCCTATATCCCTCCAAAATTGTGTGTGAATATGTGGAAAAATATTGAAGTTATAACACTTTTCGTGATTTTAATAATAAAATCAAAGGGGGGAGAGCCTTAGTTCAAATTTTTAGAAAAAGAATTTATCTTTCGATCGCAATGAAAATTCGTATTCAAGTCTTTCGAAATGAGCAATTCAAATCTTAACTCTGTTTCTCCTTAAAAAAATATTTCAACACACTTTACTCCTGCCGTCAATAAAAATTGTTTAAATTATACATATTTCTAATCGATTTTTATGATTTTTTGTTTTTTTTTTGTAGGTAATTTAGTAATCTTTTTATTTGTCATGGGTAAAATCCAGAAAAAAATGCAAACTTTTTGAGTTATTCGCAAATAAAGTTTCTTTTCCTTCATAACTTTTTTTCCAAAAATTTCTCGAGGATAGAATTATTTTTCGCATGTGAAGGAGAAGAATATCTTCAAAATGAGTGGTCAATCATTGGATTTGATGAAGAATTGATGAAGTTATGGCATACTGACAAAAAAACATCTTTTAGAAATAATATATAGGACTAAAGGAACATGATTGATGAAGTTACTTACTTAATAATTACCATATTGAAGTAACATTTTATTTAACATGTTATTTTATTTTAGTTATTTTATATATTAGCTTGCCCCTCTGGAAAATATCTCAATGGTTTAATAGTTGATCAATGAGACTCATTGACAATAAGAACTATCCAGAAAGGATATAATTTATTTGTGGATTAAAAGAAATATAAGACAAATTATTTTACACTATAGCGATTTAGAAATCTATCCTAAGAGTAAACAAGTGTAACTAAAACGGATCTTACGTCTAATAGGTCAAAGTATTCGGTGCCTTTTCTCTTTCTTTTAATATTGGAAGTATCCCTCTTCAAGAGGACAGCATCATCCACGTTAGCTACGTATTTGCTGAGGGATTGTGAAAATCTCTTTGTATTAAATTCTTCATAATCTTCAGTATATTCCAGTCGCAGCCTGATTAGGGGCAAGGTTGGCTGATCAGGATGGCCTAGAAAGATGATAAATATTACATTTTATAATTAAAATATTAAATTGGAATGTACAATTCGTAATTTCAAAAATATAAGGACTAGTTTATTACCAGTAAATTGTTCTCGGACTTTTGATAACATTTTGTTTTTTATATATTTCGCTACATAATCCTGCACCTGTAACAAAATAGGAAAATATAAAATTTAACTAACAAAATATTTATCTTAAATATATTTTTATCAGTATCAATTATCTAACAGAAAGAGTAGTTCTTTTGACATGTTTCAGATAGTCAATATGCAAAATAATATGGTAGGAATAATGAAATAACTTTAGAAGTTAGCCTTAGTGAGTTTCCAAGACAAATTTTGGTCAATAGTAACATCTAAGTTTCCTGAATGGAATCTGGCCAGAAAGAAGCAAACTACTAATTAACTTGAGTAGGAATTCACTTAAGAAAATTAAAGCGTTATATACTGGACACTGTAAACTGAATTATCACATGTTCAATTTCCGGCTAAAGGAGATGTCTATTTGTAGGTCTGTGGTCGAGGGGATGAAACGGACAATCAAATCATTTGTTGGTACGACAGATTTGCCGAATTGAGATTCTGTTTATTCGGCTTAATTAATATGGACTTGCAGCTTATTAATCAAGGATGTTTATCTTCAAACAATTTTAATAAACAAACTTTATTAGTATATTGGAAATATATAATGGCTATGAATTTAATAAAGATAAAAGTAAACCTTAAATATTTCAAGTCAAAATGAGAAAAATGAAAAAAAAAAAAATAATGATGGTTTTCGTTTCTTTCATCAATGCCTATAAGAGAAACAACTCAAATCCTTCTATTTTATATATGTCTATAATAAAAATACTGATATCATCAATTGATAGTAGGAACAATTAAAATAAATGATATTAAATTTATACGAATAAAAGTAACATTTGTTTTCATACAAAATCGCTATAACTTAAGTAACCAAATTTTGGACAGATATGAAACCTTAACCCTAAATAAATGCCCCTAAACTACTTATTTTGCAATTATCATCTATTATATTGATTGAACAATGTTAGATAAAATAATGGTAACATTTATTACACATAATTTTTGTGATATAGCATGTAAGGAAAAAAAGTATGTATGGTCTCCAGTCAGTGTTTTAAGCCTCTAGATTACACATGGACTGATAGCTGACACCACAAACAGATTTTTTAAAAACATTCTCCGTCTTAATAAATGAACAGTTGTAAGAAAAGCCAGTAACATTCGTTAAGACGTTTTTCCCCAAATTTTGGGGACATAAATTTTTTTACATTCACATTGAGATATTCCTTCTTGTGATTGAGGTAGATTAATTTTAATGTCACCAGATCATTCCTCAGAAACATTAAAAAAAAAATACTATTAGTTTTTTGAAAAAAAAAAAACAAACATGAAAAACGAATGTAAAGCCCGCTGACATCAAATGGTCAAATAATATAAGAATGACTCAAGGGTTGGTGCAGAATGGAAACTGCTATGATCTGATTGGTGAGGTAAGATAAAAATCAAAGAAAAGAACTATAAAGATATTTTTAATTAGAAATACATCTCTTATTAGTGTTGCAGTTCATATGAGGCCTTGTTGTACAAAATTTTTCCTAATTTATCTAAAATTATATTTTTATTAAATATAGTACCGATTTTTTTAATAACCATTTTAACTATGTTATTATTTTTATTTAAAAAATGATGTTTTAAAGATGAAAAAAATTGGAATTTATATCTACTTTGATTATTATATTTCTTTCATAAACTATGATTAATTATATATTTATTTATTTCTAATAAAACTGTTATAGTTTTAAACATTGATTAAGTTATAATCAATTACTTACCACTTACCACCTTTTTTTAGCAAAAGTAGATATTTTCAGAGAAATGGAAGTGAAAATAAAAATTACAGACGGCACAGAATATTATATTTATGTTTTTATTACCATTATTTCCTTTGACAATGGTACATTTTAATTATTTATAGATTGTAATCAATAATAAAGTGTGCCACAAAATATTTTTAGTCCTACAGACAAAAAAGGCCACTATATTTTTTATTTATTTTATTATAATCATAATAATAAAGGCATAGCGAACCCGAAGGCTCGATTCCGACACCACATAAGAGGATTAAGATATGAAGGTCATTAACGAGTGGCAACATTGTCTCTTACTCGAGTTTTTTTACTTCTTCAATAAATGGGCGAATCTCAAGTAATATCAAATTATATGTAGCTATAAGTTATACTCAATTCGATAAATAAACAATACGCTCATGAAATATCGTACTCACAGCTTCATTCATTTTGTTCGTAGGTAACTTCATATTCCAATCAGCTAGCTTGGCTGTTTCAAATACAAAAGGTCTAACGGTTTGCAGCTTGATTTTCTGCAAATCAAATTTCTTGTCTTGGATTTTAAGAATACCTACATATTTTTCAACCGATTCACCATCACAAAGGGACGTAGCAACAGAACTACCTATGAAATAGTAAAAGAATATAAGATAACTGAAATATATTTTTTGGTAATGAACCAAAAGAAGTATGATCAAATAATAATAATAATGCAATAAAAAAAAGTATCATTATCAATGAAAGAAGTCATTCCATCATCTATTATCTTAACCTCCAGTAAAAATCTGGTTAACTCAACAAATAAAAAATGTGTTAGATCCAATACTAAGCTGTAAAAGTAAAATTTATTTTATTTAGTGTGCCCATTATACAACTTTCACTTTCTTCACGTTGACTATCAGTAAGTATTATTCATGTATAATAATAATAAGCTTTATTGACATCAATAGATTTGACAAAAGTCTCTACCTTAGTGAGGAATTTTAATGGAGTAAGCTACAGCACAAAATAGTGAGTACATATTACCACTTTTAAAAAGATTATTATTATATGTAGGGAAATCAAAGTAAAAATTATATACGGTATAACATACTCATTTACAACACTATTTTTTATTTATTCACATTTTCAAATGTATAAAAAAAAATACATCTAGTAAATATGTACAATGAATATGATGAAATTTGTTGAGAAACTATCCACTGGTAGTACAATATTCATATGTTTCTCTGGCAATTCTATTCTGTTAAATTTATGGGTCATTCTTATATTGTTTGACCATTTGAAGTTCCAGAGCTTTACATTTTGGTATTGTCAACCTCAACACAAGAATAAATACATTATAGAGGAGTTAATTGGGGGGTGCGGTCAAATAAATACTAAATTAAAATATAGTAATTATTTAATTTTTGCCGACGTTTCGACCCACTTTGCAGGTCGCCTTCAGGGCGTAGGATGTGGCACTGCGGGAGGCAGTTGAAAGACTGGCAGTGTTTCAACTGCCTCCCGCAGTGCTACATCCCACGCCCTGAAGGCGACCTGCAAAGTGGGTCGAAACGTCGGCAAAAATTAAATAATTAATATATTTTAATTTAGTATTTATCTGACCGCACCCCCCAATTAATTCCTTCTCATATTATATCAACGGTCAACCATCTCTACATCATTAATAAATACATTAATTTGAATGTAAAAAATGTTGAATATTACTGTCCCCAAGGTAAGGATGCGAAGTTCTTCATGTTTTGATATGAAACAATCTCTATCGATTATTTTTTAACCATGGGAATTTCATTGTTATATGATGGTATTTTGAATTACTATATTTTTTTTAGTTATCTCAAATACTTTGATTGTAAAGTAGGAAAAAAGGTTTATCTCCAAAATTTGTAGAAAAACTTCGAACAAATTTTAAAAGCTTTTCTTACAAAATTGTTCATATAATTTAACGGAAAAGGATTTAAAAACATCCGTTTTGTGGTACCAGCTATCAGTCCACGCATAATCTTGAAGCATAAAAGAACTGACTGGAGACTATACTTTTTCTTCCAAAACATGTTAATGTCACAAAAATGCATAACGAATGTTATATTTTTATTTAATATTATGGATGATAATTGCAATATAAGTAGTTTGGGAGCATTTATTTAGGGATAAAAGTTTTATATTTGTCCAACGTTTGGTATCATCAGTAACAGAGATTTTCTATGAAAATGTAACAAATGCTACTATTATTCACATAAATTTAATATAATTTATTTATTTATTTCTACTATCAACTGGTCATATCAGTTTCTTTATTATAAGAACTTGGAGAACAGAAAAAGGATTTTAGTTGTTTTTCTTACAGCTATTGATGAAAGAAATGAAAATCATCTTATTTTTAATTTTTTCAATTTTTCTCATGTTAAAACTTGCATAATAATCAAGGTTCATTTCCTATAAATCTATTGTACATTTTAAGAATATTACTATGATAAGTTTCTAAAAAATGTAAAGTATAAAAAGATCGAAATAAATTTACATAGTAAGCATTAAGTCCTATTATTTTAGATTATATTAATCTATTTTATTAATCCTCAGAAGGATTTATGGTCCAGTATAAGAGGGTGATGTCTGGAGGAAAAGAAAAAATAGAGAGCTCAGTTCTCTCTATACAGACATCGACGTAGTCACATATATTAAACTGGCCAGAGTATGGTGGGCAGGGCATGTAGCCAGAATGAGCACCGTTGAAATACTAAAGAAAATAATGATGGAGGAGCTGCACCTCGTAAGACGGGTAGGAAGGCCGAGGACGAGATGGTTGGACAACATGGGCTATGATGCGAGAACCCTGCTTGGTGTACGGAACTGGAGAGCTGCAGCAGAAGACAGAGCCAACTGGCGGAGGCTCTTGGAGGAGGCCCAGTCTCGGTAACGGGATGTCGTGCCACATATGATGATGATATTAATCTATTTTAAAGATTCATAACTTTCAGACTAATTTTCTAAGATCAAATATGACAAATAAGAATCATTATACTACATATATACATTTCTGTAAGCAGTAATACTCTGAACCAAATCCCAATTCAAAATTTAAAAAACAAATATGAATAAAACTGACTAAAAGTTGATTTTTTTTTAAAAATCCGAATTTCTAGATCCAGAAATGGTAAATGGTCAAATAATATAAGAATAACCCTTATACATTTGTAAACCCTCTTCATTTCCTTCTAAAATTGTATTAATAATTACACATGGTTACATTATTTTGTTTTGTTTTTCCATTTAAATAATGTTTTTTCAAAATGTTGTTATTATTACTTTTTTAATATACTTTTACTGAGATACTGTATATTTTCTTTAATATTGATTAATGTAATTTATGGCCAGATGTGGTTTTTATTTTTGTGTTCATAACTGTTATTCATAAGGGATCTCGTCCCAGAATAAAGATTACTTTCTATCTATCTATCTATAATAGCTACAATTGAGTGAAGGTAAAAGTAGATATTTTTGAAAAATATGACTGATTAAGGTATAAACTTCCTCAAATCACTCAAAATGGTTAATATAATTACACATTATTCGATAAGTATTTAATGATTATTAAATAATAATTGAAGTTTTACCTGGTTGAACGACAACGAACCCTTTCTTCATATTGGGTTCAGGATCGATTCGACACTCATGCTCATGTCCCCAGAAAACAAAATCAAAGAAATCCGGAATAAAATCTTCAGGGATATATCTTTTTGCTCCCCTGTCGGCTCTGTTTTGATGAAGTACTAGAATATTAAATCTATTGGCATGATTTGCCGTTGCTTCAAAATTCACCTAAAAATTAATATTAATATTTTTCATTACTAGATATATAATACTCTAATATTAATACTTCATGTTAAGAGTAAAGAATAATGAATAATAAAATGAGTTTAATATTTAAGTTAAATATTGGCGTTACCAGAAAATTAGAGGATGGTAGAAAACAGCAAAATACTACTCAAATATGTAATTCAAGTATACCCAAGCGAGAACTCTCACTTTAGATATGTATCCTTCTTCTCTCTAATAAATTCAAAGTAGAATTAATATTAGGCAAACACGTTAATTATTATTAACAACAGTCTATTAAACACGCACAATTGGTGGATCTATATACTTTATAAGTAACAGGTTACTAAATAAGTAATTATTTTAGGTCAATATAATGCTGGGCTGAGTACATTCCATATGAATATCATAATCAAGTCTTGATATCTGCCTCAAAATACTTAAAGTGTGACTTGTACTATCTCAATCTGCCAATTTACCACTGTCAGAGTAATGACCATCACCTACATTTGTAAATCACTTCAATTATAGTCAAATTTAAGAATCGAAGTTAGTATTTGTCACTTTCCCGTGAAATTCTCTATCTTACGACACTTCGTAAGTCAAAATCTATCTGAGAGCTGACAATGGGTATTGAAGGAGGGAACTATTCAGGCAAGTGAGCGACTGAAAAACAAATACCAATTTACCCAGTTGGGAATCAAAACCATAATGTTTCGAACCAGACACTCTGAGACCCTCTCGTGAACATGCAAGGTCATCACACTCCCTGGATCTAACTACTAAATTATGAATAATAAATGACAATATGATGTATTACATTTTTGGAAGCAAATAGACGATGTAAGCGCTCGTCTTTGATGTTACTAAGGCCATATATTGCGAGGTTTGAAGAGCCTTTGGACATAAGAAGAGGTTTCAAGCTGATATTGTTCAAATCTGTCCATTTTCCAAAGTAATTTATGAGACCAGATGTTGATACTATATCCAATGCAGACATACGACCAAAACCTACAAGCAGTAATAGATTAATTCCTCAGTTAGAAGAAAAATAAACTCAGTACATACTGATAAACTAGTCAGTTAAATAGTTTGAAAACAATAAATGTATAATTTGCAATATTTGATAATTATTTATACATAATTTAAGAAACTGCTTATATTATTATCATTAGCCTGACAAACTACAACCTATAAACCACAAATAGTGTTGTTCTCTCAAATCAACCACTCTTAGTTTTGAAATCTATATATTTTTGATTATCATATCAATTTCAATCACAAAATAAAGTGATGACTAACACATTTCACAATTCTGAAGATATAAATAATTATATCAGTGTTAACTCTAAAATATTTAAACCATAAAATTAAGTACCAGCAGGATCGTCATGATTCCCATGTATTGAGTAGACAGGAATAGATATATTTAAATTAGGGTCCAAATAGTTAACCACTTTATGATCACAATGTTTAAAATTCTCTTCAGGATTACTGTCAAAGGAAACTGTAATTGGCCTGTAGTCAGAAAAATAACCAATTAGTTAATAAATAATTCAAAATTAAAACAAAATAATAGAATATTTAAATATTATTACTTGTCCCCCATAGTATATTTCCTCAACAAGGATAAACATTTATGGAGACACTGGGTGGATGGTATGTTTTCATGGAAAAGATCTCCGCCTAGGAGAATGAAATCTACTTCTTGATCTCTAGATATTTTCAATATTTCTTCAAATGTGACAAAACTATCGTTTCCTAAAATGTAATACTTGATGTTAAATGATTTTATGTACAACTGGAAATACGGAATGATGGTTACTTACCTATTATACCGTTTTTTTCGTTAACTCCCAAATGGATGTCAGTAGCAATCATGATTTTGAAAATAGAATCTTCATCTCCAGCACTATGGATGAAATCCATGTTGTCAAAGATAACAAAGTGTATTAACAAATATTGTGGTTAATGGCGCGAAAAAGGTTACATGCATGTTATATATGTCAAGGAGATACGAAATTAAATTACATATTTCAGTTCTCAAACTTAGGAAATCAATTTCGAAAATAGCTATAACTACTCTTGTTGATTAGAGCATGTAGCTTTGTGGTCTTCTTACAGACGTAAATTACTTGCGGAAGAACAGATAGCCTGAGGCACTATCGGATCCAAAATTTAATTTTTGGGGAAGAGGGGCTTAAGCCCGAAAGATAAATTAAAAAAAAAAGAAAGATACCAACTACGTATATGAAATGGTGTTTGAGTGAAGTCCTATTAAATGTAATTACACGTACAATAATACTTTAATGGACAATTTTTTAATATTTTTTTCCATAAAACATGGGTAAATTTTACCATTTTGGGAGGGGGGGAGGGGAGTGTTTCAGCTGTTAGTCCTTCAGTCATTTATTCATTTGATTATAATTCTGCTGCAGTAATGATACATTTGTTTTGGAACTAAATAAAGATGCACATCTAGACTTAAAAAAGGGTGAACTCTTTAATCTAGTCTTTCGTCCGTTCTTTTCCTTTTAGGTGTTTCCTTTTCGACCACATTTGATTTAATGAAATCGAAATTTCATTCAGACGATAAAGTTGGAATTTAAAATGGCCGGACTTGTTATCATTCACTGTTGGATCTATTTTTCTAAGTTAAAGTAAAGAGAAAAATATGTTTTGCTTCTATTCGGGCTCCTGGAAATATATCATGTGTTATTGGGTAATTCTAGTTTTCAAACACTTTTTTTTTTCTCCATTAGCTTTCGCTTGACCATCGAACTATTAAATGATATTAGAATGTGCCTGTGATTTGGTTTATTTTTGTTTATTTAGTCTAATACATTTGTTAATCGAATAGTCCGGTATTGTTACACCACTTTCTTCAGATAGATGTTTTATTTTTTTCTAAAATAACTTTATTATCAGGTTCTGGAATAACAAATAAAATTGAGTTGTTGCTGCGAGTAATTCTTCTTAAAAATTTCACCTCATTTTCTTCTTGCCTTTGTTTTTCCCCAGCTCAGTACATTTATTCTCAAGCTGTGATACATCATCATGTAGCTGATATAGTTTTTTTTAATTTTATTTCCAGTGTTTGAGCAGTTGATTTATTTTTTCCAGAGCTAGTTATTTTTTTTAGTTTCTTTAGTGTTTATGCTCAGTTGTGTGGTTGATCCATTATTAATTTCTTTATTTTGTCCATGCTATACTAATTAACTTACTGGAAAAATGTATATAAAACCGAATTTCAATAAATATTATTGTTGTTACTGAAAGTAATACGTTGTATGATGTGTAGTGGTTGTTTATTCATGTTGCTAATAGTCCACTTAAAACTTTTGGTAGCCATATTATAGAATTAAACCTATGAAACACAATACCAGCAAAAAGACGATGCTAACATTTTCACGGCTCATGGCTAACATCCATGCCCACGTCGTCATACTGAGTTATTAAGGAGCCAAGATATATAAACTAGCTTGATTTTGATATTCTTTATTTTAAATAAAATATAAAATGAGTGAATGTATATTGTTAGGGATACAACAAAAAAATGATCAAGTAAAGATACTGTACATTTATTTTTTATTATACAATAAATATGAGTTTTTGGTTCCTTCCAATTGTGGCTTTTTTCATTTATAAAAAAAATTTCATTAATTAACGTTGGGTGCTGTAATGTAGCAAAATGAACTATCACATCGTCTATAATCTAAAAAAAATTATAATTTATGTAAACAAATTTGTTATAATCAAATAGACAATAATCTGCAAATTATTATACAATGGTTTATTATTTTCAAACAGTTGTATATCAAATGTAACACTACTTTCCTTGTCAATAAAAGAATATAAATGAAACACGTTTCCTGATATTGGACTGAATACTTTTTTTTTATCATTAATAATTTGCTAAGAATTTATAAAACAGTAACGTCGTTTGCTTTAGTTGATATAAGACTTTACAAAAAATCAAAAACCAAAATAAAGAATATCAGGGTTGCAGCAAAACATGTTGAAAATATTTAAAGCGATATATCTTTGCACCAAATTGTCCGATTTGAACGATTTTGTTTTGTTTTTTCTTATCAATAAACATATTAATATATTTTACGTATATTGAAACGCAAACCATCAAATTTTGAGGGAGGTTAACGTTTTTTTCTCTTGGTCGATTATTGAAAATAATAAACCAAAAACTATAAATTACGAGTACTTATTTTGTAAAATTATACCTGGACCAATGTCAAACCAAATATAGATACTTCAATAGCCAGACAAAAAAAGGATACGACACTTCCAGTTGAAGTTCAAAAATTATTTTTAGAAAATTTGAAAAAATATAAGGAGTTTCACATCTTGTGTACGGATGCCTCAAAAGTAGATAAGGAAGTAGGATATTCCGTTATAAATTCCAATAATGAAAAACTTTTCAAAATTCCGGAGGCTTGTTCAGTGTTTACTGGTGAAATGCTAGCAATCAGAGAAGCTCTTAAACACATAGAGACAAGTGAAACTACCAATTGGGCAGTGGTGACATACTCTATGAGTTCATTACTAGCTATTGAACATACCAGGCCCAAAACCACCCTCTAAAAAGATGTAAGAAACATTTGGGGGCTAGTAAGAGAGAAGGGCAAAGAAGTAGTGTTCATTTGGGTCCGTCCGCATTGCGAGATCAACGGTAATGAACAAGCCGATCAAGCAGCCAACATGGCAAGAAAGCCAAATACATCCGTGGAATCAATTAATGAAATCCCTCTAGAGGATTATGTTAAAAAAATTAAGGAGAATGTGTGGAACATGTGGCAAAACAAGTGGAAACAAGGAGAATCGAAATTAAAAGAAATTAAACCCCACTGTTTAAAATGGGAAACCTCTCACCGATCATCTCGAAAAGATGAGACAGCCCTTTGCAGACTGCAAATTGGACATTGTGAGTTCTCGCACTCCTACCTACTAAGAGGACTTGATCCTCCGACCTGCGAGAGCTGCAATGTCCAAAGGATAGTAAAGCACATTATTCAAGACTGCCCTAAATTTGAACCTTCAAGGAAAAAGTTAGACCTGGCACAGAGTCTAAAAGAAAACCTACAAGACAGTGAAAGTGCAGTTAAAAAAAACTTTAAGGTTTTTAAAAATGATAAAACTCTACAATAGAGTGTAATTCAAAGGTGTTGCCAATGACCCTACAGGGTAGAGGCAACAAAACATCAAATAAATAAATATACCTATTGGTAAGAATGAGAAAAATATATTATGCTCATCTAAAAATGCATACCGTTTGGATGATGCCTTTTTAAAGATTTCTCGACATTCCATTGTATCCATCCGAGATAGGGGTGAATAGCAACACTGGTAGCCGGCCTGTCAGTCCTACCACAGAGCGTCCCTTTCGTCATTATCGCTACCTGGACGATGCGGTTCACGCTTTGGTCAACCATAAACAGCGGACTTCCTGAATCGCCCTAAGGGTAACATATAAATGAGTAGCACCCTGGGAGAATTAAGATTTAAACAATTAAGAGAATTAAATAATACTAATAAAGTCCGTGCGGAAAAATCATATTGTTAAGTGATCAAATGCCAAATTAATAAGAAAATAAAATAATGCAACGTATCATTATAAAAAGAAATCAATTGTTACTTTATCGATAAATATAATCTACAAAGGAAACAAAAATTAATTTAAAACTTCATTAATGTTTGGAACCAACATGTTAACAAATTTCAATAAGCTGTATCTTTGCTGAAAATTGTCCGATTTCGATGATTTTTAATTGAAAAAGTGTGTCTTGTTTGTCATATCGTGTAGCTTATGTAGCCCTAACTTCCTGTGAATTTTTGTGAGGATAAGTGGAGTCATTATTTCAATTTCAAGGACGCATTCAAAGTTGGTGGCTCAATTTTGGGATTTGGTGAAGAATTAACGATCATATGGCTTGCCGATCAAAGACACCGTCGATAAATAATATAAACTCTTTCTCTCTCGATCATAGAGGCCTCAAGTCGACGAAATGAGACATGTATCCAATGACAGTACTACAATTAACATAAGGTTGTGTGGATACGAACCCTATGCCTTGTGTTATCTCGAAAATAGTACAGTTTTGGGCTTAAAAACGCAGGGCCGGTTCTTGCTGAACGCATCAAACTCTTTAAAGCCCAATTTGTCCCGTTTTGATCTACAGACTTACCACCGTTTCAGTATTGAAGCATAGCAAAATGTTTATATCGACTTTATTTATTTTAGAAAGAAAAACAAAAGTTGTGAATTCGATTCGCTAATCCCCCGTAAAATTAAGAATCCAACGGTACCCCATTCATGGTATTTGAGCATGACAGGAGCTTATATTTGGTACAAAACCGATTTCGAGCCTTACTATAATTATATATATACGGATGTAATGATAGAGTTAGGGATAGCAATGTTGTTTTGGCTGCGTTGCCTTAGGAACGCCGTTTAACTTTATATTTGATTTTTCTTTCTGCTATTCAGTATATGATTCATAACTCCTCAGGATTTTCTCTTAATTCAATGTTTCTATGGTCGTTGGAAAGCTGAGTTATTACTCCTCAACACCATATCAATAACTTTTAGATTTGACGCGTTTAAAAACAATAAATATAGAAAAACACCTCAAAGGTTTTTGTTTTATATCTCTAGTTCTATTATATTTGCAGGGGTCTGGTTTGTGTCATTTCGTCAGTTTGGTTCCTGCCAGTAACTAACTATTGACTAAGTACTTGAAAGCCTTCAGTGCTCGAACCACACCCTGATGATGACCCACATGTTTGGGTTGAAACGTCGGCACAAATAAAAATTTTTTGTAATGACTGCGTCCTGAATATTTATCACCCATTAAAAATAATAAAACTCTTGCGGCCACAGTTCGAAAATTTCGTACACAATATGGTGGGTTTAGTGATTTAACTTCATCAACCGAGAAGAGAGTAATTGAGAAATTTAATCAGACTGGATCAATTGGTGGTGGTAAACATACTGGTCGTCCAAAAACAAGCCGTTCAAGTGTCAATATCGAAGCAATGCCTAAGAGTGCTAATGAAAGACCAGGAACTTCTGTTCGGCAAGAATTCCGAATTCCAAGAAGCTACAGCGTAGCGTGTACGCCAGGTGCTGGCGGTTTGAAGGAGGTTCTGCAAATCCCCAATTGAAATGGTTTAGCAAAGTAATTAGGATGGAGGAACATAGGGACCCATTGAAGACGGTGGACTACGTTCCGGATGGCAAAAGACTTTGAGGACGCCCAAGAATGTCATATCTGGAGTACATCGATAAACTCTACAAAGGAAGAGGAAAAGATCTCTATCGAGCCAGAATCCTAACAAAGAACAGAGAAGAGTGGAGATCGTGCTTGCTCACCCTTTACGCTGAGAGCCACGAAAGGGAGAAGCTATACATATGCACAAAGACTTTTGCAACAACCTAATTAATGGAAATCCGAGAATGGCTTCGAAACAATATGCAACTGACTGAACCATATGGTAAGATCCGACCTCAACTAAAAAAGAAGCAAGTGGAATTATAAAGAAGCGATGTAATTAACACTAATTATGGTCCATATTTTAAAGAACCATTTTAGAGTTTACAAAATTCGTAAATCGCGATTTAAAAAAAAGGGAGGTTATACCGCAAATCTATTGTCAATAGTCATACGTCCCATTTATACTGTAGGAATGATGATGGAGTGAATGAGGGAGGTTAGAATGAAAGCTGAATCCACTGATTGCTTGATTCACGATCAATGCTTAAGAATAGAGTAAGAATAATCTCCCCAAGAACGTCCTTTCTGTTCTTCTTTTACAGATGGCCACTCATCCATATAAACCAGAAATACTGATTAGCAACGTTTTGAGAATGGTGAATGAGAGAAAGATAAATTACTGAAGTAGGTTTTTAAATGGGATTTAATATTTTAGTTTGGAAGGACGGGAAGAGTGCTATGTGAAAGATTTTGGAAATAACCACTAAGCTGAATCTATCATAGAAAGTATTAGGAAGATGGATTTGTTTTCATCTACCACAGTAGAAATCATATGGTAATTTTGACTAGCGATAATTATATAGAGAAGGTTTTCCAATCTATCAATACAAACAAAATTGAGGTAAAGATTTTAGAAAAAGTAATTCGAACTGATACTACTTACCGCGCAGCCTGCCTTTCTATTTGCAGTAGTACAAAGCCGTAGGTGTTGGTTAATGATGACGTTTCCACCCAGCTGTTTTTTGCATAATTCAGGTTCTACAGCTTCTAGGAATAGTTTTATCAGCGATGGACTAGATTCAGTATTTGTCGAAAGTTTTCCCCATCCTGAGAAATGGGTTTGCATTAAAATTTGACCGATGGATCAAAAAATAATTACGACATTTAACATTTTCATAGTTGTGAAACATATTGTTAGGAAACATTGATGTATCTATTATTACTACGGTTGGTAAATAACACCCCGCAATGCCTAAGACGTCGAGCGGCACAAGATACCCTGACAGGGAAAAAATTCCACCCACTTGATTTTTTCATGTTTTCATCTAAAAATATTTCTGCTTTGGATTGGTCTATTGTTTTTAATGAATAAATAGGTAATCTTTTTGTTTGTTTTCAATTAGGAATGCTAATATAGAGGACAATAACCCTTAATCCTTAATTCAATGAAATGATTCTAGATTCCAATCTTTACTTTCTATGGAATCAAAATGTTTATTCAGTATCATTAGTTCAGTGTCGTTTCTTGCAGCACATTTCTTAGTCTCCGGCTTTTAATTTTTTCAATATTAAGTTTAAAAATGCCTTAGTGCTGAGGATGTTGCGCGTGGTGTGGCACTTATTGATGATGGACGTTCCATTAGATATGCAGCTAATACCATCGGAGTTCCATATGAAACTTTACGAGACGCCGTCAGGCGTTTTCGGGAAACTGGTTCTTACAAAGAAAGGGTTCTGGACGGCCTAGGGTAACAGAACCACGGGATGACCGGTTTTTGTCATTGAGAATTTTACGAAACCGGCACCTTACCGTTGTTCAAGCGATTCATCAGCTCCAAGAAGTTCGAGGTGTGCAAATTTCTGAACGTACCGCTCGGAGAAGATTAAATGAGTATGGATTTTCGTCCAGTAAGAGGACCAGAGTTGACCAGAACTCACAGAGTAACACGGCTGGCTTTTGCTCGAGAACACAGCCATTGGACTATGGACGAATGGAGTGCTGTACTCTTCACAGATGAGTCAAGATTCGCTCTTCGATCTCCAGACGGGCGTGAAAGGGTGTGGAGAAGAAGAAACGAAAGATATGCAGCCTGTAATTTTTCCCAGGGCCAACCTTTCCAACGTGGTTCCTTAATGGGTAACAAGTGGGTGGAATTTTTTGCCTGTCAGTGTATATCAAGAAAAGGAAAGAACTAATGCAAAGGGATGATTTAAATTGTGGGGAAGTGGTGTGGGTTATTTAAGATTAATAATTGAAGGATAAATGTTCTGGGAATCCTGAGCTTCCAACAAGAATGGGATCTTATCACCTCACCTCAAAACATGTTTCAAGCTTATTACTAAACATAATAGGGTGTTTAAGATTTCAAAGGACTGTAAATATTTTAATCCTGTTTAATACTTACCAATACTTAATAATCCCTTTAGAGCATTCTCTAAGCTTGTTTAATCCCATTCGACTTCTTCAAAAAAGCCTCAGTTTAGTTGTTTGTTTCAGTGTAGTTCCTTTGAAATTCTCGTAATTTTAAGGCATTAGTGGAAACAACATTTCACAGCCGCTGAAGCAACTCGTGAAATTATTAAATATGAAGAGGAAGGTATCCTTGACCAGTACACTGCGCGGCGTTGGTTTGAAAAACTTAGCAGTGGAGATACGACGTTGAAAAGGAAGAACGGCTCCGGACGACTATTAATGGAGTTCTGCAGGAAGCTGTTGAGTCAAATCCGTCCACAAGAACCCGCGAAACTCCTGCGTCATCCAACATATACTCCACAACGCTCACCATCGGATTACTACCTATTTAGATCCACTGCCCATTTCCTTCAAGGGAAAATAATAGATAATTTTGAGGAAGTTGAAATTGCGGTCATGCCGAAAGAGTTCTTTGACGGTCATGCCAAAGAATGATATCAGCATTTGATCCAACAATTGGCTATCAGATGGCTAATGACGGTACAATCCACAATCTACCGGTGATATAATAAATAGGACTTTAGTTATTTTAATGGTATTTATGATTTGTTAGCTGTAATTTTTTAGCTTCAGCTCGGTTAAAAATGCAATTAAAAATTTTTATAATAGCCCAAAAATGGTCAGAAAATAATTTCGATTCAAAATTGAGCGGTAAGTGAAAGTTGTGTGTTTTGCGCGCACCAGATTTTTTTAAGTTCACTTGCCTATATATGAAATATATAGTAGTAATAGTAAGTATTGCGATCGTGAAAATTTTTAAATCTGAGTTTTCAATGGAAATACATGTTTTTGAAGTCCCCTGAGTTGAAATAACCAAGTCCCACAAAATGGTATGAGTGTGTGTTTGTTAACAGTTTAGCTCAAAAACGAAAATTCGTACGCAAGTGAAATAGCATATTTAATTTTTTTATATGCTTGGGATGTTAGCAGCATATACTGAAAACATTTTTACGATTTTCTCGAAAACGACTCGAAATATTTTGATTAAATTCAGTATAAAATTAATCAGTTTTTAATAAAATGTAGATTGTATACTGATTGATGTTCTCTAGCAGGGCTTAAATGGCTAATTTTCAATATTAGCTTCCTTTAAAGTACCTTTTTTACTTTCCTACCTATACTAGATAATGAAAGTATTGCGATCGGGTCAAATTTCCGATCTAGGGTTTTGACTACAGGTTTTGACTGATGCCTGTGACAGAAATGCGGTGCTCCATGCGCAATAGCTTGCGCGCAATAAATAAAAAACATGTTTTTCTGTAAAAGAAAGTATTGAAATCGGGTCAAATTTCCGATATGCGGTTTTCGACGGATCTATACGGAGAACCCCCAAAAATATGCCTGTCGTTTAAAAAATAATGAAATTCCCTACATAGCCATATAAAAATCGTCCATTTTGGACAACTATTAACGAAGTTGCAGCTATTCAATTTCAAATGAAAGATTACGGGTTCATATCCTGGTGTCAGAAAGGAACGAATGAGAGAATAAAGATGACTAAGTGAAAGTAAGAAAATCTGTTGCTCGCATCACACAATCTTCACTATTTCCTCTACTTTTAACAGAAATCATTGTTTGACAATACTAAGCTATGGCAAAAAGTTTTTGATCAGCAATATTAGTGAGTATTGAAATTTTTACACTGATCTACTTTAAGCCGGTTTACATTGCTTTAGTTTATCAAATAAATCGTACTCAAATCTTTTGTTTATCAATTTTTAGGAAAATAAATCTAGTTCAATTCTTTTTTGTTTCTTCATGAACATATGTAAATATATAAAAACTTTTCTGAAATAGGTAGGAAAGTCGTGCGAGTGAACACACTAGATTTTTTTTTTTTTTTATTTGAAACATTTGACCATTTCACATTAATCTATAATATAAAATATGAAGGAATTTGATAATTAAATAAAGGAGAAATAAGAGATTGTAACAGAAAATAGTTGTAAGGGAGGAACCGAAGGAATACGAGTGCGCCCGAGCTCACTCGAATGATTTGAACAGGCTTCCATAGTAACATGAGCTTCATATAATACGGACTCCAAAATATTATGTAAATATACATATGCGGTTTTCATAAATTCGATTGTTGGTATTATTTAACATTTAATTGTATAGATTACAGCTATATAAATATTAAAATTTGTGTATATAAGGGTACAATATACAAATAAAAATACCCACAATGAAATATAAATCAATATAGCATTTATAATTTTTACTTTCACTTCCACTTTGTCTGAAAATACTTAGTTCTGTTAAGAAGAGGGTGGTATGTGAAAGTTGTGTGATGCGCGCACATCACCGGATTTTTAATATAAGGACTTTATTGGATATCTTTTGGAGGGTATGGATTGTATTGTAACCAAGATTAAGGAAGCAGTGAAAAAACAAAACAAACTCGACTTTCTTTTGTTTCCTGTGCCTGATTATTAATTGATTTTTTAGCATGTGCATGTGCTCTTACATCTTAGATCTCTTGTATCTTGACTATCTTTGTTGATGTTTAGGTGTGGCATGCCATACTATTGTATATAGAATAAGTATCTTTTTTTGTTATTTTTATTATCTTAAATATCTTCCTATTTATCTTTAATTGTATATAGTAATTATGTTTAAATTCTCTCTTTTTCTTTTTATTTCATATCTTTTTATTGTTTATAGTATTAATTCTGTAAATATTTCTTTCTGTAAATAGATCTGTTAACCTTTTTTTGCTTCTTTATAAAAATATCCAACCTAACCCCTTCTCACCTGAGCTAGCATGGTAGGATAAATGATTAATCATGGCCAAATAATAGGTAAGTAACTTATATTCTCTATAATTATCTCTTTAGAGATGAAAGACTAGTAAAGCCAGGCGTCCAACAAGTAAAGATTCCGACAGAAAATTATATTTATTAAAGAAGAGAAGAATAGTTGGGGTGATCAGTCAAAAGAGAAGGCAAAAATAAATGATAATATTTATTTTTACATATGCCGACGTTTCGACCTGAAGTTCAGGCCTTCATCAGGTCTGTCTCCAAAAGTGTTGCAGGGAGAATGAGAGAGATGAGAGAGATTCTCCATGCAACACTTAAGGAGACAGCTCTGATGAAGGCCTGAACCTCAGGTCAAAACGTTGGCATATGTAAAAATAAATATTATCATTTATTTTTGCCTTCTCTTTTGACTGATCACCCCAACTATTCTTCTCTTTATTATCCACGACAGTCAACCATTTACTAATTATATATTTATTAAAAATTATTTTATTATATTTTTACTTTGTCCTTTTTTCGGTCATAGTATTTACATAATTTCATATCCAGTTTTTTTAGTAGCCGCCACCCGACACCCTTCTCCTCCTCCCTTGAGATTATTTGAATGTGAGTTGTATTATTGGTCAACTTTTTAAATTTAAATTCAATACTTTCTGAATTTTGGGCTCCCTCTGAATAGTGCCCCACCGCACGTGCCCTACATGCATCATCCTAGAAACGCCACTGCCCCTATATATTTATTATCATTATCATTATCATATGTTTAAATTACTTAAAATGTAGTAAAACTCACCTAGAACAAGAACTGATCCTTTTTCGTTACAGATTTGTTCTGTATGGATACAAGTAGGTCCGACGTCATCGCTGAAGATAATCCTTCTTGTAGTAACGACTATCGCTATGTCGTTTTCCTTAGAAGCAGCAACGTAATCTTCATGGATGTAATTGGTTTCCACCAAGGGGATGTATTGTCCTCCGTCATTCTTTTCTAAACCACAAACACTGTATTACTATATACACTGACAGGCAAAAAATTCCACCCACTTGCTTTTTTCATGCTTTTATCTAAAAATATTTCTGCTTTGGATTGGTCTATTGTTTTTAATGAATAAATAGGTAATCTTTCTGTTTGTTTTCAATTAGGAATGCTAATATAGAGGACAATAACCCTTAATCCTTAATTCAATGAAATGATTCTAGATTCCAATGTTTACGTTCTATGGAATCAAAATGTTTATTCAGTATCATTAGTTCAGTGCCACTTCTTGCGGCACATTTCTTAGTCTCCGGCTTTTAATTTTTTCAATATTAAGTTTAAAAATGCTTAGGGTCTAGGGTAACAGAACCACGGGATGACCGGTTTTTGACTTTGAGAATTTTACGAAACCGGCACCTTACCGTTGTTCAAGCGATTCATCAGCTCGAAGAAGTTCGAGCTGTGCAAATTTGTGAGCGTACCGCTCGGAGAAGATTAAATGAGTATGGATTAATGGCTTTTCGTCCAGTAAGAGGGACTAGATTTGACCAGAACTCACAGAGTAACACGGCTGGCTTTTGCTCGAGAACACAACAGCCATTGGACTATGGACGAATGGAGTGCTGTACTGTTTACAGATGAGTCAAGATTCGCTCTTCGATCTCCAGACGGGCGTGAAAGGCTGTGGAGAAGAAGAAACGAAAGATATGCAGCCTGTAATTTTTCCCAGAGCCAACCTTTCCAACGTGGTTCCTTAATGGGTAACAAGTGGGTGGAATTTTTTGCCTGTGAGTGTATAAATACTGGGCAGTACAAGCGCATACTGGAACGAAACCCCTTATTCTCTAGAGACAGCCGACAAACCGACTTAACCGAACTTGAAAACAATAAATATTATAAATTATCTTCATAAATTTTTTTGGCCAACCGAAGGGTTAAAAATACAAGCATTAAAAATTATTTTCAAGAAAATCAATTTTTTAAAAATCTCTATTCAGTAAGAGGACCACTGGCCTTCAATGCATTGAAAAACATTTTTAATTACACCTACACTAATTGTATGCTTGCTGTGATTAGTAATTGTAACAATGCAATATCAATTGCACTAAAACAATCAACAAAACTTTTTTCCAGTGTTTACTTTGTTGCGCTGTAATATAATGGAATCTTAAACCATTTTTAGTGAAATATGAATATACTAGTAGGCCCGTGCGAAACATTCGAACAGCATATAGTTATCAAATGCCAAATTAATAATAAAATAAAAAAATGCAATGTATCAAAGGATTAAGACATCAAATGTTACTTTATCGATCAATATAATCCACAAAGCAAACAAAAATTAATTTAAATCTTCATTTTTGTTTGGAACCAACATGTTTCCAAATTTCAGTAAGCTGAATCTTTGCTAAAAATGTTCGATTTCAGTGATTTTTTTTCCTTTTGTAGGGAATTTAGTAATCTTTTATATAATTATGGGAAAAGTGTGTAATTTTTCAGTTATTCGCAAATAAAGTTTATTTTCTTTCATAACTTGTTTGCCTGAATTTTCTGGGTGATTGGACTATTGGAGAAGGAAGCCTTCGAAATTGGTGGCTCAATCTTGAGTTTGGTGAAAAATTAACGATGATATCGCTTGCCGATCAAAAACACCATCAATAAATAATATAAACTCCTCCTCTCTCGATCATAGAGACCTGCATGGATGCGAACCCTATGCCTTCAGTTATCTCGAAAATAGTACGTTTTTGGGCTTAAAAACGCAGGATCCGATAGTTCTAATGGAACTATCCGGGTCTTGCAGTACGCATCAAAATCTTCAAGATCCAATTTGTCCCATATCGATCCACAGACCTACCACCGTTCCAGTATTGAAGCCTAGCAAAATGTTTGTATCGACTTTATTTATTTTAGAAAGAAAAAGAAAAGAACCGTGAAAATCTGAATCCAACGGTACCCCATTCGTGGTATTTGAGCATGACAGGAGCTTATATTTGGTACAAAGCCGATTTCGAGCCTTACTGTAATAATATATGTGGGATGGCGATAAGTGAGCTAGGTCCTGGGAGTGAGAAAGGTATTCACGCGAACTACAGTTCACGAGCTATTGGAATCATCAAAAGTAAGACCGGTATTAGTCGTTCCTTTTCGTGAACTAGTTCATTTGAACTAGTTCGTTCACGAACTGCACGTCACTACTGAGACGGTGCCAAGGAATTGTTATCTACTTACCCCTACACAGGTTGATGACACCGACTGCCAGAGTTAGCTTGGGATTGTCTTGGACGCATTGCGCAGTAGTTAGTGCGTGGTACTCGGTGAGGATAGTAGCGGCGCAAACCATGCAGCCATTTTCCGTTTGGAGTCCAGCCATCATCGGGTAGCGTTCTTTTTCACTGATCGGCCGGCCTCCGAATGAGTTCTCATTGCGGATTTTTCGTTTTTGATGAGTTTTATAAAGCTGTAAAAGTCATAGAAAATATAATGGTTTTCGCATAGCAGTCTCGATTTTGTATGTTTTATTGCATTAATAAAATGTTTTTTATTACGAATTATGAAGTTGCATACAAGTCAGTTATATTTAATTAAAGGCATTCTATAATTTATAACATCTTGCTTTGATTTGAAATGATTATAATCTCGAAATTTGCTAAGAACCGACTGAAGACGAACTAACTCCGGTATCAAGTTGAAACGGTTTTATTTGCTTATATTTGTATTTCAACCCACTGATTTCATTTATAAAAAAAATTGAGCATATTTATATATTAAATGATATTGTAATAGTTAAATTATGTATAACTGATTGGACCGGGTACTGTCGGTAAGCTGGTGACAAAGAAATGTACGAAGGACCTTAAATGTACTACAAGGAGAAGTGATACAAGAATTCTCTAAAGCTTGCAGAGTTAGAACGAGCTAGGAAGATAGACTATCGCCAATGTTATTCAAATTAGTGCTAGAGAAGATAACAAGAACATCACACGAAAATGTTCACGCCCGAATGAATGATAAAATCCTTGGATACGCAGATGTTCTTGCAATTAACCAAGAGGATATAGAGAAGCTCTCCAAGACTCTGATAAGTGAAGCAGAGCAAATCGGCCTCCAAGTAAATGAAGATAAAACTAAATATACGATAATAATCTGAAAATTCCACCCAACAACAGGATTTGTGTAGAAGGGAAATCTTTCTTGAGAGTAGACAAATTCAAATACCTCTGCTCCACAATAACCTCAATGAATGACCAATGGTCAGAAATAGACCGGCGTATAACTAGCACAAACAGAACTTTCTTCTTTCTTTCATAAGTATTGAAATCCCGGAAAATCTCAAATTAAGAGTTTACAATGCTATGATTGAGCCAGTTCTAATATATGTGAGCCATAGAAAAAGTATTGAAAGATTTTAGAGAAAAATTTTCCGCACGATAACCGGACCTATCTGGGATCAGAGTACTACCAAATGGAGAGGAAGGACCAATAAAGAGCTGCTTACAGAAACTGGTCAATCAATATCTCATGATATGAAGGAACGGAGGTTAAGATCTGCATAACAATCAATGCCTCAGTAGAAGGCAAAACAACTGATGGATTGATGGAATCCACAAAGATACAATAGAGCTGCATGCAGATAATTGAAAAAAAAAATAGCTTGTTAAGGCGGCAAAAGATCTGCAAGGTTTGTAATATGAACAGAAAAAAAAGTATAACTGATGATCTTAATGACCATTTCTTATCATTCGCTTCCAATCCTTCTATTGCTGATATTGGACATCACAATTTCAATCCGTAAGACTTCTTGTTCTCTGATGTGTTGTACGACGATCACCTCACCAATATCCTAAAATCCCACACTAATGATTATGGTTCTGACAATACCCCAATAAAACTACTAAAATCCTACCCCTTAGGCTGGAACGCCTTGTTTAAAATCTACTTTCTAGCTTCCTAAAATCCCTCCAGGAACGACCCCTCATCTACAATCCAAAAAACTGACTATCCGCTAGTGGTTTCAAAGCATTTGATATATGACCACTACATCCTCTTTACCAAATTGCAAAATCTTCCTAATAGTGTCCTCTGTTGATTCAAATCTGCTCTTTCAGATCGGTCCGGGTATGCAGGTGTTCCAGAGATTGGAAGTCCTAAAGGGACTTGACCCAGAATAAATAAAGCTTATTATTATGGTTTCTAATATATATGTTGTTTAGAAAAGTACTCATAGATTGATTTAAATAACAATAAGTCTTAAAAATAATGTTAGTTTTCAGTAAACCTAATATATTTTTTTTAATCTACACACATTTGCAATGCATTATAATTATAGATAATGAATAATACTCACCACGGTGCCCCAACTGCAATTGCATGTCATGACGTTTCGATTAATATTTCTAAACTTGAGTGGCACAGATTGAGGCGCTTCCTCTTCCTCAGCGAATACGTCATCTCCTGTTGGATAAGATGCAGACACTCGTTTTGGACAATACAAAAAAGAACCGGTGCCAAATAACAAGATCCAAGCAAATAAAGCTTCGGTAATTACTGAAAGAAGAAAAAACTAAACAACTAATTTATTTATGGACCTCTCTGTTCTAATAATACTTATCCTCTTCCAAGGTCATTCAGTCTCCACCAAGTTTCCTTGTGAGGAAAGAGGAACAAGAAGGAGAGTCATCGATGGACTATATATTTTTTTTCAAAGTTCAATCTTTCTTGGAAAAGATTATTTTAAGTAGACTTCAATAATTCCCTACGGTATTGGTCTTGCACTTTGCAAGAACAAGACCTCGTGGCTGTTGTATGACAAAGAACCAGACTGGACCCTGGAAGATTTGAACAAGAACAGGACTCGTGCGTCTCTCAGTTTACTCAAATTGAGATCATTTTGAGATTCAGTACGGTGCTTTAACATTTTAAACTTACCTTAAATCTAAACAGCGTTGTTTTTCTTGTTGAATTGTATATTTGAGTATTGCTCTCCAAACAAATTATTACACACTGGCTTATTATTTACAAACAATTATTAATCAAAAGTAATATTACTTTCCTTGTAGCATAAAAGAAAATAAATAAACAGTGATTCCTATTATTGAACTATTTTTTTTTCACCATTAATAATTTGCTAAAAAAAAAAAAAAAAAAAGCCAAAATTTCTTTCAAAAAATCAAAACAAATGTAATAAGCTTTGAAGTAGAACATATAAAGTGACCAAAAAATTCAAAAACTTGATCCCCTCTTAAAATTTGAGGTTTCACGTTTCAGGATACGTAGAATTCGAAAAACGAATACAAATTTTTTTGTCAGTCTGCCGTCCGCCGTGCGCGCATTTTCTCCGAAACTACTGGACCGATTTTTTCAAATTTGGATATAAAATCAAAGCTCACCGGAGGATGATCCACCTTCATCCACATTGCTATCCGCCTTTTAATTTCATAATACTGTAGCGCCTAAACGAATGTACAGATTCAATGAAACTTCACTAAATTTTCTCGACGCCCTTTAAATTTATCTATATAACATACTTCAACGAAAAGAAGTTGGAAAAAAAGTTACGAGGGATGGTAAAATTAAATTCCGAATAACTCAAAAAGTATACACTTTTTTTGTGAATATTGTATTGGTTTTCCTTTTTTACGGAATTTACTAAAAAACAAAAACAAATTCGTTAAAATCGGACAATTAGGTTCTTGGTTTCAAGTTCTTTTATGTATGTTCTACTGCGAAGGTTATATCATTTGTTTTGGTTTTCGAATTTTGAATTAGTCACTGAAGTAATACTAGTTTTTTTAGCATATTAGTCATGATTAAAAAAAAAAAGTTTAGTCCAATAATTGGAATCACCTTTTATTTATTTTTCTTTGTGATTAGGAAGGTAATGTTACTTTAGATTATAATTGCTTGGAAATAATAAACCATTGTGAAATAATTTGCAGCGTTTTTTTATTTTTAAACATGAAAACAGTTAAAAAAAAAAATTGTTAAAAGGAATGAAATGAAAAAATGTTTACCAATTTTTGATCAGACACAACACAATTACACCATGGTTGTACGCGGTTAAATTTATATAATATAAAAATATGATAATTCAGAATATTTCATTTTAATTGGAATTAAATTCCAAGACAGAAGAACTGACGATTATACAAGTAGCCAAGAACCGCACAGTCATCAATGAAGGTTCAGAGCTGTTTTATGTATTCATAAATATTTGTTACCTGTTTTCATATTGAACTGTTCCACCTACTGCATTTGGATCTCGTTTAGTTGCCATGACAGACCAATAAAACATCTTTATCATAGTCACAAACCGCGACGAACGATTGTTCATTAATAACATTAAATACTTCTAATATTCGAAAATTATTTAAACTACCGGAGACTTGCTCAGTTTTTACTAATGAAAGGTTTGCGATAACTGAAGCTCTTAAATACATAGATTTAATTATCCACACATATATTATTACAGTAAGGCTCGAAATCGGTTTTGTCCTAAATATAAGCTCCTGTCATGCCCAAATACCATGAATGGGGGGTACCGTTGGATTTTCAATTTAACGTGGGGTTAGCGAATCGTATTCTCCACTTTTGTTTTTCTTTCCAAAATAAATAAAGTCGATACAAACATTTTGCTAGGCTTCAATACTGGAACGGTCGTAGGTCTGTAGATCGATAAGGGACAAATTGGACCTTGAAGATTTTGATGCGTACAGCAAGACCCGGTTGTTCCTCCGGAACTATCGGATCCTGCGTTTTTAATCCCAAAAACGTACTATTTTCGAGATAACGGAAGGCATAGGGTTCGCATCCACACAACCTTACATTAATTGTTGTACTGTCATTGAATACATGTCTCATTTCGTCGACTTGAGGTCTCTATGATCGAGAGAGAAGGAGTTTATATTACTTATCGATGGTGTTTTTGATCGGCAAGCCATATCATCGTTAATTCTTCACCAAATTTCAAGATTGAGCCACTAATTTCGAAGGCTTCCTTCTCCTTCATGCGTGCAAAATAGTCCAATCGCCCCGAAAATTCAGGCAAACAAGTTATGAAAGAAAACAAACTTTATTTGCGAACTTTTTTTTTTTTTTTTTTTGTTCTTCCCTACCTCGCCTTTTAGGCTATACGGGATTTTCCCGGGCCGATGGGTGAGGGCGGGGTGGAATTTAAAATCCCCTCCGGCACCGGGATGCGAACTCGTACTTTTTTTTAAATCGTCTCAATTCTGTAATCCGGTTGCCAGGCAACTCGCGGTGCAGTGCACACGCTTTAGCCCATTCGGCCACCCCGCCCCCTATATTTGGGAATAACTAAAAAATTACACACTTGTTCCTTGGTTATGCCCATGATTATATAAAAGATTACTAAATTCCCTGCAATGGATCCTCCCACTTCCCTCTCTTATAAAAACATTCCACCATCATCCTTTTCCTGAAACCAGGTAATCCTTCCTACAATACGTAATCCTTTAGACCAATTACGTATTTTTAATCCTTTTAACATGTTTTTAAAAGATCTTACTGAAATGAATCCTACCCATAATAGAATCTCAAACCTTCCTACCCATAGATTAGGATTTAGTTCTCAACATTCCACCGTCCAACAAGGTCTCCTAGTTGTTGACCATATATCATCAACCTTATAAAAGAAGCAATATTGTTTGGGTGAATTTCTCAACATAGCGGAAGCTTTTGACAGAGTACGGCACGCCGGATCGCTCTTCCAGCTTAAATTCCACTTACCTCAGTCCTTATATCTAATATTCCGATCCTACCTCTTTGGCCGCTCCTTTGGAGTTCGGTCCTGAATTCTCCTGACTGCTATTCCATTGAGGCGAGTTCCACAAGGCTGAGTCTTGGATCCCATCCTTTACATTCTTTTTACCATCGGTACCCTCCAGACAACATTTTCTGATAATACTATTACCCTTTCAACCCACTCAGATCCTAGAACAATGTCCTTTAATCTACAAACACCTCTCTCAAATTGAGCCCTGATGTAAGAAATGGCGCATTAAATTAAACGAATCCAAATTCATTACCTTCATCCTTTCCAGTAAATCCTGTCCACCAGTTTGTTTTAACTCCATCTAGCTTCCTTCCTCAGACACAGTCCGGTATCTTGGCTTTCTCTCAGGCAGACGAACCCTTATACTAGACTTAAACGACTGGAACTTAACCGATGATACGACCAATTATACAGGCTACCAAATAGATAATCTGAACTTTCTATTGCAAACAAAATACTGATCTACAAAACAAACCTGAAACGTATTTGGAACTATGGAATAGCACTTTGGGGTACAGCAAAATTTTATAACATCAAACGCATCCAATCCTTTCAGTCCAAAGGCCTTCGAATAATAGTCGATGCTTCCTTCTATATAACCGACAAAGCACTACGCCAAGACCTTAACATTACATTTGTTCTTATACCTTATCTCAGAAAAAATCTCCAAATTTCACCAGAACCTTACGCATCATCCAAATCCTATCTAGCACCACGTATCCCTATAAACTTCCTAGAAGGTTAAAACTGCAGTGATTCAGCGATCTTTTGTTGTTTATATATATTGGAGTTTGGCTATGGCTAGATTCTCCAATCTAGGCATGACTGTATGTGGTTAAAGCATTCTCGGTCAATCTGCACTGGCTTTAGTACCAATGACACGGTTGAGAGAATAGTGCAGGGATCTTCTGGAGACCTGCTTTTGCCTCCCTACTTGGAGGGACAAGCCTGCCTAGGAGTTCTCTCGCGTAATTGTAATATTTTAAATATTAAATATAAAAAAATTTAAATGTTTGAGATTTTATTTATTTTTTAAAATTTTCTTATCTTATTTTGCTTCTGTTTATTTTCTTTTTTTTTTTTGTACATATAGTGTGAGTGTGGTCTTACGACTCAATAATCATTGTCGAAGCGACAGAATGTTAAATTATTCAATAAATAAATAATTCATAAAAAAAGCAACGGGTAAAAAAGAAAGTAACGGGACTGTTTGAATTTACAATAACGTTTTTTTTTTTTTTTTTACAAATTACATATTGATTTATAGATAATCATAATATACTAATATCATAATATAATATAATATACTATAATCATATTTACTAATAGGAATACTTTTTTATTGAGTTTCATAAAAGTATTCCTTTTTGACGAAACCTTCAAGTGGAGGAACGACTAAACATCCATTGCCTAACCTAGGGTTGTCCATCTCCCAAGGTCAATGGCGCATGAACTTCCCTCCCCCTCTTCTCAAGGTATCTTATTGCTCTTTGCTTCTTAAAAACATTAGAAATAAAAGTTCCGCAAATCATATACAATTACACTTGCTGAGATTTCCCTTTGAGACTATTTCCTTTGTTTCCTTGTTTGAAACTTTTCTATCCGAAAATACACAACTCCACCATAATTTGTCTCCCTCACAAATTTCAAATCCCGTGAAAACCTCTGACCTAACCAGTCCGTTGTCCGATTCTCTGTGACTTTAATTCAAATACAACAGTGTTATCTTCTCATATTTTGTTTCATTATTTAATCATTAATTTACGAGATCCATCTTCCTGAAGTATAAAGTAGTATTCTGTCAAGTAATAACGTATTCAAAATGTAATTTTTGGGACTATTTTTTTTTAACTTTCTTTACTTACCTACATATGTATGTAATATATAGTGTGCGAGGTTGATAGATCCTCTGACAGCACGTTAAAATCTCGTAAAAATATGAGGATCTTCGTACGAAAGGCAACAATGATTGGATGATTTTACGTGGGAATCGATACTTACCTCAATTTCCATAAAAGTCGATTAGTGTTTACTTTAGAAATAAATGACTCAATTAGCAGTTATTGTTCGATTTATACCTTTAGTTGCTTACTACCGAGGAAACCGGATCGTTCAGCTGGGTGGAATCCGCCTGGAGCAAGTTGTGGAGTTTAAATTCCTGGGTGCTCACCACAACAGGTACGGGTGGGTTGATGGAGACATAAAGAAAAGTATTAAGACCGATGTAAAATGCTTCTTCTCCCTCAAGTCAGGCTTTATTGGACAAGAGAGAAGTCTCAAAGACCACTAGGAAAATTGTCTTCAAGAATACCTTCCTCCTATTAACATACGCAAGCGAGTCTCGGACCCTCACTTCCAATCACAAAAGCAAAATACAAGATATGAAAATGCGGTATTTAAGGAGGAAACAAGAAGAGATCGCGTGAGAAATGTGACCATAAGGACAAATCTAGACCTGAGACCTGCAGAGGAAATACTCCAAGAGAACAAACTCTGTGGTTTGGACATGTCTCGCGAATGGCTGAAAACAGAATCGCCAGGACTACCAACGAGGTCAGAGTGGAGAGAAGGCGGCCACACGGAAGACCAAGAAAAAGGAATTAAAGAAGCCTTTGACAGGAGGGGAATGGAATGGAGGAGGAGAAGACAGTTGGCTCAGGACAGAGATTCTTCAGGCTCTATAAGAAGGAACCTCACACTGTTCAGCGGTAACAAAGGGGACTGGATTAAGTAAGTAAGTAAGTTGCTTACTAATAAAAATCATAATTTCGAAGATTCAAGTTTGAGATATATGAAAATATTATTTAATTCAATTTATTTCCCATAGTAAAAATAAATTATTTTAATCAAGGAATTATTTTCTTTTTTAGACCATAAAATGTAAGTATACAGATTAGCTAGAATACCAAGAACCAAAGAAAATTATTAAGTGAATGTGTATATACACACCCATTTATAAATTAATTGACCATTGATTTGATAAATCGATTTCTCGTAATGAAAATAACAGGTTCGGCTCGTTAGGATTTGCTTGGGAATTGTATATAGGAATTGTATGGAGAAAATATGATTTTAAAAAAATACGTATGCACATAAAAAAATGTATTATATATCTTCTTTTTACAATTAAAGTTCTTTTCTCCGTTAAAAGTAACTAATATATTTAACATTTTCGTTTCTCTTCCTTTTTGCATTTATTGCATGAGTTATCGCTTCGCTACGATTGCGGCTGTTGTTGTAGTTTTAAAATGACTAGCCAACATTGGGATCAATGATATAGCAAAATGAATCACCACATTTTTTATATTCTGGAAAAAAAAAGTTTTAATATAGATGGAATAAAATTCGGACAAATTATCCTAAATAAAAATAAAACAGTTTTCACCCTTCCGTATGAAACCTTGAGGTGATGTTTGATTAACATCTGACCAGGAATAATCACATTTCCCAAATTATCTGAAAGTCCATTGCTACCCTCGAATAGTTCCTTAGATTCCTTGACACTATGCCACTTAAAATCCATCAGCTCCTAGTTTTCTCTTACTTTGATTATGGCTGCCCTGTATACGGTGGACTGTCTGGTTGTCTTGAGATCAGATTAAAGAAGCTGATGAATTGTTTCATTTGATATATACTTGGATTCCCCCAGGCGCTCTCACGCCTCCAGTTGTATGCCGAGTTGAAGTGGCTCTGTCCAGTTTTCCTACGGCAATATTTCCTAGGTGTATTCCTTTTCCGAACCAACCTCTTTACGGTTACCATGTGTTAACTAAGTAAAGATTGAAAAACCCAGGAATGTAGGAATTTTTGAAGATATCCATCCATATCTTCAAAAATTCCTAGGTACTGTACATTCCTGGGTTTTTCAATCTTTACTTCGTTAACACATGTTAACTCCCCCTATACCTGCAATCCTTACCGCTGCCTTTCCAGTTCTAAGTGAAACTCCTAGAGGAACACACCTGTAAGTCTCTAATCTTATTTTTTTCTCCTGTAGATTTTATAGAATTATACTCACATTTTCATTTGTTATATATTACACTACAACAATTGCTAGCATCTATTTACTTTATTTTAGGATCTTGTTACTCAGCTTACTTAGTCCATATTGTATTGTACTTACTGTTTATAATTCTAATAAGCTTATTCACATTGTTTATAAATTATGTCTAAATATTATGTAATTGCCGCAATTCTCTATCTTTTTGTATCTTGTCCGTTCTAGCCCTGATGAAGACCTGCAAAGTCGGGTCGAAACGTTGGCTTTCAATAAAATAGTTTTACCACTATTTAGCCTTTTTATGACCGCAACCCCGGACCATCTCCTTCCTTTATAATGCAACGGTCAACCATTAAATATTCAATAATTTATTTTTCCACCTCCTAAGTAATAAATCTTACGAATATATATGTAAAATAAAGTTATTTTGTACTTTAGAGATGTCAGTTACACTATGCCGATATCTTGCAGACATCTATGTATGTGTCATTTATGTTTGTTGATTATTGATCATGGTTTGTGAAGGTAACATTGCCTTTTGATGTGATTTCGTGTCATTTGACTAATATGATTCTTGAATAGGTGGCTAATGTTTTATGGAAGGCTTTCCATCCCCTCTCTCTCCCCATGCAGTGTCAACTAACCATCGTCCCATCTCAATATTTCTCTGTCAGCCTGCGCCATCTTGGAAACTTTACCCTGCTGTCGATCTTAATAACACTTACGCAATACGTATATTTAAAGTTATTTACTTAAACTAATCATAGTTTAATCAATGTAATATTAAATAATGAAAAATAAATACTTTTAAAGAAATGCCTCCTCATTGATCTTTGGATTGTCCATTGCATCCAGCCGAGGTAGGGAAAGAGAGCCGTGTTGACTGCTGGTACACCATATCTCGCACAGCCCTTCCCCATTGATACTAGCGCGACCTGGACGAGGCGATTCATACTTCTATCCACCACGAACAGCGGACCTCCTGAGTCACCCTGCACGTGAAAAGAGCAGCATATTTAATTTTAGATCCAAATTTAGCACAATTATAAATTAAATGTTTCGAAATTACACAGACAATTGTACTTACCCCGCAGGCGTCTTTAGCGCCTCCATACGTGCATATTTGTAGATGAAAGTTGTCGTTGATGAAATCTCTAGGAAGTCTCTTTTGGCAAACTTTGGTATCAACCCGCTTCACAAGTACTCTTAACAAGTACTTACTCTGTTCTAATGCTTCTCCAACTTTTCCCCATCCTAAGAAATTAATATGTATTAATGCAGGAGTACTGGGCAATCAAATCGATGTATTTGTATGTAAATGTATATTTCTTATTGAATGCCTTGTTGATTGAATAAATCATTATTGTGATATCAGGAAATCACTTCAGGAAACAAATGAGGCTTTGTTGATAAACTTTTACACCACAAATGCACGAAACACTTTTATTCTACTCTGCATATCGCAATAACAATGAACAAAGAACTGCTGCTCTCTGGGTAACCTCACGCAAGCCAACCTGCTTTGTTTTACAACAGCTCAGCAGTGCTATAAGATAACATGCATTATGTAAAGTAGGTAGGATATCAGCGAATCATCTATTGCTTCATAGTGAATAGTGCATGCTATAGTTTTGCGGAATAAATATCTATTGACATTACTGAAGTTTGCACTTATTAGTCGTAAATGCATTATAATTTAAAAAGAAAATATATTTCGATTGTTTCAGAGTTCGATTTTTTTTCTATACACTTGTCCTGATAACTTATGAATGCTTTATATTCATCCTCCAGTTCTTTTTCATCAATTAGTATCAAAGCTCTTACCTTTTTCTCAAACTCTAATAGATGTTTAGCTCTTGCTTCTAGTTTTCTAAATTCCTTTTTGAAGTCAGTATCATTCTCAGCTACTCCTTTTCTACTGAAGTAGCTAAAGTTGTAAATAAATTCCTCCACTGAACTCTATCTAATTTGGCAGTTTTCAACTATTCAGCACTCATTATCCTTAATTTCCTACACAAGAGATGCCACTATGTAATGTCAGGAAATCAACTCGGGAACAAATGACTCTTAGTTAAAAACTTTCATACCACAAACTCACAAAACACCTTTGTACTTCTCTATCATAAACATCAAATAACAAAGGACTTCTATCGGTAACCTCACACAAACCTACCTGCTTTGTTTACAACAGCTGGGCCCAGTTACTATATAAGATGCCTTAACCCAACATAACTATTATATGGAAAGTTAAGGATGATTTGCTTCTTGTGTCTATTTGGGTAACCAGTGTTCCGCTCACGAAGATTCACTGGTTGTTTCACCAAGAGTTCAAAAAAGATACTTCTGGCTGTGATTTGTACCACCTCATGAGACACAGTCCGGCAAAGTGTTGCCCAAATGCAAGACCAGTTACCAAAGTCTTGCAGTTACCTATTAGCCTATTAGACATATGTATTACTATTTATTAGACATATTACTGTAAAAATTAGAAAAACTGTATGGAATAAGTACATTTAGATGTTTTATTGACATAAACATAGTAAAGTCTAACAAAACAAAACATCTTTATTTCTCTACATAAACATCACACTCTCAGGAACTAAGGACTACTACTCCTTCTGGGTAACCTCACCCAAGCCAACCTGCTTTGTTTACAACAGCTCATCAGTGCTGCCAGATAACATGCATTAACTCTACAATAATCAAAACATTTTTATAACTCTAGTAAGCACATCACAAAACTTTCTATCTGCTCTGAGAATATATTATTTTCTGCTAAAACAGAGCCAGTTAACATTTAAATATATTATACAGACGCTAAGGGCAACCAACTTACTCTAATGTGGACCCTGGACATGAAGGAATAGAATGCAATAAAGTATCTCAGGGGTGGCAAGGAAGGCTCAGGAGCAAAGGTAAATGGCACCGAGCCATATTGTAATATACCATTTATCTAGTTTAACCAGGAATAAAATTGAATCCTGAGAATCCAAGAAAAAGGAAACATACTGAGCCTCAAAACTTGAATAATTGCAACAATTATACAATCAAACAAAAATATAACTTTTTATGAAATTGTCAAACAGAAAGGCGAAATGTTTCCTAAACAAGAAATGGGTTGCGAACAAAGATTGGCCCGTTAATTGCTCACTGACCGCTAATAAAAGAATCTTCTACTTTCACAGAAAATTTCACCTTCTGCGTGTGAAAGTGTTCCAAAATCTGTGAAAGTGGAAGGTTACACTTGCGGTCTGTGATTAGAGGATGAAAAAATGGCTCAACAATATTTAAAATATAACATTTTTGGTTTGCAAGATGACTCATGAAACTCATAAGATAAAAAAAATAAAAATTAAAACATAAATGAAAATTGTACAAGTTCCGTCAATGACAAATGTGGCGTATAAACTGCATGGAGAGGCATTTGACTTTAGGATTTTGTTGGGGATACTTAAGAGGTGAACATACTAAAAGTTCCCGCCCTAAACTCTGCCACTTCATTGCAGCAAAGCTCTGAAAAGATCCCTTTTTTGTTTATTTTTATATTAAATCCCGAAAATGGTGCTTCGTAAATAGAAACTTTACATACTTAACATGTCTATTTTCGATTCCTATGAGGATGCAGTTTCTGATTGTCATTAATAAGATATTTCAATTGAATCATTAATAAGATTATGAATCGTAAATAACAAAAAACAAAAAGAGACCTTTTCAGATTCTCAATCCACCATGAAGCGGCAAAGGGAGAGGTGAGGGCTTTTAGTATGTTTACCTTCTAAGTACCCCTCCAACAAGTTCCCAAAACCAAATCCTTACTTACCTCTCAAAATAGCCCCTTCGTTGACTGGACGTAAGTATAACATCACAAGCATTAATGAAGGCCTGAATTTCCATATCATGTTCATAGGAACATTTTTTATGCTGAATAAGAGTTAATGCATGTTATCTGGCAGCACTGCTGTGATGTTGTAAACAAAGCAGCTTTGCTTGGGTGAGGTTACCAGAGGAAGGAGTGGTCCTTTGTTTCTGATAGTCTGATGTTTATGTACAGGAATAAAGGTGTTTGTGTATTTCTGGTATAAAGTTTATCAACAAAACCTCATTTGTTTCCTGAATTGATTTCCTGACATTACATAGTGGCATCCCTTGTGTAGGAAATTAAGGATAATGAGAGCTGAAGAGTTGAAAATTGCCAAATTAGAAAGAGCTCTGTGGAGAAATTTATTTACAACTTTAGCTACTTCGGCAAAAAAGAAAATAGCTGAAAATGATCCTGACTTCAAAATGGAATTTAGAACACTAGAAGCAAGAGCTAAACATCTATTAGAGTTGGAGAAAAAGTTTGGAAGAAGAACCCCGGGATGACCGGTTTTTGACTTTGAGAATTTTGCGAAACCGGCACCTTACCGTTGTTCAAGCGATTCATCAGCTCGAAGAAGTTCGAGGTGTACAAATTTCTGAACGTACAGCTCGGAGAAGATTAAATGAGTATGGATTAATGGCTTTTCGTCCAGTAAGAGGACCAGAGTTGACCAGAACTCACAGAGTAACACGGCTGGCTTTTGCTTGAGAACACAGCCATTGGACTATGGACGAATGGAGTGCTGTACTTTTTACAGATGAGTCAAGATTCGCTCTTCGATCTCCGCAATGGCTCTGTATTTTTTCCCAGAGCCAACCTTTCCAACGTGGTTCCTTAATGGGTAACAAGTGGGTGGAATTTTTTGCCTGTCAGTGTATTAAATGGAAAGCATATAACACGAATATAATATAATATAAGAACATTCAGCATAAAAAGATGCCTACCCTTACGTTTCACACTATAGTTATTTTATTGTTAACTAATTATCCAGCCTTCTACACGTGTCAATCATCAATCACAATAGTATATAAAATTTATGAATAGAGAAATTATTAAGTTACACTCACCCAGTATAAGTATGTGTTCACTGCGCGATGTGAACGGCTCCGTGTGGATGCAAACTGGTCCAACATTATTGGTGAAGATGATCTTCTTCTTAGCAAGGACGATTGCAATGTCATTGTGGTTCAGATCAGGATCATAATAATCATGGATATATACAGTATCTAACATAGGGATGTATTGGCCTCCACCATCTCTTTCTAAACAATGACAATGATTAGTTTAAAAATAAATATTTCAACGTTATATTATGTTTTCGGGTATGTGAGACGTTAAGTGTTCCATAAGTTTCTTCCTTTTTGGTTTATTTTCAATAATGAACCATTGTGACCGACCAAAAAATTCAAAAACTTGACCTACTCTCAAAATGTTTAGTTGTTTTAGTTGAATTATTTATTTAAGATTGATTTATCCTGTTACATATGAAGAGTTCTGCTCTATTACCTTATTCCATCCAGCGAAATAAAAACGCACCTCGATGAATATTGTTGAACGAAAAATTGTTGAGACTCATAAGCAAAGTATTCATTGAGGTGCGTTTTTATTTCATGGTTTGGGGAGTATTGAGGATAAGTTAGAACGTCCCAATGAAACTGTAAAGGGAATCACCGACCAGCTGTGCTTTCTCTACCAAACTAATATTAATTAACTATTAAACACAATTTTTAATAAATATCTCTCACCTCATCATTTCATGTGAAAATGTTCAAATGTACATAAGCTCACTGTTCACTAATTATAGCAACAGTATTTGCAGAATTAATTATATGAAAAGAAAACAAAGACAGAGCGATGCAAGAATCAATGAAGCATTGATCTGTAGTTGCGGCCATGACACTTTGTACTGGCGTAAACAATACTATTTTGATATATAGTATTCATTTGACCGCATCCATAAAATTAAACTTCACAAACCTTGAACGATAAATTAATCATAATTAACCTAACCTATAAATTAAACATATACACTGGCGAACTTAATGCGATTGCAGCGGCGCTTAATTTCTATTTGTCTTCAAGTCATTACAATATACCAATAATTATTGACTCTTTAAGTTCGTTAAAGGGACTAGATTATATTTTTCCGGAAAAATCTAGTGCATTCACACCTAACTAACTATTTTACTAAACCTAGGAATGACATTAAGATTTGTGTAGATCCCAAGTCACGTGAGAATCTTAAGAAATGAACTGGACAATAGAGCAGCAAGATAAAGTGGCTTAATAATAATAGTATTAAGCCACTGTACTCCTAGAGAGGCGCTAGCACTGCACACCCCTGGACGGGGAAAAGGTTTTTAACTCCATCAGACTTAACCAAACCCCTTGAAAAATAAATTGAAGACAGATGGCTGTCTAAGTGGGATGGAAGTTCTCAGAGCAAGTTAAAAATGATAAAGAATGAAGTGAAGGTCTGATCTGACAGTAAAGGACACACGATACTTACTCACTTCTTCCTCATCACTTGATAGTCACCATATTAGCGAAACTATAAGGAATTGCCGATAGTATTGCTAACGCATCATGTGACATTAATGCTAGTAGAGACCTTCATCACTTTTTAACTGACAACAGTTATAATTTTTATTCTATTTATTTGAATAATTGTTGTTAAACATGTACGGACAGATTAATGGATGTTGCGGCAGGGATGAATGCAGGCGGATCTACGGGAGGGGGGAGGGCTTTCGAGCTGAATCTCCTCCCCCCAAAATGGTAAAATATAACTATGTTTTATAGAAAAAAATATTTAAAACTATCTCTTAAACTATTATTGTTCGTGTAATTACATTTAATAGGACTTCAAGAATCACTAAGACAACACGTCATATGTGTAGTTAGTTTCTTTCTTTCCTTTTTCAAATTAATTATATGTATGAAAAAATATACTTGGGACTGAAGCCCTTCCTCCCAAAATTAAATCCTAGGTTTAATTTATTTATTTAGGTTTAGTTTAATCCTATGTGCTCCTAGGTTTTTGACTGTAGGGAAAAATGGATGGGACGGTTATTGATGTTAAGTAGAGGAAAATTAGGAAAGGAGCTAATGAGATGTCTGGACCCGATGAGAATAGCCTTGGTTTTATCTGCATTTAGTTTTAATTCACTTATTTCCGTCCATTTGTTGATGCAGTCGATATCCTCTTTTAGTTTCAGGACAGTCTAAGGCATCTCAGAAGATTAAAATGCTCGGTAAATTTGGAAATCATCGGCATATATGTGGTAACAGGAGTGTCGAATGGCGTCAGGAAGGTCACTATTATAGATAGAAAAAATGGTCGAGGAGAGTGAGGAACCCTGAGGAACACCTCGTGATTGCAACTGTCTGAGATCGGTTGAATAAGAAGAAAAGGAACCATTTTAGGACGTTCTTTGATATGGGCAGGCTTATTGCAACGTTGTGTCAAAATTTCAAAGAAATCGGTGAAGAACTTTCGGAGTTACGAGAGAAAAAAAGGTGATTAAAAATATTCTACTACTCACCCCTACATCTGCTCTTGACGCCGACTACTATGCTAACCATTTTGGGATCTTCATCGTAGATACAGTGCGCAGCCGTGAGAACGTGGTATTCTGTGAGAACGGTGCCGCCACAGTACATGCATTCTTCGATATTATCCTGAAGGCCTGCCATCATTGGGTAGTTCTCTCTTCTGCCGACTATTTTCCCTCCAACAATTTTGGCCTTTACTTGGTTACCTGGCTACAAAGATATTGGTAAACAACTTGAAGTAATCATTGCAACGTATTGATTAAAATGAGATGATATAACAACGAACCTACAAATTAGTGCACGTGATTAAACATTATTTTCTCTGTCTGCCAAGCCTAAGAACTTTCTACCATTAGACTAACTTTAAATAGGGATTTATCATTGATGAATATTCGTTCCACTGTTATACACAAACGTAACTGTTATATTACAAACAGTTCCAAATCTAGTACCGTGACTTATGCAGAACGATACAAAAATCTTAACAAGGCTTCAAAATTCTACACACACCTTACAGACCTTACACCACCGCATCACACAACTTTCATTTACCACGTTCTTCTTAGCAGAAATAGGCATTTTCTGATAAAGGAGAAGTGAAATTAAAGTTATATTCCTTCTCCTCTCCATCGATCAATGCCTTTCCTCCAACCTTCTCGATTTCCTCAATCGTCACGCACCTCTATCTTAAGACATCCTCCCGCTCCTTGGATCAATACACAAATAAGAGAACTAATGAGGAGAATAGAAACTGCTAGAAGGCGATACAGACGTACTAAACTATCGCGGCATTATTCCATATTTAAATTCCTACGAAATTTCACACAAATGTTTCTAAGCCCAATACTTTAATAACGTTTTATCCCAAGAACCAAACCCTAAATTCAATTGGAACGTCTCTGTTGTTACCTCGAAAACCTGCACACTGTACCCAGTCGATCCGAACACGCTAAATTCTTTTTTCACTAACCAGTTTTCATCCACATTTCCATCTGACCGCTCATCTTTTTCTATCACCGAAACTCCCTTCGACCCTTAAAAGTTTTATTTTCTCCTACTGATCTACTCTTTGTCTACCTTTAAATACAAAACGAACGATTATGGTCCTGAACAAATACCTTTTAAAGTTATCAAACTCTGCCTTCCAGCCTTACTTCCCGCACTTCTACACATATATAATTTCTCTCTCCCAAATTCCATCTTTCCCAAATCCTGGAAAAGACCCATAGTTCGCTGACTAAACAAAGTTCCTCCTCCTTCATCAGCTTCCGACTTTAGACCCATCTCCTTTTTATCCAATCTATCCAAGCTTCTAGAAAGATTAGTCCATTCTCAATTGAATAGCTTTCTCGATCAAATCATCTCCTCAATTCTTTACAATCTGGTTTCCTATCCCATTATTCCACCCAGTCTTTAACTAAGGTTTACTCAAGACCTCCAATCCGCCATAAATAAACTTAAAATCCAATCCAATCTCCAATAATTCTTTTTGACTTTTTCAAAGCGTTTGATTCCGTCAATCATGAGATCCTTCTTTCTTCAATTAACACGAGGTGTTCCTCAGGATTCCTCACTCTCCCCGACCATTTTATTCGTATTTTCCCCACCTTTGAGGAAACTCATCGGGGAAAGAATTGTATTTCAATCTCGAAATACCTCTAGCTCCAACAGTCAGCCTATCATGAAAATTATTAAAGTGGTCTGTGGAAATTGCCGTGATAAAGAAATGTCAAAATGAGTTTAAACGTAAGGTGTGAAACATAAAAGGTGCGTCAATTACGGATGAATTTTGACTGGAATGAGTGAATTATTTTTATATTTGATGTCTTTGCTGTTCTCCACAGATAGTATTATATCCAAAGTGGTTTAATGAGGAATTTTTAAATAGTTAATTTATAAGTCCCAGATAATTTAGAACGTCTGTGAAGTAGCCTGAAAAGAAGTCCGTATCGTTGATTAAGTTGTTTTCTTTTTTGTTTTATGTGGTATGCCCATGTCAGTCGTGTGTCCAAGTATCGTACAGTCTTTGAATGCGGTATAGCGATATTATTATAAAGAATACTTGAGGACAAGATTCATGTCGAAGTGTAAATGGAATGCATTGGTTCTTAGAATCGTTCGTATTTATCCTCCATCTTTTCGCCTAACAAACTATGTCTTCTAGATATTCTTGAAGTACCTGAGAAGCCTTAGCTGCATCTCTATTGGATGTTAATATTGCCGAGCCATCAGAAAATCTACCCAACAGTGTTTCTGAATGTTGTGGGATGTCTGTGCAATAAAAGTTTAAAAGTGGAGGACTCAAGGTACTGCCCTGAAGTACTTCAGCTTTTATTGGCTCAATATTTACGCGGAAAAACTTATCTTTTAGGTATTGATGTAGAGATGGTTGATCGTGATATAATATGAGAAGGAGTTGGTCGGGGAGTACGGTCAAACAAATACTAAGTTTTAAAAAATAGTATTTTTAATTATTACGCCGACGTTTCGACCCACCTTGCAGGCCTTCATCAGGGCTACAAAAGATACTAAATATAAAAGGTACATGGTGAAAATAAAATAAATGAATTATAAGTAGATATTAAATAAGAAACAGTTGTCTAATAAAGAAATAATAAGAGGAAATTATAGATATAGTAGGGGACAATATAGTTAAAATATCAAGTATTGTATTTATAGAAGATACAGACAAAAAAAAGAAAATAAACATGAATACAAATAAAAAACAAAGGAGAATATAGCGTGCAAGTTAAAAATAAATAGATAGTGATAAAAGATAAGAAATGAGTGTATTACAAACTGGTAAAGATTACATTTGATAACTGTACGTTAATAGATAAAGGAAGTGAATTTTGACGAATAAAGAAATTGAAAATTGAATTAGTAATGATCTAGTAAAGCTGAAATAAGAATAAGATAACATAATAATAAGATATCAGTGGATAACAAGCTAGTGGAGGTTACATTTGATAAATATAGGTTAACAGATAACGAGACTATCAATAAGTTGTAATATCGTTAGGATGGATTTATTAAGTATATATAACTCTATTAGAAAAAACCTTTAGAAGAGAAATTTAGAATGTAAGTATACTTATTATTTCTTTATCAGACAACTGTTTCTTATTTAATATCTAGTCGACTGTTCGGCATATCATGGGTGATAAATATTCAGGACGCAGTCTTTTTTAATTTTTTTTATTTTTGCCAACCTTTCAACCCAAACATGTGGATCATCATCAGGGCTGAAAATGTTTTTTAAAATTACAATCAGAGATATAATAGTATACGACCACTAATTATAAATAATAAACTGTAGTGATTGATGGCACATGAATCTTAACTAATATTGTAATAATATATTGTCCTAAGTATCATTGAAATTGTCTTTATTATAAAAATTATTCATCTAACCATTGTATATTTGTACATATTGTACATCAAACTAAGCTATATTTATATTTACTGGCACCTTTTGCTTATGTTCATTTCATTACTAGTCAATAGTCACATTTCTGTAACCACATGAAATAACTCAAATATTGTACACTTCTGAAATATTTGTCAGCAAATTATATATATTCTACAAACATAAATGTTACCTCCCTTCTCCTCTAACTATGTTTACTTACCTTTTGCTATCTGAAAAAGTACAACTGGGAAATTCTTCACCCCTCACCTTTTTACTTACCTGCCAAACATGTGTCAGTACTTGAACAACCTCAGTGCTCAAACCACGGTTAGTAAGAGAAAAAATATTACAAATTTATATAAATGGATTATATACATTATTTTTTTTATTTTAGTTTGTATTACTATTTTAATATGTGTATTACAATATTAGTTAAGATTCATGTGCCATCAATCACTATAGTTTATTATTTATAATTAGCGGTCGTATACTATTATATGTCTGATTATAATTTTAAAAAACATTTTCAGCCCTGAAGATGACCCACATGTTTGGGTTGAAACGTTAGCAAAAATAAAAAAAAATTAAAAAAACTGCGTCCTGAATATTTATGATCCATATTCAATATCTACTTATAATTCATTTATTTTATTTTCACCATGTACGTTTTATATTTTGTAGCTCTGATGAAGACCTGCAAGGTGAGTCGAAACGTTGGCGTAATAATTAAAAATACTATTTTTTAAAATTTAATATTTATTTGACCGCAACCCCCGACCAACTCCTTCTCTTATCTTTTAGGTAATGAAAATTAAGTCGGAGGAATAAACGTTTTTAATTTACTTAACAAACAATCCTGTCATATTGTATCAAAAGCTGACTCATATCAAGAAAATTATTCGGAAAATATCAGTGATTCCAGCACAGGCGGCTTTCGGGCTGAAGCGCCCCCTCCCCAAAATGGTAAAATATAACCATGTTTTATAGAAAAAATATGATAAACTATCTCTTAAAGTATTCTTGTTCGCGTAATTACATTTAATAGGACTTCAAGAACCACTTAAACACCATTTCATATAGGTAGTTAATTTCTTTCTTTTTTTTTCAAATTAATTATCGTTATATGTATACGAAAAAAAATCTTTCGGGCTAAAGCCCCCCTCCCCCAAAAAAAATTAAATCCTGGATCCGCTAATGGATCCAGCGAGAAAGATATGTAATATAGAACGCGGTAACATTGTTGATTAGTTCAATGATCCTGTTTGAACCTGTACTGGAAATTTGGAATGATATTATAAATTTATAATTATGAAGAAAGCTCACCACAGATCCCCAACTGCAGTTGCAAGTCATCTTGGGTCCTATTCTGTGGTGTACTCCACGGTACCAATGTTTAGACCTCTTGCCATTTGAGCCATCTACATCAACATATTCATCCATAGTGCGGTATTCTGGATACAGGAGGGCGTCCACCAGTTTTCGATGATCCATAAAATATCCATTGCCGAAAAACAGGATCCAGGCTAGTAAAGCTTCGATTGAAGCTGAAAAAGAAGAAAAAGGAAATTGTAAACATCTTTTGTGTTTTTACTTTCCTACCTATACTAGGTAAGGAAAGTATTGCGATCGGATAAAATTTCCGATATACGGTTTTCGACGGATCTATACGTTTCAGAGCCCCCTGAGTCCAAAAAACCATTGGTCTGTCTGTCTGTGCCAAGATTTTCTCGGGAACTACTGAACCGATTTTATTGCTTCTTTTTTTAGTTTGTAGAGTTTTGACTACTGATGCCTGTGACAGAAATTCAGCGCTCCTTGCGAAATAGCTTGGACGAAATAAATGCAAAAACATGTTTTTCTATATATTGTAGCGCGAAAACGGCTCTAACGATTTTGATGAAACTTTCCTATAATGTTCTAATAATTGTCCTTTCAATTTTCGTATATGGACTAATTTTCCGAGAAAATTCAGGAAAAAAAGTTATAAAGAAAAGAAAAATGTTATGAGACCTAACTCCCTAGGTATATATTATACGGTAAAATTTATAATAAAACTTTTGAAAGATAATTAAATTGAATCGAACCAATATTAGCGATGATACAGCTTATTCTATTTTTTACACATGTTTTAACTTATTACTTTTCTACCTATACTAGGTAAGGAAAGTATTGCGATCGTGTCAAATTTCCGATATACGGTTTTCGACAAGTCTATATGTTTCAATGCCCCCTGAGTCCGAAAAACACATTTTTAGCCATTGGTCTGTCTGTCTGTCTGGCTTTACTGCCTTTTTTTTTAAAGTTAATGAAATTTCTTACAAAACTATATAAAAATCGTCCATTTTGGACAACTATTAATGAAGTTACAGCTATTCACTTTCCAATGTAAGTTTACGGGTTCATATCCTGATGTCAGAAAGGGGTGAATGAGAATAAAAAGATGACTAAGTGAAAGCAAGAAGATTCGTTGCCCGGATCACACAAGCTTCGCTATTTCCTCTACTTTTAACAGAAATTATTGTTTGACAATATTAAGCTATATCAAAAAGTTTTTGATCAGCAATATTAGAGAGTATTGAAATTTTTACACTGATGTACCTTAACCCGGTTTATCAAATAAATCGTACTCAAACCTTTTCTTTTATTAATTTTTGGGAAAATAAATCCATTTCAATTTTTTTTGTTTTTTCATGAAATTATGTAAAGATATAAAAACTTTTCACAAATAGGTAGGAAAGTCGTGTGAGTGGACACATCAGATGTTTTTCGTTGTTTTTAATCTTCCAATCGGAATATTTATTACGGAGTTTATTAGACATATAACAATTAACAATTACGTTCGGACTGAATGAACAATTCCAAACTTGTATAGAAAAATCTGGTATGGTGCGCGCATCACACAACTTTCACTTACCACCCTCCTCTTAGCAGAAATAAGTATTTTTAGACAAAGCGAAGTGAAAGTAAAAATTATAGACTCTACATTTATTTATATTTCATTGTGGATATTTTTATTTGTATAAGTACATTCATATATACAAATTTTAATATTTATAAAGATGTAACCTATACAATTAAATATTAAATAATACCAACAATATCATTTATGAAAACCACATGTATATTTATATAATATGAACAATTCCAAACTTGTGTAGAAAAATCTGGTGCGGTGCGCGTATCACTCACTCAACTTTCAGCTTCTTATTATACCTTTAATTAACTATTATTGTAAATATTTAATTTATTTATGACCACACAGACATGTATTCGGTACTTATAATTTGTTATAATGGGACAACAGTCCTTAAATAATTAAATTTATTTTCATTTCACTTCATTGGTGCACAAGTTTAAGCACCATATTAGATTGTGTAGTTTTAACTAATTAAAATGAATTTTCGTATAAAAACATAGTGTTTTTTTTGTATTGTATTTTATTTCTAAATGTGTTTGAAATTATACTGTCGTCATTTAGAAACCAATGATGGCGGTCAATACTTATTTCTGGTTGAACCTGCATACGTTTACCTACGTTCGAGTTTACTTACATGTATCAAATGTAACCTCCACTAACTTGTTATTCACCGATATCTTATGATATCCTATTCTTATTTTAGCTTTACTAGATTATTACTTATTCAATTTCTTTATTCGTCAATACTCATTTTTTTTATCTGTTAACCTACAGTTATCAAATGTCATCTTTACCAGTTTGTTATACACATATTTCTTATCATTTATCACAATCTATTCACTTTTAACTTACACGCTATATTCTCCTTTGTTTTCTATTTTTATTCATACTTATTTTCTATTTTTGTTTGTATCTTCTATATATATAATACTTGATATTTTAATTAAACTGTTACCCACTATATCTCTGATATCATCTTATTATTTCTTTATCAGACAACAGTTTCTTATTTAATACATACTTATTTTATTTTCACCGTGTACATTTTATATTTTGTAGCCCTGATGAAGAGGTCTTGGTGGTGGTGTGCGATTGTAGGTACAAGGTGGGTCGAAACGGCGTGATTAAGAAAAATATTTAAAAAAAAATTAGTATTTATTTGACCGCACCCTCCGACGAATTCCTTCTCATATTATATCACGGTTAAGCATCTCTACATCATTTAATTTCACATCCCACAAATGCATTGAAACACAAACTGAATACCCTAAGAATACCGTTACTGAACTGTAACAAAATGCGAGAACACTATCGATTTATTATCTTGCTATCGAAATGCTATGAGCTTACCCAATAATCTCATATCAAAATCCTCGATTTGAATAGCTGCTTTGGGTCTTACACTGTCTTCAGATTAACTGCCCGTAACTAAATGACGCTCCTCAATCATAACAAAGCATTGTTCTGGTATCGATTGTCGCAACGATTGCCTTTTTATATCCTTAATCAGCTGTAATAAAGTTAATTTCCAATTGTTCAGTGATATTTAATGCTGGTGGTATCAAAATAATTTCGAAAGATTCAGAGGTAACGTTTTGTTTAAAAAACGAAATGCATCACCCGTTCATCCCTTTATTTTTGCAATTATTGAGAATAAGTTTATGATATATATTTAAATTATTTAGATAAGTTATAAAAAATCGTAGTCATCTGTGCAGTGTTGCCGTTTGTACGAGGATCCTCGTATTTGTACGAGGTTATGACGTAATGTACGAGGTACGAGGATAGACCAGCCTCGTACCTCGTACATAACTTTTGCTGACGTATGCAGTGCAAGGTTATATTTTTATGAATGAAGTTTAGAATTATTTTTACTGTATCAATATTTATATTAATATGAAATACTGAACTTCTGTTGCTTTCTAGACAAATAAATTGGAATTATATCTTCTTTAATTAGTGTATGATTATTATTGCATTCATAAAATCATGACTGTAAATATGTTTTTTTTTTTAGATTTTATGCAGTATGAAATAAAATATAAGAAACTATATCCATTATTTCCTTCATAAACTTTTTTGTAAATATATATTTTTTTTAATGTGTTGTCAAGGAAAATTAAAAAGAAATTTTTACCGTCATTTTTATCGTGCATAAAATAAAATACTAGAAAGTATAACCATTATTTCCTTCGTAATTATTATTTCCTTCATAAAACTGCAATTGTAAATATATTCTAAATAAATTAAATTTAAAAAAAAATTATTACTGTAATTTTAAAAAAATATTTTCGATTTTTAATCGACTAAAGTAATTAATTGAAAAATGAACTAGTATTCCTAATGGAACCATCTTAAATAATGGGAAAAAAGTATTTTTTAGTGGTCCACATTTGTTTTGTCCGAGATCTAATTGTAAGCTAAATACTGAAACAATCACAATCTATTCATTTTTTATATCATAATGGATATCTCTAAAAGCATCAATGCCCCAAAATTAATTTTTATTGGCCTTCCAGAACCACTAACGTCGTTTCATAAAAGTTGTTGTTTTGTTTTTGCAAAAAAGAAAAAAAAATTGTCATCCCCCAAATTAAATCTTGGATCTACTAATGAATACTGATGAAGAGTACTATAATAAGTTTATTTTGCTATTATAATTTTTATATAAAGTGTCCAGTAGTTTCTAATAAAAATATATAAGCTGTTTTATATATTTTATTAAGCGAATTTTACTTCTTGACCCATTAACTTAAAAAAAAAAAGTAATGTAAAAAGGCTTTAAAATATATGAATAGAGGTAAAAATAAAAAGCTCTGATCTAATTTTACTATAAAAAAACAATAACACTGAGCTTACAATAGTACGATTTATGAATGAGCCAAGCGTACGAGGATGTACGAGGCTTCAGTACGAGGTTTTGTCACAGAGCGCGCGGCAACACTGCTTCTGTGTTGAAAAGGTTCTAACTGCATTTATTATAATTTTTCTAAACAGAGCATCAAAACTACTTATTTATTGTAGTATGATTATTTATTGTTACTTAGATTACCAATTCAGTTTGTACAATATTTTGAAACTTTGAAATTGTACCATTTATTAATATCATTTTAATTATTGAAATTTTAAAGTTAGAACTTTGCCATTACAGAATATTTTCAATAATAAATTCTTTGTGACCAATCAAGAAGAAACTTACCTCAAATTTGGGGTTTAACGTTTAACTAATGTGCACGTAGAATGTACATAGAATGCAAATATCTTCACACAAAAATCCTAATATCCGCATCAATTTCACTTCCAAATTACCTCCATGATCTTGAAAAGTGGTTTGAAAAATGGAAAATCAAAATAAATATTAATAAATCCATCCATTTTAGTTACTCATTTAAGAAAGCCTCATGTCCACCCATAACGATTGACAATAACCCAGTGCCTTCAAGGAACCATGTTCGGTACTTTGGACTCTAATTTGGCAAATGACTTACTTGGAACTTACATACATAATTAAAAAGACAAGAACTTACTAGACGATATAGTTTGAGGTTCGTACAGGTTTGAAACAGAGGGATTCCCTTTCGTCTGTCCTGTTCAATTTGGCATTAGAACATGCCATTAGGGATGTAATGCGTACCGAAAAAAGGGTTGGATCTGGGTGGGACAACAACCGTGCTGGGCTATGCGGATGATCTGGTACTGTTAAGCGAATACGTGGAAACTATAAAACTAAATACGACAACGTTAATGAATGCCAGTAAAGAACTAGGGCCCGAAATAAACACGGATAAGAAAATATATGGTTAGCTGCGGTAATATGACTGGTGATATCGATATAGAAGGTAATTTGTTTGAACAGGTAGAGAAGTTTAAGTATCTAGGGTCTACAATAACTATAAAAAACGAAATCAAAAAAGAGATTAAGGTAGGCTGAAGGCGGGAAATGCTTGTTATTTTTCTGTGACAAAACTACTTAGCTCGCGCCTCTTTTCCTGCAACTTAAAAATTAGAATCTATAAAACCATAGTCTTACCTACAGTTCTTTATGGTTGCGAAATGTTGCCGCTTACATTAAAGGATGAGCAACGTCTTAAGGTTTTTAAAAATAAAGTATTGCGTAGAATATTCGGACCGAAGAAGTATGAATTAACCGGAGAATTCAGACGGTTACACAATGCCGAATTGCTTGAACTGTATCCGGGTAATATAATTGAGGTGATTTCATCCCGGCGAATCAAATGGGCCTGTAAAATTGTTGGGCTTAGTAACGAGAGAATTCCTAAAAGGTTAATATTTGCTGTGCCGAATGGTAAACGTCCGAGCTGTAGACCGAAACGAAGATGGGAAGATTGCATTAAAGCCGATCTGAAGAGATTAAGTTTGGACGGCTAACGATGGAGGGAGGTGTGTAATAAGCGATTGGTGGTGTCAGCATCGAACCTTCGGGTTCGCTAAGCCTTTTATTATTTGTTTGTTTCACACTTTACATTATTATTACTATTAAATAGTTAATTTACTTTCATGCTAAGCAGTCAGCACAAATCTTGAATGAATTGTAAATAACCTGTCTCTGCTAACGTGCGAAAGTGTTATCTGTTGTAGTAAGGTTATGCCTTTACTGTAAAACAAAGTTTTTGAGTTCTTAATTGATCTACTAATGTTTTGATTTATTTTTAAAATGCCAGAGCGAAGTGAAAAGACCGAGTCGCTGGATTATTTGGTTAAAAATGCTTTGTTAGAAAACATGAATAAAGATTCTTATGATTCAGAAGGGGAAGAGCTTGATGTATACATAGATGATATCCTAACTGTCTTTACATTAAATTTCTGTGGATATTGTACAGGAACAAAGAACAAAAAATCAAACACATCAAAACCTTACAATAACCTACTTTGTGCGTTTACGAAGTTAGCAACACCTTACTGGACCCTAGGCTACGTTAAAATCGAGAATGCTAGCGGCCATATTTAACACACATTTCGGAAAATAATTTTCTCAACTTAACACATTTAATAATTTACAAAACTTGTTTACAATAATTAGCATTGTTTTCTTGAAAATTCAAATAGTATTAACAGATTATTTGAAACAGTTCACGGAGAGTTGCTCGATAATCTGTAGATGGTTATAATAAAAACAATAAATAAATTCAAAATTAACATTTATTTATTAATCATCTCCTTTAAACAATTGTAAATAATTGTTTTTTTTATAAAATAAATATACATTTTCAATTATTAAATAAAGGCTCGTTTCTTCCCTCAGAGTAATTAGTAATTGTTTCATTCCCCTTGACTCCTTAGAGGTTCTGTTATGTAACAAAATGAATGTCCACAATGGTGATAATCTGAAACAAAGTGGTGTAGTATTTATTAATTTGTTAACATTAAGGTTATAATAATACTATTTATGGTTCAATATAATTTTAGATTTGTGCATATTATTAGTTCATAAACTATTTTTTTTTTCGGTTGGCGCTATAGACCATGAAGATCGTTGGCCACGAGATGTGATCTCCATAGATAGCTTGGAAGAGGTCATCCAACCTCACCTTGCTAAGCACCATGGTCTCCATGGTGCAACAATAGGCAACACGCAGCACCGTAGCCTATCCTCAAGGTATCAATCAAAGTATCAATCTGGCAGTGTCCTTTCCACCAACTTACTCGGGTTCAAGGATAGTGGAAAATCGGTCTAGACCCATGGATTATGGCTGCTCAGAGTCAGCAGGCGCACGAGGACCTATATTTCTTTCCCTGAAACAGACAGACCAAACCTCAGGAGGGCTACTGACACCTGATTCCCGATATATATACCTTTGGGGAAGGATTGCATGAATGAATGGAGCTAGAGATGTGCAAAAGGTTATGGATGATGTCTGAGGTTTTTGAGAAATTCGGACAATTTTTTGGAATGTGATCTAGAACAAATGAAACATTAAGCTCATGATTTGAGGTTTGTCGATTTCATAGAGTGGGGTATTAATTATAGTCCGTAGGAATTAGTTGTGGACTGAAAGAATTGGACGGCGTTTCATTTTGGATTTTTTTCAGTATGGTCTTGTAGATAAATAGTTAGTCTATGAGCTAAAAACGATAGCGCTGGAAACTATATCTCAAAAGTACCCTCCTCAGGATTGGCTTCACATTTATACCGATGGATGAGCCGAATCAGCCGTTAAAAATGCTGGAGTTTACTCGAGAGAGTTTCAGTTCAGTGCTGCGGTGGGTGAGGATGGTACGAATTTTGACGGTGAGATAGCAGCGATCCTCATAGCTCTAAGAACACTATCAGGAAGGCAAGTTCAGAGCGCTGTTCTCTTTGTCGACTCGCAAGCAGCAATCCTCGCTATTACTGACGTGAATAAATGTCTGTCGAGTGCTATCTTGGCGTGCAAATCCCTTCTCTACAATCTAACACTCCGAGGCACCAATGTGGTCCTTCAGTGGATTCCGAGCCATTGCGGTATTCCAGGAAATGATGAAGCGGATAGTCTCGCCAGGAGAGGAGCAGAACAGTCCATCCAAAATCTTACGATTCAATTCGACGAATGGTGAGGATGTTAGTGAAGGAGGAAACAAAAAAATATGCACAAAGACAAGGTGGAAGGGAAACGTTATGGATGTTTGGTGGAAAATCCGATCCCAGCTGACCTACCAAGAAGAGATGCAGTAGCCTGATTCGGCCTGGCCACTGGTCACGACTATCTACAAAGTCATCTCTACAAGATAGGCGTGGCTGAGGATCCTAGTTGTAAATTATGTGAACAACCGGAAATGGATGCAGACCACCTGAACAAATGTCCTGCTTTGTCAGATATTAGGAATAAAACATATGTTAATGATTATACAAAAAAATCAAACTTATACTGGGCAGTAAGATGTCGGATGGTCGAATGACCAATGACTATGGCATAGAGGGGAGGGGGGGGGGAAAGAAGATTAATAGTTAGTTTTAAATTGTAAGATTAACTGTCTGTAATCTGTATAACAAGCTTAATTGCCAGTTTAGCTCTTGCCTATAGCTAAATTAGCAGCATTGCCTAGAAAGTTTACCTCTCATTCTACGTCGTATTCTTTTGTTTTCCCCGACATTCTTTTTACTCATTTCATAAAATGGAAATTAATCTTACCGCCCTTATGGTACATCCTCATTGTTCTTTCGATTGTCCATTGGATCCAACCTAAGTAGGGATAGATGGCGGTGTTGACTCCGGGCTCTCCAGACCTCGCGCAGCCTATTCCCATCGATATCAGTGCAATCTGAACGAGGCGGTTCTGTGAACGGTCCAGGACGAAAAGCGGTCCTCCGGAATCTCCCTGAGCATGACAAAACATTTTTTTAAAATTTACATTACGTGTTTAAGGTACAATAATAATAATAATAATAATAATAATCTATGACGATGTTGCCAAAGTCTATCACCAGGAGATTGGTCTAAAAATTAAATTATTAAACGACTCGATGCCCTACTATAAATATTGTCCTAAAAGTATTTGCCAGAAAGATGGCTTAAAATTATATTGGAATCAATCGTTTATAACAGACCATCTCGTGATTCACAACAGACCTGATATTGTGTTAATTGACGGCAATATTAAGGTGGCTGAAATTATAGATATTGCTGTGCCAAATGAAGGAAACATTAACTCAGTCTGTGCAGAAAAAATTAGGAAATATCAAGGTCTAGCAGCTGAGTTAAAAAGTTTGTATAAACTTAATAAAGTAACCGTTAGGGGCATTGTGATCTCCAGCAATGGCCTGATACCGGTGTCTACTGTGGAAGCTACTGACAGGCTGGGCCTCCCAACTCATGTAATAAAGGAAGCTCAGAAAGCGGTGCTGCTGAATACTGCCAGAATTGTAAGAAGCTTTCTCAATATTCAATAGTAATTAAAATTGAACATACCTGAGGTGGTTGGAGTTGATTCTCCCCCTCTCAAGTAAAAAAAAAAAAAAAAACCTTTTGTAAAAGTGTTGACAAATAAAATAATAATTATAATAATAGATCATATAGAAGGCATCTCCTAAAAGACGCAAGAGCTACTGATAAATGTCGATTATGCTCCGCGACATTGGAATCAATCCAACATATCACAGGTGGCTGGAATTCTTCATCAGGCTCTGGCGGTGAAGCTCAACTTGTTTGATGACAAAACTCCATATTATAAGTACCACCCAAATAAACTCCTCCAAAAAGGTAGTCTCAAGCTCTACTGGGATGAATCGATTATAACTGACCATACTGTGCGTCATAATAAACCAGATATCCTTCTGATAGATATGAGAGAGAAAAGAGCAGAGTTTATTGATGTCGGGATCCCCAATGATAATAATATAAGCTCCACTGTTGGAGAACATACGAGGAACTGGCAATCGTACTGAAGGAATTATATCATTTGGGGAACGTCACCACCACTCCAATTATAATATCCTCCAATGGATTGATACCAAAGAACGATTGGATTAAAATTACCTCTTGAAGTGCTGAAACATGCTTAACACTCAGTTCTCTTAGACACAGCACGTATTGTTCGAAAATTTTTAAGCGTCTAAAAAAAAATAATAGATATTAATTTGAAGGTGGTTGGGATTTCTGGTCTCCCACCTCAGAAACTTACCCCGCAAAGCGAGAATAAAAAATGGAAATAATAATAATAAAACCAGATATTTGATCACCATAGTTCTACTTTTTTTTTTTTTTTCTTTACATCAACGTTTCAGCCCTTATGCCATTATCAAGGGAAGAAACCTTTTATAAATAAAACAATCATACTTTATTTTACATACCTATTTTAATAATTAAAATCATTATGGACTGAATTTCCCTTTTCAACTCCATTTAATTAGTCCACCACTAAAACCTTCCTCTATATGGTTATGTTTATTTTAAAACTTCATTACATTATCAACAACCCCAAAATTTAAATTTACATTATTAAAACCATCTTTATACATTGCCAAACTAGTTCTTAAATTTAACATTAAAATATTTATATAGATAAAGATTATATAGGCTATATCATTATATAGAAATATATCTAGCATGTTGTTATTGTTATTTTGTTATTTATATGTACATTGTATTGAGGGAGTGGGGTAGCTCAGTGGTAGTGTACTGAGCTTCCAATGCAAAGGTCCCAGGTTCGAACCCCGGCTCATGGCATAAAATTTATTTATCTGTTTCATTGGCCGTGGGGCGACCCTGGGTCGGGAGACCCTCCTGGGGCACACCCAGCCTCTATACAGTGGGTACCCTTAATTAAATAATTAATTAAGGGGGAAAACCTGGCGGTTGAGCGTGATCTCGGTCTAATCACCTCCTTGCACAACCCTTGACCTAGAAACGGTGCTTTCCCTAAATAGTACTGAATCCAAGACCATGGGTTGTAGTATATGTGTGTGTGTGTATATATATATATATATATATATATATATATATATATATATATATAGTTTCCTTTTGCACATAAATTATATTTAGTTTTTCTTGTACTTTTAATGATTATAACCTAGTTTTTTCATTTACATCTTATGTAGGTTTTTATGTGATTTTTCCTACTGTAAAAAATTAATTTAAATTTTCTAAGTAGTATTCAAACCACCATTATGTCATGTGTAAGGTTAATGCAACCATAAACATGTAGCTTATCAGTATGACATGTAATGTATATAATAAAAAAAAATAAATAAATAAAAAAAAAATGGGTTGTAGTGGTACAGGTTTTTTTTTTATGTACATTGTTATTTTGATAGATTTTTTTATTAGTGAGTTACTATTTATTGTGAATGTTAATATATTTATTGTAGTAAGTATTTTAGTAGATTATATTTATTAACTTTGTATGTAATTTAGCTTATATATATAGTTGTTGAACAACATAATATACTCGCAGAAGCTCAATAGTAATTATTCATTATTTTTCCTGGCACCCGTCCTACAGAAAGGAAGATATTTGGTCCAGTTAAGGAGAATTAGATGCAACCAAGCCATGCCGTCGGATAGTAGACGGTATCTCTATTCGTTTTGAGAATAAGGAATACTGTTCTGCGGTCTTCCTCGACATAAAGAAAGCATTTGATAGTATCTGGCACAGAGGCCTGTTATGGAAATTAAAACCGCACTTACCTACTACTTATTTTCTAATTCCTCAATCCTTCTTTCTTAATAGACTTTACTGTGTTTCCGTAGATTCTCCTGTTTCCAGTTTCTTCCCTCAACACATTGGCGTACCACAAGGTAGTGTCTTAAGTCCAATTCTCTATTCGCTGTACACATCTGATATCCCTGAACACCCTAGCACCACCATCTATTACTTCTCTGACGACACTGCAATTCTTCCTTCACACCGAAATCCTACGATCGCATCAATATCGAAAAATAGAAAATTAAAATTAACAGTAGCAAATCCGCCCATGGCTTACTCTCTTAGGAAAGGCTCATGTCCACCATTAACGATTGACAATAACCCACTGGCTTAAAAAACTATGTACGGTACCTCGGAATCTACTCACCTGGAACATATATACTAAATTAAAAATACAAGAACTGAGTAGACGGTATAACCAACTCTCACATCTTCTGGACTAGAGATCCTCACTTAACTTACGAAACAAGCGATTGAACTACAACACCATACTGAGATTAATTTCAATATACTGAGCAGAACTTTGGGGTTCAGCAAAACAAATACACATAAATAAAATATAAACACAATAAAAAAAGACGTTTTCCTTTCCCAAGTCTTCAGAACTAAAAACCCTCCCTACATCCTGGAACTCCTTACTCTACGCTCCTCTATCCACTCTCTCAATACTAGGTCTCAACCTATAGACTTATATATCCCCTCCCATAAAACTTCCTCCTTCAGCAAATCCTTCGTCATTCGTGCTGCTTTCTTATGGAACTCACTTCCTACCTCCATGCGTCAATCCTCATCCACAAATTCCTTCAAACAACTCCTGTTCCAACACCTACTCCACATTCAATCTTCCCCTAACATGTAAAATTACTTGCATCTATACAATGTTTAATTTCAATCCATTGCACGATTGAAATAAGAATTAACAATAAATTAGTTGGTATTTTTATTATGTCAGACTAAGATACATAAATTTGTAACTCTGTTATTATTCCTAGGGGACAGTAGTCCCAGAATAAAATTATTTTTTCATTTCATTTTCATTCATAAATAAAATACAAACACAATAAAAAATTCTTCGAAAAATTTTCAACGCACCTTGATACAAATAGGACTATACATCACGGTTTAAACATCTCAACCATTAAATGAGCCATTTATTTTTAAAGTGGCCTACCTCCATTTATCTTCGAATCGAGATATTTAAGTTTTTGCGTTTCAATGAATTTAACAATATACGAAAAGAATACTAATAAGTTATACTGCTTAAGTGTATTAACAATTATTAATTAAATAATGTGGGTTTTCTTATCAAAAATGGAGTTAGGCCACTTTTAAAATTAACAACCAGATTCATTATAAAATTTGAAGGTAGCCAAGTCCATTCAACTTAATTTGAGATGCTTCAAATTGAAAAACACAATACTCAATTTATTTTACATATCTTTGAAACACTTCGGAAACACAATTTATGCGATTCAAAACATTTTTTAATTACAGAACATACAAAATTACAAACATTTTACTAACAAATAATTTACTATTCATCTACATTTTGCGCGTGTGAAAGGGATTTGAAGTAGTTATGATGTTCCGGTAGTATATATCGCCATAGGTCAATCATGTCCTTAAATTTTGTTGTTGTAATTTGTCTGATATTTTTATAGAGTGGTCAATCAATGCAATATTTTCGAATTTTCTTAGTCTACCCCGACGTGCTAATAAATTCAGGACTTCTTATTCATTGTTGTCTTGTAGAAAATTTGATACGGTTCATTTCTGATGAGCATCCAAATTATTTGTAACCAGTTTACTGATTCTCTATCAGAATTTTTGACCCTTTTAAAAATTGCGTCTTCTAATAATTTTGTTGATACAAAATCTTTTTGTCTCATTTCATTTACAATCAAATTTTCATTTCCAACATTATCAATACTTAATATCTTGATGTAAGTATAAAATAAATGGAGTAAGGCCACTTTCAAACTACACGGTTCAGTTATTGAACTAATTCTGGAAACTTAAGTGTCAAAAATTTATCGTATTTGCTCGGAATATAAGCAACCTGAAATGTTTTACTGATATATATTATGAAGTAGTACATGTAACCATGGTAACCGGCAAAAAATTGAAAAACGGAGTTAGACCACTTTCAAAATAAACGGCTCAAATCCTACATTCGCCACAAATACCATTCATTTCATTCTTCAACTCTAAATCCATTAGTCCTTTCTATTTCCTGCTCCCTGTTACCTGAGCGATTGAAAGAAATTGGCCAAGTAACCTACTTCTACAACAAAAAAAAAACAAAAACAAATCAAGCAAATTCACAGCTAATACATTAGATTTGCTTGATGCGCTGCGGCGCATGTACAAATGGTGTAGAATGTAAAAAAAAAATCTGATATTACTTACAGCGCAGGCGTCTTTGTCTGATGCATATGTGCACAACTGTGAGTTTAAATTTTCATTGATGAAACCCGGGGGCAATGTTCGCACGCAGAGAGTCGTATCCAAGGCCTTCAGGAAGACTTTTAACAAGTTCGTGCTTGGAACTCCTGTTTCAGAAGTTTTTCCCCATCCTAAGGGTTGAAGATAAATTATAAATTAGAATAGAAAATTATTAATGATACATGTTTTTTAAATAAGTAATATCGGGGCTGATTTTGTTAATGCTACTAATATTTAATTGCTGTTAGTTAGAATGCTGTGTAATCTGTTAAACAAATTATTTATTTAAAATAGTATTTTTATTGTTAAATTGATCAATAAATCCCACCAAATTACCTTTACCCTTCGTCGTAAACCAACGACTTCCTGTCCTACATTTTCCTTTAACAATACTCCATTTATCCCTGTTGAGCAAATCCGATACCTAGGACTCCACCTGGACAAACGACTAACTTGGAATCCTCATACTAGACTGAAACGACAAGAAACCGATGTTTCCGATTACTTCAGTACTTACTAGACAAACGCTCTAAACTTCCAATTAATTACAAAAGACTCATATACATGACTATAATACGGCCTTTGGACTTACGGAGTTGAGCTATGGGGCTCTACTAAACCATCGAATTCCTCTCGTATTAAATCCTTACAATCCAAAATCCTTCGTAAAATCCTCAATGCTCCCTACTTTGTCACAAATAAAACCATCCATAATGACCTTAATGTTTCTTTTGTTTCAGATCTGGCCCTATCCAGATACCTATCCTTCCATAATAAACTTCGGAATCATCCCAACCCTCTCGTTTCTAACCTTGCTTCCTCTTCAATTCCTGATAACCCTCCGAGGCGTGTGAAAAGAAGATGGCCCCGTGATCTCCTAATGTAAACATATCATTAGAGTGCTACCATTGGGTAGTTACTCAGCAAGTGTTTTCATGTCATTATATACATTATGTTCAAATTTACTAGATGTATTTATTTAATATAGTTGTAAATGTCTTTAAGAAATAAAAAAAAAATTATCAAAACATAGTTTTGAAATTTCAACGTAAATTAATAAATTTTGTCAATGTTCCAGAGATAAGAAAACGGATAATAGCAGGCAACAAATGCTACTTGGGGTTAAGCAAACAGCTAAGCAGGCAGATATTCCAGACAGACCAAGCTGCAACCTCTATAAGACATTGGGGCGTACCGTACTTCTTTATGGATCGGAATGGTGGACAACTTCGAAGGCTATTGAGAAGGAACTCCTTATTTTTGAAAGAAAAGTTCTACGCCGTGTTTTCGGAGGTATGAAAGTTGGACAGGAGTGGAAGTGGACCTGGACAATGCCTTCGGAGAAGTTGATATTGTGAAAGCAATGAGCCAATGAGACGCTTAAGGTGTGCAGGGCATATTGCCCGGATGGCAGATGGAGAAATGCCTAAAATATTGTTTACACAGCCAACCTAAGGAACAAGGGGAAGAAGGAGACCAAAGCTGAGATGGTTAGATGAAATGAAATGAAAATGAAATGAAATGAAAAAAATAATTTTATTCTGGGACTACTGTCCCCTAAGAATAATAACAGAGTTACAAATTTATGGGTCTTAGTCTGACATAATAAAGATACAAACTAATTGACTGTTAATTGTTATTTCAATTGTGCAATGGATTGAAGTTAAACATTGTATAGATGCAAGTAATTTTACATGTTAGGGGAAGTTTGAATGTGGAGTAGGTATTGGAACAGGAGTTGTTTGAAGGAATTTGTGGACGAGGATTGACACATGGAGGTAGGAAGTGAGTTCCATAAGGAAGCAGGACGAATGACGAAGGATTTGCTGAAGGAGGAAGTTTTATGGAAGGTAATATATAAGTCTATAGGTTGAGACCTAGAATTGAGAGAGTAGATAGAGGAGCGTAGAGTAAGGAATTCCAGGATGTAGGGAGAGTTTTTGGTTCTGAAGACTTGGAAAAGGAAAACACCAAGGATGAATTGTCGTCGGGAATTAGGATAAAGCCACTTCAACTCGGTGTACCAGAGTGAAACATATGAACGCCTGGGGATCCCGAAAATGTATCTCATGATTTATTCATGAGTCTCATTTCCAGTCCGGCTGATAGCCCTCCATACACCAAATAGCCATAGTCGAAGTGGGGGAATACAAGGGAGGTTAAAAGGAGCTGTCTGGTTTTTAGAGGAATACAATCACGGAAAAAGAGCAGTTATGGATTTTCGGGTAATCTGGGAGATATGGTTATTCCAAGAGAGGTTCTGGTCAAAGGTTACTCCTAGGTTTTTGACTGTAGGGAAAAAATGGCTGGGACGGTTATTGAGGTAAAGTAGAGGAAAGTAAGGAAGGGAGCTGATGAGATGCCTGGACCCGATGATAATAGCCTTGGTTTTATCTGCATTCAGCTTCTATTCATTTATTTCTGCCCATCTGTTGATGCAGTCGATGTCCTCTTGTAGCCTCCGGGCAGCCTCAGCCATCTCAGAAGGTTGGAATGATTGGTATATTTGGAAATCATCGGCATATAGGTGGTAATTGGAGTGTTGAATGGCGTTAGGAAGATCACTAATATAGATGGAATAATAAACTAAATTTATAGAAAAGTGGTAACAGTTTTAATTACTTTTTTTTATTTTCTTAATTGTGAACTTAGCCATGAAGACATTGTAGATGTAATATATATTTAAAGTATTATTATTTTTAATTAAAAACAAGCCAAAGAATTCGTTGAATAGACGGTTTTTTTTCCTCTGAATAATATTACCTTATTGTTCATACTTCATTACTTTGTTATCCATAATATTATTAACGTTAAGAAACATTGCATGAACTTAAGAAAGCTAAGAGTATCTTATTTACAAATAAAACAATGTTCCAAAATTATAAATGAGTTATTCTACTCACCAAGAATAAGAATGGGTTCATCCAATGATTTAAATGGTGCCGCATGAATGCAAGTCGGCCCGACATTGTAGCCAAATATGATCTTCCTTTGAGTGACTACAATCGCTATGTCCTGGTGGTTATAATATTCATCATAATACTCATGGATGTGGGCATGTGCAATAAGTGGTATGTATTGTCCTTCATCGTCGTCTTCTAAATAACAAGAATTAAAAAAATACAAGACATGCTTCTTTATTATATATTGTATTATTTGACCATTTAGCATTTCTGAATCTAGCGATTCGGGTTTAAAAAAATTCAATTTTTTAAAGAAAAATCTAATTGTTGGGATCAGGGATATTTCAAATTTTTTAAAATTTATTTATTAGTTACACATATTCCTGGCTCACAATAAATTTGCCATCTACCTCGGTATTAAGCGAATATCATATCAAGGAGAGGAAATGATAGCATAAAGAAAAAATAATAGTAATAACAAAACAAAAAGACAAAAAAAAAAAAAAAACAGTACTAAAATAACACATAGTAACACACACAAAAAAAGATAATGCAGCAAGTAGCTCAATTCAATAAGTCTCTTGGCCAGCGCCTCAGCAGTCTTCTGGGCGTATTATATGGATTTGTTTTAGTACATAAAGCTTGAGTAAGTGGATTGGAATTTAGAGTCAGTCTGCCATGAAAATTATTAAAGCGGTCATTGGCAGTTGCAGTGATGAAAGGAATGATAAGGTCAGTGTGTAACGTGAGGTTTGAATCATAAAAGGGTGCGGCTACAATTTTCCGAAACACTTTTGACTGGAATGGTGGGATGGTTTTTATTTTTGATTTATTTGCTGTTCCCCATAGTTCGATCCCATATGTACAAAACGGTTTAATTAGGACTTTGTAAATAGTTAGTTTATTAGTTACAGATAATTTAGAACGTCTGTCAAGTAGTCTAGAGAGAAGTCCGTATCGCTGATTAAGTTCTTTTCTTTTTTGTTTTATGAGGGTATGTCCATGTCAGTCGTTTGTCCAAGTGGAGACCCAAATATCGTACAGTTTTTGAAGGTGGTAGAGCGATATTATTGAAGAACACTGCAGGACAAGAGTCATGTTTAAGTGTAAATGAAACAAATTGGCTTTAAACTAGTTCATTTTTATTCTCCACCTTTCAGTCCAACAAGCTATGTCGTCTAGGTGTTCTTGAAGTTCCTGATTTCAAAATTAAAATACAAACCTTGCCCCAGTGAGTTTCTTCAAAGGTGGGGAAATATTCAATAAATAAACATTGGAAAATAAAAAAATCTTCCTTTTGAAAGTTTACAATTTAATATAATGAAAATAAGATATATATATATATATATATATATATATATATATATATATATACAAAATTTAAAACAAACAAATGAGAAAAGAGTATTAAAGTGCACTGAAATAAAACCAAACATTAATACAATATTCAGTGAAAAAACAAAACAAATTGTCCATCAAAAACAAAGCATAAATAAAATAAACTTCTATAATAATGATTAAAACCAAGAGAAAAAAAAAATAACTTCGAAGAGAACCAAACCAAAATTCATGTTTAAATGTCCTACCTCACTGACAGATACTTCAAAGTCAATCATAACAATGCTCATTCATCTCTTTTTACTCCGTCTGCCGGTGTTCCTCAAGGTAGTATCCAAGGTCCTATCCTGTACACAGTTTATACAGCTGATATCCCAACCCAATCCAGCACTGTCATCACCACCTATGCCGATGACACGTGTATCCTATCAGTTAATAACGATCCATCTATTGCTTCCCAAACTCTTCAATCACACATCACAATTCTTGAAAAATAGTGTCAAAACTGGAGGATTAAAATAAATGTCAATTAATCCCATCAAATTACCTTCACTCTTCGCCGTAAACCTATGACTTCCTATCCTACAGTATCCTTCAACAATAGCCTTCTTATCCATGTCGAACAAATCCGATACTTAGGACTCAACCTTGACAAACGACTCACTTGGAACCCCTATACCAGACTGAAACGACTAGAAACCGCCCGACGTTTTCGACTACTGCAGCACTTACTAGAAAAACGCTCTAAGCTTTCAATCAATTACAAACGACTCATATAAATGACAATAATAAGACCTATTTGGACTAACGGAATTGAGCTTTGGGGCTCCAGTAAACCATCGAATTCCTCTCGTATCCAATCCTCACAATCCAAAATCCTTCGTAAAATCCTCAACGCTCCTTACTTTGTCACAAATAAAATCATCTATAAAGACCTTAATGTTCCATAAGCTTCCGATTTGGCCCAATTCTGATACCTATCCTTCCATAACAAACTGCAGAACCATCCGAATCCTCTCGTTTCAAACCTTGCTTCCTCCTCGATCCCTGATAACCCTCCTCCCCCCTCCCCCCGAGGAGTCTGAAAAGAAGATGGCCTCGGAACCTTCTAATATAGAACTTTAATTTGAGTTCTACCAATGGGTAGCTTCTCTTCGTGTTGTACATGTTACCGATGTCACATTTACTTATTGTATTTTCCATGTAATACAGTTGTAACTTTCAATAAAAAAGAAAAAAAAAATGTTTAAATGTCTTTCGGAGACGGTGGAGAATAAAAAGCAAGCGAAGTTAGAGGTTCTACTTCCAACTAGGTTACCTTGTACAATGTCAAGCAGTCGATGGTGGGGAGTATCGAGTCGATAGTGCCTCAAAACACTAGCTTGAGGCAATGACAGATACACCAGAAAAAGACAATTGATGTTAAAGAGTTACAAATGTTGAGCTATACGCACCCTTACACCTTTTTCGAATGCCAACGGCTAGTGACATTTCAGAAATATTTTCTTCATCAAAGCAGTGAGCAGCTGTGAGAGCATGGTACTCCGTGAGGATCGAGGCACCACAGATAACACAGCCGTTGGCATGGAGACCTGCCATCATGGGGTACACCTCTTTTTTAGTCACTGGTGCTCCTCCGATGATTTTCACTTTCACAGACCTGTTGCGGTCTTCCAAACCCTCGGGCTGCAAAGTTAAAAGTATCTTTAGTAGTTTACTGGCAAAACTCACACGACTTTACTCCCTATTTCGGAAAAGTTTTTATATCTTTACGTATGTCTATGAAGAAACAAAAAAGGATTGAACTATATTTATTTTTCTGAAAATTGAACAAAACAAAAGATTTGAGTACGATTTATTTCAAAAACTAAAGCAACGTAAACCGGCTCATGGTAGATCAGTGTAAAAATTTCAATACTCACTAATATTGCTAGTCAAAAACTTTTAGCCATAGCTTAATTTTGTCAAACAATAACTTCTATTAAAAGTAGAGGAAATAGTGAAGCTTGTGTGATACGGGCAACAGATTTCCTTACTTTCACTTAGTCATATATTTGCTCTCATTCACTCCTTTCTGACACCATGATATGAAACCATAATATTACATTGGAAATTGAATAGCTGTAACTTCGTTAATAGTTGTCCAAAATGAACGATTTTTATAAGTCTTTGTAGGGAAAATCGGTTCAGTAGTTCCCGAAAAAATCTTGGAACAGATAGACAGACAGACCAATGGCTAAAAATGTGTTTTTCGGATTCAAGAGGCTGTGCAACGTATAGATCCGTCGAAAACCACATTTTTGAAATTTAATCCGATTGTAATACTTTCCTTACATAGTATAGATAGGAAAGTAATAAGTTAAAAAATAGAATAGGCTTTATCATTGGTAATATTGGTTCGATTCCGATGATGATTTTTTGTCTTGTTGGTAATTTAATTACCTTTCAAAAGTTGTATTATAAATTTTACCATAGAATATATACTTAGGGAGTTAGGCCCCATTACATTTTTCTTTTCTTTATAACTTTTTTCCCTGAATTTTTTCGGGAATTCAGTCTATTTACGAAAATCGAAAGGACAATTATTAGAACATTATAGGAAAGTTTCATCAAAATCGTTAGAGCCGTTTTCGCGCTACAGTCTATAGAAAAACACGTTTTTCGTTTATTGCGCGCAAGCTATTACGCATGGAGCACCGAATTTATGTCACAGGCACCAGTAGTCAAAACCCTACAAAATAAAAAAAGAAAGCAACATAATCGATTCAGTAGTTCCCGGCACAAAATCTTGGCACAGACAGCCAGACAGACAGACCAATGGCTAAAAATGTGTTTTTCGGACTCAGGGAGCTCTGAAACGTTTAGATCCGTCGAAAACCGAATATCGGAAATTTTACCCGATTGCAATACTTTCCTTACCTAGTATAGGTAGGAAAGTAACTATATGGAAGGTATTTTCGTTACAACTATATCTATCCTGACCTAATTAGTAAATATTTACTAGACCTCCTTACGCAATATCTTCTATGTCAGTATTGAGATTTGCAGATTAATCTAATCAGGGAAATACTCCTGGACGGTTGCACGAAAAATAAAAAAAATGTACTGAGTCGTTCCATTTCTTGGTACTTGTCTAGAATCCGGTAGGGACGAAACCTAATAATTATCCTTTCAATTTTCGTATATTGTCTAAATTCTCGAGAAAATTCAAGAAAAAAAGTTATTAAGAAAAGAAAAAAATATTTGGGACCCAACTTGCTAAGTGTATGATATACGGTAAAATTGATAACTCTTTTGAAAGGTCATTAAATTACCAAGAAACAAAAAAAAAAAAAAATATCGGAATCGAATTAGCGATGATATAGCTTATTCTATTTTTTACACATTTTTTTAATTTATTACTTTCCTACCTATACTAGGTAAGGAAAGTACTGCATTCGGGTCAAATATCCGATATGCGGTTTTCGACGGATCTATACGTTTCAGGGCCACCTGAATGAGAGAAAAAAGATGACTAAGTGAAAGTAAGAAAATTTGTTGCCCGCATCACACAAGCTTCACTATTTCCTCTACTTTTAACAGAAATTATTGTTTGACAATACTAAGCTATGGCAAAAAGTTTTTGATCAGCAATATTAGGAAGTATTGAAATTTGTACACTGATCTACCTTAATCCGGTTTACATTGCTTTAGTTTATCAAATAAATCGTACTCAAATCTTTTGTTTTGTTCAATTTTCAGAAAAATAAATCTAGTTTTTTTTTTTTTTTTTTTTTCTTCATAAACATATGTAAAGATATAAAAACTTTTCTGAAATAGGTAGGAAAGTCGTGTGAGTGGACACACCAGATATTTTCTTTTTTAACCTCCCTCCTCCTATAATTAAAGAAGGGGAGGCTATCCTAGTTTTGTTTGTTTTAATTTATGATTAAATTAAATAATGAAATAAAAAATCTTAGAAGGTAAATTAACCTAGATGGCCAATCAATAAAAAAAAAAAAAAATGTTATGGTTGAGTTATTACAAATTATTTTGTTAATGTTTATAATTAGTATCCGTATTTTTGTACGATTGCATCTTGTTTTCGTTTGCTTCAAATTCAGCCAAACAACGATATAAATTCAATTCATGAATTCAATAATACATATATATATATATATATATATATATATATATATATATATATATTTATATATATATATATATATATATATATATATATATATAATTGGGAATAAGGTCTGTAGCTTAATATATGTGCTAGTGGGCGGTGCTGAGACTGTCGGTGTGTACCTGGTCTGATCGCTCTATTTTTTAAAATTCTAGCTTTGAAGAGGATCCCATCGTTGACTTATAAAAAGAAAATACCGAGATCGAAACGTCAATAAACATAGAAGAAATGAACATTCAATAGTTTATTAAATAATTAATAAGTGACCTTATTCCCAATTATATAGTTAAGTTTAAATTTAATACTTAAAGGTCGATTAAGGAAAAGTTGTAAATATATATATATATATATATATATATATATATATATATATATATATATATATATATATATTATATATATATATATATATATATATATATATATATATATATATATATAGAATAGAATAGAATAGAAATAGAAAAATAATTTTATTCTGGGACGAAGTCCCTTCAGAATAACAAAAAAGTACAAAAATTAAAATTTTACATCTGGCCAGATAAAAACAAACATAACAAATTAAGATAGAGATAGGTCATTAAAGAAAAGAAAAGAAAAAAATATTGGTTATACATACTATATACAAAATAAAATAAAAAAATCTATATAAAAAACTCTTGAAACCATACTAAGATACTTAAAACTATGTACAATGTTAAAATATAAATAAACCCTTTTAGAAAAAATAAAAAATACAGAAAAAATAAATGTATATTCTTCTTAACAGTAAAATCTGTTTCTGTTGAGAAAAAAAAAAGAAAAAAAAGAGAAAATAAAGTCGAATCTATAATAAGTATTCAGGTCATGAGCTATATGTGAATATGGTCTTATAGATAATATGTAATTTTACATAAAAGGTTAGCTGTTGCCTGACTGTTTTTGGGACAGGAATTAGAATAGAAGGGTTTTGAATGTAGATAAGGATGAAGAATGTCGAATTTTGGTAGGAAGGGAATTCCAGAAACTAACAGAACGTGCAATAAAGGAGTTTTGGAACGAGGCAGATCTGTGAGAAGGAATGTAAAGGTCGGAAGGTCGAGATCTTGTGGAGAGGGAGTGGACTGAGAACTTGAATTGGAGAAGGTTGTAGGCGTAGGAAGGACGATGATTGTTGATGATATGATAGAGGAATGTACCTAGGAGATATTGTCTTCGAATGGAAGGGAAGAGCCACTCTAACTCAGTGTAATGGTGAGAGACATGGTAGTATCTCGGGGCACCAATTACAAATCTCACGCAACTGTTCATTAGTCTTTTCAGTCTGTCGCGGAGCTCCACCGAGAGCCCATCATACACCACACAGCAGTAGTCAAAGTGGGGGAAGATGAGAGAGGAAACGAGGAGTCTACGCGTATGTTGAGGTAGGAGATGGCGGAAGCAATGGAATAGTTTGAGAGTAGAAACTGTTGTAGAAACCAGGGAAACACCGACAGTCTCAGCACCGTCCACTAGCACATATATATATATATATCCACTAGCACATATATATATATATATATATATATATATATATATATATATATATATATATATATATATATATATATATATTATATATATATATATATATATATATATACTTTTTATACTAGTTTTATATTGCACATTTTTAGGGCACAATATGAATTTGCACATTTCAAGGATTTTTGCACATAATTGTGTTTTTTTAAATTCATTTTTCAAATTTTAAATATTTTTTATATAAATATTTTTTTTTTTACAAACCCATGCCGATATTGAATAAAATGTTATAAATAGTCAATTATCTTTTTTAAATCAGTAAAAACCCGGTGAAGGATATAAGTAGAGGCTGCGCTGTATATTAAGGAAATTTAAATAAATTTATAGAATTAGTAGCGACTTTGGAAGAAGATACTTCCTGAAGAACAAAAGTAAAGAATGATTAAAGTATAACAATAAATGATTATACTATAAAATCCTGGTCTTAAATTTATATTTAAATGGTGTAAAACAAAAGAAATTCTTGTTGAATAACATCAAAGTATTGAAAGTACCAAATAGATAATTGAAAAACAACATTAAGTCAAAAATACATGACAATTTCTTATTACTAAAATAATAAACATGTATGAAACTCACGATGATTCCCCAACTGCAGTTACAGGTCATAACAGTACGGCTCCATTTACTACCGTCACGGTTAAGACTAAATATTTTTTCAGCTTTTGCCTTCCAGAGTAGGATGGATACTATCAGGATCCAGGTAACGACGAGCTCGATACTAACTGAAAACATCAACAAAATCATTATCTTTTCATCATTTTAAAAAGAACTGGATATCAGAAAACGATCTGGCTTCCCCACCACCAGATAGGGCCTGATTGGGAACCTAGTGGGACAAAAGTTCAAAAATAAAGTCCGAGATTATGATGAATACATATTTTTATTACGCAACACACAACTTTCATTTACCGATCTACTATGAATAGAAATTATTTTCTGGCAATGCTGGAATATTATAATTTTTTTTGAAGTGCATTTTAAACGGAGCTAAAGCTTAAAGCTTACAGATAACAAGTCATTAAGACCATTATAATTACAAAATGTCTATTTAATATATCAACGACAGGCAATAAAAATCTAGTCACTCCATCTGCTTTTATAAACCATAAACTGCTTTTATTTTCAAGCATTTGTTTGTTTCTCCTTCATTGTTACATTTTTCTTTTCTTTAATTAAAATATAATGGTCGTGTGAAACATAAATTATCTGAAGGTCCTTTAAATTAACTTACTTTTTGTTATTCAATACTTGATGGTTGACCCTGGTATATTATTGAGTAAGTAGACCGGGGTGGCGGTGTAAAAACTATTTTATTTTAAGTCGACGTTTCGACCAGAATTAGCAGGTCTTCTTCAGGAGGGTGTATGTGGTATAGAGTTTCGGCTAAAACTCTATCGAGTTTCCAACAGTTACAACCGAAACTACGTGGGCTTTTAGGTTTATAGAAATATATTACAATTTAAACCTAATATTGAAAATATAAATTTACTACTAATGCATAAATCACTGAAAAGAGCATGCAATTTTCTATTAGATTATAAATAATATTTGAGGGATTTTGAGTTTTAAAGAGATTTATTATAATCTAAATCAAATAATGTTTGTGTGTTGGTGAAATGATTAGCTAATCAAAACGATAAAAAAACCTGTAGCTAAAATCTGTATCCAAATACTCCAATACAACCATATATTAATGAAAACAGCATAAAATTCTCTGTGAAATAAATAAATAACATATTTGTAGGCTTTTGAGTTTTAAGAGTTGTTATAATTTAAACCTAATACAGAAAGAATAAATTTACAAATAAAGTTATACTTACAAATACAAATAGCTAAAATCATATTATAACATTATCATATTGTCACAACGAATCGAGACGTTAAAATGAAATCATAATTTGGGAATAACTCGAAAAGGAAGCTATTTTTGTTTTCATTATACATATGAGCATTTGAAAGTTTACTAAATTCTCGACAAAATGTAAAAAAAATCATCGAAATCGGACAATTTGGTGCAGAGTTATATCTTTCTGAACATTTATTATTTGTTACACTGCAAAGATTGTGTTGCATCTGGATAGTTATTTAACAAATTGGAAATTATGAATCAATTAGTAATTATGTTTTTAATTTCGAAACATTATATCCTTTTTAATTAATTACAATATTAATTTTATTTTTATTTATAAAAAAGTGTCTTCCTTTAAAAATTGTTGGTAATTTTTTTCAATGTTCTTCGATTACAAAAGCATTTACTTTTAGATCTTTATTTTTGTATTTTATCATTTTAAAAATACACTTTCGATTTTTTTTAATGATAAAGTGACATACATTCTGATTGGACTAACTATATAACTCCCTGAGAATTTGAAGTTTTGGCGTCATTAGATGTTTAAAGCAATGTTTAGAAGCTTTTGTTAATTTATGATAATCTAACGAAGGAACAAGCTAATATTTAAATTATAATTTTTAGGGAATGCAATGGTTTAACCATGGCAGATTGTAAATCGTATTTATAAACAGATAACTTACAAAACATATGTAATAAACCTTTGCGTATTTAACACTTAATGTATTTTTTTTTTTAAATTAATACATTCTGCCGCATTGGAGGGCATTAATATTAGGGCTACATTAAACATTCACACAATATATACATACAAATGACAATTCTTAATGTATTAGAATCAGAATGTATCAAAATATAAACAAATCAATTGTTACTTTATCGATAAATATAATCGAAAAAGGAAACAAAAAATAATTTAAAACTCCATTAATGTTTGGAACCAACATGTTTAAAAATTTCAATAAGCTGTACCTTTGCTAAAAATTGAGTGTTTTTTTTCCTTTTGTAGGGAGTTTAGTAATCTTTTATATAATCATCGGCATAACCCAAGGAAAATTGTGTAATTTTTTCGCAAATAAAGTTTGTTTTCATTCATAATTTGTTTGCCTGAATTTTCGGAGTGATTGGACTATTTTGCCCACCTGAAGGAGAAGGAAGCCTTCGAAATTGGTGGCTCAATCTTGAGATTTGGTGAAGAATTACGGTGATATGGCTTGCCATTCAAAAACACCATCGATAAATAATATAAACTCCTCCTCTCTCGATCATAGAGGCCTCAAGTCGACGAAATGAGACATATAGTCAATGACAGTACTACAATTAACGTAAGGTTGTGTGGATGCGAACCGTATGCTTTGCGTTATCTAGAAAATAAGTACGTTTTTGGGCCTAAAAACTAGTGCCAGAGGTTTCTTGCTGTACGCATCAAAATCTTCAAGGTCCAATTTGTCCCGTATCGATCTACAGACCTACCACCGTTCCAGTATTGAAGCCCAACGGTACCACATTCATGGTATTTGGACATGAAAGGAGCTTATATTTGGTACAAAACCTATTTCGAGCCTTACTGTAATAATATATGTGGGGATCATGTAGAATTACACTTGCTGTATTCTTTTTTTTTCCTGTTCTTCCCTACCTCGCCTTTTAGGCTATACGGGATTTTCCCGGGCCAGAGGGTGAGGGTGGGGAATTTAAAATCCCCTCTGGGACCGGGACGCGAACTCGTGACTATTTTCATATCATAGAATCATATATCCGGTTGCCGGGCAACGGCGGTGGAGTGCACACGCGTTAGCCCATTCGGCCACCCCGCCCTCGACACTTGCTGTATTCTGTATATTATCTGGTTTGAAACCTCTCTGAAACCTCTCTTTTTTTTGTCTTCCCCTTCCTCGCCTTTTAGATTATACGAGGTTTTCTCGAGCTACAGGGTGAGGACGGGGGATTAATCCCAGAGTTAAAAGAACCCTTTGGCACCTGGACGCGAACTCGAAACTATTTTTACATTTATTTACTTCGGTCATTAGGTTGCCTGGCAAAGCGCGGAGTCCGAATAATATGTCTGAGCAACATTTAGTACATCATAACATCGCTGAAATGTGCCTTTCTCCCTCCCCCCCCCAAAAAAAAAATCAAAATCCAGTCGAAAAGTGCCTCTCTCATATTTTGTTGACGTTACTTGAACAATGGAAACCTCTGGCACTAGTTAAGACATACACTGACAGGCAAAAATTTCCTCCCACTTGATTTTTTCATCTAAAAATATTTCTGCTTTGGATTATTCTATTGTTTTTAATGAATAAATAGGTAATCTTTTAGTTTGATTTCAATTATTAATGTTAATGTAGAGGACAATAACCCTTACGGCTCTGGGAAAAATTACAGGCTGCATATCTTTCGTTTCTTCTTCTCCACACCCTTTCACGCCCGTCTGGAGATCGAAGAGCGAATCTTGACTCATCTGTAAAAAGTACAGTACTCCATTCGCCCATAGTCCAATGCCAGCCAAAAGCCAGCCGTGTTACTCTGTGAGTTCTGGTCAACTCTGGTCCTCTTACTGGACGAAAAGCCATTAATCTATACTCATTTAATCTTCTCCGAGCGGTACGTTCAGAAATTTGCACACCTCGAACTTCTTCGAGCTGATGAATCGCTTGAACAGCGGTAAGGTGCCGGTTTCGTAAAATTCTCAAAGTCAAAAACCGGTCATCCCGTGGTTCTGTTACCCTTGCCGTCCAGAACCGGGCCTTCTATTGTAAGAACCAGTTTGCCGAAAACGCCTGACGGCGTCTCATAAAGTTTCATATGGAACTCCGATGGTATTAGTTGCTTATCTTATGGAACGTCCATCACCAATAAGTGCCACACCACGCGCAACATCCTCAGCACTAAGAGGCATTTTTAAACTTAATATTGAAAAAATTAAAAGCCGGAGACTAAGAAATATGCTGCGAGAAACGGCACTGAACTAATGATACTGAATAAACATTTTGATTCCATAGAAAGTAAACATTGGAATCTAGAATCATTTCATTGAATTAAGGATTAAGGGTTATTGTCCTCTTTATTAACATTCCTAATTGAAATAAAACAAAAAGATTACCTATTTATTCATTAAAAACAATAGACCAATCCAAAGCAGAAATATTAGACTAGTAGGCCCGTGCGAAAAATTCGCACAGCATATTGTTATCAAATGCCAAATTAATAAGAAAATAAAATAATGCAACGTATCAAAAGATAAAGGAATCAATTGTTACTTTATCCATAAATATAATCCACAAAGGAAACAAAATTAATTTAAATCTTCATTTTTGTTTGGAACCAACATATTTACAAATTTCAATAAGCTGTATCTTTGCGAAAAATTGTCCGATTTCAATGTTTTTTTTTTCTTTTTGTAGACAATTAAGTAACGTTTTATACAATCATGACCAAGGGAAAAGTGTATAATGTTTTAGTTATTCGCAAATAAAGTTTCTTTTTTTTTTCATAACTTGTTTGCCTGAATTTTCGGGGTGATTGGAATATTTTTCCCGCCTGAAGGAGAAGGAAGCCTTCGAAATTGGTGGCTCGATCTTGAGATTTGGTGAAGAATTAACGATGATATGGCTTGTCGATCAAAAACACCATCGATAAATAATATAAACTCCTCTCTCGATCATAGAGACCTCAAGTCGACGAAATGAGACATGTATCCAATGACAGTACTACAATTAACATCAGGTTGTGTGGATGCGAACCCCATGCCTTGCGTTATCTCGAAAATGGTACGTTTTTGGGCTTAAAAACGCAGGATCCGATTGTTCCGGAGGAATATCCGGGTCTTGCTGTACGCATCAAAATCTTCAAGATCCAATTTGTCCCGTATCTATCCACAGACCTACCGTCGTTCCAGTATTGAAGCCTAGCAAAATGTTTGTATCGACTTTATTTATTTTACAAAAAAAAACAAAAGTGGAGAATACGATTCGCTAACCCCCCGTGAAATTCTGAATCCAACGGTACCCCATTCATGGTATTTGAGCATGACAGGAGCTTATATTTGGTACAAACCCGATTTCGAGCCTTACTGTAATAATATATGTACGGATGAAAACATGAAAAAATCAAGTGGGTGGAATTTTTTGCCTGTCAGTGTATAACACTGGTAGATGTACGTGACAGCCAAAGCTTAAATGGCGAATGAATGATTTAAATGGCACTTGTACTGTTACCTGTCGATCTCATAATAAACTGTCCTAGCTCGTAGAAGACACCATTCGCTACACCGTCATGGAGTTAACTGACTGTGTCCAAATGGTAATTAGCCACCATAGCAATCGATTGTTCTAGTATTAATTGAAAAATATTACATTTTTACATAATAATATATGAAACAAAGCAGCTTCATATTTTTTATAACTAGTTTAATCATTAAAGAACATTAGAAGAAAACATAAATGAATTTGAAATGATGTACAGATGGTTGACCGTTGATATAATATGAGGAGTTGATTGGAAGAGGGGGGGGGGGATGACGGTCAAATAAATACTAAATTAAACAAATAGCATTATTTAATTTTTTCCGACGTTTCGACCTACAGGTCTTCATCAGGGCTACAAAAGATACAAAACCTGGTGAAAATAAAATAAATGAATATAAGTAGATATAAAATAACAAGAAGTTGTCTGATACAGAAATAAAAAGATGATATCAGAGATATAGTGGGTGACAATGTAGTTAAAATATTAAGTATTATATATGCAGAAGATACAGACAAAAATGGAAAATAAGTATGAATAAAAATATAAAATGAAGAACATAGCATGTATGTTAAAAGTAAACAGATTGCGATAAAAGATTTTTTGGTCTGATTCTGTATCAGACAACTTCTTTTTTTATATTTATTTATTTTATTTTCACCATGTTTTGTATCTTTTGTAGCCCTGATGAAGACCTGCAAAGTAGGTCGAAACGTCGGCAAAAATTGAATAATGCTATTTGTTTAATTTAGTATTTATTTGACCGTCACCCCCCCCCCTCTCCCAATCAACTCATATTATATCAACGGTCAACCATCTCTACATCATTTCAAATTCATTTATGTAAAAATGTAATGATAATGAATTTGAAATGATGTAGAGATGGTTGACCGTTGATATAATATGAGGAGTTGATTGGGGGGGGAGGAGGAGGCCGTCAAATAAATACTAAATTAAACAAATAGCATTATTTAATTTTTGCCGACGTTTCGACCTACTTTGCAGGTCTTCATCAGGGCTACAAAAGATACAAAACATGGTGAAAATAAAATAAATGAATATAAGTAAATATAAAATAAGAAGAAGTCTGATACAGAATCAGACCAACAAATTTTTTATCGCAATCTGTTTACTTTTAACATAGATGCTATATTCTCCTTTATTTTCTATTTTTATTCATACTTATTTTCAATTTTTTCGGTATCTTCTACACATATAATACTTGATATTTTAACTTCATTGTCACCAACTATATCTCTGATATCATCTTTTTATTTCTGTATCAGACAACTTCTTCTTATTTTATATCTACTTATTTTCATTTATTTTATTTTCACCATGTTTTGTATCTTTTGTAGCCCTGATGAAGACCTGCAAAGTAGGTCGAAACGTCGGCAAAAATTAAATAATACTATTTGTTTAATTTAGTATTTATTTGACCGCAAATTTTAAGCAAAATTTTGGATTGCTAAAAAAAAATCGTATTTGAGGGTTTTTCCAGTTGTGAAATATTTAGCATTTTAAAAAATTTGGGGCGCGCAACACACAACTTAACGCTCTACTTTAAATAAAAATTATTTTCTGACAATTTTGGACTATTATAAAATGTTTGAAGTATATTTTAAACATAGCTAAACATAAAAGCTTACTGATAACAAATCATTAAGACCATTAAGATTACAAAAACTCTATTTATTATATCGACGGTAGACAATAAAAATCTAGTCATTCCATCTGCTTTTATAAACTACACAACTTCAGTTTCTAAGCCTTTCAGTTGACAGAATGACTAACTCCAATTTCAACATTTTTGAGTAATGTAATTTTAGTGATATTTCTAGTTGGAAAAGTTATATCTATACAGACAGAAAGTTGATTCCAGAGTAGGTGATTGCAGTGTCGAAACAGCATTGCGAATAAAGATATAAATTTTGCCACTAGAAACATTACTAAAATTAATAATAAAAAACGTTGAAATTGGAGTCAGTAATTCTGTCAAATGATAATGTTGGGACTCACAAAAAGGAAAATTCATCAAATTATTCACTAATTTTCTAAAAGATTACTTGATGATTTTTTGGTATAAACGGTTAATAGATGCCTGATTATTTAAATATATCAGATCTAAGGTTATTAAACTACAGTAAACGTATGTAAGATAATAAACATATCCATGAAATTTTTTTATAATTTTCCTTTGAAATTATTCGGTGGATTTTAAATCCTTTTTTTTTCTGAAACAAGGATTTTTAAGAAATCTTTTTAATTTTTTACCACGTTTCAAACAAATCCAAACAATTTTGGTTCATTTAGCAATTCGCCCGATAAATTAGATAACGTCTATTGTTAACAAAGGTTTGAACTTCTAAAAACAGTTTTCAGACTTTAATATGTTGAATGTTGAATGTTGAATGTTGAATTTAGTGTGACTACCATTACGTTTTATTAATTTAATTTTTTTTTTTTTTTTTTACTTGCGTATTTTACTGTCGACTTAGTTTTTGAAAAAATAATATCTGATTGTCTATACTGGCCAAATTTTAAACATATCACGAGTTTAATAGCTAAGTTTAAAAAAAATAAATAAAATAAAAAATATTTTTTATTATTACATAAATGTAACATTATATATTTATATTTTATTATAATATAATATAAATAGGTAATAGATTATACAATATTTCAACAATATAATGCTAACAATACAAACTACACGACATGGATTTTTAAACAATCTATTGATATCTACTACGAAAATTGTTGCCCAAATGAGAGACCGAGACGAGTCTTGGTCTTGCAAACTCAGTCTTGGTCTTGCGCAAGAGACTCGCAAAAGTCTTGTAAATACCTATTAGCATATTACTATAGAGATATTACCTGAATGAAAAATTAGAAGAGTTAAATACAAAAGTATATTGGTTATACCAAATCTTTACAAATAGTAACTAAAATTGTCAAGTACTAATAACTATTTTGCCTCAATTTTTGTTTACCAATCGTGGTCTTGGTCTTGCAACAGTTAGGCGGTCTTGGTTTTGGTCTTGTAAAGTGCAAGACCAAGACTGATTTTGGGCAACACTAACTATCACTATTTTTACAATATTTATTGTACGTTAAATACTTATACAGCATGAAATAATTACTTTGCACACATTACATATTATCTAACATAAAATATTTTATATAAATCGTAATTGATAAATTAGAGTAATAATGTCAACAAATATTTTGGTCATTGAATATATGTTTCCAATAAATCAAAATTAAAATAGAACTGTATATCACGTTTTTTTTTTTTTTCTTACCCTCCAAAATGTTTATTGAAACAATTACATATATAGTATACAATAATACGATATATACATGCAATAAATTCCTTCCACTGCCCGAGGCCATTTTAAGGATTGGGGATAGCTAAGGGTTACATATGTGGCAGAAGGCCACATATTTGTATATCACGTTTCAAAATATCGCTAACATTTGTATAAACACAATATTTTACTTAAATTGTGTAAGTATATCAGTAGACAGATTTAACTTTTATAGTTCCTATAGATAAGTATGAATGTGTTTCTAATTTTTTATTTTATTTTTTTATTTAATGTTGTCTCATGTTTGATTTATTTTGTTATTTCAAGTTTTCTTTTATTATGGTATGATTGTGTTTCATACATCCTAAATACAAGGGCATTGAGACCTACTAGTTGGTCCTTGGGAAACAATCGCATAAAATTTTGTTTAATGAATAAATAGCAAAACAATATAGAAATAAGTAGTTCCTATATATTATGTAAGGAAGGAATTAATATTTTTTCCTTAGTCGATTACAATATTCCATTAGACATAATAGACCATTTGTTTGTACTAAATATTTGTACAAATTGCTTTGCTAGGACCTATTTTTAAAAGCTGACTGGACAGATAATAAAAGTAATAAAGACAAAATAATGCCCCGATCATAGGATATTCTAAATTATTAAAAAAAATATATATATATAAAATGTAAATAAAAACAATCAAATGTCTTTAAGAAATAATAAAGTTAATATAGTCAGAATAAAAAAATGTAATAGACTATTCTACTCCTAAATGCAATATCTTTAAACACGAAGACATTATTAAGTATACCAAAACTAATGGACTGTATGTTTGTTAATAATTGTCCAATTTTTTTTTGTTTTGTAGTTAATTTATTGTTCTTTCTAATTATCATAGGTACAGTGGGTATAACAGAAAAAAAATGCATACTTTTTGAGTTATTAGCAAATAACGTTTCTTTTCCTCCATAACTTTTTTCCAGATTTAGGGGGAATTTTTCGCATGTGAAAGAGAAGAATATCTTCAAAATGAGTGGTCAATCATTGGATTTGATGAAGAATTAACGAAATTATGGCTTACCGACAAAAAAACCCCTTTTAGACATATCATATAGGATAATTTATTATTTTAATAAGTTGGAGGGACAAGTCTGGTTTGGATTTCTCTCGCCAGATTGTAAATATTGTATATAGGTGTGTATGTGTTATTTTTATTTATTTATTTTTAGGTTATTTTATTCTTATTTATTGTATATATATATTATTTTTCTGTATAATTTATTTTATTTATTGTACATAGAGTGTAAATGTGATCTGTGAACACTATTATAAATGTCCTAGAGACAGATTGTAATATTTTTCAATAAATAAGTTTAAAAAAAATAAAAAAACCTCAACTTATTTCATTTGATTTTTTATCCTATAACCTAAAAGTACCTCTGTATATATGTATATATATATATATATATATATATATATATATATATATATATACATGTACGTGTGTGTATAAATAATTTATAATTATTTTATATTAGAAGATTATAATGGTATAACAGTTTATAACACGCTCTCGTAAAAGTAATATTTCATATGTAATCACATAACTTTTAAACAGTAAAGATATTACCTATAAAATTAAATTCAAGATAAAATAAAAATTAATATTTCATTATTTTGCTTTTAATGGGTGTATCCTGTCGAACAAATGGCTTAAATTGAAGTTAAATACCTTCAAAAACATAAACAGACAAAATTTGAACACTATATTATAATTTGAGAGTAAATTACAGTCGATGTTCATGGAACCTATACACTCGCGTATATCAGGAACGTTGTACGCGCGTGTGTGGCGTAGGTTATATTACACAGTATAGTAAGATGAGCTTTTTTTCTCATTTGTAGCTAGAGCAAATGTTTAATTTTTTTATTCAGTCCAATCAGTAGAATAACAAATTTTGTTATAACCACACTTATAGTAATCTGAAACAAAATTACAATTTTTGTATTAAAATTATATCGCAATGTATCAGTTAAATTAATGTTACAATTTTATTTTATATTCGTTGATACTTATATTTATATATTATCTATTGCTATATAATTTAAATCATTCACAAATCCTCCATTTGTATTGTTGCCTAAAATCTGTCTTGAACCAAAAACTAGACAGAACTAGCAAAAAAAAAAAAAAAATTGTCTAAATCAGTGTTAGTAACGTTGCAGTGTGCAATGAGTTTTATATATTGATTTCAATAATTGTTTGTTACTAAAGCAAAATCCAATTATATATTTTATTTCTAAACATAAGTGATTACAATTAATTTTGTTTGATAAGGAGTTAATCGAGTTAAGGAGTAAAGAGATTGAAAGATTAATAAATTTTGTTATTAATCTTTCAATTTCTTTACTTCTTAACCTTTAGTCCCGTTATCTGGTTACCTACAATCAAATGTAACCTCCACTAGCTTATTATCCACTGATATCTTATTATTATGTTATCTTGTTCTTATTTTAGCTTTACTTTATCAATACTTAATCAATTTTCAATCTATTTATTCGTTAACATTCATTTTCTTTATCTGTTAACCTACAGTTATCAAATGTAATCTCTATTAGTTTGTTATACACTTATTCCTTATCTTTTATCGAAATCTGTTTACTTTTAACTTACATGCTATATTCTCCTTTATTTTCTATTTTTATTCATACTTATTTTCCATTTGTTTGTATCTTCTACATATATAATACTTGATATTTTAACTACATTGTCATCCACTATATCTCTGATGTCATCTTTTTATTTCTGTATCAGACAACTTCTTCTTATTTTATATCTACTTATATTCATTTATCTTATTTTCAGCATGTTTTTTTATCTTTTGTGGCCCTGATGAAGACTTGCAAAGTGGGTCGAAACGTCGGCAATAATTAAATAATTACTATTTGTTTAAGTTAGTATTTATTTGACCGCACCCCCCAATCAACTCCTTATCATATTATATCAACGGTCAACCATCTCTACATCATTAATAATTTTGTTTTTATAGTGAACCTGTTAGTTTTTTTTCTCCAATATTTTCTCTTCCACTTCCACCTGGTTTATTCCTGGTCTTCTCCATTTCCATTCGTTCCATAACAACGTGATTCGCAAGTACTTTTCTTTATCACCAGCCATCCTGAGATGTTACAGAAAAGCCCTACCCAGTTCTGCCATAAATACTGTTACAAAAGTTGAACTTTGTTTACATCCTCGGGTATTATTTAGATAATCCTTACCTCTATCAGGTTATTTTCTTTACATGTCAGGATAATAGTCCCAATTAGTTTGTATTTTTCTTTCGCTCAGTTAACATGGAGTGGGGTGATAAAGAAAACCGAATAGCTGTGATCGCCTTACACAAATTTGGAAAATGTAGGTCAGATATTTTTAATATTTTGGCACCTTTGGGTATCAGCCGTATGTTCGTGTACCGCACAATAAATAGGTATAATGAGACTCTATCTGTATGTGACAGACCTCGACGGGCCGTCCCGCACTGTGAGAACGGCAAATGCAGTGAGAGCAGTGACTACTCGAATCAGAAGAAATTCCATTCGAAAACAACAAATCATGTCTCGGGAAATGGGAATCTCTGTCAGATCAATGTCAATAATAAAAAGTGAACTTAGGATGGCTGCATTTCGAAGAATGGCAGGACAAATGCTAACCATATTCCGAAAAAAAAATTAGAGTGGATACATGCAAAGTGCTCCTTGGCCATTACACAAAAGGTCTTCATCGAAATATTTAGTTTAGCAATGAGAAAATTTTTACAATTGAAGAAAATATAATCGCCAAAAGAGATCATTACCCTTCCTTAGTGATGGTTTGGTGAGGAGTTTGCTTTGATGGCACCACAAAGCTCCAATTTTGTGAAAAAGGAGTTAAAACAGCCGCTAAAAACTATCAGGACGATATTTTGGAACCTGTTGTCAAGCCTCTAAATGATACTCTGCTGGAAGTCATTGGGTTTTCCAGCAGAATTCCGCTCCAGGTCAATTCAGCAGTGGCTGCAAAAGAATATTGCAGAGTTCATCTCTTCCTAGGATTGGCCCTCAGGAAGCCCTGATCTCAACCCACTATATTATGGGCTTTGGTCCGAACTGGAGAGGATGGCATGCCACAGAGCACACCCTAACTTGGAAAGAATCAAACAATCTCTGGATCGAGCAGTTGAGCGTTTTATAGGGTAGGAGTATAGGGCTGTCGCACATATACTCATATTCCGAACCTTACTAAAACTGGCAAATACTTTTTCTGAATGTTTTTCCACTATCTCTGCGGTTCTTCAAGAAACTGGACTTCATTATTTGTTTTGTTATGTCTTAAATTATTCTCAAAAATTAAGAATTTTACTATTACTATAATTTCTTCATTACTATGAAACGAACATAAACCTCACCTTCAGGATAGTGTGTCCGCATTGAGTTTTCGATTGTCCATTGCATCCATCCTATGTATGGATATAAAGCAGTGTTGACACCAGGTTCGTCAACCCTTGCACAGCCCACGCCCATCGATATTAGCGCTACCTGGGCAAGGCGGTTCACTGCACGGTCCACAATAAACAGCGGACCTCCCGAGTCTCCCTGTGTATGACAATAAGAGAATGTTTTATTCTATACTCTAATATAATAGTCTTTTTATGAAAAAAAGCGAGATTAATAATATGAAGTATAAATTATAAATAATAGCTCATTATAAAGAGGATGAAATGCTGAACTAGTAACTCATTACAAAGAAGAAGAAATGCTGAACAACTCCCTTGCTTATAACATGCAGGTCTGATTTTTAGATTGTATAATATTTGGTACTTGTAAGGGGACCCTACACGGTCAATCGGAATTGCACTAATGACGTTCCGAATTGTCGTGTAAGGTAGTGAATGAAGTACTGATGGTGGTGCGCTGCGGATTTCCGAACATCCGGAAATCAAAGGTTCATTCACGAGAAGTGAAGGGGAGACCAACTAAACATATCGGCTGGGGAGACCAACCATACTGCTGGATAGGTTAGGTTACCTAGGCCTCACAACCATTATAAATTTCTGATTTTCATTAAATGTAAATAGTTAAATAATTTTTCATATCCCTTGTTTATAATTTTAAACCATCTTCAACTATTTATTTTAAATAGTCAAGTGGGCAACAAATTAAAAAAAAATGAGGAAACTTCACAATTTACTTTAGGAAAAAAAAAAACTTTAACGTTGTGTATATTTATCAGTTCTTTTCCCATTTTCCTCAACAAATTTATTATTTTCGCAATACCTTTCCTTAATTTTTGTAAGTAGTAGACTTATATTTTACTAACTTTTGTCAAAACGATTTTCTATGAGACTAACCTTACTACTAGATAGGTTAGTTTACCTAGGTCTCGTTATTAAGTAAATAATTTCATAAAAGTAAATAGTTGTTTATATCCCTAGTCTATATTATTAAATGGAGATGCTTTCATAGTTGTAAGAAAACCGTTTCTGTAAGGAAAGGAATCTGGTTAGAGCGGTCGAGATCTTTTAACGGCTTTAAAATTCATATGTGTACATATACTGTTCAAGTGGTTTTTTACTATTTCATTTATTTTTGTCTATTTTTATTATTTCATTTATTTTTATATATGTTGCAATGTTTTTGTATTGTTTTTTAATTATATATGTATAATGTTTTGGTCTATTTAATATATATCTTGTAAAATATAAGTATTTTTTTATTATTACATTTGTTTTTGTTTTTGTTCATAATTTCAATAATATCAATATAATACAATAAATATGAATACGAAGATGTTATCAGTGGCCTATCAGAGTTATCAGTGTTAAGGTTATAAACATTGGCAGATAGCGGTCGGACGCTACCCGCTATTATACAAGTACCAAATATTAATCCGTATCTTCGATAAAACTCTTTATCATTTAGTTTTCAACACTGTTTTTTACTTGTTGGCTCTCTAACACGGCGTTACATTAAGATGCAATTTCGAATAACAGCTCATAACAAAGAAGATGAAATGATTAACATTTCCCTTGCTTACAATATACAGGTACGACTATTAGTTTCTGAGGTATTTTAATCCATATGCAAAAATACTTAGTTGACGCCAGCCGAATTTATCCGAGCGTTACAAGTCGGAGATCTGATTGCTTAATCTAATTCACTCCCCACAGTTTTCACTTAAATTAATATTGCATTTTTTTACGATGAAGATATTTTTTTTTTGTTCTCTTTAACTGTTTATCCGCACCTGTCATCGTATTGATAATCAGCAGATGTGTTGTTGGCATAATGAGGTTGGCATTATAGGCATGAGGAAGGATAGTACCCAGCAGTACCTCTTCCTGGTCATTACTTTGATTTAGGCGAGGAGATCTCTCATCCAGCTCCTTTTAAGTCTCCTCCTGATGGGCATGTCAGTCGTAGCCATGTCGTTTATAAGTCTGTTTGTGTGTCCGTGTAGTTTGAGATGAAAACGAGAGTAGAGAGTACGTATGTGTTGGTCTATAGTTGGTTGTCGTAAGTCGTTATGTAAAGTTTTGTTGTTGACGTACCAGGGAGCTCCTGTTATAAGTCGTAAAATTTTGGATTGAAATGACTGTAGTTTTTGTAAGTGCGTCTTTTTTGTCGAACCGTAAATCTGAGAGGCGTATGTCCAGATGGGTTTGAGTAGGTAAGTGTATGTATTTAGTTTTTGTCGAACTTTCAATTTCGATTTAGAAAACAGTGAGTACAGTATTTTCAGTCGCTTGTTTAAGGTATGTGGTGAAGATATCTGATATCCTATTAAGTTCGAACTGGCTTGCAGCTGGGAATTTGACTCTTGCCATTACTGCTAACTTAGCGTTGGAGAAATTGCTAACAACATCATGTAAACATGGTGCAGTGCACGTCGGAATGAACCATAAAATCCTTGTTTGAGCAGATGATAAAGCTGTTCTTGGAAGCACTTAAGAAGAAATAAAGAAATAAGCTAAGACTCTAATAAGAGAAGCAGAGAAAATTAGCCTACAAAGCAATAAAGATAAAAAAAAACTTATGATCTGTACAAGAGAAATCATTCAGGAGAATACACCGCCTCAAAAAACTCGAATCCACAATAACCTCAAGCAGTGACCAACTGTACGAATTAGACTAGCGTATATAGCTTATACATAAGCACAAATAGAGCTTTCTTCTCTTTTTCAAATGTGTTAAAATCCCAAAAAAATTCAAGAAATCTCAAACTAAGGATAAAAAACCGGAAAAAATCTCAAACGCTGAAAGATTTGAGAGAAAAATTCTCCGCACCATAACCGGAACTATTTGGGACAAGAGTGCTAACGCATGGAGAAGAAGGATCAATAAATCAATAAAGAACTATTTACAGTAACTGGTCATTATATATATATATATATATATATATATATATAATGGCTGATAAATATTCAGGACGCAGTCATTATAATATTTGTGCCGACATTTCAACCCAAACATGTGGGTCATCATCAGGGTGTGGTTCGAGCACTGAATATTTTCAAGTACTCTTGAAGGTCTTCAAGTGTCTTGAAAATATTCAGTGCTTGAACCACGCCCTGATGATGACCCACATGTTTGAGTTGAAACGTCGGAATAAATTCCTCTCCTCCCTCCTCCCCAGGTGAGGCACATCACACTGCTGGAGGCAACTCACACTGACTGAGGTTTGCTCCATGGACGGTCTGTTTCTGGTAAAGAAATATAGGTCCTCGTGCGCCTGCTGATTCTAAGGAGCCATAATCTATGGATCTAGATCGGTATGTTACTTTCCTTGAACCAAAGTGAGTGGGTGAGAAGGATACTGTCTGATTGGTACCAAAGGAGTTGTCTATGGAGCTACGATTGGCCTGCCGCTGCACCATGGAGGGCATAGTTAGTAGCAACGTGAGGTTGGGTGACCCTCTCCATCTTTATGGCCTGTAGCACCAACCGAAAGAGAAAAAAAAGGACAGAAAGTTCTGCTGGGGGGCACTCTAGTACCAGAGAAGATATTATCCGATTTTCTTCTATATGTAAACACCAAAGACAAAGTCCTGGCAGCTGAGATGCCACAATAACTACGAAGGCCTTTAAAGTCGAATGCTTGGAAGATACAAGCAGAAGAGGTGAGCATTGAAAACCCAAAAGCTACTTAGTAAGTATGTAGTACTTACTCCACAGGTATCTTTTTTTATAGTGTAGGTGCACATCTGTAAGCTCCAATTGTCGTTCATAATCTCCGGAGGTACTTTGTCCTTACATTCCTCAATGTCAAAACTATTCAAGAAGACTTTTACTAATTCTGGGCTTGCATCTTCTTCTTCAGATAACTTTCCCCATCCTAAAAAAGAAAAAAGTTTGAATAACATAATAAATTAGGATTCGTGATTATTTATTCATGTTTTTCGGACACAAACAATATTTAACTTAACAGAGAGGCAGGTTTCTCTCATCTTCATTTAAAAGGTATAATATTTGTGGTTGAATTCTAATAATGAGTATTTTAACTTTAACTTGCGTATATACGTAATATGTAGTAAGGAAACGTATTGGGATCGTAAAAATTTTCGAATTCTAGTTCCCACAAAATGATCTGTGTTTGTGTATGTCTGTGTGTATTAACAGTCTAGCTCAAAAACGCAGAGTCGTACAAATGTGAAATTGCATATTTAAGGTTTCTATATCATCCATCACCAAGTCTTGAAGAATGGTGTCAAAACTGGAGGATTAAAATAAACTCCAATAAATCCCATTAAATTACCTTTACCCTGCGTCGTAAACCTATGACCTCCTGTCCTACAGAATTCTTTAACGATTCCCCACTTATCCCAGTTGAACAAATCCGTTACCTAGGACTCCACCTCGACAAATGACTCACATGGAATCCTCATACAAGACTGAAACGACAAGAAACCTCTCGACGTTTCTGACTAATCCAACAATTACTAGTCAAACGCTCTAAGCTTTCAATCAATTACAAACGACTCATATATATGACAATAACAAGAACTATTTGGACTTACGGAATTGAGCTGTGGGGCTCCACTAAACCATCGAATTCCTCTCGTATCCAATCCTTACAATCCAAAATCCTTCGTAAAATCCTCAACGCTCCTCACTTTGTCACAAACAAAATCATACATAAAGACCTTAATGCTCCATATGTTTTCGATTTGGCCCAATACCTATTCTTCCATAACAAACCGCAGAACCATCCGAACCCTCTCGTTTCAAACCTTGCTTCCTCCTTGATCCCTGATAACCCTCCGAGGCGTCTGAAAAGAAGATGGCCTCGGGACCTTTTAACATAGAACTTTAATTTGACTTCTACCAATGAGTTTCTCTTCATGTTATACATGTCATGTTGCCAATGTCAGATTTATTTCTTGTATTTTTAATGTAATACAGTTGTAAACTTCATTAAAATAAAAAAAAAAAGGTTTCTATATGCCTGGGATATTACAGCAACTTTTTCATCAAAATCGGCTAACCGGAAATGGCACTTTATACCATAGATTTTACACATGTTTACTATTTATTCGTAATACCTCGCCAGAAAGAGGTAATAGAGCCATGGTTGTTCATATGTTTCATATGGAAGTAAATAATCAGATATCATATTTGTTGAATAAAACAATATTTTACAATTATAAATGAGATATTTGCACTCACCAAGAGCAAGAAAAATATAATTATCCGTCAACGAAAGCGGATGAGGGTAAATGCAGGTAGGTCCTACAGTTGTGCGAAATATGATCCTTTCCTGTGTCACAACGATTGCTATGTCTTGGTTATTTGATTTCTCATCATAATACTCGTGCACGTATGCAGGTTCAAGCAGAGATAAGTATTGACCGCCATCATTCGGTTCTAAATGACGAAAATATAATTTCAAACACATTTAAAATAAAATACAATAATAAAAACCTATATTGTTATACAAAAATTTATTTTAATTGGTTAAAATTACAAAATCTAATGAGGGCTTAAACTTTGGCACTAATAAAATGAAATTAAACATATTATATTATTCTGGGACTGTTGTCCCATTAGAAGGAATTATAAGTACAGAATACATGTATGTGTGGTCATAAATTAATTAAATATTTACAATAATAGTTAATTAAAAGTAAAAATAGAGAAGAAGAGAGAGAAAAAGACAAGAAAAGCGTACATATATATAAGACAAACAAAGGAAACTAAAATAACATAAATAGTCTCTGGGGGTACTTAGATAGTTCTTTTAGGTATATTTCATAATCAGTCGGATTGAGAAAGGAGTAGATGTTTAAAGAGAAGAGATTTGAAAGAAGAAACTGATTGTGCGTGTCGAATATCAGGAAGGATGGAATTCCAGGGAGGCGGCTTAAATTGCAAAGGATTTGTCAAACTGTTCGGTGAGGAGGAGGTACGAGATCTAGTCGGACGGAATTCGGTAGAGTATTAAAATTGTAAGCTGTGAAAAATATAGGAGTATCCATGAGTTCTAATGATCTGGTACAGAAAGGTAGCTAGGAAGTACTGACGGCGATACGATGGGCCACTTCAACTCGATTTAATATTGGGTATTTGCGTGTGTCTTGAGATTCCGAAAACAAAACGTAATGCGTGATTCATTTGGCGTTTAAATTTTGCTTCGAAATCTCCCGAGAGTACACAGCACAATATACAGCAATAGTCGAAGAGGAGGAAAACAAGGGAGGAAACTAGGAGTTGACGGGACTTATATGGAAGGAGATAACGTAAACGAGATGTGTGGTTTCCATAAGAGGATTTTATCCAAAGTAACACTTAGGTTTTTAATGGTAGTATGGAACAAGATAGGTGAGTTGCTCAGGAGAAGATTGGGGAATACCGGGAAGGATTCGAGGAGTGAGGGGATCACATCATGATGGCTTTCGTCTTTTCGACGTTCAGAATGAACCTGTTGAGGTTTGCCCGTGCACTTACTCTATAAATATCTTCTTGGAGTTTTATAATGGCATCTGAGGAATTTGTCGGATTGAAGGAGAGGTAAATTTGAACGTTGAACAGTGCAAGATAGAGGATTGGAGGTCATTTATATAGATAGAAAAAATGGCAATGAAGAAGAAACAAGAGAAATTGCATATTTTGCAAATGAAACCATTGCGAAGTATGGTGGGGATCAAAAGGAGGAAAAAGACTCAAGATATCCTTTCTCGTTAATAAGTAAAAAGTTGAACTAAAATAGCTCAAAAAATGAAATGGAGGTGGACTGGGCATTTGATCAGACGGAAGGACGGTATGTGCTCGAAAAACATTGTCGAGTGAACTCCAATAGACCAAGTTAAACACAAAAGATTACCACTCATGAGGTGGAGTGATAGAATTAATTAATCCTAACTGTTGGGGCCAGAGGTATTTCAAAATGAAACACAAATCTTTCTCCGGTGAGCTTCCTCAAAGATGGGGAAAATATAAGTAAAATTGAAGATGAGAAAAAAGGGGAAAAATGTGTAAAAAATTAGACCTGTAAAAGAAGAAAAAAATGCATGCACATCAAATAATATAAAATAAAAATATTCATTAATCAAAACGGAAAATAAATAAATAATCCCCCTTTTTAATGCTTACACTATTTATTATATAGATGTAGAGATGGTTGACCGTTGATATAATATGAGGGGGAGGTTGCGGTCAAATAAATACTAAATTAAAATACAGTAATCATTTTTAATTTTTGCCGACGTTTCGACCCACTTTACAGGTCGTCTTCAGGGCTACAAAAGATACAAAACATGGTGAAAATAAAAGATGACTATAAGTAGATATAAAATAAGAAGAAGTTGTCTGATACAGAAATAAAAAGATGATATCAGAGGAATAGTGGGTGACAAAGTAGTTACATTTGATTACTGTGGGTTAACAGATAAAGATAATAAATATAATCTCTATTAGTTTGTTATACACTTATTCCTTATCTTTTATCGCAATCTGTTTACTTTTAACTTACATGCTATATTCTCCTTTATTTTTTATTTTTATTCATACTTATTTTCCATTTGTTTGTATCTTCTACATATATAATACTGGATATTTTAACTACATTGTCACCCACTACTTAATAATCTATCCTAACGATATTACACTAATGTTACCCTATTAATCTTTCAATTTCTTTACTTCTTAACCTTTAGTCCCGTTATCTGTTTACTTACAATCAAATGTAACCTCAACTAGCTTGTTATCCACTGATATTATTATGTTATCTTGTTCTTATTTTAGCTTTACTAGATCATTACTTATTCAATTTCTTTATTCGTCAACACTCATTTTCTTTATCTGTTAATCTACAGTTATCAAATGCCATCTTTACCAGTTTGTTATACACACATTTCTTATCTTTTATCACAATCTATTCACTTTTAACTTACAAGCTATATTCTCCTTTATTTTTATTTTTATTCATACTTATTTTCCATTTCTCTGTATCTTATATATATATATATATATATATATATATATATTATATATATATATATATATATATATATATATATATATATATATATATATATATATATATATATAATACTTAATATTTCAACTACTTTGTCACCCACTATACCTCTGATATCATCTTTTTGTTTCTGTATCTGACAACTTCTTCTTATTTTATATCTACTTATATTCATTTTTTATTTTCACCATGTTTTGTATCTTTTGTAGCCCTGAAGACGACCTGTAAAGTGGGTCGAAACGTCGGCAAAATTAAATAATTACTATATTTTAATTTCCTCGCGCGGGCTCATTACCGCGTATGGGGAGCGTCCCACGGGTGGCGGATGTGGGGATGGTCGGTGGAAATTTCTTGGAAGTTCCTCCCGGCTAGGTCCGATGGACTCGCTGACCAACAATGAGAGGGGCCCTCCAGACTTGCTGGAGGGAGGGGACCTCCAGACTTGCTGGAGGTAGGGGCCCACCAGACTTGCTGGAGGGTGTGACGTAGGATTGAACGCCCTACTCACATATCTTTAGTTCACCAAACACCACAAAAAGTCATGGATCTTCCTAAGGTAAAACGCTCATTATCCGGAAGTAAACTAGTCCCCCGTTCGGGTCTCCGGGTGGGGACTGCTTTAGGGGATTCATGGCGCAAGTTGAAATATAGGGATTTAAATATTGGTACGTGGAACGTAAGGAGTTTAAACACAGCAGGGGGCTAAAATCGGTCGCGAATGAGGTAAATGGGTACAATTTGGATGTCGTGGCTCTGCAAGAGGTTCGCTGGCCAGGGGAGGGCTCGATGAGGGAAGGGAAGTACACTATTTGGTACGGAGGAAGCGAGAATCATTGTTTAGGTACCGGGTTTCTAATTAGGCGTAGATTACTATCCGCTTTGAGGGACGTACAATTCTTTAGTGATAGAATTTCGGTAGCTACATTTCAGGGACGTTGGTTTAAAATCGCATTAATAAACATACATTGTCCGACCGAAGACAGTGACGATGAAGTCAAAAGTGAATTTTACGATAAACTCGAATGGGTTTATGATAAACTACCACGAAACTACATGAAAATAATTGTAGGTGACGCGAACGCAAAGGTAGGAAGGGAAGAAGTTTATATTCCGACGATTGGTAAAGAAAGTTTGCACGAATATAGTAATGATAATGGGATCCGTCTGATAAACTTTGCCATCTCGAAAAACCTGATAATTAAAAGTACGACGTTTAAACATAAGGATATTCATAAATATACTTGGACATCACCGGATTCGCAAACACGAAATCAAATCGATCATGTCTTGATACAACACAGCTGGCAAAGCAGTATAATTAATGTACGGTCTTATCGCGGAGCAGAATGTGGGTCGGATCATGAATTAGTAATCGCGAAACTTCGACAAAAACTTAATATAAAAAAGAGAAAAGAAAACCGTTTCGATTTTGAGAATTTTAATTTGGAAAAATTAAAAAATCCATCAATTAGAAACCAATTCGAGCTAGATGTTAAGAATAGGTTTGAAGCTTTAGAGCTTCCTGACGAGGACCACGAGGATATTGACAAGTTATGGATAGAGATCAGAGATAATATTAAAGCGGTCGGTAACTCGTGTCTAGGAAAAAAGGAAAATAAGAATAACAAACCGTGGTTTGATGAAGATTGCTTAAACATGTGTGAAAAAAGAAAAGCCGCTAAATTAAAAGCTCTAAATAATCCTAGCGAAGACAATCTGGAATACTTCCGAATCTCAAAGAACGAAACGACAAAATTGCTCAAAAATAAAAAAAGGGAGTATCTTAAAAATAAAATAATTGAAATAGAAACTAATAGAATCGAAAATAACGTAAGAGACATGTACAAAGGTATAAACAGATCACGTAAATATGTAGGGCCCGTAACGTCTGGAATTAGGGATGATAATAACAATATTCTGACCGATCCGGTTGACATATTGAATAAGTTTAAGGACCACTTTGACAATATTTTAAATACGGGAAATTATGATCTGTGTCCTCCTTCTGAGTACCAGAGTGCTGAACCGTTAATAGAAGGACCAAGTAAAGAGGAAGTTGAAGTAGCTATCGGAAAATTAAAATCATATAAAGCAGCGGGAATCGATAATATTCCTACTGAACTAATTAAGGCATGCGGGGAAGCTGGAGTTTCTAAAATACATCGGTTGGTTAAAAAGATCTGGGTGAACGAGAAATTACCTGAAGAATGGAAAGAATCTATTCTTATTCCGATTCACAAAAAGGGTCCGAGGACGGATTGTAATAACTATCGAGGAATTTCACTCCTTCCGGTATGTTATAAAATATTCACTTTAATCTTAACCAGTCGAATCACGGAATACGCCGAGGAAATTATCGGAGACTACCAATGCGGATTTAGACGGAATCGTTCGACTATTGATCAAATATTTTCTTTACGGCAAATATTAGAGAAAAAATTGGAGTATAACGGTATTGTTCACCAGCTGTATATAGATTTTAAAAAGGCTTACGATTCTATTGACCGCCAGAAATTGTATAATATTCTAATCGAGCAGGGGATTCCAAAAAAACTAGTAAATCTAGTCAGGATGTGCTTGACGGAGACACTCAATAAAGTTAGAATCGGTAATAATTTGTCCGAAAAATTTGAGGTTCGTTCGGGCTTAAAACAGGGGGATTCTCTTTCGCCTGTCCTGTTCAATTTGGCATTAGAACATGCCATTAGGGAGGTAATGCGAACCGAGAAAGGGTTGGATCTGGGCGGGACAACTTCCGTGCTGGGCTATGCTGATGATCTGGTACTGTTAAGCGAAGACGTTGAAACTATAAAACTAAATACGACAACGTTAATGAAAGCCGGGAAAGAACTAGGACTCGAAATAAACGTGGATAAAACAAAATATATGGTTAGCTGCAAAAATGGCGATACTACTGGTGATATCGATATAGATGGTAATATGTTTGAACAGGTAGATAAATTTAGGTATCTAGGTTCTACGATAACTAGAAAAAACGAAATTGAAGAAGAGATTAAGGTTAGACTGAAGGCGGGGAATGCTTGTTATTTTTCTGTGACAAAACTACTTAGTTCGCGCCTCTTGTCCCGTAACTTAAAAATTAGAATCTATAAAACAATTATATTGCCTACAGTTCTTTATGGATGCGAAACTTGGCCGCTTACATTAAGGGATGAGCAGCGTCTTAAGGTTTTTGAAAATAAAGTATTGCGTAGAATATTCGGACCGAAAAAGGATGAGTTAACCGGAGAGTTCAGACGGTTACACAACGCCGAATTGCGTGAGATGTATCCGGGTAATATAATTGAGGTAATTTCATCGCGGCGAATCAAATGGGCTTGTAAAGTTGTTGGGCTTAGTAACGAGAGAATTCCTAAAAGGTTAATATTTGCTGTGCCGAATGGTAAGCGTCCGAGGGGTAGACCGAAGCGAAGATGGGAGGATTGCATTAAAGCCGATCTGAAGGGACTGGGTTTGGACGGCGAACGATGGAGGGAGGTGTGTAACAAGCGATTGCTGGTGTCGGCATCGAACCTTCGGGTTCGCTAAGCCTTATTATTATTATTATTATTATTATTATTATATTTTAATTTAGTATTTATTTGACCGCACCCCTCCCTCTCCCCCGATTAACTCCTTCTCATATTTATTATATTGAATAAAAAGATATATATACAAAAGTTAAAGAAAACAATATATAGAAATAGGAGTAATGCCAGCTGCAGTATGATGAACTCTCATTGCAGATGGACTTCGCCCATGTCAACGTATACAAAATTTATTATCGCAAAATTTTCGACAAATAAGAAATTTTTCAGATTGGTACTTGAATCAAATTGAGCATAATCCACCACCATTTTCAGGATAAAATCTCTGGACAGATGCGTTTTTCAAGAAGAGGTATCTTTAATCAGAAAAATAATCATACCTGGACGCAGGAAAATCTCCATGCAATTCGCGAGCATAATTTTCAGTACCAGTTTCAGTGCAATGTACAGTTGGGGATAACAAACAATATTTTAATAGGTCCCGATTTCCTGTTGCCTCTACTCAATGCGGGCACATTTATGGAATTTCTCAATAACGATTACTATGATTTAGTTGAACATATTCCACTATAACTGAGAAGAGACTTGTGACTTCAATTAGATGGTTGTCCTGCACATTACGGAAGAGGTCCACGACAATGGCTAAGTATTAGTTATCTTGATCAATGGATTGGCCGTGCAGGACCAGTGGCTTGGCCTGCACGCTCACCAGACCTGACACCACTGGATTTTTTTGTTTGGGGTGACATTAAACAAAAAATCTATGCAAGTCCGGCCAATGATCTTAATTCCTTACGAAGAAGGATAATTGAATCTAGTGAAACAATAGCACATATCCAGTGTAGTTCTGCCACTGCTGCTGTTGAAGAAAGATGCCGAGCCTGTCTTAATGCTCAAGAAACTTTGAACAACATTTAATATGAATGTAATGTTTACTTTTAATTAATATAGTTATTTCAAATAAATAAGTTTTAATTTTCTAGTCACATCCTTCAGATTTGGTGCCATTTTCTCATATTTTTTTATATAAATATTTTAGGCCAAAGGTCACCAAATATACACAGTTTTATTTATCTCCTATATTCTTTAATCAACGTTTCGGCTTCAGGAGCCATTTTCAAGATCCTGCAAAACTAATTTTAATTTAGTTTTTGCCATTCAAATACATCCTTATCAGACACATATTATTTAACAACCATAAGCAATACAATCAATCAAAATTGATTTTTAATTTTGAATAAATTTATATCCTCCACCTACCATGCACCGCGCCATAAATTTTTTAAATCTATCATTGCGATATGATTCGTCCTTAAGTCATTCTTTTGTTTCAAAGAATGTCGTTTTCTATTTCTAATTATTGTAATATATAAATAATAAATTAAAATAGAATGTTAATATTATTTTTTAAAAAGAATATTATTAATTCTCGATTTATATACCTCTATTTGCAGACGGTATCAAGAAATTGTTGCTCCTCACTAACGCATTCATACAGGACTGGATTTACTTACAAAAAGAGAGGGGTGGAAGGGTTAGGGATCAGTTGTTTATATCAGTATGTTATATATTAATTTTTTCTATTGTGCTAGCATAAAACGTGTTTAAATTATCAATATCTGTCTGTTGATTCACCGAATGTTTAAGATTTTTAGTAATAAAAATGGATTCAATTATTCTACGTTTCCCAATATTCTGTTCTCTATGCAACACGGAAGCAGTACCGAAATCAAATTTATGTCCATTTTTTGTGATATGCTGCGATAATTCTGTGGCTAATTTTGATTTTGTCGTTTTAGACCTGCAATTTTGTTTATGTTGTTGTATCCTACGTTCAAACCATTGTGAGGTTTGTCCGTAATATGCTTTATTTTCACAATCCTCGCATTGTATTTTATAAACACCCCACTCTTTTCGTAAGTAAATCCAGTCCTGTATGAATTCCCTAGTGAGGAACAACAATTTCTTGATACCGTCTGCAAATAGAGGTATATAAATCGAGAATTAATAATATTCTTTTTAAAAAATAATATTTACATTCTATTTTAATTTATTATTTATATTGATGTAGTAGGTCTCTTGGCCATTTTCTTCTTAATCTTCGTTGCTCAGGTAACAGGGAGCAGGAGATAGAAAGAACCAGAGGATTGGAGTTGATTTTGGGTTGAAGAATGAAATGTAGTGTATTTGTCGTGGATGTAGGATTTTACTGTTGGGATGTTTAAGTCGTTATGTATAGTCGTGTTTGAAATGTACCAAGGTGCGTTAACAATTTTTCGTATAATTTTTTATTGTGCTGTTTGTATTTTGTTTATGTGTGTTTGTTTTGCTGAACCCCAAAGTTCTGCTCCATATGTCCATATTGGTCTCAGTAAGGTGTTGTAGATAAGTCGCTTGTTTCGTAAGTTAAGTGAAGATCTGTAGTCCAGAAGATGTGAAAGTTGGCTATATCGTCTTATTATTATTATTTATATATTACAATTTTTAGAAATGGAAAACGACATTCTTTGAAACAAAAGAATGACTTAAGGACGAATCATATCGCAATGATAGATTTAAAAAAATTATGGCGCGGTGCATGGTAGGTGGAGGATATAAATTTATTCAAAATTAAAAATAAATGTTGATTGATTGTATTGCTTATGGTTGTTAAATAATATGTGTCTGATAAGGATGTATTTGAATGGTAAAAACTAAATTAAAATTAGTTTTGCAGGATCTTGAAAATGGCTCCTGAAGCCGAAACGTTGATTAAAGAATACAGGAGATAAATAAAACTGTGTATATTTGGTGACCTTTGGCCTAAAATAGATATATGAAAAAATTATAAATAAGTTTTATTTACGTAATATAACGTAATAATTCATAACGATGAAAATCTTTAGGTTTGAATGTCTCCTGAACAAAGCGTCATAGGGATTTTTTTTTTCTTGTTTTTTGGTCCTTAATTTATCTTTTCAGTTTGGCCACTTGATCCTGAAACATCCTGTACAGTAACAGGTGTTTGTAGGCCTAATACACAAAATATTATAGCTAGAAGTTTCACTTAGAACTGCTTATGAAGGAAGGAGATGAGCCGGGGTTGCGGTCATAAATAGGCTAAATAGTGGTAAAACTATTTTATTAAAAGCCGACGTTTCGACCCGACTTTGCAGGTCTTCTTCAGGAAGGTGTGTTCAGCTAGGAGTTACACTTAGAACTGCTCCAGGTCTTCTTCAGGAAGGTGTGTTCAGCTAGGAGTTACACTTAGAACTGCTCCAGGTCTTCTTCAGGGAGTTGTGTTCAGCTAGGGGTTTCACTTAGAACTGCAAGTTCCAGTTCTAGGTGAAACTACTTGGGGGGCGGGGTGGCCGAATAAGCGAAAGCGTGTGCACAGCACCGCTAGTTGCCTGGCAACCGGATAACAGAGATTTGAGATGATATAAAAAGTACGAGTTCGCGTCCCGGTGCCGGAGAGGATTTTAAATTCCCCGCCCTCACCCCCCCCGGCCCGGGAAAATCCCGTATAGCCTAAAAGGCGAGGTAGGGAAGAACAAAAAAAAAGACCTGCAAAGTCCGGTCAAAACTTCGGCTTTTAATAAAATATTTTTACCACTATTTAGCCTATTTATGACCGCCACCCCGGGTCATCTCCTTCCTTTACAAAATATTATATTTTACTTACGCCTACAATTATGGCGGATGCCAACCGCTAGTTGCAAATTAGTTACATTTTCTCCAAAGATACAGTGCGCAGCCGTAAGTGCATGAAACTCTGTGAGAATAGTGGCCCCGCAAATCACACAGTTGGATTCTTTCAGTTGGAGACCGGCCATCATTGGGTAGTTCTCCGAATCATCGATTTCATTTCCTCCGACAATTTTGTATTTCAATCGATTTAAAGAGATATTCAAACCCTCAGGCTGCAAAGATAAAAGTAGCTATATTGGTTTACTCCTCTTACAGTCACTGGATCTTATCTCTGCAATAAAAATATTATAAAACTTATTGCAGTAAATAATAAAGCCATGGTATTGTTTAAAATTATCGGTTTATTTTTTAAAGAAAACTCTTGATTAACAATCCGTTACTATAGGGCCATTCCATAAGAAATCATTAGAGGCCTTGATTCCATTTGGCGCTATTTCGATTGCGTCCAATAAATACATTAATAATAATTTGTTTTTCTTATCTTTTTATGTTATATTGACTTTTAAAAGTTGAGGAAACAGCTTTATTTAGACATGTTATAGATAAAGGATCACTGTATTGTCTTCAGACTATCTATATACATTTTTCACTTTATTCTAATTGGACCGATATCAAGAAGTTTCACAAAAATAATGTGTACCTATAGAAAAGGTATAGGTCTAAATTTAAATGTCATGTACAATTACTATTCAGTTGTTTTATAAACAGTTTGTAGTTCGCACCCGAAAATTTCCTGCGTCAATATCCTGCCAAGAACAGATACTTAGTCTGAAACTTCTCATGAAATATTATCTGAATAGACCGCAAAAAAACCTTTATATCTATTTCGTGGACTTTGAAAAAGCATATGACTCCATAGACAGAGAAACCTTACTGAAAATCCTGAGGGAATACGGCCTCGATCAAAAAACCATAAACCTAGTAAAAGAAACTCTAATAGAAACCAAGTCAAAAATAAAATTAAGAGGGAATATGAGCAAACCATTTCGGATAAAAACCGGTGTGAGACAAGGGGACGGGCTTTCACCTATTCTCTTCAATGTTGTTCTCGACATTTTTGGGACCTTATGGGAAAAAGAAACATCAGGAGCTAAAGTAGGAAATCAAAGGAGCAATATCCTGGTAAAATGTCTAAATTTTGCGGATGACTTGGCCCTATTGGCAGAGTCGGAGGAAGAGGCGATTAGACAGGTAAATTCGCTGAAAAAAAAATAGCTGAGAAATCTGGACTTAAAATCTCCTTCCAGAAGACTAAATTTATGACCACAAATCCCAACTTTAGGAAGACAGAAATAAAAACAGAATTCGGTAAAATCAAGGTGGTTAAAAGCTTTAAATGCCTGGACGAAATAATCAGCAGAAATTTATCGGAGAAAGAAAGCATGGAGTATAGGATTAAAAATTTGGAGAAATTATGCTACTTAACAAGTAGCATTTATAATAAAAAATGCCTCTCCAAAAAGTCCAAAATCAGGCACTACAATACAGCGGTAAAGTCAGTGATATTATATAGAACGGGGACAATGTTCTTTCCAAGTTTGGAGAAACTGCTGAAAATAGAAAGAAGGATTCTTAGAAGAATCCATGGTCCTAAAATAACACCACAAGGATACAGACTGAAATCCAATAAGGAAATTTACAGTGGAATCTCTGATTTGGAAACGGAAATGAGGGTAAGATGACTTATATTTTATGGACACATGCAAAAGATGACCGAGGAGAGATTAAACAAGAAGGTTTTCAATAAGGTTATGGGATACAAGTTTAACTATGGATATACGGTACAAATTAAACAGGAAATACAGAGGCTTGGGATAACACGGGAATTATGTGAGAATAGGACAGAATACAAGAAATTCCTGAAAAGTGCGGTGCATGTGGTTCACAGTAAGGAACTTCCTTCCAGGAGGAAGTGGACGGAGGAGAGGAAGAAAAAATTTAGCGATATTCTCAAGCAGAGATGGGCAGAAAAGAGGAAATTGAAAAAGAAACCAGTTTCATAGTCGCGTAGTCCTTCAGGGCTGTTTCGCGTCAAATAAATAAATGTATCGAATTTTCTTAAATGTATCGAAGAGCAAAGATGTGGTCTCCAGTTTTTTTTATATGTTCTACTCCAAATGTTATATCCTTTGTTTGGTTTTTAAATATAGAATATGTTACTGAAGTAATGCTATTTTTTTTTAAGCATATTACTAATGATTAAAAAAAAAAGTTTAGTCCAATAATTGGAATCACCTTTTATTTATTTTTCTTTATAACTACGAAGGTAATGTTACCCTAGATGTATAGTTGTTTGGAAATAATAAACCATTGTGAAATAATTTGCAGCATTTCTTTTTTTTTTTTCTGTTCTTCTCTACATATACACATTCATCCCATCCATACACATACCATCCATCACCCAGCCCTATTTCCAACAGATCCAAGGGATGTGCGATAGTTGATAGTATTATCGATATATCGATAGTTCATATACTCCACTTTGACACAAATTATTTTAAAATTTTATATGTTTAAAGGAATAATTTTAATAACACGCCTTCATATTTATACCCATAATTGATGTACGAGATATAGTGATAATGTAATTTAAAAGTTAAATGTTTGATAATAGAAAATTGTTAGTGTATAATGGAAACGCCACATTAAAAAATGAATGGATGCAGGTGTGAAGGCTATTCTTATCAATATATAAAACTGAACAAGAATAAGCCTTCATGGAAAAAAATTAATTTAATTTAATCTCAAATTACTTTCATATTTTTACACTTTCAGTTGTGTCGATGGAAAAAAAATGTAACATTTACCTCACATATTTTATTTATTTTTTCATAAAAAAATATATTTATAAAATCTCCAAGGATAGCATTACAGTTTTATATTTTAAACTAAGTGATATTATCAAAAGTTTAGAAAATTAGAATCTTGAAAAGTATTAAGACCTAAGCATTTCTCGCCTTTCTCTTAATAGTAAAAAAAATACCTATTTCATTTTTGAATTCTACAGTCAGGGAAATAAATCCAATTTATAAATATATATAAATGTATTTCCAGTCAATAATTTGTATTAGTATCTTAACAGAAATCTATAAGGATGTATCCAATATAAATGTTAATTATTATAAAGTCTATACAGCATTTTAAAGTAAATAAATAAGAATACAACGAAAATAAATCCTGTAATAATTTCGTATTAAAAAATGGCATAGTTATAGTGCCATTAGTATAACAAATACTAATACGATAATTGAATTGCCTTTTTTTTTATTTTTTATTATACTCATTTTGAAAGCTCGATATTTCGCTTCCTGTTGGGTATAGAAAAAAAATGTTATGTACAAAATGTTAGATAATTTGAAGCTGTTTAAGATTGAATTTATCCAATTTATATCTACGTCGCTTTGAAAAGGAGATATTTAGAGTAAACCAAAAAAAGTTCAAAATTTCAATGGTTTTTGGAGCACTATAGCAAAACCCACAAGGCTTTCAAGAGAGAAAACTTGGATTTTGCAAGGTATATCCCTTTTTTTGTGTTAATTTGACTGGGCTAAAGGCTTTGGTTGAGAAACTTGTGTAAACGGCCTTAATGATGAGACTTGGCCATTTACCTTGTACTACCTAAGTATCTAATAATATATTTAATTATTTATTAATTTGCTGTTAATAAATTTATAGATATAAAGTTGAGAACCCACCACAGTCCCCCAACTGCAGTTACAAGTCAGTGAGTACTTATTGTGCCGACGATGCAGGTTGTTGCTAGCAATTGGTCTCCTAAAGTAAGGAGAAAAATCTAGATATCTGTTATGGTTCATTCGCCTTGAACTATCCAAATAACATTCATTAACAAGAAACAGGACCCAAGCGAATAGAAGTTCGATGTTTACTGAAAAAAAATCAGAAATCATTATTATATCTTATGTTAAAATTTTCCAAAATATTGATAATAAATGAGGGTACTAGTTCCGAAGCACTACTCTTTCAGTCATCTTAGTTAATTCCAGATTATCCACAATGTTTCCGATAAGGTTTACAACAGATAGCACCAAGTAGCGCCACTATTGCGGATGAGTAGTCTTGTCAGCCCTTGACCTCTCCACCTTAAGTTCATTACAAATAATTACCAAATACAACCTCTAGAATATATATTACGAGCTTTTTTTTTGTTTAACTTGTCAACTTTTTTGTCTCTTCAGTAAATCGATTAAGCAAACTTTCTATTTTTGATGCTGTTTATAGACACGTATTACCTCAATCAATTTTTTTTCCATTATATATTTCTAATATTATTTATAATTATTCTGTTTATATATTGCCTTTTTTTTTTGTTTTTTTTTAACTTCAAGATTATCATTATTAATGCTGTTCAGTTTGGTTATCCTAAATTAAAGAAATTGATTAATCATTGGTTGGAAACAAAAATTGAAATTTTAAAGGAAGGAGATGGTTCTGGGTGGCGGTCATTAAAAGACTAAAATAGTGAAAAGAACTGTTTTATTGCAAGTCGACCTTTCGACCCGACTTTTCAGAGCTAGAACGAACAAGATACAAGAGGATACAGAAAATTGTGGAAGTTACATAGGGAAATATTGAAATTAAAAGTAAAAATAATATGAAACAATGTCATCACCATCTATACTGATGACACGTGTATCCTATGAGTTAATAACGATCCATCTATTGCATCCCAAACTAAGAGACTTAGTACATTTTTAGTTGTGCTGAAATATTAAGAATGAATTTTTATCTTATTAATTGATAAAAATACTCAATAAGAGCTTGAAAATGAGACAAACCCTTATATATATATATATCAATTATAGGTCCGACAAGTACACACAGGATTTCACAAATGAAAAATTCATTAAAGTTCTTAGTGATTTGAAGTTATGAAATGTCTCTTAATGCCCTTTTTACAATAAACTGGCAATATGTTAAAATTGGACAATATTATGGTATATATAATGACCAATATGTAAAACAAAATCTGATGTCAAGAAAAAATAACTCAATGAAGAAATATTTACTGTTAGTGCAAAAGGTTTTATGTAAAAATTGTGTTTATTTTACAGAAGAGCATAAAAACTAATTTCTAGACCAAGACAAAGTTCTTGTCATCTCTTTTTCCAAACCATAGCCCTGATAATAACCCCTATGTTTAGGTTGGAACCTCATCTAACAGATTAAAGATATTTTGTCTGAAATTCCTGAAAATTTTGTTTCATTCTTATAATTCAACAGTGAATGCTTATTCTAAATTAATACTCTAAAGTATTACAACTGATTATTTCTTTATAATTTATTAGTACAATTTCATATTTTATTTTCCTTAGTAGCAGACTTTTTATTGCAGTTCCAGAATAAAAAAGGTCACCTTTAGCACAAATAGAATTAACATGTAAAATTACTACATATGACCTTTTACAATAACACTAGCATGAATAAATAAAAAAGTGAAGAAATAAAAAGAGAAAAAACACTATCTGGAAGGGACAACAAAACAGATTCTTTAAATAAGTATGGAATTAACACTAACTCTTTATGAAATGCTTTAATACAAAAAATCACTAATATATTTTTATGAAGCTAAAGTTTTAAGTAAATATTTTTGAATTTCGATCAGATTTACGAATGTAAAAACTTGTTAAGTACCTAAAAATAACAAACATTATTTTAAAATAGGTACAATACATGCACATGGCTTGATTTCATAGAGAGAAAATTTGTTAAAGTACACATGTTTTCATTTAATTTTCTAAAATATTAATGACGTTTTGCAAGATTTAACTTTTACAAGGCTTAAATGTCCAATGTTTAAATATTTCTTCCTCTAAAGTACCTTTAATATGGTTTATTTTAAAAAGTCAATCATTTCGCATTATTCAGAGTTATAAAAAAATGCTACATAAAACTTTTGAAAGAATTTGATTAGTTAATAAAGGAGAAAAAAAAAATAAAAATGCAGAAACTGACTGTAGCGCCTAAACGAATGTCTCGATTTCAATGAAACTTCGCCAAAGTCATTTTCTCGACACCCTTTAAATTTATCTATATAACATACTTCAACAAAAAGAAGCTGGAAAAAAAGTTACGAGGGATGTTAAAATTAAATTCCAAATATTTCAAAAAGTATACACTTTTTTTGTTGATATTGCATATGGTTTTTTAAAAATTTGTGGAATTTCCTAAAAAAAACAAAAAAAAAATCGTTAAAATTGGATAATTAGGAGGAAAGATATGGCCTCTAGTTTTTTTCCATGAAGAGGCGAAAATTTGGATAAATTTAAAATATACTTTTTTAATTGTTGAGACTAAAAAAAAACCTTTTTTCTACAGATATTTAATAAATAAGAAATAAGTACCTAAATTTATACCTTTATTCTCAGTTTCAACTGCATATATTTCAACACTGCAATCACCACCTCCGGAATCAACTTACTCATTGTCTGCATAGATAACTTTTTCAACTAAAAATATCACTAATGACATCACTCAAAAATGTTGAAATTGGAGTTAGTCATTCTGTGGTTTATAAAAGTAAAGAAAGTTGTGTGGTTTATAAAAGCAGATGGAGTGACTAGATTTTTATTGCCTACCGTCGATATATTAAATAGACATTTTGTAATTATAATGGTCTTAATTACTTGTTATCTATAAGCTTTAAGCTTTAGCTCCGTTTAAAATGCACTTCAAAAAATTTTATAATAGCCCAACATTGCCAGAAAATAATTTCTATCCAAAGTTGATCGGTAAGTGAAAGTTGTGTGTTGCGCGCACCAGATTTTTTTATTTGTTTTAATATACTTTCACTGAAGATATTGTATATATTCTTTAATTTTGATTAATGTAATTTTTGGCCAGATTTGGTTTTTATTTTTTGTTCATAATTGTTATTATTTTCTATTCTGGTTAAAACAAACATACAGTTAGCTCTATATCTGATTTATTATCTCAAGTGGTGTTTCACTTTAATTTACTGGGACAAAGTGATAAGAGAAAAAGTAAGGATTTTAGATGTTAATAAAAATGGACATTAAATTAATTAGATAACTTATTTTATCTCACAAAACTTTTTAATGTATTACTGCTACTTTCAACAACTACTTCAATAAGTATTTTATGTTTTTTGCATTTATAATTAAATGTAAATATGAATGTTTTAAAAAGAAGTATTCAGTTAGTCTACACTTTGCCCAATGAGGACATAATTATTATTTTAATTCGATCCATACCATTCAAAATATTAAGTACTCGCAGTGTTTTAGATTGTTTTCGTTTACCTGTTGATCTCATACTGCTATTGATGAAAAGTTACCCGGCTCTACAACTTGCTCCTTGTTAAATGACCAGAAACAATTGATACTCATAAACCGTGACAGACTATTGTTCTTATATTGTAAAAGTGATTACTTTTTTATGGCATATATTTTGTAAAGCTGCCTTCATTGAATAATTAATATGTAGTACAAATCTGATTTTCTTGCTGTGGTGATTTTTAATGAAAAATTATTTTGCAGTAGGGTAAATAGTTGTCTGTAGAAATTATAAGAATGTGAACAAAATAATCTGGTGCGGTGGGGGTCTCACACAACTTTCACTTACCACCCTCTTCTTATCAGATATAAGTATTTTCAGACAAAGGAGAAGTAAAAGTAAAAATTATGAATACTATATTGATTTATATTTCATTGTGGATATTTTTATTTGTTTAAGTATCCTTATATATATATATATATATATATATATATATATATATATATATATATATATATATATATATATATATATATATATATATATATATATATATATATATACTAATTTTAATATTTATATCGCTGTAATCTATACAGTTAAATATTAAATAATAGCAACAAAAACATTTGGGAAAACCCCATATGTATATGTACTTAATATTGTCGGAATCTGTATTTTATTATGCTCATGTTACGTATGGAAGCCAGTTCAAATCTTCGAGACAGCTCGGCCGCACACGTATCCCTTTGCTTCCCTCATTACAACTCTGTTGCGATCTCATATTTCTCCTTTAGTTAATTGTCAAATTCTTTCATATTTTCATTAAACTATTTTTTATATTAGAGATCAATGTGATATGGTTAATTGTTTCAATTAAAAAAAATTAAAGGTACTTTAGAGGAAGCTAATATTGAAAATTAGCCATTTAATCCCTGTTAGACAACATCAGTGAGAATAAAACCTACGTAATATTAAAAGCTGCTTAATTTTACACTGATATAATGAATTTAATCATAATCATTGGAGCTGTAATATCTCAGGTATATACAAACCTTAAATATGCAATTTCACTTTGATGCGACTTTTTGTTTTTGAGCTATCTATACAGACTCATGCACACAGACCATTTTGGGGGACTTGGTTATTTTGACTCAGGGGATCTCAAAACGGGTATTTCCGTTGAAAACTTACATTAGAAAATTTTCACAATCGCAATACTGTCCCTTACTATATATTTCATACATAGGTAAGTGAAATAAAAAGTGCCCTCGCCTGGATCAGTTTGTGGTTCAAGAAGATACACAATGCAGGTAAATCGCTTTCCTCTTACGTATTAATGTAAACTTTACAGCAAATGCTTGTTCAAGATTGCTTCAAGAATATTCACTTTAAATAATTGATGGAATGTCTACAATCAAACTTCATAATAATCTAGTAGAAACCAAGTAAAAACCAATATCTTGATGCCTGGAAATTTCTCTTGATTTTTATAATGTACAGTCTGATTCAATCATTTATTGGACAAAGAATAATAAAAATGTAGGTTTAATTAAGAAGTCTTTAAAATTGTAATTGGTGTAATTAGCCATAAATTGTATTCTTTTTGAGTTAAGGACAAGTAGTTTTCTTTTCTTCTCTGCTTTAAAAAAGCGTTGAAAAGTAAAGTAATATATTCTGTATATTTGCCAGTTATTCAGAAGTACATATATTTGAATATTTTTCAAATATATATAGATTTTCCTCAAATATTAAATTATATTTATGAATGTTTTCTTATAATCATTAGTTTGAATCAGTGTTGATTTTATATATAAGCATATATTTAATTTATACAGGCACTTGCCTGGTTTGGCAAAATTATATTTTTAGATACAAACTCATTTTTTAAACATAAAAAGTAGCACAATTAAAGTAAAAACAAAGTAAAAACAAATTTAAAGAACTTGCAGTTAGAGGAAATGGCACTCATTATTATTCTATTTTTATTTGTGCCAATATTTAATTTTTTTCTAAAAGCAAAGTTGAAATAAAAAAAAAAAAAGAAAGAAAATAGAATATTTAAATGATTAAATTATTGTATTGAAATAACAACAAGTTAATAAGGTTTTTGATGATTAATTGCTAAAAATTATTCAAAATATTGGTCACTGATTTTGTTTTTCTAGATGTTCTTGAAAAATAAGAAAAGAGATTGGCTTAAATTTTATGAAATCTAATTTTTTAAAATAAAAATATTATTTTTTTTTTTATTGTTTTTAATGCACAAGTATTAATTAGTTACATATCTGAACTATTGAATTGGTTATTTCAGAAAAAACACATGTGACATTTTCATAAACCACACAACAAACATTTTATACTATAATTTTTATACTTAAAATTCTAAGAAAAACATATATCGTATACAATCAATCTTTTTACTGTTTATTAATAATTTCTTTTCTTGTATTAAAAATATATATATATATATATATATATATATATATATATATATATATATACATATACATAAAACCAGATTATTAAAGATACATACTATGGACAATATACCCAGAATATGTCTCAACTCAAAATCTATTAAAGTTACACATGTACTGTTTCTGAAATAACTGATTCAATTATATTTTCTTTCTTTTTTTATCTCAACATTCAGATCCATTGTCAATCATTTTTTCTTTTTAATTATTACTTTATTTCTAACATTTATTTTACATGCTAGCAAGTGTTTTAACACTTTTAGTTCTTTGGTTTTAACTAGTTCTTTGGCTGTTGGTTCTTATGTTGAACATGCAAACTGTATATGTTGAAGGACAAAAAAAATAAATATAATTAATTTAAATTTTATATTTATCAGTAATATCTACAAACATTATTACAGACAAGCTAAATTCCAAGTGAGCAATACAGAACATAATACATATCATCACAATAGTTTCATAACAATGATTAAAATTGAATAAAACATGAACGTCAATTCTGTAACAACGTGATCACAGACCTAAAGTCATTCAGTTGGTAAAATAGTCATACGATACTGCTCAGCTAATACCGACTAAACTTCTTGGCACTTGATATAAAACATGGACCAATTATGGCAACTCTTATCTCTAACTAATAAATGACAGTTTATATAAGTACACAATGGTATATAAAATAAGTACAAATATGTCAAATAGAATATTCAATTTTTGTACATTTATAGCATGAAATGAAAAATTATGCCAGAATATTTATAGCATGAAATGAAAAATTATGCCAGAATATGTCTTATTTTTTGTTTGAACAAACAGGCAATTAGTATTTGTTTAACATTTAATAAATATTTTATAAAACTCTTCTATTTTTAATAATGGAAGAACTTTATTCACATGTTTATGTATATATTAATTAATAAATATAATTCATAAAGGTAATTTATATTCTGTACATATCAACTCGTCTAATTCATCCTCTAATCGGAGGATATTAATTTTATATTAAAATGACTAGCTTTATAATATAATATCTAACTTTAAATAATTTTTAAACTCTGCCAGAATCATGGATATAGAAAGGATTGTCTAGTTGAGCAAATTGAAATATATTCTTTTAGCAGAAATGGAGATCTATTGTTAAAGTGTGTTGAAAGATTTCAATATCTGATTTTAAGTATATAAATCACAAAGTGAGTCACAAGGCTATCACCGAAAAAAAGGTCTTCAGAATATAAATATTAATAATTAATGTTGATTATAACTTAAAAATGTAGGCACACATTATAAATTTGATGTACAATACTTATTTACAAAAATACATAACAATATTTACAAATACAAAATTTTTACAAAATTAGAGTAAGCTCATTTTTTTTCATTTTTTTTTTTTTAGAATATGCTGTTCTCCAGCTGTTCTGATTTTATTTGTTCTAACTTGCGAATTCGAGATTGGACTGATTCGCACTTGAGTTCAGAAGTCCTAGAATACTTCTTTCCTTGAATTGCTTTCACTTCCCTGATCACGACCAAATTACCATTGGTTTCCCTTACGAATTCTAGGCCGATGGATTTCCTTCCAGGTGATGATGTCTGCGGCAAACTCAACCTGTTAGGGTTGAAGACGCTGAACCTTCTATCCTCTGGAGATCTTAGTTTTACTTTACTCCAAGTGTTTTCCTCTTCTTTCTTAAACCTTGACATTGCTTTAACAAAGGACTCGTTACACTCTTTTAGAACAGGCCTCAGTACAGGTTTCTGATTCCTCACAGCTTCCCAAACATTGAGGCATGAAGAGTAGTGTCTCATACCCTTCCCGTAATGGAAATCAAGTGTATCGTCTAAGGAGATGATGCTCGATCGATCACTTGAGGAATCGATGGACATTTCACTAATGGTATCACTATTTGAATCGCAGGAGTTGTCAGCACTGCTTCCAAGTGACGGAGGCAATCCCTCATCTTCGTCAACCACGACTACACGTTTGAATTTGAAAACTGTCTGATCCAAATCGCTGGTGCTGTTAGTTCGATATCTAATTGGTGGCATCGTTTGAGTCGCAGAGGCCCTTTTGAAGCTGTCGTTTTTGGTAAGTCTAACCTCTCGTTTCTCTTCATTGTCTAATCTTTCAATCAAGTGCTGTAAATTAGAATGCAACGATCGTCTTCTCTCTTCACTAAGCCCTCTACTATAATTGGCTACTTTATTATTATTATTATTATTATTATTAATGATATTTTTATTATTATCTACTTCTTTTTCTATTACTAATTTAGTCTCTTCTTTATTCTGAATTCTAGTATCCATAGGTGTTTTAGTTTCTGGTATGATTGTTCTTTTGGCTGGTATAGGTGTTCTGGGCTTGGCAGGAAGTGTATTGGATGCGATGGTGAGCGTGGATGTGGCGGCTGACGATTCACTAAAAACTTTTGAGAACCAAGCGTGTTTCATACACTGCTCCGCAGTCAGTCGTCCACTGAAAATAAAAAAATGTTGAACTGAATTATAATGGATTTTTAAATAATAATATTTTTTAAACATACAAATTATATGTAAATATCAATGTGTAATTATAAGCAAATTATATAAGCTGCTTGCTTATCTTCAATTATTTGACATACCATGTAGGTAGTACATTTTATTGTGATTAAATGAGATCAAATTTTTAATTAATGAGAAAGATTCATATTTAGTTTATAACTTGAAAGAACAGATCATTGGGCAGGTATGGTGGGAATTGGAGGAGTTCATCCTAGTGTGACACATATTCCTGGTATTTCTTGTGTGTTGTATTAATGAATAACTTATTTTATTTATTTTTAAAATTTAATAAAACACATTTTAAATTGAATATGCTAACTGACAGAGTGAAAACAAACAAAACTGAAAGATATTTCTTGGATGTAAGTTTTGAAGTTGGAAACACTTTCTTGAGCAAACAACTATAGAATTGAGTTAGGGACCAATATAAGGATTAATATCTATGGTTCAGAGAAAATGGTAGTGAGTCAAAAAATAGTCATTATGAGTTATGAGTTTAGTGATCATCTAAGCTTTCTTGATAGTGTGCTTGTGAGGTGATCACAATTCTTGGTGATGATCACAACTCATGAGGACCATTGAATTAACAACACAGAAATCTTTACTATAAACATAAACATTTGTTTCTTCTTATATTAAATACTACTTTAAAAAATTATAATAATTAATTACCTTGGATTTTTAACCATTAGTTTAGTCATCAGGTCTTTAGCCTCTTCTGATATCTCTCCAAAGAGGTCCTCAGGAAAGTCAAGACGACATTGGGAGATATTACAGAAGGTTTCTTGCTTCGTGTCACCACCGAAAGGAGAACAGCCAGTAAGGAGTACATAAAGCAAAACTCCAACAGACCTAAGGAAAAACAAAGGTATTAAAATGACATTGTTCAGTAACAAATATTTTTATTGGTAAAACAATGCACATAACAGAAATTTGTAGTTTAACAGGTAGCTTAAGTGTCGCAATAACAGGGATTCTAAATAACAGGTTGTCCCGTAAGTAGGGAAAAATATTCTAAGGGGTGTTAGCAGATCCCAAGAACTACAAAAAAGTTTATATAAATAATGGACCGATTTTTCACAGAAAAGTAAGAAATTCAAGTTTTGAGTTTGTTCAAGTATGTCACATCTTTTGCTGAATAGGAAGCAATAACTAAATAAATATTTAATTCAAGTAATTAACAATTACTTCACAGTAAACTGAATAAAATTGACTTCTAATTAAAGTAGAGTTTGTCATTGTTAAAACCATTTAAAGAGGACTTATGAGTGGATATATTGTACTTATACTAAAAATTGTGATATACCAAGAGCTCTTACAATAAGAGTATATAAGATGGTCCTGCAACCAGTTGTTACATATGGAAGTGAGTGCTGGACACTCACACTCAATGAAGAGGGGTGATTGAACAGGTGGGAAAGAAAAATCCTTCGTAGAATTTATGACCCAACCAAAGAAGGCAATCTTTGGCATATTAAGACAAATGACAAGCTGAAGAAGCTAAATAATACCCCAGACATTATATCCACCATGAAGAGGGGGAGGATAACATAATTGGGTTATGTGCAAAGAATGGAACATGACAGGCTCACTCAAATGATGACGGAGTGATATCTGGGTGGAAGAAGAAAAAGAGGCAGACCTAGACTTCGTTGGCTGGATGGACAAGGGAGTCTAGGTGATTTAAGGAGCCTGGGTGTAGGCAGATGGAGAAGGGTGGCCGAAGACAGGTCAGTTTGGAGGAAGACAGTAGAGGAGGCCAAGGTTCTACAAGGACCATCGGATTATGATTGTATATTTGTGTATATATATATATATATATATATATGTATATATATACATATATATATATATATATATATATATATATATATATATATATGTATATATATACATATATATATATATATATATATATATATATATATATATGAATATATGAATATATGAATATATACTTGCATATATTAAATATTTGACTATGTATAATACAAATTTTATTTATTATTGATTAAATATGAGAATTAGGAGATTACTCACCACATGTCGGTAGCAAGGCTGATAGGTTCATAGTTCAGTACTTCAGGAGCTGTAAGAAAATTTGTAAAAATTAAAATATAAATAATTTAAAAAATATGTAACTAATAAAAAATAAAACTAACTAGGTAATTTCTCACTGGTGGCTTTTATTTTTATAGAAGTATTATGAAGTAAGATGTCTTTAAACCAACTGTATTCATGAAAAAAAATTACGGATATAGTATATGTTAAATTAAATCTATATCCTCACAATCTATATCAAACAAGGAAAAACAAATGATTACTTCACAAAATGAGTTAGAAACTTGAAAATGACCAATTCACATCAAATGTATCTTGAAAAGCATGACTCACTAATAAAAATAGTAGATAATAAAATAACTCACCGACATAGTCGGGTGTACCCAAGATCTCCCTCACATCAGCGCCATCGCTAAGATGCCTTGAAATTCCAAAATCACAGAGTTTTACTTCGCAGTTAGGTAGGGGGCCAGTCAGGATTAAGTTTTGAGGCTAAAACACAAAGATTGAAAATTAACTAAAGATGTAATTTTCTCTAAAAATAAAGGCAATTGTATAGTAAATTAAGATGTATTTGCTTTTATGAATCAATAGCATTATTTTTTATTTCCTCCAAGAATTCAGTATGTGGAAAAGAAATAAATATATCTGGAAAGTATTTCTAAACTCTTAGGCGATTCTTTAAACACTAATTATTAAAACAAAAATATTGGGCTCGATTGGAATTTGGCCTGATGGTACAATATAAAATCAACTTAAAATTAAAATTTTGCAAATTTTCGTAAGATTCCACCTACGTTTTTCAAATTCAACATTTTATTAGGGTAACATCGAGACTGAAAACAATTTTATTACACAAATATAGACCAGATATAGCACATCTCATCTTAATAGTTTAAATAAAAAATAGTAATTAAACACAAACAGCTGATACGAACTAAATAAAAACTAGGCACATTGTTTATTTTTTCATAGATCTGATTATTTTTTATTTATTTATTAATCTAAATATTGTGATGTTGATCTCGAAAGTAGTTCTGTTTAATGAAGTTCTATGTATTATTAGTTGTGATGAACTGAGGGTGTCAGGACTTTTTCAGTTGCACTATTGTTATTTTTTTCCCATAAGCACTAGGTGAGATTTGTAATATCTATTAATGTGATCTAAAGTTTTAAGTCCTAATGATACCTTAATTGACTAAATGTTTGTACTGAATTTTGTAATAATATTCTAATATTAATTTCTCTCTCCTTTTTCTTTTTGAGTATTTTCTCTCATTAAATACCTGATTCTTGTACTTGTTTATTATGTATTTTAAAAATCATGAAAAATATTGATATTATTAGTAATAATATTACTCATTATTCATAGTTTATTATAATAGTTACGTTCTGGTGTATATGGATTTACTATAGAGTAGTGACAGTAGAGAATGACAATGCTAACGGAGGACATCCTGTTTCCTCTATGAAGCTATCACATTGGCAAGGGAATGCTTGAAGTCAATGGACAACTAAAAACGGAATATTTTTTTTTTTTCCGGTTTCCGACCAATCCGTTTGTTTAATCCTAAAAATGTATACAACATGTGTTAGGCTCGGAAAGTTGAATCGAATGACACTTTGAACGGGAAGATCGAACAATGTTGAAAATGAGTGTTTCAAGCGACAATGCCTTACAGATGTTCGGGATTTCGGATTTTTCCAGTTCGGAGTTGTGATAATTTTTTCCATCAGTTTAATAGTACAATTTTTAAATTTTTCTTGAAGTAGAGTAGATTGGGATGAGAATCGAAATAAGTAACTGTCTAACCGGAATCTGTTGACATATTACTCAAGAATTCATAACTTTGGTTCTACTCAATATTTTGTTTTCATTTAAAGCCTATGTTTTAAGTCAAGCAAACCCAAATATAATATAAAAATTTGAGAAGTCTACCATTAGGCGTTGCTGAGCTTACCCCTGACAAAATTTCGTTGGACAACGCGGACATACAGCCAAAAAAAAACTTTTTTAAAAGTGGATTTGGTGTCTGTAATGAATGAAACGGAAAGATATCATGAAACAGGTTGATTCTATTCAATGTATAGACATAACCTTTATTTTATTTATATAGATGGTCCACCAAACTAGTCTATGTAAATAAGCTTTATAACTGGTAAGAAAATATACAGAAGCTGTATGTATCTGGAACTATTAGATGTAATTCTATTTAATTAAAATTATCTTTGCCAGTCTTGATGTTTGGCTATAAGTTAATATTTCCTATCTCTTTGTATTGCGTCATTGAGTGGTGAGGTTATGAATCATTGAAAACAAATATAGAATTGAAGTTATATTTCAAAGATGCATATTTGTAGAGTTTATTTTACGATATTGATGTATGCACACCAAAAATAAAAGTTTTTAACAAGCTGTTAAAAAGAAAGACAATTTTTCGGGAACGGTAACTTACGAGTGAAGCAGAGCATTTTAGTTACAGAGCACGAAAAATGTGAATCACTATTTTATTTCGGAAATGTAAGCAGAATTAATTGCGAACATGGTTAATTGATGTTTTGTCAAAACTTTCCAACTGATTCTCTCTGTTCACACTTCAAAGTATTCAATTCGATCTTGTTTAACTTTCAAGGATAACGTAAAACGTTAGATAAAAAAAACTTTATGTCATGGTTAAGCCGTCGTAAATTTCAGATGGTATAGGACAACGGTACAATGCTAAACAATTTAAAACTAATTGCAAAACTTCTTTATTTGTCCATTTTAGATTAGTTATTGCCGTTGCTAATTTTGTTAAGTCGGTCCTGAGAAACATTTGTAATTCATAATTGATATGTAATTGATATAAAGTTGATAATTGATATAAAGTCTTCATCTAATTCTATCACTAACGGATTCTGGTTTTAACTTTGGAGGGGAGAGGCTTCAGCTCAAAAGCTTTTTTTCCCTATAAATGTTAGGGTAATTACTTTGGAAGAAGGAGAAAAAAAACTATCTAACTATATGAAATGCTGTTTAATTGATTCTTCAGGTCCAATTAAATGTAATCAGACGAAAAATAAATTTTTTTTTCTTCATTAAACATGGTTATATTTTACCATTTTGGGCTTCGGCCCAAAAGCCCCCCTCTCTTCCGTATATCCACCCATGAGTCCTATATAATGAGATTAAAGAATATTCCAGCTACTCTACCCATAAACTTTCGTGTATCCACATTCGTATCGTAAAGAACTACGTAAAAATTGAGAGTGGGATAATTTAAAAAAAAAGAAACATGGCTAAGAAAATAATGTTTTAAAGTCGTTGCTAAAATATAAAGGAAGTTGAAATACTTATAAAAGTATGCTTATGTAAATATGGTCCAATTAATGAGACATATGCAGGTAAAATAGAGTAATTATTTAGATGAGGACTGCAAGTGTTAAGCGTAGTCGCAGGCGGAGGATCTACGGGGAGGCTTTGGGGCTGTATCTCCTCTTCCCAAAATAGTAAAATATAACCATGTTTTATGGAAAAAATATAAAAAAATATCTCTTAAAGTATTATTGTTTGTGTAATTACATTTAAAAGGACTTCAGGAATCACTTAAACACCGTTTCATATAGGTAGTTAGTTTCTTTCTTTTTTTCAAAGTAATTATCGTTATTTTTATGAAAAAACAGCTTTTGGGCTGAAGCCCTCCTCCCCTCCATCCCCCCCAAAAAAAATTGAATCTTGGATCCGCTAGTAGTCACACTTGTTCATGAAACACCGAAAACAGTCTTTCGGTTAAACCCAGATGCATTCGGCACTCCTTGAATAAGTGTGATTTGTGAACCATGACATACCTTATCTAAATAATTACCTAAAATAGTTCAGATACTATTAACATTTATTAGCAGTGGATAGATCTAATTTGCTTTCTATTCTAGGATTCTTTTAATTGAATTGTATATATATTTGCTTAATTCGTTTATAATAAGGCTTTCATTCATAACTAAAACCATATTGGTTTAAAATTGTTAAGATTAAATACGGTTGACGATGTACAATTAGGTATTACCTTGATGTCTAAATGGGCGACGTTGATGCCGTGGAGGAAGATGATACCTTCAAGTATTTGTCGCATGAGGGCTTGAACCTGGGCCTCCGTCGGCAGTTCTTCGTCGCTGTCCAACAGCATCTGCAGCTCGCCGCCTCGAGCTCTGCAACATCAACCACATGTTGACAATTTTTCCACTTCCTAACCTAATAACTAAGTTGTTCAATACATTTAAATTTGACATTGTATAAAAACTTTTTTTTTCATTTATTGATGATATTTACAACTGTATTACAATTAAAAATACATTCAGTAAATGTGAACAAAAGAATATAAAAGCATAAAATCATTTGTTGAGAAACTACCCACTGGTAGCACTCTAAAAATGTATTTACAAAAGGAGATCTCGAGGCCATCTTCTTTTCAGACGCCTCGGAGGGTTGTCAGGGATCGAAAAAGAAGCAAGGTTAGAAACGAGAGGGTTAGGATGGTTGTGAAGTTTGTTATGGAAGGAAAGGTATCTGGATTGGGCCAGGTCAGAAACATATGGAACATTAAGGTCGTTATGGATGATTTTGTTTGTGACGAAGTAAGGAGCTGTGAGGATTTTACGAAGGATTTTGGATTGTAAGGATTGGATACGAGAGGAATTTGATGGCTTGATGGCTTAGTGGAGCCCCAGAGCTCAATTCCGTAAGTCCAAATAGGTCTTATTGTAGTCATGTATATGAGTCTTTTGTAATTGACTGGGAGCTTAGAGCGTTTGTCTAGTAAGTGCTGGAGTAGTCGGAAACGTCGAGCTGTTTCTTGTCGTTTCAGTCTGGTATGAGGATTCCAAGTTAGACGTTTGTCTAAGTGTATAAAAACTAGATTAAATTGTATTAAAATAAGATTGTATTGAAAGAAGATTAATTAAAAAAAATGATTAAATAACATTTGTGGAAGTTTCATTTTGTATCTTGATTAAGGTGACCAGATTTTAACAATGGTAAAACGGGGCATCATTGATCGAGAGAGAATGACACAGGATGGTCCAAATTTGTTGTTACAATAATTAATTTTAGACGATCATAATCTGGAGCAATGAGGATAAACGCAGCGGAACAATCTACCCCAAAAACCATTGGTACTGCTGAGCGATTGGTGATTCATTCGATGAATAAAGAAACACATTGAATTTCATTTATGGACCCATCGATGAGTTTAAGATAGGTCTAATGGAGTTCTGATTCCCTTCACTAACGGGCTCAGCGATGTGTTTAAAAAGTTTTTAATCTATATAAAATATTATAATGTTTTCGGCAGATTGTTGTTGGCGGATGTACATATGTTTGGTGGCAAGCTTTGGGATTTCTTTTTTTTTTTTTAAACGTTTATTTTAGGTGAAATAAACTGAGGTAAATATCGATTGTTGATGCAGGGAAATGGTGGGAGACACGTGGCTGACCACCTGGGAGACTCCCAGGCCACTCGCCACTTTTCTGTTTTCCATTTCACAGGTGGTTGCTCACGTCGTGTCCGCACGGCCGAGCTCTAATTACGTCACATAATAGCTCTACCGAGGAATGGGAGCTAGGAAAATCACAGAACAGGGCTTTTCATCCTCAGATTGTAAATAGTTTACAGCTGATGCAATGATGTTGCATTCAAATAATGATTATTTAAATTAAGACTTTTCTATTAATTTTGTATTAACTTTAAAGGTGTCAATCACAAGAGTCATTATCACCTTATTATATATAAACGGTAAAAAACTTCATTTTACAGATTAGAAGTTCAGGAAACTGAAAAAGTTTAGCAAATATTTTGCTCTGTTCTAAAGAAGCGGGGTGGCCGTGCGGACTAACGTGTGTGCACAGGACAGCGCGTTGCCCAGCAACCTGATAACCGAAGTTGGAGACAATGAAATTACGAGTTCACGTCCCGGAATCCAGGTGGTCTTTTAACTCTGACATTAATCCCTTACCCTCACCCCGGGGCAGGGAAAACCCCGTATAGCCTAAGAGGCATGGTAGGTTAGAAAAAAAAAGTCCTTTGTTCTGTCATACAGTACCCCAGGAGAGTAGGCATTTAAAAAAGAAAACCTGTAGCACTACTAGAAGGGTCTATGGTACAGTAAATTGCACCTTGTCCAAGATAAAGTGTTTCTTCTAGGACAACGGCTTCGGAAGGTGGTGATTTGGCCGAGATCACGTACAACTATCAGACTAATAAACATGGAATGAATACTTACAACTCCAAAACTAGTATCATCTCGGTGGAGGACTCGAAGACTTTGTGGAGAGATACGATCCTGGAACAGGGCCTGCAGGCCTCCAAGACTGCCACTTCATGGAGGATCTCCTCACGACTCTCTTTCGACCGGGCCTTCTTCTTCAGGGACTTGGCGGCGAACTCCCTCCCGGTCGACAGTTCTCGGCATCGCCGAACCGCCGCATACTTTCCTCTGTAACATAAAAACAGTTCATTAACCTACACGATCTTTTAGATTTAAGAATATCATCAGAGAAGACTAATAAACAAATTTTCGAATAAAAATAGTTAAGAGAGCAATAGGAATAGATGTGGAAAATGAAAAGATATTTCGCAGAGTTGTCATTTTCCGTATTGGGGTACTAAGAGGAAAGCCTGGTGTTGGAATTTCGTCGAAGTGAGGTGACATTGTTTCATTCATGAAGATACCATTCTGGGAAGTGTTCATTGATACTGAGTCAGCTTTGCATCACCATCTTAGTCCCAAGAGGACATTGAGCTGTTATTAAAAATAAATGCAATCCTTCAAATATTTTTCTTAAATTGAATTTATTTGAGTCGACTATTTGGAGTCAGAAGCGTATAACAATGATAAAATTATATATTTAAGATCTTAAGTTATATTTAGACTGCTAAGTCAAGACAAAGAGCTATCCAAATCCAAAGATCTCACTGTAGACTGTGATGGCGAATGACATTGTAAAGAATGCAGAAGTCGTGGAATGCACCAGTTGAGCTATCTTTACGACGTGCTTTCCTTCAAGCGCTCTTTCAGTTCAATAGCATTCCATCTTATTTCAAACAGCTATTGTAGAATGAATAATATATATCTTGCCATATTATTTCTGAATATCTAAATGTATCTTAATTTTTCTTTTCAAGAAACTTTTGAGACACGCTGCAAGAGTTGGGAAAAACGCAAAGAGTAAGTCAAGTTTAAAAAAACAACAATATTTATCATTTAACATCTTTACTTAAGTCTCCAACACTGCAAAACCTCTGATTCAACATAAAAAAAAATTCACTGCAAATATGCATATCAACATATTTTATGTGGGAATTACTTTTTTCCTCTACAATCCTTATCGAACAGAAGCCTCGCCTTTCCATAAAACATTTGATGTAATTTTTAACTAATGAGAATTACCCAGTTGCCAAAAATACTTAAGAAATTTTTAAATAAAACATACCATACAAAAATAATAATGAAGAACTCACGTTTTTTTTTTATAATTGTTATTACATGTTGTATTAAAACAAAAATATAAAAACAATTATAGTTAGCAGATTTAACTTTGAAACATTTACATAATTTGGCTATTAAGGTTATATATGAATATAGTTAGAATAGACCAATCAAAAATATATTTATTCTTAAGAAAATCAACGATTTAAGTACATCAAATAATTACATCTATTTAAACATGAAATTTCAACTTTTCTGCATATTATACAAGTGATCCAAGAGGCATTGACTAATTATAAATATATAATTATACGTTTATCTATAATTACTGTTACACCAGTAGCAATTTTTGTTTACTAAAGATAAATAATTTCCTTATTTGGAAAAAAAAAAAAAACTAAAACAAACAAGTAAATTGAGAATCTGTAAATATACTGGAAGGAGTAATGTATATTGGTATACGTGACGGACATTTTGTTTTTTATCCAAGAAGTTGTCATTCGGCTTGTTCCTCTTCCCTGTTTGCCCAAGGACCGGATTTTTTCTCCTGTTTAATGAAAACGCTATGGATGAGGATGTTGACTGTTCATTGTTCGATTCGATCATTGGGATAATATCCATAGTTAATTAGGTCATATCAAGGCCACCATGACACAAATGATATAAAACTCAAAAGAATTTATATCATCTTTGGATTTGAACAGTTCATGGCTCACTCAGCCTCTAAAAAAATATAGCGATTGCTTTTAATAATTATTACCAGCCTTTTTTATTTTTGGTGGCATATTTATGTATTCTGATAGCTGATTACAAGTTTATTCATCTGTACATTGATTTTTGATGACCAGCTGATCTGTTCATGTAGGGGTGTTGCGATATTTTCCTTTCGATATCGTTCAATATAGAATTGAAAAAAAAAAAAGAGTTCGATATCATCGTAACATCGAAATATGGCAATATTGGATCTCGATATTTTTTTTTATCATATTATTAACCTAAATCAATTTAATATATAAATATATGAACGTATATATATATATATATATACTAATACGTACTAATATTTTTAAATAATTCAAATACAAACCCTTATTTCTATATATCATAAAAGGAGTTGCAATATTTTAAAACAGCTTATATCATCAGGTTATTGCATAAAGTCACCACAGACATTTTTAATAGGACTGAAGTCTTACGAAAGTTTTTGCGAATTTCGCTCTAATCTTTTATCTATCAAATATTGCTACACAAGCGAACAATTTTCTGATTTTACAACGGGAAAATCCATCGAAGTTCTTAGTGAATTAGGGTTATGAAGAGTTACTTAATGCACTTCGTTTTTATGGATTGGCATATTCGTCAATATTCCCATGCATGAAGCCAAAATGTTACTTAAGAGTTACTTAATGAATTTTTTAAATAAACCGAAGATATATTTGTTAAGAATCTCAAAAATTTCTGGTCATATCTATCTATAAGGAATATCGCAAGAAACCTATGTTCATTTCACTATGATCATCTGGTCTGATTATAACCTGTTTGGTTACCTCCCATTTTTAGCAATATATGGATGCCATGGAGTGATGAATTGGCGAAACGTTAACAAATTATTATGTTCTTTCATTCGCGGTTTAGAAACAAGGTTGTGTGGTGGTTTGATTTTATCATCTGTTATCTATTATATATTATCCTAACATTTAATATTTACTGCATATCCATCTATTTAGAATTTACAGTCGATAGCCAGAACTTGAGTTATTTTTATTTGAAGTACCTCGCTTTGCGTACATATGGTCACATTTACGAACCTATTCCCTTGACATTTTCACACGAAGTTTCAAAAGACCATTTGCCGGGAAATGTTATGGTCACAGCTAATGGACCTCTTCTACTTCAAGGCAAAAATATGAACTGTACAAGCGTTCCTGCCGGTTCCAACATACTTTAAATATTTTATAAACTTCGGGCTGTATTCCCATAGTATATTAGTCGGTGAACAAATCGCCATATAATATGGGCATAAGTAAACCTACAATATTTAATGATAGAAAGGAATGAAGTTATAGCATAAAGTCATGAAGTAACAATTCATAATCTTAAATTACTGAGAAGTTTTATGAATTTTCCCTTTGTGAAATCAAAATACTTTGATTTATACTTCAAAACTGGATATATACCTATCGACTTTTTATAACACACCGACGATATGGTGAAGATAAGTTTCGAAAAAAAAAATCAATTTATTATGATTCCTGTGATGCCTGTTTACCGCTTAGCATGGATCGCTTTCTTCTCGAACGAAAACAAAGAGGTCCTTTGTAAGACAGGACCTGAGCTAGAAGACACTGCACATGCACCACACTATTAAGGTAAGTAGGTAGGAGGCGACAAAGAGCTGATGGACAATGAAGTATGGTCAATGGATGTCCACGGTCAGAAGAGTGGAGGAATCCGGGTTCGGCAATTTGCACTTCATCGCCAGGATGTCCAGTCCTGACAAAGGCTGTCCAAGGAGGATGGCAGGGGAAGGAGGATTCACCGAGTGCACTTGTGCAGTCATGGCAGCTTTGCGTGTCTTCTCCCAAGGTTAGCGGTGATCTGGTTCCAGAGAGAACATGCATCCTCACAGATCTATATGCTCAATAGGATTCTTAAAACATTTCCATCATGATATAATTGATAAGTTTGCTGAAGTAAGTTGCTAAAAGTGTTTTAACTAATAACTATAAGGGATAGTTAAATTTTTAATAATTTTAATGTTAAAACGTTCAATTTATAATCTACTATAAAACTACCTCAGTGGTATATATACCTGTTGAGTCTCGATTGTATTATCGATTATTTAGTGATCGTGTGTGATCGTGTTACCTTCCTAGTTTGTTCAGTTATTATAGTCACGATGCTAAAGTGTAATAGTCTATTGTTTTCACATTTAATAAGTTTATAAGTAAGCTGTGTTTTACTAATTATCCACCAATCTAGACAATTCAACCTTTTCCGTCTATCAGGAATAATAGGTTTGGACAAACGAGGCACCAAGAGAAAGGTAATTTCACAAATAAGTCCCTATTTAGATTTTGAAGTTCTTAATCTAATTTAAATAAAAGTGATTGCAAATTGTAAGGGGAACAAAACTCCGACAGAGGTAAGTAAGTAGATGGAGACAGGAAAAGAATGAAGTTTTAAAGATTTTGGAACGAAATCATCGATACATTCGAGATAACATAGGTAATCTTGTGTTCTATAGTCCGTGGTACAGATCCCGTTTTATCAAATTATTAAGATGCACCTGAAATTTTGTAAATAGCTTCATCTCATCGTAACCTACAAATATTTTATTTACGAAAACTCTTGGAATTTGGGCATTTTCAGTCTGCAGATCGGCATACTTTTTCTATTTAATTACTTATTAAAAACTCTTATATTCCTATTTGCTTTCACAATATCTGGTAAGATAATTTGATCAAAAATCGAGAATAAAGGAGACCTACAAAAATATTGGGCCTTTTGATCTATAGAACCTCGTTATTTTGACATTTTGAGGATGCAGGTCACGCCAAAAGGCTGAATATATTTGAAGGTCACTTTTTTTTCGAGTATGTGATTAAATCATCTTACGATCTAAGTGGAAAGCATATAATAGTTGTAGGTTACGATGAGATGAAGCTATTTACGAAGTTTCCGGCAGATGTTAATAATTTGATAAAAAGAGGTCTGTACCACGGACTAATACTAATGACTCTAGCTGTAGCAACCTAAGTGCAACGGTTTATCGGTTAACCGAAGCAGCGGTTGCCATGGATACTTAACATGTTAAGGTTTTTAAAATATACACGGTGTCTCAGTTCTTAGTGACAAAACTCTGGGGGGGTGATTCTTAGAAAATTTAATCATTGTTTTCACTGTTACATTATTGTTACACTAGTCCCTTTAATAAAGTCCAGAGCTTTACAAATTGTGTTTTAAACAGACATTATTAACATGTTTCCATAACAACACTTATACTTTGAATGGATTCTAACACTAGGGTATTCAGTAGGACATATTAGTTGTAATGATACAATTTGAATATAAATTATTGTTATTCAATATCAGAACTCAACAAAGGTGCTGTTGATTTTCATGTATTAACGAGCCCCCCAAACAACCTTCACACAACAATGGCGTGAACTGGGCCAAGAGAAATGCTTCTTTTTTTTTTTCCTTTTTGGAAGCTCTTTGGCGAAGTTTCCTTTTCTCAGGCAATTGTCATCCCGAGGGTGAAAACATTGGCCATGTCTTTGTGACGTCTATATCTGGGGCAGGAGTATCAAGTCCGCCTGTCCAACATTGTCCCGGTGATATCTTCTTTTTAGAAAACGAATAGAACTTTTTTTCCCTTTCATCAATCAATTGAGGTCTTCAGGAGTATAAGTAGAAATTGTTACCTGCATGCTTCTGGGAAGTGTAAATGACGTACTATTTGTACTTAAGTCTATTTTAGACTGCTAATGTGAGAGGTTATTGTCTTAAATTACGCTTAAATAGACCAAGCTTAGATCGATTAGTTATTTCTAATTTTTGAAAAATAATAAGATTAGTATACCCCTCCAAGAACTCACGCGTCAGATATCTTCTCTCTAATATAGTCCAAGTAAAAGGGATATTAGAGAAACAGCTCATATTCGTATGAACAATGTTACTTATTAAAAAGAAAATAAATTCAACTCAGACAATTGGTGAAGATCCATACTTTGAAAATGACTACTTTGAAGTTACAGATTACTGTTAACGATTCGCTTAACCTACTCGAAATAGCCCAACGATGAAGGTTTGATTGTCAATTACGAAAGTGTATGTTATTTTGAGTCAAAATAACTTTATCCGTCGTTCCAGAACCGCTGCTTTCAACAATGGCGGCTGATTTAAAGGATATTAGACCAGTAATATGAGGATCGAAAAGAGAAATCAATTGCGAAAAATGTGGAAACAGTTTTTATTTTTCTAACTTGTATATATGGGTTTGCGGATCTAGAAACAAAATTTCTAAGTTGGGCTACCAACCAAAAAAGTCATATCTTTTTAAGTGTTTTGTTCTTTCACCTATAACTCCTAAACGATGCATCAAAGCGAAAAATGTACTCTTTAATAAACTAAATAACGTTAAATCGTGCCTCAAACGAGTAAATAAACTTTATAATTTGGTTACGTGGTAAGTTATAAAACCACGGGCAACCAACGCTGATTTTTACCAAATTTGTCAGAAGCTGAGACAAATTACTATAAATGAAACTGGGAAATTAGTTCCCTAATATGAAAACCTATATAATCAAAGTTGTAGAGCATCAAATTTTCCATTGAGTATTAACATTTTTATTGTAATTTACTATCAAAGCTTCGGCTGCGATGAGGTCGAGTTTTGTGCCCTGGCTCCAGGGCGAAAAATCTCTCTTCAGTCAATCGGTATGATATTATAGATATGGTTCGTAGTTCTTTCATTTATTAAGAGTGGAGTTGAGAAGAACTAGAGCTTTATCACTGTTATGACGATATTAAACCAAACAATTTAAATTATGTTCACAAAACATGATTATTTTTTCAACCAAATGTCATTTCTATATTACTTTTGGTGCCCGAAGTACTATCAGAGCTATTCTCTTCCATTTATCTTCTCACTAGATTTTTAGTTCAGTAAAGACTATTAGAGCAGTGACAAGTATTCATGCCGTCTTGATCCGTTGTCTTTTGAAACTATCTGAATTTTAGAACATCTCAATTTTTCCAATGACTTTTGCTGTAGGTGTAGTATAACGTTTCAAGATATTTAAAATTGGCAATCCCCATTTCTTCATGAAAGACCTTTTTGTTTGATACCTCATTCATCATAATCAATAATAAGGAATCTTGAAAAATTTAGATTTCACCCTCAGTCAATAAATTGTTGTAGTAACGTCCTTGAGGATGATGTAGACACAACCTATCGACACACTAGAACAACCTAGATTCATTAGATAAGCATAACGACTCCATTAACAATGTGTAACCAGATACGGCCTGCTATGGTGCCGATAAGCTACGCACTTGGAAGGATCATGAACCTTAAAGAAGTTGATGACTTCCAGGAAAAGTTTCGCCGGCCCTACCTCCCGCTGATCGGCACAATCGAGGTATCGCTTTGTCACAGGACAATGGTCTCCTCCATGGGCTCATAGAGGACAATGAAAGAGAAACTGATAAAGATCCGGGAAAATCTAGCTTCTTCTTTCGCCAATAACCTCCCCACTTAATAACATACTTCCTTAAGGTTGAAAAAAAATTAAAAACATAAGTCGATTGAAAGAATAGATTTTTTTTCCTAATGTTTCAATCACGTTATGATTCTTTATATTTTAAAACTATTATATCCCAGAAATATAACTCAAACAAGGCCATAGTTATTTAATGAATCAAATTGGATATTGAATAGCCATTATATTCTTAATAATTAGGTCTGTGGGGGACAGCAAAATTTTCTAATATCAAATGCATCCAATCCTTTCAATCTGAAGTCCTTCAAACAATAGTTGATACTCCAATCTATGTAACCAACAGAACCCTACACCATGACCTTAATATCCAATTTGTCCTAGACCTTCAGAAAAAATTCTCAAAATTTCATTATAACCTTAAAAATCGTCCTAAAACCCTTGCATAATCCCTGTCTAGCACCACTCATCCCTACAATCCTCCTCGAAGGTTTAAGGCAGTGCCCAGATTCTTCACTCAAACCATGCATGTATGATTATTGTGCCTCTGCTCAGCTTCTACGGGTATTTAATAACAGTAATGCGACTAAGTAAGAGGCGCTGGGATCTCCTTCAGTCCTACCTTTCCTTCCATGGGAATTTCCTTCCTTGGCTTGGAGCTCTCCTGAATGGATTCTGTAAATATTGTGGAAAAGTATGCTCGTGTTTTATTTTGATTAGTTTAGTTCTTTTGTTTATATAGATTTACTTTTGGTATTGTTATTTTTCTATATCATTTGTTGTAACTAGAGTTCTAATTTGCTCTCTGAACACTATTATAAATGTCCTTAATTGTGACAGATTGTAATATTTCTGAATAAATAAGTTTTAAAAAATTATTTTTAATTTTTAAATAGGATTTGATAAAATTAGTATTAGATTATTTGTGCACCATTCATCAAATTTCCTCCGACATTGGTCTTAGTCAATAGAAGTAGATGGAATTGATTTGGAGTCATTTAGGTAACAGCCTGTACGATTTCTGAAAGTTTTATAAAAACCACACGGTATAGACGGAAGGATATAGAACCAAATTAGCTCCTTCATATCTAAAATGTAAAACTTGACTAACAATTTTCGTTATTGGATACTTTTTTTAATTTACTTTTCGCATGAATTTGTATTCCTACATTTGATAGCGAGAATATATTTAATATGTATTCAATGCAGAGGTGAAAATCTTGGAAGTTGAGCACGATTCTGATCACATCATTTATATGCTTAAGTTAATAGTCAACACTACGTTATCATTTACAAGGCTCTTTATTTATATTTCATAGTAGGAGGGCCCTTAAGCAGTCTCAATCCTATCCGCAAAAAATATTTTGACTATATGGTATAAATTAAAAAAACATTTG